GATGAACCGCGTGGGAGGTTCGACCGACCTGTCCAGGACTGCTTGCATGTTGCCGTGCCTACGTCGTCGGGGTTAGCCATTGTTTCGAATGCTCAGGGGGACCATGGGGGCTATCCCTACCGAATGTACAGGCGGTTCAGGTTGAAGTACGCCCACTTCTTCGCCTTCCACCAATGGTGGCGCTCCCGCTCCAGAGGGTCGCCCTGCATGGCGGAGGCCGGAATGGCTTTGGAGACGGTCTGAAGGAAGACGGTGCACCACCCGAGGTTGACGGTGCTCTGGCGGAGAAACTCACAGAGCTCGAGCTGTGTCCGCTGTTAGCTCGTTTGTTCAGGGTTCGTTTCCTGCTTTTCCAGGAACCTACCCAGGTGGCATGCTTATAGCACTTGAGTGCGATATGTAGCATCTCGCCAGCCTCATCGCCCTCCTGGTTCACCAGCTCGTTGCATATTACCAGCAACCTGGGGAAGCTCGCCTCGATGATCTTGTCGAAGTGAGCCCTGCTGTCGCTATCGCTCGCCTTGAAGCGGTAGGCCCGGCAGACGGCCAGAAGACACTGGAGCCCAGCCAGGACAGACCGAGGGTCGTTGGTGTTGAGGAGCTGAAGGGCATAGTCCATAAAAGACGGCCATCTCTCGGGGAAGTCGAAGTGTAGGATGCGCTGCAGAATTGGGACGAGCTGATGGCGCACCAGGTTCTGAGAGCCCGCGAGGATGGGCAGTAACCGCTCTCTAAAGCGCGCCTTTTCGTCATCGGGTATCACCGTCTCGTTCGGGTAGTAGTCGGAACGCTCCCACGCACGGTTGACGCGATTCTTGAGGTAGATGACGGCTACATGGCACGAAGTGTTAACATGGTCACACGCAGTCGGAGTCGAAATCCACGTGGGGGCCCGGGACGAGGTTGGGGGAGGCGGGCATACTCGGCAGTTGAAGGTTGACAGCCTGCTCGGACTGGACAAGATCCAACAGGACATCTGTAAAACCAGGCTGGCCCTCGGCCTATGGGAGACGGGAAATGTTAGCGTCGATATCGATACGCAGCGAATATCGGCGATGGCGTGTCGTCGTTCGTGCGGGCTGGATGGTGGCGGCTGGAGAGAGCACGGGATGTGTGTCGACGGCGCGAACGCACATCCCATCCCGCCCACACCACCACGGCCAAAAACAAACAGCAACAACCGGCAACAACAACGGGCGACCCATAACTACAAACGCACCTGCTTCAGCTGAAGCTCAGCCCTCCGGCGGCCGTCGGCATCAACGTCGAGCGTCGCAGCGATGCAACTTCGAATGGCGGTGGCATCCATTGTGGGCAAGCTGTCGGGCCAACTATCGCATCAAAGGCGCTTCGCAGGGACGGCGGGTTTGAATGGGAGAAATGGCTGGAAGCCAGAAGGGGGTGGTGGTGGTTGTCGAGGGGCCTGGGTCCAGAAAAAATTTGGGCCAAAATCTGGTTGCAAAGCACCGGCAAGGGCCCCGAAATGGCGGGGCAGAACTGACTTGGGAGTGTGGGTTCGGGCAGGAGGGAATGTTCACGCTGTGTTGCCGCAGGCGCCGTCAGTGCAGCCAGCCGCCAACGTTGCATGGGACGACCCGAATGCAGCGGCCTCAGGCTTAAATAGAGTTGGCTGGGAGGTCGGAGGTTACTTCTAGAATACCTATGCGTCATCGTTAAGTTGTAAGTTTATTTTTTTGATCGCATGAGACGCCGAGTACGAAGTACGACGAGGTACCGCGTTATGTGATTACTCGAATCTCATCATCATCAAGTCTCCGGGTCATCGTTTGCAAAACCACCAAGCCAGGCTAGAGCATGTTCGTCTCTTGTTTGCGCCAATAGCTACTTCGTACACTCTGAAGCGTCCCCGTCTCGGGCTCCCGTCATCGAGTCATCAGGTGGACGTGAGTCGTGCGAGACACCGGAAAGGAACAAAACCATCGAACCCCTTTGGAGGGGCCGCGTGGTGGCGGTCTCACACTCTCTTGTATTTAACCTTGACCGGCCTTCTTTCTCAAGGATTCCACGGTTCGGTGACCGGGGGGGATTTGGTTGGTGATTCTCCCGAGTGGGCAGCACGCCCTGGTCACAGATCCCGCTCACCGCCTTTGTGGCATGGGGAATTTAGGTTGGTGCCTTTTGGGAACCCCTCGACTCCTCGAGCCCCTCCTCCGCTCCTGAAACTCGCCCCACCACTCCATCCATGGTTGGCCGCTGTGGGCTGTGCCAGGGCTTTGCAGCACGCACATTCCTTCTGGAGCAGCCAATTCGATGTTTCCACGGCCGAGCCGACATGATGTATCGAATAAACTCGGGGATATTTGGCGGGTATCGGTTGACGATCAGAATGATCTACCCGGGCCGGGAAGGGTTGCCAACGTCGTCTTTCTCTTCCACAGCCGCGGAAATCCAGCAGCCCACCTCCGTCTGCAAGAGGAAGCAAGGGAGGCAGCAGCTGAGGCGCCGGGGAGACCCCCGCGAGACAGGTGGGCTTTCCTTTTTACCCCACCATTGCCGCCCAACTTTGGTTATCTGCCATCCCGAGCACAAACGGTGGACAATAACTCGGGCGAGCAAAGAAGGCGCACTTAATTCAGTCAGCATGGCGTTGATCATCCTCACCTCCATGTACGGACGATGGCGGATAAACTCTCCAGGAATCCTTGGCTCATATCGCCCTCCAGTGTGTGAGTCTGCACACGTTGAGGCCTGAGCGTCAGAGCCCCTCCATCTCAGTGATCTCCACTTCCAGCCTAAGCAAGATGGGAGAGAACCCGACCAAGCACAAGCAGGTATCCGTCTCGCAGGGCAAACAAAACCTCGGGGCTTTGGGCCCGATGACGAACCTTGACAGTTACTAGTAGTTTAGTTTACATACCTCACACGGGACATGGACATGGAGATGGAGGGCAAATGGCACGTGACGCATCAGTTATCACTTCGCAAGACCCGCGGTTGAAAAGCATTGGTTGAGCATGCATGTTAGGTTGTTCCTCACAAGCAATACGGTTACCGCCAGTATATGTGTCGGCCAACCCGCCGATAAAGCAAGCAACAGCAAGCGAAAAGACACAATATCCGCCCAAACCACCATCCCATTGCCATTCCCAAACGAAACCCCACACCCCATATAACATTAACTCTCGTACTCTTCTACACCACAGAAGAGAGAGCACGCAAAGAGTAATATAAAAAGAAGAAAAAAAGAGAAATAATTCGAAACACCACGCCCTTGGGGCATCCCGTCTTGACTTTTCTCCCGCGTGAAAATACGTAATTCCGGCCAACTTACAACAAACAGGAACGATGAAATCCACTGGCACTAACTAACCGGAACCAAGATTCGACCAACATAAATCCTCACACGTTAAGCATGCCCTGGAGTGAACGCTGTCGCGATACCAGAGTCAGCATGTTGACCTCGCAAACGACGACTGCGACCCGGGACCGTCATGGTAATAATGTAGTTTCCGGCGTCCGCAGAGAGGTGGGAAAACAAACTAACAAATGACAAAAACGCCGCAGGTACCGTCGATGGGGTTCCCGCGGCAGATTCGGTGTCCAGGCAAAGCGAGATCCATGAGCATGATCCTCGGGAAGTAAAAAAACAATCGCAGCTCCATGCTGTTTCCGAGCGTCCGTGATCCAAGGGAGAGAGAGCGAGAAAGATGTGTCCATGGGTTGAAGTGAAGCGTTGTTGATGGGTATTCATTAATTCTCAGACGAGGCTTTCCTTTGCTCCGTGATTCGAGTATGATCGACTGATCCGTGGCAGCGATCCAAAAGATGGGTTGAGTTGTCCTCTCGGCTGAGTAAAAAGATGCCATCGGGACTGACCATCTGTGATGGAAAAGCAAAGGTTGGCGGCATGCTCCTAGGTTCATGATGGCTGTGCCGAGTGTACCAGCACGTGCGATCCATGTTCGCCAGGCAAGCAAGGAAAAACAAAGCCAGGCGGTGAAACGTAGATGTGGGTGGGACAAGCCTGTCCGAAAATGTGGTCCAGTGGCGGAGGAGCAAATGACGCTCGACCTTACCGTGATGTTCCTATGCTTGTTCGCGAGCCTCGCATCAAGCCCAACAGCGACCAGAATAAAAAGGCAACACAGTCTTAGCTGCGAGCCGTGGTATCCCGCGTCCTAGACTCTCGGCTGAGAGTAGGGATGAGAACCAGGCGGTGCTGGTCATTAGCCCAAGGTCGCGGGCAGGGTCGTCGAGCCGAGCTCGTTCCAGAGACATCGGCTCTAAGAGTCCATGGGTTGCAGTCCAGGGTAGGTAGGTAGGCAGGCCCAGGTAGGTCCAGTAGTCCAGATGGAAACCAACAAAAAGCAGTGTCCAGCGGCTTGCATGGATGTTCTCCGTGGTGCTCCGTGTGTGTGTGTGAGGGTCATGCTAATCAGCCTGCGTGCGGTATGTCAGTGGTCCCAACTCATGAGATACAATTGAAATGGCCTTGAATGAGAGAAAATGATGTAGCGCATTGCGATCCGAGGGGGGTTCAACTCGATATGTACAACCTCGCCAGATGTTCACTCACCCTGCTGTCCGGCGGTGGCCTCGGCCTGCGATGGGCTTGATGGAGTCGCGGCTGGAACCGTGATGCGCGAGGCGAACTGATCCTCAGAAGAACGATGTGCAAATCCATGGCGACAAGGCAGTCCCGGGAGGGGTTCCGGACAGCAAGGAGAGAGGACCATCCGGGGTAGATAGAAAGAACCATAAATCACGTCGCCGCTTCATTCCTCGTGCAATGGAATCCCAGTGGTATCATGCACCTCTCATACACCGCCTCAGCGGCAAAACGTCATTAGCGGAATGTCATGCGTCGTTCGCTCCCATCTTTGATGCCCGTTGTCCAGAGGCGCCGTTTCCAGAAAGTGCCGGCAAGGTGAAGTGAAATGTCCGTTTGGTGTGGGTTTCATGGCCAGGTCAAAGATCCGGTGGGAGCTTGTCGTCAAGTAATCTGCGAGAACAGATTGTGAGGCCGGGAGTTTGTGGTATCACAAGATCCGGAGATGCAACTTGCAGCTCGGAATACCTGTGATATCTTATCCAAGTTTTTGTCCAGGGGATGATGGCATTAACGTCGCAGGTAGCCGAGTCCGAGGAGCGAGGAGAAAAGAAAAAAAGCTCAAGGGAAAAGGGCTGCGAATGACCACATCCAGGGTCAACGTATTAACAAGAAGAAACATCAAAGCGTTCATAAGGTCCACGCAGCCCGCGTGCAAAGTCCGGGGTGGAAAAGGCTTCAGAAGTCCGGTCCTGCGGTTCGTCGGGCAAATCAGCGATGGCGATGGCGGTCCCGATCTCCGCGTTCCTGTTCTGAACGGCGAGGCCTGTGGTCCCTGTGGTCCCCGCGTTCCCTGTCTCTGGGCTCCGAGTCACGGTCACGGCGGGCGGGTGGCGGCGCGCTACCGCTTGCCATCTGGGCCGGGGCGGCGGTGGTGGGCGTAGTCGCAGGCTGCAGCGCAGGGTTTTGGTGAGGGTCATACTGGGGATCCGTGGGGGCCGGGTAGCCTGGCCGTTGTGCTGTACCTGCAGGGGAGCCTAAAACATCAGACGAAGCGGCCTCGGGAGGGTTGGTTGTTGCTGTAGCATACGCACCGCGGCCATAGAGAGCATCGGTGGGGTAGCTCTGGGTGGCGGGATTCCCAGCAGGTGGTGGGTAAGGGTACGCGCTGGGGTCGGTCTCATAGCCAGGCGTACCTGAGGGAGCACTAAAGGTCCTTGAGGGAGGGGCAGATGCATTGATCATGGCTGGCGGGACCCTGTTAGCCCCGGCCTGGGTATAACCCCCGGTGGCTTGGTAGTTCGACCCATGCACGAAGACGCCGGCATCCTGATACGACCCGGCAATGGGAGGCGGAGGAATCCCGGGGTACCTGTCGCCAGAGGTTTGGGGTTGCGGGGAGTACTGGGTCGGAGGCGGGTTTGGCGGATACCCGTAGCCAGGTTGGACTTGATACGGCGCGGCAGCAGCGTGACCCTGGGGAGGGTATGTCGCCGGCGGGTAGTTGGCAGGAGGGGCCCCAGCGTACTGATGGTTTGCATAAACCGGAGTTCCGGCGGGTCCTGGAGGGGGGTAGTCAACTTCCATGGTAGGTGCATACTGCTGTGCCTCGAGTTCTCGTTCCCGCTGCAGGTTCTTCCATGCGTTGTAGTCCTGCCCACGAGCCTGCTCCCGGGAGCCTAGTGGAGAGTTAGAGCAGCTTCTCACAAAAATGCCGTTCGGTTGGCTCGAATGCATTGTACCTCCAGCGCCACCGCCTGAAGACCTCGACGCGGCGCGCCTTTCCTGCTCCCACCGAGCCGAGTCGGCCTTGAGATCTTGGATCATTGGCTGGATGGGTTAGACAAGCGCACGCTAAAACGTCACCTCCCGCAGGGGTGGTTTGGACTCGTCAAGAGACTCACTGATGTCAGGTTTCGGTATGCTGTGATGTAGTAGCCCTGCGTGACGCGACCGTCGGCGGACTGGAGCGGACATGGTTGTGAGCAATGTGCAAGCGAGCGAGCATGTCACGCGGAGAGAGGGAAGAGCGAGCCGTACCTCGTACGTGCCAGGGCGCACAAGTGCATCGTTCCCCAGGTATCGGCAAATGTCTGATGTGATCACCTCCCGGTCGATGCCATCGCGAGGCACAAAGTACTCGTTTTGGCGAGCCGAGGCCGGCGGTATCGCCGGCGCTTGCTGGCTCGACCTGTTGCTAGGTCTCCCGGCCATTGTGTGAAGGGGGGTGTTGCAAGAAAAGACGGCGACCAAAAGATGTCAAGATGTCAAGATGTCAAGATGTCAAGATGTCAAGATGTCAAGATCAAGTCAAGTTGCAAAGGGAAATGGCGCAACGATGCTTGGGGTCGGCAGTCGAGGAATCGGGGATGGGCGGGAAGGATGGTGGAGGGAAGAACCGGCGACGCGGCGAGAACAGGGAAAACAGGAAGAATAATAACCTGGAAGAGTTCGAGGGAGGGAGGCGGAGGAGCGGAGAAGGCGGGTGGTGCTTGGAAGAAATGGATGGCGGGGCCTCGGGGCCCATGAGAGCAACCCGGCGCTTGGGGTTGGGTTGTCAGAGTGGAGCCCGTCTGCCTGGCAAAAATGAGTAGCACAACCAGTCACTGGCGGCATGGTATCGGTAGTGGACCCAGTGCTCCCAGCAGCGTCTCTCGCTTGGGCAGACAAGGCTTGGACCGCAACACGCAGTTGGCTGAAAGTGTTACGCACACGTTGCCCCCGTGTCCCGTTCCGGGAGACACGGAGAGCAGTTACACTACTATGTATGTACACAGTAAGGGGACGGTGGCAATCCGGGGGGACTGGCAAATGGGCTGGTTGAGACCGCAGCTCTGCAGCATGATGGGTGGGAGGGATGGGGACGAGGCCTGGCGTATGGGAAACCAAGAAGCCGAAAGCTTGCTCCTCGGGTTGCCCGCTCGCCAATGGGAGGGTTCCCCCCTTGGACTGCACTGGGAGGGTCGCCTAAAACTCAAACCTGGAGAAGTTCTTCCGATACGGCAGAGGAGGACCGTTTTGGGGGTACGCGAAAAGTGAAAACGCTCTCAGAAGCTGAGTTCGGCCGGGGCGCCGAGGCGACGACAGCAGATCCAATCATGGGAGGTGGATCCCCTTTTCCCCTTTCCCAGGGGGGTTTGTCCTGCAACCGCGAGTGGACGGTCAAGCTGCGGGCTTATTTTCAGGCCGCAGGAGGCAGGATTGGTGCTGGCGCCAGCCACAGACTGACTGACTGAGTACAGACTTGGTAAGAGGAAACGGTCGAGAAGTAAGGGACACATATTCGTACATGACTAGGATAATTAGTTAACGGACTTTGCTGGCAACCTGCCAGTTGTCTCGTGGGGGGCCCAAATTTGTGAGTACGGTGAAAAGGTCGGCCGGAGAACGGAAGCGGGGGATGGTGTTCCAGCCCGCTCCAGACACACACAAAAGCTGTTCCGACTCTCTGTTGTCAGCAGGGTCGGTCGCCCAAACGGTTTGGGCTGGAAGCACACCGGGAGCCGCGATTGGATCCAGCCTGTGACCGTTCGGTTGGCAAGAATTTGTAGGGCTGAATGGATGCGTGTCATTTTGACCTCAAAAGACTGGCCTTTTTTCTTCCCAAAAGCCCCCCGTCAACAAGGTGGTTTTCGCCATCTTGACAGTGCTTGCCTGCTGAATCAGACGAGCAACAACCTACTGCATCGAATATTGGCGAAATAGCACACCATCCCTCGACTGCCTCGTAAGGGGAACCGATTGGGTCTGTCTATCCAGAAGACGGTGCAACTCATCTCATCAGGCGACCTGGGTGGCCCATTACGGATTGAAATGCCTGCTTTCTACTTCGTGACCGGTGACCTTCTGTCGCAGTCATCAGACGGCGTCATCGCGTCGGTTGAGTGAAATCTGCGCAAAGACGCACCCTCTGTAACATAAGAGTGGCCAGGTCCGGTGGCGGGTGTGGCAGTTGCCGGGTGTTTGGTGAGGTCGGGTATCAATGCATCTCAAGGCCCAACCTGCGTGCGGGCTCCCTGATCGATGCTCCAACCAATCAACGCGAGGGACAGCCCCAGTTGTTGAACGCAAAGAGGACCACCTGCCGTCTCACGGGAGCAAAGCGATGATTTTGTTTCTGAAGTCTGCGCCAAAGCGGTGTACTCTGGGCATGGGGAGCCAAACCTCATGCTTCCGAACACTGATAACAAACCTGCATTTGTTATCTCCCGTCCTCAAAATCCCCAGTGACCGCCGAGCGGTCCGGTGGATGACGACCACTCGGAATGCGCCCGGCCAGGACTGAGTATTTGTTTGCAGTGAATATTCGTATTTGCTTCGCCGGTTTGAAGTGAGCAGCCCTGCAAAGCATAGTAATGTCAAGCCGCGAGATATCTTTCACGCGCCGGCCTCCGCCTAACTGATGATCATCCGAGCTAGCCATCAAGGTCTCAGTTGCCACTCGACGACGCGAGCGCGATCGATTCTTTGCTACCTCAGAGATCTGCGCCTCAAAGAACTGTCGTCGGCGGGCCTCGATGACGAGCATCCTCTCGTCGAAGGGCGATGACGAGCATTGTGCTTGTGCCTTGCTCAGAACCACCACAGCCGTGTCAGAGTCCCATCAGGACCCTTGATACTTTGCTTCGCCAAGTCCAATTGCAGCGATGTATTGCATGGTTGCCTCCAAGATGCATGAACCTGCTCAACCGAAGTTCAACTTCTGCTGGCCGCGCTCCGTCTTCTTTGGCCGCCCAGGTCGCTTTGATGCTGCAGGTCCAGGTTGCCGGCCCCCGGAATGTGGGTTCTCCGCAACGGCAGATGGCTGGTTGCCGAATGCCAGCATGCCACGTTCCTGCTCCTGGAGGTCTTTGGCGAAGTGCCAGTCTTGGTGGCTTTGGAGTGCTTCCGAGCTCTCCAGCCGTGCGCCGCACCGCGCGCATGGATGGCCGCAGGCTGCTCCTGCCTCCTGGCCATTGGCTTGGGCTACTGGTCCGTCACCCGGCGTGACTGAGCCATTCACTCCATAAACTGCATCCTGCCCGGCCTCCGCCCCCCGGCCACATAAGGTTTCACCGCCAGCATTTCCCAAGGCGCCATCGCTTGGCCCTAACGCCGGGGGGTGCTCTCTCTTCGAAAAGAAACGTTGGATGCCGCCGTCTTCCATCCGCCGTCGTTTCTCTACCGGGTGGGATAACGCGCCGACATCGGGATCTGGTCGTGTTCGAGAGCTGAGGCTGCGGGCTTGTGCTTCCTCCCCCTTCAATAAGAACCCATCTATCCCCATGTTTCCGGAGATGGCGTCTTCAAAACCGCCGACGCTCAGGCTGAGATTGGAGCAAGGCCACACATGGCCTTCTTGGACAATCTGGTTTAGGAGGTTCTTGGCAAGCCCGAGCAAGGTCTCCTCGTCGAGGGAGCGCCCTTGGGGTATGGGACTTTGGCGAGAGCGTGTCTGGCTGTCGTAGCGATGGTGCAGGTTGATGGTTCTGGGGCGGCGCTTGTTCTCAAGCACACCCTCGTCAACCAATCGGGCAAAGATGTCAGCGGCGAAGATCCTGAGCCATCGCATGGCTTGATCGACGGTGCTGATGCTGGGGCGGAAGGACTTTGCCGACAACATCGACTTGATCTGGGTGCGTGAGTTCACCTCGCTCGTGTCGAACCCCCGCAGCGTGTTGTAGACCCAGATGCCCGTTTCATCACCGAACTTGGACTTCAGCTGATCGACGGAGACGGCGAGGAGCTCCTGCACAGATTCCGTCTTGAACGTCTGACTAACTTGTTCGCCCAATTTGCCACCCAGATTTCGAAACTTGGTAAACTTGAAGCCCGACAGAAACTGGCGTACTGCGCGATTCCGTATCACAGTTTGTTGATTGGGTTTCTTGTGGGCAGAGCCTAGCTTGCTGAGAAGTTTGTTTTTGGCGATGCCGGCGGCGCATGTGTAACGGAGCTTGTCCCTGATGGCGGTTCGGATATTGCGTACAATTTCCGACGCCACGAGAAAGGCCACGTCGTCCCAGTCTGGGTCGTCGAATTCGGCGTGCTCCTCGTCCAGGTCGATGAGGGCATCGGCCTGCCAGTCCAAGGCGGAAACAGGGGGCGTCGGCAGGTGCTCAAACGGATCGCCATCCGGAGGTCCGCCTGCCAACTCGGGAAAGCGCTCGAGCAACACGGCATGAACGTGCGCGGATAGGTCGAGAAACACTTCGTCTATGCCGGCCTTTTCCACTTTCTGCAGGTGAGAGGGGAGGTGCTCCTTGATGACCGCTAGAATTCGCCGAGACTCAAGTCGATACGGATCCAGCGAAACCTTGTCGGTTGCGATGTTCTCGGCAGAATCCGGGCGGTACGCCCTTTGATTAGCATGTCAGCGGCGTATCCTCTGAGGCCGGAGTGAGCGGCAGTCCGCATTCCGCATACCACTTGCCATCGCCTTCCCGCCAAGTCGCGACGTGTTGGTTGATGATGTTGGGACAGAGCTTCTTCGCTTCAGTCGCAGTACACATACGGCCAATCCCAAAGGCACGTGCCGGGTAATTGACAGCGATGAGGCCTTGCCTTTGCAACGACACGAATCAGTTCTCTATAGCGTAACCAGAACTGCGATGAGCAAGGGGGAGATCACACCATTGCTGTACTGCAAGCGGCCGGTCCTCGGGCACTCCCAGACGCACCATCTCGGCCTGAGCGTAGAAGCAATCGAGGTCTATGTGCGTCACCACCCTGAGTGGACAGGAAGTGTTGTATGAAGCCATCTGGCTGAGATTGCGGAATGTGAACTGCGACCGCTTTTGGGCAAGCGCGCCAGCCGGGGACGAGTCACGGAACGAGCGCCGCGGGGATGACATGGTCGCGGGAGGGTGTCTTCGTTCTGCGATATCATCCTGAAGGCACGACGGGGAAAAAAACTGTTGCCGCGTTGAGGGTGTACTGCTCGAGGTTCTGGATCGCTGAGGTGGTGCTCCGTCGCGATGGTGGGGTTGTGACGATGTGGGGCAGACGCGCTCAAAGATCTGAATTTAGGACCAGATCGAGCAGCAGGCAGTGAGTGGGTCCGGAGGTACTTGTAGTCGAGGACTGACAGCCAGTCTTTGTCCCAGTGTATTCCAGGATCCAGCGTCCTCCGCCCTCCCTTTTCGTTGATAATGTCCGACTTTTTTCGGCTGAGTAACCATCCAACTCCTCGTCCCAATGCTCGAAGAAATTTATCGAGCGCCGACCAGCCCAAGATTGTGCCGGAGGGCATTGGGCAACGGCATCGGACAACGGCATTGGACAACCATAAGACAATAAAAAGACAACATAAGACAATAAAAAGACAACCATAAGACAATAAAAGTAGCGCAGTGTGCCTGCCAATCAGGCAAACTATCGAAGCCGGCGACCAGATCGAGGGTGAAGGCCTGGGCTTTCCCCGTCGCTCTTTTATTACCTTGGCCTCATCCGCTCGGTCCGAACAACACGGAACAGTTGGGCGCCAGTGTGTTGTCTCAAGTATCATGCGTTGGCCAACTACTTATGTCCACTATTACTCGACCACATAACAAACATGATTGCGTGTGCGTTGCCAGCGGCCTCGTGCCCGGTTGCCCATGCCGACCCTGGGGGGTATCTATTCTAACTCATTAGTTCCGTGTCCCGTTCATCCCATGTTTGGTATTCTGTCTCTCCCGCTCCCCCATCTCGACCCCGCCCTTCCCGGTCGACAAGTCTGGAAGATTGAATCTGGTCCGCAACTGCTGGTACAGGGGCCCCAACTCGTAAAAGCTCTCGCCATCTTCGTACAGAGCACATGGGGATCCCCGGATAGGGAGCAGCCAGTCGATAAGGTTGTCTCCCATGACTGATTTCCAATTGCGATAATAGCCTAGGTTCCATGGGTTCTCACCCATCTCGGTTTTGACAATGGCGAACGTCCGAGTTGCGAGCTGGTCCCGTGGGGAAGAGGATTCGGTGGCGATGGTCTGAAGTGTTGGGGCTGTTGCATTTGTGGTTTTGGGAAGGGGGTAAGTGATGACATTGTAGCTCTGGGTTGGTCGCGTGCCTTGGGGGACCCGTATGGCGAGTTGGTGCACCACGTTCTTGGACTTGAGGTAGTCAATCGTTGTGAGGTTGACCAAGATATAGCGTATCGACGTCGCCGTCATAGTGAAAGTGAATAAACCGAACAGAGCCGCGACGGCCACAGCGCCGATAATAACGCCGTCGATCCCCATGTCGTTGCGGACTTTGGACTGAAAGCAAATGACGGCTGCCACGATGACAATGGCGCAATGTATAGCCGTGTAGAAAGTAAACTGAACAAAGAATTTGAAGGCTGTGGTTTGATAGTCAGCAATCAGAATCGACGGGAGGGTCGAACGGGGCAGAGGCTGAGGCGTACAGGTTTCGGCCACTATACCACCCACCCATGGGCAGTAGTGATCCATCTTCTTTACACATCTTTCGATTTCACTGCAGTGGTGCGCCCTGTCCATCTTCCAGTTGCAGCAAGAGCTGCACCATCGTGGCCGCCCATCCGTTTCGCAGACGAATACGTCCTTGCTGTAGAACTCCTCGAGCCCGGGGCTATCCGGGTTGTCATCTGGCCGTGCCTCATATCTATTAGCAGCCTCGAGGTCCCGTTCTCGTCGGCTGCGTCCCTTCAACTTCGCCTTCTCTTCGGTGGCTCTCGGGCCCAGCGGCGTCACTCCAGGGTCGAGTTGGATAACGAGGAATACTCGGATGTATGTCCCGAGCATCGAGATAAGGAATAGGAAGTGTAGAACAAGAAAAGCGATCGCGGTGCCGGGTTGTTGCTGATCGGATATAAAGAAATCCACTAGCGAGGTCAATCAGACGATAGATCTTCGGAGAGAAGGGGACGGAGACAGAGTCGGGTCCGGCATACCACAGACGCGCTTAACGACAACATAAGTCGTAAACCCAACACAACCACCAAGAACGAGCGGAATAATGCGTGTCACCCATCGCGTCTCTGCTCGACGAGCCGACACCATGGCGTTCCGGCGCGGCGCCGTCAGCGCAAAGCAACCCCGGGTTAGTTAAATGAAGGGAGAAAGAGAGTGGAAGGAGCGTAATTAGTTAGAAGCAGGAGAGAAACAAAGGGGACGGATGCAACGGCTTCGGACGAGAGCCTAACCCGTGGAAGTAAATAGGCCCGGTCGCACGGAGATGCGCAGCGCATCCGATTGCCTGCACGCCGACCGGTTACCGGCGATGTTCAGGGGCGTCTTGGTGCATCGGAGGCGAATGCACGGCGTTGGGACGATGGAGAGTTCGAGCCGAGATGACGTTGTGTGGAGACAAAGGCCGGAATGATTGTCCCGAACAAAGCATGCCAAGCCAACCTCGAAGCCGCGCTCATCGCCCCGTAAATTTCCCAATCCGGAAGTATAAACGGCTTCGGTCTCTCTTCGTTACTGTATCAATGTGTCTTCGAAAGGGAGTGTATGGCAGTATTCCAGGGTTTGTTTATCTCGATTCCAAGATGCTAAATTAAGCTGAAGCCAAAGCCATGTTTTTTATGTAGAGGATGATGATAGATAGAATAAGTCAGACAAACCGGGACTACGCAGTAGCTACGTAGGCTCTCTAGGTCAGGAGCTTCCAAATGTGTGTGATGTATGCCGCCCAAAGCAAGTTTAGAACTCTTGACATTGTCAGCGAGTAAAACCTGATATTTGAAAAGTAATTTAGCCGTAGGACTTCAGAGCCTTAGGGAAGAAGTGCTTTAGTTAGATACCTATGTACTGGGACTCGTTCCTCACTCACCACTCGTTCCACTTTGAAACCTCGGCCATCCATCCCACTTGCGGGGTCAGCCGTTCGGCGTCCACGGGCAATAAACCCATTGGTGCTCCAAGCATGATATTGACGAATGCGAATGCCTGAGGCGCCGAGGTAGCCTTGAAGGCCCAATTGCGTCTCCGTTTGCCAGAGCTCTCTGTTCATACCGCCCCAGAGGCTCACTCTCGATCAGAACATGCAGTAGATCTATTGAAGAAGCTACCCTTCGACGAGTTTCATATACCGACGCCCATAATCAGCCACTACGGAATCGCCGCCAACATCGGTGAAGGCTCATTGAGTAGGTGACGGGCGCATGGCGTTGTTGGCTTTTTATGGCTGCTCCAGGCAACTGGCGGAGCCCAACGCCACCCGCGTTTAGTATGCACTTCCCCATTCACATGGACCAGCGGCAAGGCCTCAGCCGGGATGAGAAAAGTAAGCACACGACCTCGAGTAGGCTCATCGGCGTGATCATTCGGGTTGCTAGCCCGAAGGGACGGCCCAGTGGTAGCAGAGCCTCATCTCAGTCAGATGGCATAAAGTGAGGGCTTGACTTCAAGATACAGTCCATCGGCTCTACGCGCTCACTTGAACTCGTTTCCAATGGCGCGACCAAAGGAGCGAGCCTAGCCTCCCGAAAACTGTACAAAACCTTCTAGAACGCCGACCTCCAAGTCAAGCTGCGACCATAGCAAAGGGCTCAGGCAATGGCGCACTCAGATCAGACCGTCGGCGGACAACCGGAAGGCCAGCAACAGTCGGGGGTATGACTTTTGCGTCGCCGACAGACCAGACTGGCGTCGGCCCGAGTCCGGACTGCGATGCGGGTGGAATCCGAGATGGTCATACCCGAAGTTCGGGCTCTGGTACACTTCATCCTGGCTTCCCGGCACCCGGCTTCGATTAGCTGAGCAGACTGCACGATGGCTTTCACTCCCTTTCATAGCGGTCCCTTCCCAGGCCTAGTCCATCTTTCGAAAGCAATGGCGTGGAGGCTGTAGGTTCGACGATCTCTCCGTCTTCTGTTCTTGAAACTCGACCGAGCTGACAACCAACAAGCAACAAGACAAAAAAGCGATGTGGTGACGGCTCCGATGTTTGCGGCACTGAGTCGAGCCTGCTCTCGCCCTCGATGGCCACCTCGGGCGGGTTCATCCCCTCAGGTTCTTGGTCGTATTACCTTGGTCACCGGCCGCATCGCTGAAAGGCGTTTACCGAAGGGCGCAAACCGCAATCATCGTTTCGGAAATCCGGGCAAATCGAAGGCTGTGGCAGTTTAGCTGAGCAAACGGGGCCATATCAACATCGGCCGGGTCCGCCCCCCGTTCAGAAATGTCGCAGCAACTTCTTTCCCCAACAAGACCCAGATTGACGAGACTGATCGGTTTCCTGACCGACGGCAATATGAAACGAAGCCGAATGCTACCTTCAAGCCTTGCGTCATCGACGGAGCGCAGGGTTGACTCAGAGCCTGACGCGGGAGTTGCATACCCCCCAGGCAGCATCATCGACGCTGGGGCTCAACCTGGAAGGTATGCAAGGCTGCAACTTTTGCGGTGAAGCTGCCCGAAAAGAAAGCTGGTCGGTTTAGAGCGCGTTCACGGGTTCTGCCTCAGCCACAGTCGGTTGTGCCTTGCACGGAGCCAGTTGGGCGCGGATTGGGGGAAGGCTTCGGTCAGGGAGCTCAATCTTTCACACCGTGGTTGTAAGCCGGGCGCTGTGGGTTGGTGGGAGCTGGAAACAAACACGCGAAACAGGGCTGGCCTTCCCTGCCTGTTTCGTTTCGGGTGGAGCGCAGCCACCCCACTCCGATAACCGGGGCCTTCTTGCCCGTCCGGATAAGCGCATGCATGACCCGCCCTCGGATTGGCCAACACATTGCGACCCAGCAGAGCCGCACACGTGCCGCACCAGCGAAGGGAGCAGGTGCGATGCGTTCGGTCAGCGCCGGTTCCAGAGAAGTCGCGTTGAGCTTTCCTTCGACGTTTTTTTGCGGATTTTGCGGAAGGAGTGAATCACTCATCCGCGCGGTTAGTTGGTTACACGAACCCGGCCTCTCGCGGCCATGGCGGCAGAGCAAAGCTGCCATGGACCGGCAACATTCAACCCCCTTCAACCCCCTTTTTGTGGTTAGCTTCCTGGCCCCCGGGCCCGCTCGGTCGACTGTTGTGGCTTTGCCGGGCGCCCTGGGCCCGAATCTCAAGCTCGAGAGTCTCGAGTCACAGTCGAGGTTCCCCGCTGCCGTCATGGCCACAATAACAAATTGTTGACCCCACCCCCTGGTCCCCAGCAAGCACCAAGCACCAAGCACCAAGTAGGTTGCTAGCTAATCCATCTGCTGCGCCCACGGGCGACCGACTAGATTCTCCCGTCGATACCACAGACGCCATGTGCTCTCTCCAATGGATTGTATGCCTTCCATCTTGACCAGCATCCACTGGCTGGCGGCTACTTTGCTGTATCTCCGGACCCGGACCCGGCCGTCGTCATCCATGCGTCTTCCAACGCGCAGGTGCTCCTGATTCTCCACAGATTCCAGGTGACTCGTTCACCGGGACAGTGTCGCCTTCCATACGCTCGCCTCGTTCTTCAAGTTTTGCATTTCCATTTGCCTACTTTGCCCCCTTCCGGGTGGGCAAGATGGCGGAGCGATGCAGCAAGCCCTGGACTGGACCCGGGCCCGGCAGTCTGCCCGGACACTGAGCTTCGCGGCCCACGAAGGCGACGGCGCAAGTGGCCTTGTTTTCTTTTGTTGTCCTCCTGAGAGTTTCGAGTTGCTCGAGGCATATAAACTGAGCTCGCGTCCATCTCCATACCTATTCAGACCCCTATCGACATCTCGAGCTTGTCAACAACATCCACACATCGTTCTCGTTGTCTCCGAATCTCAACTTTCGTAAAGTCAAACACTCACCAGAAACACATCGCCTCACGCACCATGTCCGGGGGATCAAGCAGCAAAGAATACAGGGAGCGCAGGTGGTATTGCGTAAGGGTTCAATGCTTCATGATCCAACCCTCGCATATGCTAACACGGAAACAGCACAACTGCAACTACGGCCCTCTTAGCTGCCGGCTCGATGACTGGTGCCCCAATTGCTCTCACTCACGCTGTGGCTATTGCCAGGAGGTCGTCATGACCTACCGGTCCGGTCGTTAAGAGGCACTAAGCATACATCGACGACGGGTTCTCTCGGCGCGAGGGACCAGGAAGCATCTCGGCGCTCACCACAACGCCAGCCACTCTTTTATGTTCGCATTGGGATGTCTGTTTTCCGATTGAGTCGGCTCACGGCTAGTTTGGCTTGGTGGGGATTGTTTTGGCTTGGAGTTGTTTTCCTTTCACCGGCACTATCATATAGAAGGGGCGGGGAGGTTCTGCGTTTCGGTCATTGAAAGCATGGGACACAGCACACACTAGACTAGACTACAGGGCATGGGCGCAAGCCTGGATCCTTCAGCGACAGGGACGGTTACGGTTGGGCGGGTCTTCATTCATTTTACATAGACAGATCTCTTTGTGTGTATGCATATTGTCATTCTTTACCGCCGCTGTCTGCCGTGCCATCTCATGAGGAAGACGTTAGGTAAACTTGGTGTTGACTCGGTTCAATCTTCTCAGCTTCAACCTCGACGCTGTGCCGCCGCAGCGGGGCTCCGATCCTTCCATGGACACCTTGGACGAGGCACAGGCTAATCATCAACAATATTTATCTACCGAGGCTGATTCCTCTCGAATTTCCCCCAAATGTTGGTTATCAGGGTGCCCAGAACCCCAATCCAGTCACCGCGTTTTCTTCGTGCAGCCTTGCCCGTTACTCTTTGAGGTTTAAGCCGCGAGACCATCTCTTGGTAGGACTTCAGCTCAGGCAGCACTTCCCTCGCATTGCCTTTTCCGGGCTTAGTTTTCCGTGATCGGTCCCGAACTCATTGTTTCTCAAGCCAGCACTCCCGACCCATTTCTCGGATTAGTAAAACAACTTACACATCAACATCAGAGACCGGCATCAAGTCCAACAATACAGGACTGTCGTTCGTTACGACCTTACGTGCAGATTACATGGTATCTTACGCACCCGCCCGTCCCCGCCGCTCCACTCACGTTCCCGATCTGAACACCGGGCGCACAGCCCAGCGAGTCGGGTCGAACCCCACATCCAACGCTCCCCAAGCACCTTGCTGGCTGGTCCTGCGCGCTCGAGCACACTCCAAAGACGCGGAACGATGCAGGTGAATGATGGAATCACGGCAGCTCTTGGCTCGAGCGGTCGGTAATCATTAAACAGTATCGACGTGCACTGGCACGGGAATGCAACCAGCCATTCAACCAACCAACCAGCCAGCCAGCCACCCTCGAAACGGCAACCACCCGGCCCCCCTCCCCGGCCCCCCTCCCCGGCGCCGGGACCTCCCCCTCGGTGTACCAAACGATGTTGGCAGCGTCACCTTCCCAAGCTTCTCGCTTCCAACGATGCAGGAGAGCATGAGCGATGCCACGTGGGATGTCGCGATGTCAAAACAAACCCGAAGGAACATGGAGGTCAATTCAATTAACCGCTCCCTCGTCTCTGCAGGCCAAGGCCCCCAACAAACTCAATCCCGGGCCGCATCCCGCTCGGTGAACATAGCTAGGTAGGTACGTAGCAGACCATCGCAAGTGTCGACGCTTTGCACACCGAGACCTTGGGTAGCGTTCCTGCAACACGCCCCCTAGGTCGCTCCGTTTCGAGGTTAAGCAATGGATGCAGTGCTGCTGCTGCTGCGCTGTGCCACACGTTAGGTTCTTTGCCGGCTATGTAGATGGGGAGGAAGCACAACACATCAATCACAGGAGCCAGGTTTGGTACCATCGGTTGTTGAAAATGACATTCCTCTGCGCCTCAATGTCGATAATGACCATGTTGAACTCCGCCAGGGAGACGCCTTCGTTTCCACAAACCACGGTGGCGCCCCTGGTCTCGCGATAAGAAATAGGAAATCCCATGCCCCATCCATCCATCCATCCATCCATCCATCCACCCATCCATCCACCCACCCACGGGAACAAGGCTACCTATGCATGCATGGCCTACCGAGCAAACCAAACCCGCAACCTTGGGTTTATCCCCCCAGCCCACGTCACATGACGAGAATAAAACCCCCTCAACTTCCTCAACACCAAAGGGCTCCCTCCCCTTTCCCTTCGTTCCCGTTCCCACTCGTCCCCCCGTATGACAGTTGCAACCGAGTTGCAAGCAAATAAAACGCTAGAGTAAACCCGGGAAATGCCACCCCTCCTTTGACGCCTACCTCTTCTACCCACCCCCTCCTTCCTTTCGTACACGCCTGATTCCCCCATTCGTACACCCCGAGATTGTGAACCCCTTACCGATGGTAGGTAAAACAATCCGCCCCCGCCTTGACAGACTAGCGCCTCTCATCTCGCACCCCAGTTCCCAACTCCCACCCCAGCCTATATATACCCAGATAGACGGTCCTAATTGGCAGCGGCACCGACCAGCTTGATCTTGGGGGTACCCTTCGCCGCAGCGGTCATCTTGGCCGACCTCGCCGACGCCGGGCTCCCGGCAAGCAACCCCGACTCGAGGGCCTTGCGCGAGGGGGTCAGCTTGCGCGAGGACGTCTTGCCGGACGACATGGTCAACCTAGGCAGGTCCTTCTTAGAGGCGGCGGCCGACGCCGTAGGTGTTGTAACAACAGACTTGGCCTCTTTCTGGGCGGGTGCGGGGCTGCCCGCTGCCACGATGGTCAGGCTCGGGCTGCGGGAGGCGACGGCGGTTTTGGGTTTGGGTTTGGTGCTTGTCGCGGCCGTGGTTTTCTTCCCGGCGGCTTTCTTAGCGGCGCCGCTGCCAAGGGCGCGCCGGACCGTGGTTGTCGTTTTGGTGGCCTTTGTAGTCGTCGTTTTGGTCATTTTGGCTGCGGCGGTCTTCTTGCGCGCAGCCACCGAAATGCTGGCTACGCTCCGCTTGATCGTGGCCGCACTCTTAGCTGCTCCCTTTGCCGCGCCCTTTGCGACCTTGCGGCTCGCCGAGGAGAGGGTCCGCTTGAGGCCTGTTGCTGCCTGGACTTTTCGCTTCTTCGTTGTCTTAGCCTCTTCCTCGTCGTCGCCGTCAAACTCAAAAGCGTCCTTTAGCTTCCGCTTGGTTGATATCTTGGCGGATGTCTTGACGGATGTCTTGACGGAAGTTTTGGTCGTGGTCTTGGACAAAACCTTGGTCGAAACCTTGGAGGTCTTGGAAGTCGCCTTGGTCTTCTTTTCGTCCTTGGCCGGCTTGGGCGGCTTCACCTCCTTGGGCTTGGGACCCAACACGCCCCTGCAGTTCGGACTACCACATAGGCACTTCTGCACATTCTTAGCCGAGAAGGGATCAAAGTTGTAGTCGTACGTGAGCTCCTCGCCCGTCATGATCGGGCGGTCTCCAGCAAATAAGGCCATGCGCGGTTGGCCGGCCACGATCCACTTGATCATCCGGCAGTTGGGCGAGCACGAGTGGTTGACGAACCGCGCGATACTACCGGTGGTTGCGTCAATGATCATGTTCTGGTCAAAGGACATGAGGTAATAGCACTGTAGCAAAGGTTAGCCATCTATCTGAGAATTTTCAGGGGTAAATGAGCAGGGGAGAGAAGATGACTGACCTCATTATCCTTGTACTCCTCGTTCATCCGGCGTTCACACTCGGCTTCGGTGATGATCTCACCTGTGTACTCCATGATGATTTGGTTGGCCTCGAAACAGCGGTTGCTGCGAACTCCGTAGCCACGGTCGCCCGTCTTGACAACCTCCACACCGACGCGATACCGGCCGCCTTTTTTGGTGCGCTCCTGCAAATCCTGAAACGCACGGTTCTGGCAATGGGCTTTGCCGAAGTTGCAGTTGGTGTCGTCGCACTCGTACAGCATGATCCGGTTTTGACAGTCCTCATCACAGCCGTCTGCGGGCTGGCAAACGCATCTGGACGCGAAATCCCCAAAATGAGGCGTCTTCTTCCAGTATGAAGCTGCGTCCCCGACAAAGCGGTCTTGAAAATGGGTCAGCAAATAAATGCCAGAAGATCAGCATTGTATAAAACTCACTCTTCGTCATGGTGCGATACGCGGCAGGCTTCGGCTGGCCTGGAGGAAGAGGGTGGCAGACGTCAAAAGGCAGCTTGAAGTCGCGCCCGTTAATGAGCATCCGTAGGCCGTTGTACATGGGCTGCGGGAAGGTGCGGTTAGGCTTGCCGGTCGGCAACAGCTCTGGGATTGAAGCGAGCTTCTTCTTTTCTTGAGCATTAAGGCCCTTGAAGATGTCGATGGGCGCTTCTTGCCCCGCGTAGAGACCCTTCTCGAGCCACTTCTTCGTACGCGGCTTCTTGGTAGCCGGCGCAGCAGCTTTCTGCTCCTCTACCGCGGGCTTTTCCTCGCCATTGGCGGCATTCTCGTCCACCTTGATTTTCTTTCGGGGCGGCTGGGGTGCAGGGGTCTCCTGCGAAGGGTCGACCTCGATATATTTCCCATTGCTCCAAACCGTGTACCGAACCGGGCGGGTGTCAATGTGGGCAAACTCATTGGTGTCCTTCAATCGCAAGAGCTCGCGAGGTAGTCGGCCAACCCCCTTTTCGACCGCCTTTTTACCCCGCTTGCTGAAGGTGGACAGCTTGGTGGCAAGATTCTCGGTAGAAGCGCCAGAAAGACGCGTCGCGCGACGCGTCAAATGCGCTGGCGCAGGGCTTAGAGAGGATTTTTTAGCGATCCGCGCGCTTTTCGGGGTGTTGAGAACCGCGCTTGACCGCCTGCCAGCCGACGCGTCAACTTCAATCTTGGTCGTCTGGCTGGCTTTTGCCAGTGCATCGCCCAATTTGGTCGCGTCCAAATCGCCAAAATTGGCTGTTGTTCCATCCGAAATAGTGCGGCGCCGCTTGTCTACTACACTGTCTCCTTTCGACCTCCGCTTCCCGTGCACGTCGGTGCCCATGAGCTTGGAGAGATTGTAAACGGGGAGGCTGGATCTGGCTCGTCGAGGGCGGCTGGCGGGCGACAATTCGGGAGGTGGTGGGGGTTCCGCGACAACAATGGCATCATCGGCTATCGGGGTCTGCTGACCAGACTCGTGCTGCTCAATCTCGGTTTCGAGCGTTGAAGTGACGGTGATGACCGCTTCTATGTTGGACGCGGTAGCAATCTCTGATTTCGGGTGGTCCGGTTCTGAGGCCAGCGACATGCTGTCGGCCGACACGGTGGTCGGGGGCGTCGAACTCATGGATGTGGAATTCGAGGAGGCCGAGTCTGTCGGGTCGTTACTTGTGAAGCTCGACCCGCATAGCAGTAGCGAGTCAAGCTCAGCCATTATTGGTGTTGCCTCTATGGCAGCCATTGTTGTGGCTATGGTAGTAAATGATGTGGTGGATATGCGAAGAACTTGGTGGGAGTTCGTGCAGGAGAGTCGGGCGGCAGAATGCAGGAATGCAAACGCGTGGGACGGGGCGAGTCAGCTTCCCGGCGAGGCGAGCGGCTTGAGCTGAAGGATTGGACCAGTCGGGCTGCGCAGACGCGGCGCGGGACCGATGCAACGAAAACAGAAAAGGGCGACGTGTGAACCGGCAATGGTGATCACAACAGCTCAAGAGAAAAGGCGTATTAGTGCCTGCACGGCGTTGCAAGAGCAAGTGAAGTGGAAAAAAGTATAAGGGGATGATGGATTGCAAGCGAGGCACGCGTCAGGATGGCGACGTGTTGCGGAGTCTGCAATAAGTGCAAATGGCTGTAGGAACAATACCCACAATAGTATGGAAGAGGTGTGGGTGGGAGGACAGGGGTTGGGGGAGCAAAGGTGTGGTTTTGCGGAAAAGAAAAGGAAGCGGATTGAGCGGGAAGAGCCAGGGGCTGCAATGGTATTTAAACCAGAGGTTGGGGGTTAGGTGTTAGGGTAGGGGGATGGACGAACGGGCCGCTCTTCACCCCCATCAAGTAATCGGGCAGGATGCAGCAGTCAGAGGACTGACTACCTGACCTGACCTACCCTACGTCAAAGTGAGACGCCCTTCCCAGGCACTGACACTTATGCTCCTCTTTGCGCCACACCCTCCCTCCCGCATCGAGGCATATCTCTCAGTGACCACCATGGCACCGCACCTAGATAGGTATCCATAGATGCGCAAAAGTCTATCAACCTCCTCGGTGAGACACACGGCCCCCGAGAGCAAGCATGGCAACACCTCCCAGAATGGACGCATGATCGGACAGTGGTGGGCAGTCACCATGTACGGTTCTTATGGGCTCTGCCGATAAGGCATGTTTTGGATGTTTTCACCCTTTGTTTAGTTAGGCATAACTCGGTATGCAATCGTTTTCTTTGTTGGAATGGCAGCGTGTGGTTTGGATGCTTTTTTGTCGTGGGCGCATTGGATCGCAGATTACCCAATCTGGACGTGTTGCCTCGAGTTTTGGTTTGTGGAGAGGAGCCAGCGTCATGTGTGATGGAGGCGGCAAGCATGGGCCGGCTCGGGTTGGACCGGAGGCCCAAGGGGGGAGGGACTCGACACGACAAGGCGGTAACTTCTAGGTTGGACGACTCCGCAGAACACTGATCGCCAGCATTGGCCGCATTGGTATTATCCCCGAGGCCACACCATGGCCGTTCGAGAAGATCCAATACCCCCTTTCCTCGGTTTTGTACTCGGAGAAGATGTGTCTTCACCACCCCTCCCCGACCCCTGCTGCCTGTCAAGCCTCCTTGGCCTGGTGATGCAATGATCCTCCGCATTCCATCCCCAAGGCCACTCACACTCACTCCATTGCGACCTTCTCGGTTCGACAGCGAGGACTGCTCCCCTGCAGGTTCGGCCTGGCCGGAACAGGCAAACCGACGACACTACAACTTTCACAGCGTTAAAACATTACTTATAAGTAGTTTTGAGCATGGATTGACTCCGCATCGAACAACCAGCCATTCAGTGTCGGAAGGTTGAGGTTGCCACTTGTCTAGGCTGTTGTGATGAGACTCATATCTCCGGGGCTGAGGCCCCAAACTGCGGGGCCATGACACCTAGCAGTGCAAACCAAGAGAATCACCGCTGATGAAGCTCCTTCGACGACTCAGATTTCCCTGCCAGGAGTTGAGTTCGGGTTTTTATGTCGGAGTTACCTCATCACTTCTTGAGTGGGTTAACCAGGCGGCACCGGGGATGATGCCTTGGGCTACCCTACCTTTCTTCATCTTCACAATCTTCACATTGTCACCAGGGGAGTCGTCGTCAGGTTTCAATTTCATCCAGTCTAAACCAAGACCTTCCACTGAACAAAAACCGGTTCGTGTTGTGGCCTTCGTTATTGCTGGAACCGAGTTCCCTGAGCCAGGACCGAAACCTTCACGGCAGTGAGTTTCCCCCTCGGAAGGATCGACGACGATGGTTTGTATGTTTGCAGAATTAAAAGCTCAAATGATGGACTCAGCCAAGGACCGTTACAGTTTCTGCTAGGTTGGGGTTCGAAGCTCTCGCCAGGGTCAAATCAAGACAGCAACATCATGTCTTCCTACGAACCATGCGTTTAGTCTCCCGGGCTGCCTCTTGTTCTTTCTCAAATGTGATTATACTAACACCCTCTCTGTACGAAAGACATAGCGAAAACCTGACGAGCGACTCACTTTATAAAGTTGACGTGACGCTTGCCCCTTCCTTCCCTAAAATGACGGATTTACGAAGATACAGCATGATGCCGGACAAGGTAGGCCGTACGTTCCTGCAGGAAGCTGTTTTCCATGACCGGTAATCTTATGTCTATTGAGAAAAAAACAAGGGTACCAAGTTAAGATCCTCTATCGCGCATGGCTTCAATTCTTAGTTGACGAGTCGGAGGGGTTAAGGCGTAGAGGCACGAGGATCGTGAGGTAGCAGATGAGAATACGCCTCCCCTTGGGTGCCTCCACTGCAACCACTATCATTCCCGCACCATTAGAATTGTATTACATCGTGATATCCACGGAGTGGCATTTCTTTATTCTCTCTCCCGCTCGCCCAGCAACCTTCAACACCTTGGGGCGTTCAGGGCTTGGAGGTCGGCAACAGTCCAAGTTTCAAATTGCCCATACAATCAAATAGGCATATACAACATACGCGGCCAGCGCCGCCTACTTTTTCACCAAGTCCGCATCTCGCCAAATCCCAATTGTTGCGGCTAATGGGCTCCCTGCGACGGAGGACACGTTGCGAAACCATCACCTATCCATCGTCCCAACCATGGGCAGCCTAACGGTAAAAGATCCAAACAAACGAACTTCACAATAATATGCTTAGTGATTCTGGAGAACACATTCTTGAATCGCATTGTTGCTCGAGTTCAAGGGCTGCAAGGGATACAATTGAGAAATTGACATCGGGGAACCATCGTGGATCATGCAGGGGAGCGTTTTTCGTGACGTACAACTTCCTATCATGGAAAGTTCATCAGGAGTACAGCCTCGAGGGCGCTTTTCCCTCATATGTTGAACTTTGTGGAACTTGGAGGGTTCATCTGTTGACTCGTCTTGTCTTGATGGAAGTTGGCATGGCGCGTGTTGCGCTGTAAAGCATATTTAACAGCACAAAAGGGCTATCATTCAAAATAGCATATCATCACAATTTAGATCTGATAAGCTCACTGCCACTTTTGAACATGGCGCGCCGTCAATCCCCAGATTCCGACAAGTGTTGAAGTCAGTTGTCGAGAAGCACGGACCACATGGTGTTTTCGACCCCTGCATCACATGGCGCGCCAGCCAGAGAGACGAAAGAAGCTGAAAAGCTTGGCGAGCTCAGATCGCGGGCGGGACCCCACTCGCAGGTCACGGCTGCCAAGACATATCGAGGCTCCACAATCGTGGGGTCGGTCCGCTCCCTTGCCAAACCCCGAGAATTTGGTGCCTTCAATCCAAGTCGTGCCCGGGCCTGTCAACCCAGCCCCACCACCATCGACGAACAAACGAACAAACGACCAAACCAACCACCCTCCCCCAGAGATTCACTCCCTCCCCTGATAAACCGGAACCCTCCGACCCGCCATCACCAACACATCGACACACCCACCCCACAACCCCCACCCCAAACAAACCCAGCACAAGCACAAAAAAACAATGGCAGACCGCCCACACCGCGGCGGCCACGGCGGTCCTAGAGGCGGGCGCGGCGGGCGCGGCGGAGGCGGAGGAGGCCGGGGCGGCGCAGGAGGCGGCGGCGGCGGCAGTGGAGGGCAAGGCCAGGACAAGGAGCGGCCGAAGAAGGAGAACATCCTGGATCTGAAGAAGTACATGGACAAGCGCATCTCGGTCAAGTTCAACGGCGGGCGGGAAGGTTCGTTTTGTTTTTGTTTTGTTCTGTTCCCCGGGGAGGAGGTTACGTCTGTTGGTTGTTGGGCGGTGGGGAGGGGAAGGAAGTGGGCTGACAAGACTGGATTTTAGCGACGGGTGTGTTGAAGGGGTACGATGCGTTGATGAACTTGGTTTTGGATGAGGTGGAGGAGCTGTTGAGAGGTGAGGACCCCTTTCCCCCCCTTCTGCCTTCTGCCCCGGCACGGGCCGTTGGCACTGAGGTGTGAAATCGGGATGCTGACTGGTTTTGTGATGCGGTAGATGACGAGGGCAACGAGATGACCAGGCCGCTCGGGCTGGTGGTGGTGCGTGGCACGCTGCTCGTGGTGCTCAGCCCGGTCGACGGGAGCGAGGTGATAGCGAATCCGTTCCTCCAGGCGGAGGAGGACTGAAGTGGGAATCGAAATTACAGTTGTAAGGTCTGGGCTTTAAGGGCGGTATCGGGACCAAGAGACAGAAGGGCAGGATATTTCCGCCTTACTGAAAAGGGCTGACTGACCTGGTCTGGGAATGGCCGCCCAGGCCTATCTATATCTTAGGAATGGCCTGCCCGAGAGTGCAAATGAGCTTCTTTATATAGCTTCTTCCTGCTATCTCGGCGTTGGAAGCTGGATGGTGGCCATCCTGCTGAGAGTACGGTCCCTCAATGAAGGCCGGCGTAAGCATCGAAACTCGATTCCCGCCTCGCGCAATTGTTATTCTATGTTGATGAAAGCAGCTTGGAACCTAAAGTCTTTGACTGATTGGGAGAGTACATGATGAAATTTTGATTTATGTGGCTGCTACACGGTACACGCCCGTTAACCAACAGCCACCGGAGATATTTATATACGACCACTGCTGCTCGCTCGCCCGTTTATCCACCACACCCTTCGAACCGAGCTGCAACGTGCTGCGACCTTCCAATTTACCTGTTTTCTGTCGGTTGTTGGCATGCATTGTCTTGCAAGCAGCCCTGTTTGGCCGTGTTCCAGTTCAAAGATTCTCTCTCATGAACCATTCTGGAGGCCATCCATTGCCCGTGGAATCCACGCGTCCCAAAGGACCCTAAATTTGGGCTTGCTCGTCCACCCATGTTGATACCCGTTGTTGCCACCCTGTCACCGTCAATGCGGCGCTCGTTTGATCGTCTCTTTCTCGGTTCAATTTCGTCGAGGCAGACACAGTTAGAATCATCTCTGCCCGAACGGAGTCTGGAGGAGCCCGCGCCTTCAGAGCACCCGTTTCCAGACCATATGATGCTGGGAACAGCAATCTCGGGTCAGGAACAGCAACAACAACCCGTGGTTTAGGGGTTGCTAAAGCGGACCTCTCCGAATTCCCTGGCACCAGGCCATGTTCTGCTGGAAATAACTTTGCCAGGTCTGAAACAGCCGGAATTAGTTTCGCCGGGGCGAAGCTCGTCGAGGCGGGTTTCATCGGCTCATTCCTTCTCGGCTCGGTCATCGCCAAATCGCATCTAGCCAGTGTGTTCATCACTGGCGCATCTCTCACCGGCGCATTGTTCACCGGCTGCTGTCTCACTGTCCCCAGTCGCGTCGTTGTACCCCCACCCAGAAAACCACCACTTGCCAGCACAGGCCCAGCCGGAATATCCCTTTTTGGAAGAAAGCTTATGGAAGCGCGTTGCACCGGATCGGGCCTTGCTAGTTGGTCCCCCCCAGCACCAACCCGGGCCGGGCCACTCTTCGTCAAAGCACGCCTCAGAAGGCTACAGTTCGCCATAGTAGCACTCGACGGACCAGAGCTCACTGGGGCGGAGTTCGGCAGAGTGGCGCTCGCCGAAAAATACCCGGGTGGAGCAAAGGGAGTCCGAGGAGACCTCGGCAACACCGGCGCCATCGGCAGTGGCACCGCCTAGTTGTTCGCCCCGGGGGCGCCGGTCTTGCTGTGTTTCACGAGTTCGTTAAACGCGCGGTCAAACATCTGCTTGAGTTCCCGGTAGGTGAGCACAAATACGGTCTCGTTGTCGGGGCTGTTCAGGACGACCATCTCGTCGATGCCTGCGTCGAGCTTGGTCAGGCAGCTCAGCATGTGCCCCATGGAGAGATTGGGTTTTCCATCAGCCTCAACACGGTGGAACACATAGTCGCGGAAGAGCTTGAGCTGGTACCGGTCGCCGGTCTCGGACCAGCTTGCTACACCGCCGAGCTCATTACGGTCGATGATCGCCATGAGCTTCATCATGCTGCGGGCGACGCGACCGTTTTCTAGCTCCCTCGCAAGGTGGAACTGTTTCTCGTCGTTGTCCTGGAGAGCAAGATCGAAGAAAGTGGTCATGTGCGTGGCAATGCCGCTGATGAAGTTCTCGATGCTTTTGGACTCGCCTGGATTTGATGGCGCTATGAGCCATGCCACGGCGTCCTTGAAGTTTGCCGAATACTTCGTGACCAGGCTGTCGAGGGCGACTTGAATGTTATTCAGGTGAGCGGGTGGGGCACCAGTAGCTAGGGCAAGTATGAGCTTGCCAAACTTGACGAGATCCTCCTCCTGCAGCTCTGGAACCGATTTGGTATTGGTCTCGAACTGCACCACGTCCAAGATGGAGCAAGCCGAGAGCCGGATGCGGTTATTGTCTGAGAGGATGATCTTACTTGGCTCAAGACACCGAGCTGCAAGCTTGTTCGAGTGGATGGTCTTGAGTGCGTTTGTGATCTGGCAAATGTAGCCCCAGAGAACATTCTCCGGTACGGCGCTGGGGGCTCTATACCGGTTTCCGTGAGTTGGTTGGAGGTGGTGTTCCTGCAACGTTTTGGAAAGGGGATGGTAATCGTATGCGAAAATGAGGGAGCTGTCGCCGAACTCCCTGGTAGTAAACGCTTCATGGACTGTCACGACATTGCCGTTCTTGATCTTTTTCCATTCCTTCATGACGGTAAGGATGGCCTTCTCGTTGGTCAATCGGTAGCCTAGAACAGTAAGATTAGCAAGTGCTCGGCTAGGTCATCGATTAGAAAGTCTTTTTTTTTTGGTTCATACCTTCGAGCCTCCTGAGGGCGTAGTGCCTCCCGGTTCGGCTGTTTTGGGCTTTGTACACCCAACTCGGGTACCCAAAGGAAGTTGTATTCTTCCGGTTATTGGTGTCCAGCGGAAATAGGGAGTGCCATCGTTCGAGCTGGGGCAACCCGGAATCTGGTAGCTTTAGTAAGAGTGAGCTCGGGGTGACAGAAGTCGGGGCAACTTACTTGGCATCACCTGCTGGGTCGCGAACATCTTCTTCTGGAGCTCCTCTCGCATTTTGGCCGGCATGAAGAAGTCGTAGGTTGCCCGCTGCCAAGGTTGTAGTTCTTGTCGGTAACTATCATATGGCTGGTAGAGATGGTAGTTGGGCGGTTGCAGCGGTCCGGCGGGAAAGGTTCCGTGCTGCGGATAGAATTGTGCCCCAGCACCCGCGAGAGAGTTGTGGTCAGAGGCGTAGAGGTTGTATTGCCCAGCGGAGGGTATTGCCGAGCTCAGGGAACCCATGGTGGTGAAAGGATCACTGTAAATCCCATTTTCCTGCGGCACGCCATTCGAAGTCTGGTGCGGCCCGTATTAGCAGACGTTTTTGTTCTACAGAAAGGAGGGAATTACGGTGTTGCCGATATCGTAGTTCTGTGGGGTGAACTCCCTGATCGTGGCCGGGTTAAACACCGAAGTCTCGGCGGTTTGTTGTAGGTTTGGTGCTGGGGTAGGATTAGACATAGAATGTCGGCTCGGGTCGTATTCAACTCACTTCCAGCCCCACGGGGGGTAAATGGAGCTGCATTCGCAGCCTGTGACGAGAGGGTGGTTTTCTTTGCTGCTGTCTGCGGCTGGTTTGATGGTGTGAACGCGGGCGAGTCGACGTTGAATGTCTTCTTCGAACTAAATGGAGGTTAGACACGTGGAAGATGATTAAGAGCGGCTTTTGAGCAATCCACTTACAAGTCTGCTTGAGGGGAAGGATTTTTGTTGTGTTCATGGTTGAAAGTGCAGCCTTGCTCCTCATAGCGGCAATGGCCGTAAATGACAATGTTGCGACACAGCGTATCCTTGTTCTCTACGAGTTGGCCGTCAGCGGGAAAGAGACCAGCAATATTAGGGCGAACCGACCTCGGCCCTTAGATCTCGGGGAGCCGACCTGACGCCGGAGGTCATTCGATGGATATCGTGTCGTGGCCATGGTGGATGCTCGGTCAATTCAAGGAGAGGGAGACGGCGCCTTGGTCGATTCTACGATGTCTGGAGACAAAGCAGCGTCAGCTCTAGAAAAAAACGCTAAGCATGATATAGGGCGGCACAGCAGGGGAAAGTCCAGTCCTCACTTGATGATGGTGGAATTCTCCCATATTTTGACCGAGCGGGCGATAAGGCACCCATAGAAAGCGGCATGCGAGCAGAGGACGGGAGCAGGTAACAATTGCGCAAAGCAGTAACCCCAATGGGCCTCAAGAAAACGAGAGATAGAGACCACGGGGACGCGGAAGGGGCGACAATGACGCCAGGAGTAGTTCACGGAAGTTGGGGTTGGTGGTGTAGGATCACCGCCGAGCCAAGCTTGTCGGCGGGCGTTTCCAGAGTTGCAGGTGCAACTTCGAGGTGCAGTGCAGCAGAGCCGTCAAAGGGGAAGAAGCGCGGGCGGCCACGCTAGGTTATTGGTGTGGGGGCGAATGCCCCTCCCATCTTGGGCGCCGGCTTGCCCTCAGCCTCGACAGCACGGACCACATCATGTGCGAATAACGAGACTCGGCGCCCTTTGTTTGAAGATCAGCAGCAAGGGTTTAGTGGCATATTCCCCACGAGGTCTCGACACGGTATTCGCACGCATGCTGACCTCATCTTCAAGAGCTGAGGCCACCCGACAATCAACAACTTGCAACACTTTGGCTGAACTCGGTACCTTGCCTTGGCTGGCTATTTATGTGCACAATAATATTTCCCGACTGCGCAACACCGGAGAAAAGTTGTCTGTCCACGAGGCACAACACCTGCAGTTGCGCGGGCAACCGTACCGAGGAGCACTAAAAGTACCTTGGTAGTTCGACTGTGGCCGAGTATTCCGCTTTCCCCCAAACCTTGGTGTTTGCTTGATTCCGTCCAGCCACCACCCGATTTCGACGAACACTAGATTTCTACACAATTCCGGCTTTGCATGCGCTACGATTGATGCCGCCGTATACTCTCAGTCTTGTCGGAATTAGACGGGCGAAACGTCCACAGGACGCAGGATGGCGGGCACGGGCGATTTCGATCTGAGCAGTCTCTCTGCAAGCCAGCAGGAGGCTCTCCAGCAGTACACAGATGTCACAAGCCAGGATATCAAGGATGCAATCCCTCTTCTCGAGAGGTCCCAGTGGAACGTGCAGGTCAGTGCGCCGTCTCTACCTCGACGCCAACCCAGACTGATTCCTGTCTAGATTGCGATTGCCAAGTTCTTTGATGGCGAAGGCCCCGACCCCGTCGCCGAAGCCCAGGCGGCGCACGATAATATCCCCCGGGCCGCAGCGAGACACGAAAACCTACACGAGAGCTTGCTAGATGCTAGCATTCGACCACACCGGCCGACAAGGCGACCTCAGACAGAGCCCGCCCCACGGGTAGTGCCCCCGCCCTCGGTGCTGTATCGTACGCCGTTCCTGGTCGCCATACTCTTTGCGCCCTTTCGATTCGGATACAAAGTCTTTGCCGGCGTCTTTCGGTCGCTCTTCTACTTCCTGTCATTCCTACCACAGTCTATACGGCCGCGGCTTGTGGCATCTTCGATCTCGAAGGGATTGAGGCAAACGAGCGGGCGAAGAGTGACCCTCCCCAAGGAAACAGCCCAGCGGTTTCGGCGTGATTTTGAGGAAGAATACGGAGCGCACGGTCTCCCCTTTTACGAGGGCGGCCATGCACAGGCGTTAGACACAGCCAAGAGGGATCTCAAATTCCTGCTGACGGTTTTATTATCCCCGGAACACGACGAGACGGAGACCTTCGTCCGGAGCACGCTCTTGTCGCCCGAGGTTGTGAGCTTTATCAACGACCCCGCCAACAATGTTATTGTATGGGGAGGAAATGTGCTGGACTCGGAGGCATACCAGGTCGCCAGGGAGTACAACTGTACCAAATACCCCTTTTCTTGCGTCGTCTGCCTCACGCCCAAGGAGGGTAGCACACGCATGGGCATCGTAAAACGCCTTGTCGGTCCCCTGTCATCGGAATCATACCTCGCTGGGATCCAGGGCGCCATCACCAAGCACAGCGCCGACCTCAACGGCGTCCGGTCAGAGCGAGCCGCGCAGGAGATGGCCCGCGACCTCCGGTCTCAACAAGATTCGGCCTACGAAAGGTCCCTGGCCGCGGACCGGGAGAGAGCGCGCCAAAAGCGGGAAGCGGCGGCGGCGGCGGCCGATGCAGAGAAGCGCGCGCAGGAGGAAGCCGAGGCCGCGGTTCGCCTACAGGAGCAGCGGCGGAAATGGAGGGAATGGCGGGCCACCACCATCGCACCGGAGCCCGATGCCGCAGCAAAAGACGCCGTCCGTCTGGCACTCAACATGCCTCCCTCGTCAGGCGCCGGTCGGGTGATTCGCAAATTTGCTAGCACGACGACACTGGAGGAACTGTACGCGTTTGTAGAGTGCTATGAACTCTTGCAAGACGAGCCTGGGGAGAAGGGGCCAGAGAAGCCCGAGGGCTACGAACACAAGTACGGGTTTCAGATCGCATCAGTCTTGCCGCGGGAAGCATTCGAGCCGAGTGTGGCGGCAACGGTCGGGGAGAAAATGGGCAGGGGAGGCAACCTTGTGGTTGAGGATATCTCCCCCGACGAGGAGGGAGAATAGCCCGGTTGGTTATGTAGTTGATAGGATGGGAGAGGTGTACATCTAACTTCAATTTACCGAGGAATTATTTCTTCCCCAACAGCTGCCGACATGCCATACTATGTATTGCTTGGGCTCTGAGATCTTACTGGTCTTCTGCAACGGTGCACCCAGGTCTCAGCCACTTGGCCACTCCACTGCAGATCAACTGCGGGCCGAGACAGGCTGCGGGGCTTATCTTATCAGTCTCTTGGTGTGAAAGCGACAACTAACAAACGGCTTTCGCAGCGGCCTCCCACCAGACGTTGGCGAACACTGCTCGGCGGCGGTTGATCGGGATGGTTGCTTGCGCGTCCCGGCGACGGCAGCGAGGCAGTGCACGCTCTTACGTTCGGCTTGGCAACACTTTTCGCCCATGATCACCATTGTTGTCAGCGAGAAATTTGGTGGCAGTTGACCTTTTTCTTTCTTTCTTGAGGGGACAGGTCGGTCGTCTCCACGTTGATGATTTCCGGGTTTTGTCTGATCCACGCGTCTGGTCCCTTGGCGCAACCCCCCGTGACAGCCCGTCTAACCGCTCGGCGGATGACATTGTTCCACACTGGTCTGTCAGAGTTCAGAGCGGTTGCCTTCTAATATCAAGTTGGGATTCGCTGCTTTGGTGACTCTAAATCTCGAAGACTGTGTCGCGTCGCAGTGAAAACGGAGCCGAGACCTGGGCACTCAAGGACCCTTGCTGCCTAGCGCTTGGACAGTTCGAACGCGGACGGCGGCGGTCGACGCCGGCGGTAATTATAAACCGCGGGAACCACGGATTGTTGGCAATTCGCGACAAAATCAAACGAAATAATCACCTTTGCGGTATTCGGGCTGTCCCCATTTGGCCACCTCTCGAGTCTTCCCCCCGCAACCCCCAGCCGACATTTACGCACGACTTGCATCGAGTTATCGAGTTGAAGTCGGCAGCACTTTTGTGCGCTAAGCTGTCGCATTCGACAAGATGGGGGGTTTCAGTATGAACAAGGTGCTGGGCAACCTAAAGAAACGACAGACATTTGGTGGAAGTGAGTGACGGCGCTTCTCCCTGCGATCCTCCCTCTTCGCGCAAACAACAATGGTTGAGATGCTGACGTGTTGTTCCTCGCGATAGGCAGCGCCGACGACGCACCAAACGCACCAATCGATCCCGCAAACGATACCCCCGATGCCATTGCCACGCGCTGTGTGGTATGAACCGACCCTATCGATCACTGGTCGGACTAGCACATTGCGGATGCTAACTGAGGGTCACAGAAACAATTCTGTCTGTCCGTGGGAAGCTCGTCGGTATGTCCAGCGCTTGTCTGCCCCGCGCCGTCTTCCTGTTTGGCACGTTCGATGGAGGATGGGAAGCTAATGATGGGGTGCTGTGCGCTTAACAGGGAGACGATGTGATATTCCTTCCCTCGATCGTCGAGGCCACCGTTGCCTCTCCGGCTGCCGCTGCCGAGTCCGCCCGCCTGATCCGCAAGTTCTTGCAACGAGATTACTGGTCAAAACCATCATGTCAATACAACGCCATCATGTTGGTCCGGATCCTCGCCGACAACCCGGGCCCGGGCTTCACAAAGTTTATGGATAAGAAATTCATCGACGCCACCAAGGAGTTGCTCAGATCGGGGAAGGACGGGAGCGTGCGCCAGATCCTGATGGAAACGCTGGACTCGTTCGAGACCAACAAAAGCCTTGACGAAGGGCTAGCCCCGATGATTGAGATGTGGAAGAAAGAGAAGGAGAAGGCTTACAAGACCTTTGGGGTGAGTGTTGACTGACGGGCGAGCCGGGGAAGGTCGGCTAACACACCGCACAGGGAATGCCTGCTGGGCCAGTCCAGCCACCGCCGATGATGGCGCCGGGTTTCAACCCATACCCGCAGCATCAACCGCAGGCTTTCTATCCTCGACCAAGCCACAGCAAACGTCTTCCGGACCCAATCGAGCTCACGAACCGGTTAGAAGAAGCGCGGTCGTCAGCCAAACTTCTCGAACAGGTCGTCGCGTGCACCCCTGCCGCCGAATTTCTCCAAAACGACTTGATCAAGGAGTTCGCCGACCGGTGTTCGAGCGCCTCCCGCAGTATACAGGGGTACATGGCGGCCGAGAACCCCGGGCCGGACAACGACACGATGGAGAGCCTCATCGACACCAACGAGCAGCTGCAGCAGGCACTGAACCACCACCGCCGCGCCCTGCTCCAAGCCAAGAAGCAGCTTGGCCTGGGAGACGGGCGGTCCAGCACCTCGAGCCCAGCGCCGCACCTCCCATCACCAGTCGACCAGCCCGGCGCCGCCGTACCGCCCGTCCCGGCCAGGAAAGCAGTCGGCGGGTCCGGGGGCGGGGGCAACGGCAAGGGCAAAGCCCACCTCGAAGCGCACGACCACGGCGGCAGCAGCAGCAGCGCGGCCATCGCCGGCCCGTCGCGCTCCGCGAGCGGCACGCCCCGCGCCCACGACACCGACGACGACGACGGCCAGGACCCCTTCCGGGACCCGCCGACCGAGTCCCACTACACGGCAGCCGCCGCCGCCGCCGCCGGTGGCTCCTCGTCCCGGCCGGGCGCCGGCAGCGCGCTGGGCGAGAACGGCCCGCCGCGCCTGTCCTTCGAGCCGTTCCATCCCGGCTTTGGCGGCGGCCCGTCCTCGGCTGCGGCGGGTGAGCGGGGGAGAGCGGAGCCCGTCACGCCCGTGTCGGATGACGGGACAGACCTGTACAAGGCGACGCCGAAACAGGACGGAGGGCCTGTTTATCGGTATTAGAGGTCTTGGGTACTTGTGGTGTGTGGGTTGGTTTTGCTTTGTGTGGTTATCCGATCGTTGATTTATGTCCTGGGTGTCTTATGGCTGGGAAATGCGGCTCTGTTGGTGTTTTGTGTTGAGCCTAGACGGCAGGCCTCTCGTTTGCGTTGCTCTTTTTTTGCGTGTTTACACGAGCGGGAAGGCATGGCTTCGATCTTCTGCTTCTTCAGCTGCTTCATGTTTATCCGAGACATCGTCCTCTGCTGAATCTATCTTTGTGTGGTTGACGACGGCCCCGTACATACGCGAGATTAGCTAGTTGTCTTCTATTCAAGTCGCCGTATGTCGGTACGGCCCCTCCATGATATATCCCTTTTCACCACGGGGTTTGCCTCCCTGCTGGTCCCCCGCGATTGTCGAACAAACAGTTCATGATTCCCTAGCCAGCATCGAGCTACAACACTTGTTGTCTTTAATGTATCCCTATAGGACAAACCACTGCGACTACGTCAATGACTGTGCAATGGGCCGTGGAACCAAGTTCGCCTCGCCAGTTCCTGGGCACACTAGGTGTGCGTTGTTAGGTAGTAGTTATGGCCCATGTCGATCTAAGTATCTCGCTGACCAAACAAAAGCAAGATGAAGAAACAAGAAAGCAGTGAGAAAAGCAGGCTCGCTGTGGGTCGGGCTGCGACTAGAAAGACCAGGCAGCAAAAGCTCGCCGGCTAGCCCCCCGAAGGGAGGTGGCCGGTTACGAAACCCCGAAGGGTTTACCTCGGGGCGGCTCGAACTGGTGAGCTCTCAGTGAGAGATGCCAGGAGTTTTAACCCCAGGGCCTTGACCACCCCCTGACCGTTTAGCCATCTGAGGTGGTTCGGTGATACTGGGGAATGCGGAACTTCTATATCTACAACTCACCAGCTGCTGGGGCTTTCCAGCCGTCGAAGTCCTTAGCATCATGTTAGTGATATGCCACAATTTCCCTGCCACCCCAAGTAAACATCTGTATCAAGGATGACAGACACCAGTAATAGCCTCAACTAGCATTATTGTTTGAATACAATCAGAATATATGGAAGAGCAACGATATGTTAATACATACCATTCCAACCATTACTTCCGAACGTAATGGTAGCCGTCGCTTCTCTTCCCCTTCTCAAATAACATACCTAGGGCTAGTCCGCCTAGCCAGCTAACCATTCATTTAGCAAAGTTAAGAGCCACTTATTTAGTGCTGTCCACAAATGGGAGCCTTCAAAAACAACTCTGTGTTTTGTTTATGTCTACTTTCAGGTATAATAGGGGTTTGTTTACTTAATAGGGGTCACTGAAAGTGCAAGAACATAGTCAGCTCAGCCAACGCCTAAGGACGCCTTCTTGAGTTATTCTCCAAGCTAAATCATTAGAAGTTCTACCTAAAGATCATAACTGCTCCACTCTCTCCCAACGGCTTTTCAAAGCCCGGTATTCAAGAGAAACCTGGTAATAGGCCCTGTTGCGTGAGATTCTCGACGAGACGACTCTGATATTCGCTGAGACCGTCCAAAGTAACGTCTTATAGGTTTTCATGCCTTGTGCTACTTGACGAGCACCTTCTTGTTTATTTTAAACCACCGAGATCATTGAGAAGGATAACTGAAGAAACGTACCTAATCAAGCTCTCGGAGGACAAGGGAGGAAACAATGGCGTCTAGGGGTTAGGGTTCGATATGACCATATGATTGTGTTTCTGAATCGTTCGTAAGTTGGTTGAACCGTGTTTCATCCCCCCTCCCCCCAGATTTGGGACTGATAGATACACTCGTTCATGGGGTATGGGCATGTGCTAAGTTGTCTCAATAAGCCCATTTGTTGCCGATGTCGGAAGCATGTTCGGTTGACCCCGGCATGGTCGTACTGCAGAAAAATGAAACAGGTTGCTGCAAGCCACGGGCGGAGTTGCCTTGTGCGACACATACTGCGTAGAGATTAGTATGGATAAAGCCCCTACCCTACCATGGGGCTCGGAAGTAGGTACTGCGGCAACGCCGCCTAGTTTTGCCCAGGTATATAAATGCATGTTGCCCATGACCAACCAACACCCCCCTGGTGTTGTCACGAAACATGGGGCTTCAAGGCCGATGTGATGTGTATTATAAGTAAACTACTTAAGTCTGCCTCGATGGGCTGTGACAGAGTCTGTTGGCTCGGTCGGGTACGGGCTTTGAGCTCGGTAGGACATAGGGTTGCACCACCCGGCATGGCCATTGTGAAAACACATAGACGGTGGTTCAGAACAACCAAACGGCCTCTCTTCCTGGCGCATTACATCCCAGACTGAGGATAGAAAAGCAGATAACGAAGATGTTGGTGACGGCCGATGCAACCTTGACTCCAAGGTTCGCCTATTGCTTTTCTTACGTAGGAAAGGCGAGAGAGCAACTCCGCAACTCTTCACAACTCTAATCAAGCAAGAAAGAAATGGAACAACAAACCTCAAAATCAACATCCCTTGCACCCATGATGTCGACGATTGAAAACCATTGGAGGTATTTATTCCCAGACTCCACTCCGTAGCTGTTGCCCTCGCAACGCCAGGCCCCTTGTTGATACCCATGCTGAAGTCTCCACTAAGACGAACGCGATGGGTCTGGGGTTCGACGAGAGCGGGTGAGTGTTGTTTGATTACATTCGATCAAGGGCCGAGAAGCAGAACGTTGCGTTAGGCGGTGTGACTTGTTGTTACGGTAGCCGGGGCCAGTACGGGAGTGCGCGGGGAAACAAGGTCCTGAACTAGTTTCTGTTGAACTTGGTTAGTTTCTGTTGAGCCAACGCGGAAAGGGGTTTGAAGAAACCGAGGAGATTGACGTTGTTTGCAGTTCTCCAGTCGTCTCAACTCTCTCCTTAAGCCTTCGGCCGGAACTTGCCAACAGCTGGTAGCTTTGTTCGAGCCAACCCCAACCGGTCAGTCGGGCTCCGTGGCACGTCTCTCGAATATCGAATTGCCAATTACCACGAGAGCTAGACTATTGAGGGCACGTTATCGCGCGCGCTCAGCGCTGTTCACGAGGCTTTTTCTGGTAAGCAGTCGTCAGCGTCTGACGCAAAGAGCAGACACCGGGTGGTGAGGGTTATGGGCTCCCTTTTCGCTCCGCCAGGTTTGAACAATGAGTCTTTGTTTGGGTTGAATTCTAATTTCCTTCCTGGGCTTCCGAGGCAAGTACTGACCGGCTATTCCACAGCTGCGTAAAAGCCGTCTCCATGTTGGGCTCTGCTCTGTAGTCGACAGCCGGCTGCGGTGAAGCCGCGGAGTCGGGAACTTCGACTCTGTCTTCTCATAATTGCACAGGGCTCCGATCCTTCCGCTGATGGCTAGGCTTCTCTGGGGTGCTTAACGCGGTTTGGCAAGTCAGTAAGCTGACAGCAGCTTGCCAACCTCCTGTGACCTTCTAAGCGTCAAGCCCTCGTTCAGGCAGGGTTCCCGAACGGGGAAAAATGGTGTAAAGTTCCAATGTCTCCGGCTATTTGGGTCGCGCTGGTGGCTGTCGGGAAGATCCCGTTGCGGCGCGGTAGTGGCCGGAGGATTCTTCACCAGACATGAAGCTTGTTGGTCCCCGAGCCCCTATTCATCGTAGAGCGCCAATTCCGATCGTTCTTGGGGTCGCTTTTCGTTTTCGGACGGGCCGGAGAGGAGGCAAGGGGGCGGAAGGCTTGATGGTTGCTAAATTTAAACCGATCGGAGGGGGCGAAGAGTGGTCGTTTTGTTGGAGGTCGCCCAACAGCGCATCTGGAAGGGCATTATTAGCTGATATACGCCGTTCTTGGGGATTGGGGGTTAATAACCCATAGTACGGAATTGGGGGCTGTTTTTTGAGTTTGTCGGATTTGCGCGGGAGAAGAAATTCGATGCGGCGGGTTCTCGTTGTTGGCTGCTTCGCATTAACTCGTTCGATCCTTCCCCGTAGGCACGGCGGAGGTTAGGTAACTGCCCGATCGGAAGCTTGATTTTAAGCAAGCGCGCGGCGCTGCCTTCCCACATAATTTGAGCAAATCCATTGTTTATTTTAGTTTTGGCTGAAGAGTGAACTCTCCCAGCAACCCGGGCTCACCTCAGATTGATGTTCTCTTTGGGACCACACCACGGAGTCCTTTCAACTATTTTGCCCCCCTAGTTAACGGAACTGAAACGGTCGGTCAAGGGGATTGATTGTATTGTTCAGTATATCGACCAGTTGTAATTGCAGTTCACCGGGATTCTCGAAGCTTTGACACGGGGCAATAATAACAAGGTGACGAGAATTGCGGTAGCTACTGTGTAGAAGAGAGCGATTCACGAACCTCGACGTCACCAACAGAAGACATCGGCAAATACCTCCACCCATCTCGGCGCGCAATCTCTTTATCAGTCTGATCTTTTAGTGTCATGGTAAGATCTTGAGACGGCTGGAGCCTCCCGCGAATCCCTCCCGAAAGGAGAGTGCCCAGACCGGTCTTTCGCATTCCGCTAATGAGGGTGATGCCCAATCTTGATGCCTCGGAAACTCGCCCTCTCGCCGGCCCTTTTACGTTCAACTGGGTCACTCCCGGTCCCTTTCCGGTCTGCTGCCTGACAGACGCGCCTCGAAAGAACCGTCATCGCGTACTTGTAATGACCAGGAATCCGTTTTCGGATATTACATCCTTACATACGCAGTAATACCGCCTCCGTTTCTACATCAGACTCCTTGTGGCTGCAGGAGTCAGTTACATTTGCCCCTTTTCCACAAGGGGCTCGGCCCGTGACGGGGCTCAGCAACTGCCTGACTGATTCAACGTCCAAGCCTCTGGGGGTGTAGCCGGATCGCCAGACGCAAAGCGGGAAGTCCCACCGGCCTGGGGTATACTGTGTATGGTGATGATTGGACTGATGAGGATGATGTGCCATTTTGCGAGTCATGGCGCATAACCATCATGGATATGACTTGCTTTTTTGCGTTTGACTCCATTGGGTGCGATGGTGAGGGGGGCGCTGATGCCCGAAGGATCGGACCTTTTGTCCTCTCACGAGCGCCGCGATGCCGCAGCAGCAGCCGAATGTTGGTCTCATGCTGGCCGCTCCTTTTGGCACCCGCTAGCAACTGGATGGGTAACCCACGCCGCCAGGCTGGCTCATCATGCTTTTGACGCTGCAGCACTGCCCGAAAGCGGCAGCACGCCTACCGGAATATGATACAACGACCGCCTCGCAGCAAAAGTGGTGGTGGTGTGAGTCTGCGTAAAATGATACGTCACTTTTACACCCCCTCGTGAGCCTCCTTCGGAGCGCCGCTCCTCTGCGCGGCACAGCGAAGGCCGGCGTCCTCTTCCTGCTTCCCCTGTGAAGGTCGGATTCGCTGCTGAACGAGAAAAGAAAAGGCACAGAACGCAAGGCAGTGCAGTGCTAATCTCTGTGAACAAAGCATTAGAACAACCCCCTGTGGAGTGTGCTCTCGAGGCGCTTGACGAAGCTTGCTGTGCTGTGTGGATTATGCTGGTACACAGCCTTCTCATGTTACTATATCGACAAGTATCAATCAATCAAAGGAGCGGTGAAACGAACGAGTGCCAATGCCCAGACACCAACTGCAAGAGACTCGCATCACTCATGGGGCCAGTTATCCAACAGAAAACGGACTGGTTGGTGTTGGCGAAGTCGGCCGTAAATCACACCAGCTCCAACCTGAAGGGATCAACCCTCCCGGCGCGCACCGCGGAGCATCGAAGCGGAAACAGCGTTACGCTTGGCCTCCAACACCCCGAACGCGGGCCAAAAAAATAGGGGGGTAATAAACCAAGAGCGACTCGCCCAGAACACTGCCGGCGGTGGAGCGCCGCGCCATGCGAGACAGAGTCGTGAGAGCTCATCAGCCAGGGATGAGCCCGCGAGAGAACACGGCACGCCAGCAAATAGTGCCCTTCGCGGCCCCATCAGCATAGCAACGCAGCAAGCGGCCACATCCCTGAGCCCATCACCCCCCTCTCCATTCCCGCCCAGCGTGTCACTCGCATCCGATCAGGTGCCCCCCTTCTCCCCATCCGAAGAGCAGCAACAATGAGCGAGCAAACCAACGAGCAAGAAAGCCCAGCCTGGCCCAGTCCGGCCCAGCCTGCGTGATATCTCTCCCCGGCCGGTTGCGCGTACACAGTACGTTTCCACTGTGATGCTGTGTTGCCTGCCTGCCATTGTTGCTCGCAGCGGCGGCGGCGGCGGGCCCCTAGCGGCAAAAATCCCCAAAGCGACCGACGGCCAAATTGTCGCCGGGATACCGCGGCTTTGGCGGTGCTCCCGTCCGGGGCCCCTTCTCCGCCGCCGTCTGCCACCCACCCACCCACCGCCTCAATTATGGGGCCAGCATTTTTTCGTGGCTATTGCGAGCGAGCATCATGCTACTTCGGGATAGCCTAGCGGATGGCAAGACGGATAGGGAGGTCCCTTTGGTTATCGTGTGACCTGTCATGTTGTGTGTACGTACCTGTAGTTACTGTGTAAGTACCTTGTCTCTCGTGTCGGCTCCATCCGTCTCGTTCACCCCCTCTCTTTCCCTCCCCAATGCTGGTTAGTGAGCGAGTTGGGTACAGACAAGCAACCATCCCTGCCGGACAAGCCGCGGGATGTGATCTGTCCCGCGATCGTTGGCCAACTCGGTTGCTCAGCGTCGCAGTCGGACGCTGTTGCTGGCTGCGGCTATAGGGCCGGGGCTCGGCGGGAAGTGGGTAAGTTGTGGGACACGTTGGCAATGGTGTTGCCGGGGATGGACGGATATGTGATTTGAGGTTTGCCAAAGAGGAATCCCAGACTGATGCTACCTGTAGCAACCACTGGTCCTCGATTTTCTCCGCCCCGAACCTGGCTGAGGTTGGAGCTGCTAAGACTAACGTAATCGGACCGCTCACTGTTTACATCGTGTTCGCAAAGCACGGGAGGTGATGAAGAAAGTAGAATGGAAGCGAAGGGAAATAAAAGAAGCGGGGGGGGGAATGAAGGAGGAAAAGATCATGATGACATTTGTGCCGCGAGGCGATTCCTTTCTTCCACCTTGCACTTCTAAACTGAAGACCAAAAACATAACTTGAGCCGACCCAGGTAAAGCAAACAACCCCTCGGCACGAGGACGCTCTCCGGTGAGAGTCCTGGCCCATAAACATTGAACTGAACATGCCCTCCCTTCAACATGAACTCGGCATCGTTAAAATGATGGAGCGACCGCCCAACATGCGAAAAATAGAGTGACGTCGTAACAGAAATCGAAATAAGAGGAAGTGACGAGATAGAAACGAATCGGGGAGAACTGCGCTTGCATTATCTTGTCTTTGTTTTAGAAAAATGATGGCAGTGCCCGAAAATTGACCTCCGCGGCCTAATTTTGTATGATGAAGTCGGTTATTTTCCGAGCTGACAACTCGGTTTCGCGGGCTCCGACCAGCACACGCTCCGGTTTTTGAATTCCATTCTATCAGCAGCCCCGAGAACCTTCCACGCTCTCACGATCGCCGACCCAGCCTCCCCAGCATGCTCTGGTCGATCTCGTTGACTGTACGAGGTGCCGGGCCCATCAGGTTATCCAGGCTCATCGGGTTTGGCTGACTCTTCGTCTGTGGCGGGATTTGAGACTGCGGCTGCTGCGTCTGGGATGGCCCGGCTTGCGGGGTTCGCATCTGTGACGGTGGCGGGATGGGGCGACTGGGAGTGTTCTGATTCGGGGTAGGAGGCGTATCCCGGTCAAAGGGGCTCTGTTGATACGAGTGGTAAACGGTGGGCGGGGTGCCGTTGCTATGGATCGAGACGGGAGATCGCCTTCGCGGGTCGTCATCAAGCGGATAGTTTGGCGGAGGCGGTCGGGCGCTGTGCTCCTCCTCTGGCGGCCGGGTCCGTCGGCGGCCGGGATCTTTGTCGTCGTAAGGTGGGTAGGACCCCGTGGGTGAATGCATCGGGGGAGTGTATTCGGCAGCCGGGTACGATGGGTAAGCACGAGGTTGCTGACCTGACTGGGCGGAGGGGGGTAAAGGTTGGCCGTAGGCTCCGTAGAGCGGCGTCCCCGGCGGAACGCCCCCCGGAACGGCTGATACGGGGACGAAAGCGGCAGATGAATTCGACGACACAGGCTGGAATATGCAGTCGATCCGGAGCTTGTCGCAGTTAGTGCATTTGCCGTTGGTCGTATGCGTGTAACCGCTGCAGCGGATCTATCAAAGACGAAGTTAGCACGAATCTCCTGCGGTAAAGGAGCCTCGGTTGATTGTTCAAAATACCTTTCTCTTGCGGCAATATCGACAGGCGATCGACGTCCTTTGCCTCGGCGCGGACTGTTGCTGCGAAGGTGGCGGCGGTGGGGGAGGGCCCATTCCGTAATAAGGGCCTGGCGGGTACCTGTAGTAGTCGGCACCATACCCGCCCCTGCCCGGCGGCGGCGGCTGCTGCGGATCGTAGTATGATTCGGGAGGATACGCCCTCCGGTCATTGTACTGCCTCTGCTCGTCGTACAGCCTCTGCTCATCATACTGTCTCCGGTCCTCGTACTGCCGCCGATCGTCGTACTGCCTCCTGTCGTCGTAGGGTCTGCGGTCGTCAAACTGCCGCCGGTCTTCGAACTGACGTGGATCCTGAGGGGGAAACGGTGGTGGGTAGCGTGCATCCGGTTGGGCAGGATAGCCGTTCGGGGCTGGCGGTTCTGGCGCCCAGTTTCTCGGGTCTGGTTGGTATCTTGGGTCTGCCGCGTACGCCCTCTCCTGGTACCGCGGATCTGATTGATACGGCGGACCGGGAGGCGGGTATGGCATGGGCGGCAGCGCCACGCCGTCTGGTCCTGCTGGAGGGGGCCGCCTTCGATCTTCGCCCTCGGGAGGAGGTGGGTAGCGCAAGTCTTCAGCATTGTCTCGTGGTGGTTCCACCCGTCCTCTTCGGTATTCGTCCGCCATTTTCAACTGGTTGTGGATGGTACAGGTTGGTGTGAGGATGGAGGGAGAATGTCGTTTGGTGTTCCTTTCTCTTCTTCTTTTTTACAGTGACCCTCGTTACCGGCAGACTATAGAGACATGTAAATGTCCCAGTTGCGAGGGTCGTGGTATTCCTGGCAGGACGTGCAAGCAGTCGCCTTTCGCCCCGACAAGCACGGTTCGAAATCCCACAGCTGCTCTCGCGAGTGAAGTGATCCTTTTGCTGGTAATTCCCAACAACAAGCAAACCCCCGGCGATAAAAACCGGTGCAATGGGTCACGAGTTGAAAAAGAAGCCACGAGGTCGGCGGCGGGGGAGAGAAGTGGGCGGGATGGATGAATAAATAGACGGGAAGATGGGCGGGTCAGCTGGGGGGAAGGAGGGCGGGCGGGTAATGATGTATGGATGTCGCGCCGGGGGGGCGGGAACTGGAACGAGCCTTTTTATCAAAGCAAGGAGCGGGAGTTCCCTTGTGCTGACGGCCTGGGTCCCGAAAGTTAGCGTTGGATGAGATATGCGGGTGGGAACGACCGGCGGGGGCTGAAAAGGCAAAATAACCAAGGGGCCTGCATGAAAACCATCAGACCCCTTGGAGTGGGAAGGACGCAGGCCGCTCCTGCTGCAGCGAATCAAGCGCCTTCCCAAGCGTTCCAACAGCGAAGCGTGAGCAGTTTCGATCGCCCACAGTGCGTAACCAAGGAGGCACCGGCTGACAGAACGGCAGGGGGGTGGAGCATGGATGCGAAGCGGGAAGGAAACGGAAACGGGCGTATTGTGCAGGTGTGAGCTGCATGGTACTTGGGTGTGCGTGCTGTGTGGGAGGGGGGGGTAGATGCAGAGGTCGACAAGGGATGTCGCAGAAGTCGCCAGGGTGTGGGAACGAAGCCTGTGCGCACGGCCAGACTGGGGCGGATTCGACCGAGTGACCAGAAATGGAAGGAACGCAGGGAACCAGTTGAAGACGACGCACTTGCATCAAGGAAATCTGGCCCTGCCGCCTTCTTTTCTGACCGCCTCCAATGGAGAAAACGCTCCACCCATTCCGGTCCGGGCCCAGCAGATGCGATGGGATTCGGTGAGCGGCAAGGTGAATCGAAGGTGTGACTGAGAAAGAGAAGCGCGTACGGGTGTACAGTAAGCGTAAAATACATACCTCAAAGAGAAGAACGAAAGTGGATAAGGTACGGTACCCTGCCCGTTTCTGACGACGGCCCGAAGAACGTGTCTGGATCCGTTTGTGCGTGGTCGTGTTTCGTGTTTCGCATTGGGCGATTGACCGTTCGAGATTGAGTAGCCGAATACTTGCTTGTTAAATAACTAGCTTGTCGGTAAATCCTGCCCGGTTCACAATGAGGATTGCTCTCGGGAAGAAAGAAGGTTTCCTTGAACGACAGGCAGAAGATGTTTCGGGATTTCGGGCTGGCCCGGGCAGACAAGGGGGGTGTGATGGGACAGCTTTGTCAAAGCGCCAGCCAAGCCTGGGCTTCGCCGTTTGGCCGGACGGATGTGGGGTCGCCGTCCCGAGGAAACAAGGGAGAACTGAGACCTGCGTTGAACCGATCGTGAGAGGGTCCGGAGAAGCGTAGCAGGTAAGAGTCGGAGAAGGGGAGAGGAAAGAGAGCGTTGAATGAGAGATGGTTGCTTATGATGTGATGGATGGATCCGTCGGTGTTCCCGCATGTGGCCGCAGCAGGTGTTGGGTCACAGGCTCAGCGGCGCATGCGCAACACCCCAGTAACCGGAATTCCTGGGCCACCGGCGTGGCGGGCAAAGTCGAGGTTTCAAGGGGTCCCCTGAACCGGTCCCAGCGACGGAGTTGGTGGCTTGGGGAAAGGGTGGGTCATGGAAGCGACGGAACTTCCTGCTGGGGAGCAGGTGCGGGCCGTGGTCCCAGTTCAGGCGATTGCCCGGGGTGGGCGTTCCCGCCCGGGCCAGGGATGTGTTCCATGGTATTTCCGTACCCAGAGGACATCCAGCTTGGTTATTACACTACGATACGTATGTGTTTCCCTCTCTCAGCACATATTACAATAACTCCTTGGATCCCGAGGGGCCTGCTCTCGACGGTTCGCTTAGTTCGATATTGGCCTCGGAGGCACGCACGACCTAAAACAGGCTTTGTTGTGAGATACCGTCCGTATCTTTGTTACGTCATGACCGCGGTAGCGGCACTGGGTCGCAGTTGGGGCCGCAGGGCAAGGGTTCTGATTCCTTACTTGCCGCCAAAACACAATGTTTTCTCAACGCCCATCTCGCGATACTGCTGTGTAAACACCAAACAAACACGCTGGCACCGAGGAGATTGCAGGGCACACCTGCGCCGTACCTAAATATGGCCTGCCATGGGTAAATCGCTGCACGCCCACTGCTATTTGCACATTTGCTCTCACACATGCCCGCTTGGTTGGGGGCCAAGTTCAGGGGCCGCTGGCAGTGTGAAGGCATGAACTATTTTTTGCTCGTAACGCGAGTTACCAAGTCTAAGCCTTCTTGAAAACAATCCTGTAAAATACGTGGGCTTGAAGCAGTGCCGAATAGAATCGATTATCGATCCGAAAGTCACGCCCAACGCCTCGGCGAGCTCGGTTACACCAGGCCGACCAATATGCTTGGCTTCGGCCCGGTGCACTCATCAGGGCGGCGGCAGCTGCTGACCCCTCGATATGTGCGTCTGTGGCTTGTTTGTCAAGTTATCGTCAGACCATCCAATACGGTCTTGTTGCGTAATAGCCCCCCTGAGCACACCATGACGCCCCTTGGCGAGGAGGGGACATTGAACGCGGTCTGTTCGTGATCGAATTCCACAAGTAGAAATCTCAACTCTCCCGTATAAAAATGCCGAAGGAGCGGGTTGCGAGGAATGTTCGTCGCCCAAAATCCTGTGATGCGCAAGGGAGCGGATTTTGGAACGTGGGGTGGGTATTGATTACGTCGCCCAGAGTTATAAATCTCCGTAAAAATTGTTCTACAATAAGTACATACCTCGTTTGTTGTCGACGTCCCATCCCATCGGACGACTGCCGCAATTCTCAGAACTAACGCCAAACCGCATTTGGCTACGCTGATGTGGTCGAAACAGAGAGGTGCGTTCCGAGCGAGTTGAGTGCCGATCGATCCTATCGAATGTGTAAGAGTTAGCATTATCACGAGCCGAGACTGAACACGCTCCTGTGATACGATTTGGCGTCAGCATGATCAACCACCGCGGGTTGAGACGGATAGCTCTTGCTTGCAGACGACGGTCAACGCCGCCGTGGTACGCGAGGAATGCATTCAACATTCCGTTTATCAGAAGTTCCGCTGCAGAGGCCAGCTGCGTTTGCCACGTCGTACAGGCAGCTCGGGTACCTATCCTCGAGGCCTTTTTTTGTCAAGGCTGCCCAAGGGTGGGCGAAGGAGACGTTGTGAGCTTCGCTCCAAGAATCACCGAAATTACACTGTGCTGGTTCGGACGGGAGGGAAGGAGCGTCCGACATTACACAGTACTAGGAAACGGCGACCGAGGCAAGACAGTATCAGGCTTCCATGGGGTTGCAATTCATCCCGTCACTCGTGCTCCTCGACTCGCACGATCGATCATTCTGTGGCACACCGGGCAGAAACTTGACGGGACGCGGCAGCATCGAGCAACCAAATTTCCGTCCCGTCCCGCGGGTTTGTGCTCGTGTCTCGCTGCCTCCGCTGAACTCGAGCGTGCCACTGCTGTGAAGGTGGGAGGTTGGGTAACCCCGCCTCTGCAGCGTGCCAATCGTTACTATACATCAACAAACCCAAGCTGTGTTCTGGACCATCCGACGTGAACCGGGCCGAGAGCATCGCTTGTCGACAGCCGTGGGCTCTCCTCGCCGCACCCCGGCCTTGCCGAGAGATCAAGGCGCAGCCAAAACTTGGTCTGCGGGCCTTCCCGCGCAGGCGCTTGGGAGCGAAGATCTGATCGGGCCGCCGATTGCACGGCGCCGCAAGCCAGGCCTTGAAAACATGCGTGCATGTGCATGTACGCTCCGAGGAAATTCTCCCCGCCGAGGAGCCGAATGTCCATACCCCTCGGGACGCGGTCGACGGCCCAGGTCTCAAAGACGCCCCGGACAAAAATGGCGCCTCCAGCTGAAGGGCGGGGCATCGCCGCCACCACATCTCTCCCAAGCCGCTGGGAAACCAGCGTTACAGGGATCCGTTTCGCTATTTTCCCAGTTCATTGATTCATTCTTCCCGCATCCTCAGCCGACCACCATGCCCTCGTGAGCAGTGGGTCACCGCAGCAGCCGGGTTAGGTTACGCGAGTTGAAAATGTCGCAGACCGTCTGCAGCGCCCAAGGTAGGCTATCCTTGTCCGACCCGACTTTGGCGATGCCTTCCCCGATCCCGGAGCTGTGTCTTGGGGCATCGCTCCCGCTTGGTTTGAGGCCCGGTGTGGCGTGATTGGCTTCTTCGCACTTGTTTACTTTTGAGACTGGAGCCCTGTATCGCCCCATCGTGGCGACTTGCAGCATGGTGGCGAGGGGCGCATTTCGAAGAAATGTGAGAGACGATAAAACCTGCAGCCAAACCATTCACCGAGATTGACGGGGAAGCAGGTCGCCGTCATTATTCGCAAACACCACCTCCCACCCCGCCATAACGGCCTCCAGAGCACGCTGCAGCAAAGGAGCGACAACGAATCAACGCCCACATTTCAGCGCGGAAAACCACGCTACTTGAGATGGACTAAATTAATGAATCAGCAGATCGTACCGAGTTGAGGTGGGTATCCCCGCGCAAGAGATAACTAACCCGCGGCAGGCATTGGTTACAAACGAACACGTTGACGGGCTTGTTGGGGCGGTGCAATACGGTACATACATGAAGACGAGGTGGGAGGGTGGGTTGCAAGCCCTCGTCGCCAAACACTCGAAGCCAACGTGCATGTGAAATGGATGGTGGGTCGGCTTTGTGTCCCCCGCTCCGGCACCCGTGCCTCCGGCAGCTCGATCCAAAGCCGGCGGTCGTCGTCGTCACACAAAGGAACTGGAGACATGCCGCAACCCGCATAGGTGTTGCCATCCCATCACACTCCGCACAGTCTCAGCAAGCCTGCCCTGCTCTGGTGTTCAGGTGTCCCCGTTTTTCGTACCAAGTCGAGGGTACAGAATGGGTGCAAGGGCGCTGTCGACTCGGCGAGCCCGTCTCTCTCCGCTGCCAAGCAGCCCTCAGCCGGTGGGGACAAGGATCGGATGGATCGATGGAAGTGACGGCGGCATGGATTCGCGTGCCGCCCGAGCGCCCGTCCCCTCTTTAGGCTCATCCCGCTTGCCCTTCTTCCGGGTCCGACTTTTGATTGGTTCGTTTCATCTGCATCCTTGCACCCTTTCGACTGCTCCCGCATGGCAGGCCGCGGCGGCACATGCAACTGTTGGGGCCATTGGCTGACGTGTTTCTGGATCGCATTGTGCCCCGAGGCTCGCTTCTCCCAGCTTCAAGGCACGGGGAACCCGCTGAGACAACTGGCATGTTGTGTCGCCAGCAATGCCGTGTTTCAATCACAACGCTCTCTCCCTGCATAACGCTGGAAACGGCGGTTGCACTAACTTTGCCGGAGTTAGTCAACAATCGTTGAGACAAAGAGTAAAAGATCCAGGGTTTTGAAAGACATCGTCGAGTTCCAAGGCTAGCGCCATAAAGAAAAGCCACACAACACACCCCGCGTGCGACACGAACGGCATTTGCCTACTTGGTTTCAAGACCATGCCTTGTTTGTTGAGGGCGAGTACATTGGTGCATAGCTACCATCCCTCCCTTCCAGACGTCGGTATACGTTATTGGCTGGGGTCGGGTTCTTGGGCAGCTCCGTGCGCGAACCCAAGAGGCATCGGCAACACCCGCATCATATACTTGGACGTACCTATAGCGCTAGGCACTTCCTCCGTAGCTGTTGTAGTCCGTCCGTGGCCCCCTGTATCGTCAACGAGGTGCTTTGGCCACGTATTATTGTTTGTTATAGGTGTCAGCCCACTCACGGGTATAAATTCTTGCATCATGTGTAATCTATGTACTCTAGGTGGCGTCACTGATTCCTTCCCATCGGCAAACGGAACAGGTTGGGCCTGGTAGTGATGTGATGGGGCCGAGTACCGACCTTATGCTCTGGTTGTCTAGCCGGCGGCGGTTGCTTCGGGTTAATATTGCCAAACTGCGGCTCCAAATTGAAGGGGGGTGTAGGCCACAAAGCGCAGAATATGTATCTGATAAGTCACAGACGGTTTTCATTAATGCCTGATCTACGAATACCTTGAAGGCGTCCCGAACCATCGTAAGGTAATTACCGTTTTGCCAAAGGCATTACACATTGATACTACGTGACAGCGACGGGACAGTGGGTACGGGAACGTCCCGCGCCCGCCGTTCCCTTGCCTTGGGTTATTCTCCGTCCGGACGAGTCCTGGAGGCGATGCTGCGCGAACGGTCCCACACGGTGTCGAGGAGGCGAGCGCGCATTAGCGCGCCGGCTAGGAAACACCAGGGTCGAAGAGAGCCAAAGAGCAGCAGCACGCATCGGTATTCAGCTGCTGGGCGACAGCGCCGATGGGGTCTGACAGCCCTGGACGAATCAAGGATTGACTGGGTTGATTGCGAGGAGACCTCAACCGTGTTGTGTCGGGCATCAACATGCCTTCCTGATGTAGTGGTCTTCATGCGATTGACTCGACCCCATCCCACGATCAGAAACTCTGTCCCAGGTCCGCTTCAACTGATCAGGCTATTCACTGACTCATGCCAATCCTCCCTACGACTTCTCGTGGAGGAACAACAATTCTTAACCTTTCCCCCTGCGTGACCTGGCTAGTTCCTTTCCGTCTAAACGAAGCTCTCATCTTGCCGTTCCCCTCATCGCCGGATTTTGAAGAAACAATTAGACCGCGGAACAGTCCGCGAGAAAGTCGCGAGCGGGCCTCATTCTCGGAACGGAGGGGGCTCAGGGGGACCATGGGGTGCTTCTTTGATGACTGATTTGCATTTGGGCGCATATCCCTTGCCTCGGATGCGACCGTCGTGCCCTCGGAAGTTCCAAACCGTGATCAGTTGACCCCCTTCTTTCCTGGGCGCTTTCACCCCCCACACAAAAGCGATCAGTCATTTCCTAGCACGGCGAAGAATGCATTCAACCAGACAAGCGGTGCCACGAAGGTCCGAGTGCATCTCCAACGCCTCATCGTCGCCTCTCCCAACGGCAGGAAATGTGATAACTCGCCTGTACCTCGACAAAAGCAGACCAACTCCGACCCTTTGCGCCGAGAGCGAGTTGGGGCCCAACGTCAGACGAAGCTCGTTCTCGGCTCCGCCCAGGCACAAACAGGTTAGGCGCTAGGCGAATGCGGCACAAAGAGGCCTTGTGGCCGGCCCATTTGAAAAGACTGGACTTCTAAGCAACGGAATCCCGTTTGAAATAATTTTGGCAAAGAAAGGCGGCCGGTTCGGGTGAGACGATGCCTTCCCGTCTGACGATTGCGAGGCACGGGGGGAATCCCAAGGGAAAAACGGGCCATGGCTGGCGTCGTTGCAGGCCAACCAACGGCGATCCGCTGACGCACTCGCGCGGCGCAAACAATCCGGGACTGGGCCCAGGCCGCTCCTTCCAGAAAGTGCCTGAAAAGGCGGTCAACCGGTTGGAAGTATTTTCCGCCCCCAAGACGCTGCTCGCATCGCGATCTTTGGGATGCACCAATTTCTCGCCAAAAATGGTTCGTGATGGGGTGCGCGCTGTTGTGAATGGCCAAATTGGCCGCCCTTCGTTCAACAAAAAAAAACAAGACCCATCAGAGGTGCCCAGAGCAAATCAGCGCATGGCTTGGCTCTCACGTGATCTACCCGTCCTGCACCCCACATCCTCCCGCGCGCCAGTTCCCGAAAGACGAAAGATCTCGTGTTGCTGGCGGGGCTCAAATCTGGCATGGAAGCAGCCGAGATTCCCCCAGCTTCAGCTTCCCAATCTCATTTCCTCTGACCGTCGTCGAGACTCCGCTGTCTCTCTGCACGATGCCACCCCAAAGCGCTCCACCACAGGGGGCAAGCAAAACGGAACGGAGCGCTCTCCGACGATTGACCCATCATCGCCTGGGAGTCCATGTCCAGAATCAAATCGACTCAGTGCGGGCATGCCGTGAAGCAAAAGGTTTGAAAATTCGGTTGGTCTTCTGATTTCACTAGTTAGGATAGGTTCGCCCGACATTTCCGCATTTTTGCTAGTCACCAACACATCAAGTCGGCGATCGAGGGTTTGGAGCTGTCTCCATCTCCAGTCGCCGATTGTGTCTCTCGGTTGCCATCCCGCCTGGCTGATTGGACCCCAAATCCAAGACGCGCTTTCAAGGGGCTCCCGCTCTTGGCCATCGCGTTCGGTCGGAGGAAGGGCAGCCAGGGTTCCCTGTCGCGCCACGTTGCAATGGGGGCCGCGAAACTTACCATACTCGATACCGTAACTTCCCGTCCCGCCCGTCCCGGTGTCATTCATCCTCTCTTGTCGGTCGTGGGTCGTGGGTCGTGGGTCGTCGGCTCGTGCGTTGCACGTTCCACAGTGTATGTGCACAGCGGCAACAAATCCACAGTCCACAACACCGAGGACGGAGAACGACGAGCTAATCACTGCTCGTTCATCCATACCCTCTCGTCTCAAACCAGCGTCGGCTGACGTAGGCCGGGGCGACTCGGCGACACTGACTTGGAATTTTGTCCCATGTAGGGCTGAGCCATGGTTGACCGCCGAAAGCCGACGGCCAACAGAACCGCCGGAGTTGCTCTCGACCAGCAAACGCACAATCCGGCTAAAATGCTAGCCTCCCTTTCCTGGGACCGATGCCATCAAATCATGGACAAAAGTCCGACCTCGCCACCCGACATGACATCGCGTGGAGGGGTCTACCAAGTTCCCGGGTTCGGTTGGAGTACGAGTCTCGACAGGCGGGGGTGGGCAAAGCAAAAACAAATCCCACGGTTTGCGGAGGATTGTCCTTTCTTTTTCGGTCACAAAGCGCGGAGGCTGCATGTCCGTGGATTGAGGGAAGGATGGAGGCTCGGAGGGCAGGAGATCAATCAGCACGGCTCGGCCAGCAGTCACATATTGATATCACTCGCACATATTAGCGCGCGTGGGATCCTGCAGCGTCTGCCATCGGCAACACGAACTTTGCAGGGCAACCCTACCCTCGGCGCATTTCCGTGCGCCTCCGCCAAGTTCGCCGACCTTTTGAGCGGACGGACGGTGACAAGGTCGAGAGACGGGCCTTCGATTGGTGACTACACTCATGTAAATGGCCGAGGGCGTGCTTTGTCCTTGCCGATCGGCTGCCCGGGTCTCCGCGTTACCGGTTCACTTTAGCGTCGGGGCCGGGCCGTGAGCATGGTTGGCGATGCGCTGGCACAGCAAACCCCGGTGGTTTCTCGCGGCGCAGCCTGATTTGGACGGGTTTCAGTCATCCAATTTGAACAAACCAACGGGCGCTGTTGCTGTGCCGCAGCGGCTCGGGTAAGACGTCTGGTCCCGGGGTTCCTTCGATTGCCCCTGGCCATGGTTGGATCACAGCCGGCTTGCCGAATCAGCAGCCCCGCGGCACAAGAACAAGCCGCCGTGCGCAGGAGGTTCCCGTGCGTCGACATTGTGATTTATTGCAGCTCGGGTCCGGTACCACCACTCGCGCATCGCCTCCCACCAAAGAGGCCATAGGCGACGACAGGCGACCGCCCCAAAAGGCAACCCGGCCAAACAGCGGTGAGACTGCCCGCTGATGTAGTGGGCTGTCGCCCCCCTCACACCTTCACAAACAGGGCCGGGCGATAACTCCTCGACTTGGCGCCGCCCATCTTGCCGTGTCCCGTCGCTTTTTTTTTTTTTTGTTGCGCGGCGGGCGGGCGAGCGAGCGAGCGAGCCTTGAACGGCTGCCGTCCGTTGTGGACGCGTGGTGGTTCCCACCTCGTTAATTCAGACATGCCTTGGCTTTTCGTGCAACAGAACAACAGAACCAAGGGGGGGGATGCCCGAGGCTTTGTCACGGGTCGATCCAACGGTCAGGCAATCCAGTTTCATGGGGGGGGGGCAATGACGCCTCTTACGGCCCAACGAAGGGCCTGAAAAAGCCCGTTGGAAGCCGCCCAATGGCCCCGCTGGGGTTGCACCGCGGCCGTGTTTCGAGCCAATAATAGGGGACATCGCTATTATCCAGCACGCTGTAACACCCTGAAGCGTACCGAGATGTGCCGCCCCAAAATGTGGGATCTGACAGTTCCTCCCGAAGCGGGTACGGACGGGAAACAAGTCTTGTGAGACCCCATGGGCGCACATCATCCAAGCCTCCCCGCGAGATGTCAGACCAACCCAAGAGCGATACGAAAGGATTCCCCCGAAAACGGAATGCTGCCGGATCACCGCGTGGGGTCTCGCCAACGCCCTGGCACACCTGGCTCTACCCATACGTGTACTGTATGTACGGTACCTAGCATGACTGCATGTGAGTATGCAGTGGTCCCCCCTCCCTGCTGCCGCACCGCAGAAAGCGGTGGTCCACTGATCACAAGGACGCGATGGAAGGGGGTGGTGGTGCACTCGCATCTCGCCGTGCCGCGCGCCGCTCTCCTGTTTCGCGACCCTGTCCCCCCGGCTTACCACGCCGACCAGCAGCACACCAGCAGCACACCAGCCTCCCCGCCCCTGCGCAGCGAACCCGCCAACCCGCATCAAGCCTCTTGCCGTTCTGTTCGTCGTGCAGTTCGCCGTGCAGCACCGGCATGCCGCAGCCCAGCCCAGCCGGCGGCTGCCCGTTCTGAGGCATTTGGGATAGGCCACACACCGGCCGGCATTCGAGTATGGGGAGACGCCTCGGTCACACACACCCAGACATTCATGACACCGCAGCCCGTCCGATGAAGCATGGACTGCGTCGCACAAATTTGGTGTGCGCATGGCCGTGTGAGGCCCTTCTCCTTATCTAGGAGAATGCCGCCACCATCATCAGTTGACATGGCCCATTTCATCTGGCCAGCGCTCTCTGCGGCCGGCGTCGTCCTGCATGTCTGTGTAACGTGTAGTCGCATAAGTCACATACATACAAGGTATGTATGTATGTCCATCCATCCCTCCTGTACCCAAACACTGGGTAACGGGGATGAGCGGCCCTTCCAGGTTTGGCGCCCGAAGCCCACCCCGAGGGCGTGTTTTCCTCCGACAGGGACAGGTCTGCGGACCGAGGGCGGGGTCATGCATTTCCTTCCCATGGGATCGCCGGCGCGATCGCTTCGTCCCCGTTTGTCAGAATGAACCAACCCAAAGGGCACGCTAAAATCGGTGAGTTGGGGTTTTCGCATCCAATACGTCTTCGACGTGCTCCCCGAGGGAGCGGCGTCGTTGCCGAACGGGGTTAAGTGCGGAAAATGGCGTGCTGGCGAATCGGCCCTTGAATCGAGCGAGTTTACCCAACCTCTCAGAGGGGAGCGTCATATTCCAGCTTTGGTGACCTTGTCGACCCCGTTTGCGGGGTTTGGGGGGGTCGAGGCGGACCGGACCCAAGGATCGGTCTCAGAGGCGTTTCCTTCTGTTGTTGTTTTGTTGGCTGGCGCCCCGGCTCGACCATCTGCCGCTGCAAGCCCTTTCTTTTCCCATTGGACTCCCGAGTCTCGGACCCCTCCGGTACGTTCTTGGTTGTGCTTGTCGTCGCAGTCCAATCTCGCTCGTCCCGCTCCCGTCCCGTCCTGGCCCGTCCGCCCACGCCTGGCCCTTGGACGTCACAGTCCCTTCGTTTGTCTGTCTGCTACACAAAGAAAAGTTGGAAGCTCCGTTTTTGTGCTTTATCGAGTTGTGTGACTTGCAAAGGGCTGAAAGACCTGACGGATTTTACATGTATGTATGTACATACCGTATGTCGTATGGGGTGTAACTCGGGGGGAGGAAAAACACCACGAGGTTAGCATCAGGCTCAGAAGTTCAAACCTTTCAGCCCTATCAACTCCCTTGGAGACTTTCCGCTGAGTTTAGGCACTCACGCTTTTCTCTCCGAGTATGTTTCTGAGATTGTTCATTCATAGCGACCATCCACATGTTGCCGAGGTGAAAGTGGCCGAGATGTATCCGCAAGACTGATGAGTATATATTTGGCAGAACCAGCAGTATTGAGCAAACAAAGTCATCAGTACACATCCATTCGTCTCATTATCAACCAGAGCGGCTTTTCTTCACTCTCCAGGCCCAACGACCTTGAACAAACGAGCAACCTCTTCACGAAACTGCCACTGCCTCGGATCATTTACCCCTGAGTCAACATGTCTGCTCCCTCTGACCACCACCACCACCACCACCATGACCATCACCACCATGGAAATGGGGCCTCTGCCACAGAGGAAAACCAGGAGTATTTCAAGTAAGTAGACTGCCCATGACTCCCTCAGCGTCAAAGCCGAAGAAGTCTAGCATCGGGGGTATCGTTGCGTCGCGATAGCCAGAGCAACAATGCACAACCATGTTCTTTTTGAGCTACAGATCAAGGACTAATGCAGCCGGTAACTGTAGCAAGCTGGCCGCGGAGTACGACTCCAGGCACGAGAAGACGCTGGGCAAGCTGATTGAGGAAATCCGGGCGAGGGTCGATTTCATCGGCGTCGACTGGGCGGATGAGGACGACGAGGACAACAACGGCGGCGACGGTGGGGAGAAGAAGGATGTGACGGCGAAGAAGAGCGTAAGGCTGTTGGATTACGCCTGCGGGACTGGTGTTGGTGAGTCTGCCTGCCCCCCTCCCTCCCCCCGACCGTTACGTCTAGCCCCTTGGTCCCCTTCGGTATTCCACTTCGGGGCTTGACTGCGTCAAGACAACTGAGTTCTCGATTGCACATATGCGCTGCAACTCTCATTGGTATAAGAACATCGATGGCTGACTCTCTTCGCAGTATCTAGGGTAAGTCGTTTTCTACCGGAGACGAGTACGGTTGCGACACTGCGCTGGGAGGGTTGCCGACAACTTCTTGTGCTTTGATTCTGACAACCATGCTTAGGCACTCGCCCCTTATACTACCCAATGTGTTGGCATTGATCTGTCAGAGAACATGGTAAGTCTCCTTCATGTGTTTACTCGGATGCCCTGCCCTGCCCACCACCTCGTACGACATCTTCTCTCGATTACCCACAGCTAACACACATCAGGTTGCTGCCTACAATACTCGGGCCGAGAATCAAGTATGTCCCTGGCGCCTAAAACACTCTCTGCCCAAGGACCGACTAACTCTCAGCAGGGTCTCGCCGCCTCCGAAATGCACGCCTACCAGGGCAACATCTGCGACCCCGACGAGCCCAACCCAGAAGCCCTCGCCTCGGCCGAGTTCTCCGAATTCGACATCGCCGCCGTAGGCCTCGGGTTCCACCACTTTGACGACCCGTCCCTGGCGGCCCGGCGGCTTGCCGAGCGGCTCAAGACGGGCGGCGTGCTGATGATTCTGGATTTCTTGCCGCATGGCAAGATGGGTGTGAGTTCCACCCCCTCTTCCCTTCTCTCTCCCTCGTCGTTTGGCCCACCATAGAGTAGAGGCAGAGCCCACGACGGAGCATATGGCTGACAGCACGGAACAGGACTCGCACCCTGCCCTGTCGACCGTCACACACCACGGCTTCTCGGAGGAGCACATCAGGCGGATCTACGAGGAGGCGGGGGTGGGCAAGGACTTTGGGCTCGAGGAGATGGCGGTGGTGTTCAACTTTTCAAAGGAGAAGAATGATGAAGTGCGGCGGAAGATCTTCATCGCGCGCGGCACCAAGGCTTGACTGGGGTTCCGGCCACGGTTGTAGGAAGAGGAGGGGTTGATCGGGGAGATGGGTAGATTGTCGGAATTTGGAGAATAGACTCGTTCTTGGACCTAGATTTAGGAAATACGTGATTGTCTCTTCATGGGTCTGTCGAAGAAAACAATGTGTTCGCCATGGATACTGTATCTATGTGCTCTATTTTACCTAAGAAGCATCACGGACCTGGCCTAAGAGACCCAAGTCACTAGGTAGTCACAACCTCACTCTTTAGTCCTCTCCTTCACCTCTACAGTGCACGTTAGCAATCCTCAAGACCGGGATAGAGATCCTGTCAAGGCAGGGAGGCTAGCGTACCTGGAATATCCACAATGAAGGCGCCGCCAAGGAGGATGGCAGGTTCGTCAATATTGTGATGTTCGTAGCTAAGATCCAGGGATCAGTACAAACAAACAAAGCTAGCGAGACGAATGACTGGTTAGAGAGGGCCTCACCTCAATGTCCCAACGCCGCCCGCTTCGAGCAGAAAGGTAGGGCCCTCATGAAGAGACTGGTTCGCCCAGCGCTGTGCAAAAGCCCGAAGGATGTCTGTTCAACCATGATGTTAGTTATTTATTCCCGGTTGAGTCCTCCTAAGGGGCTTCCTGGAGCATCCATGGATAACTAGTGGCTGGCGAGGTAAAGCGCCAAGGGGGTAGAGGAAGCATGTATTCGACGTACGGCCGTGGGCTACAATCAAGACGTCGCCGTTAACCCCGTCTCCCGCTTGTTTACCCATGACTGGCGCATGCCACTTCTCCCGGATGTCCTTGATCAACCGGTCAAGGCGCTCCGAGATGTCGGCCGGGCTCCTGCGTGGGTGTGTCAGACACATCCAGATTCGGTCAACCATAAAAATATAAGCCTGGGCCGGGAAACCTACTCGCCTCCCGGGCAACCATCCCGCCAGATATCCCAGCCGGTGCCCAATCCTTGCTGCTTTCGCAGTTCCCTGATGTTAGGCGTGGTGATGCCCTCGTAGTCGCCGTAGTCCCATTCTCGGATGTCCTCGGTGACCTCGATCCGGGCCTCGCAATGCTTGCCCTCGCAGAAGGGCTCGCCGTGGGCTTCCCACGGTAGCTGGTCCTTGTACGCAAGGTTGAGCAACTCAAGCGTGCGTTGCGCTCTGCGTCTTGGGGAGACATAGCTGTAAAAATGTGAGTATTACATACCAAAATAGTAGATGCGTAGACACTCACATATGGGCCAGTTTGCTGGGGACAATCAAGCGATCGTTACCGACCAAAGCCTTGCCCGTAGCCAAAACCCGCTTCTCGCCGTTGGCTGTCAGGGGGATGTCGGTCGAACCTGTATGGCGGCCGTTGAGCGACCATTCGGTTTCGCCATGGCGGACGATGAATACGCGGGGAGTCGACATGTTTGATGTGATGTTTGATAAGTTGATGGGTAGGTAGTTACCGCAGTCACGGTGGGTGGTATGTACCGTTTTCAGGATTCAAGGAACTGACAAGGACGGGAACGGAGCTGAGGGAGAAACCTCTCGCCAATCTCACACGCCGTTGGGCTTGAAACAGTTCAGTCAATCAGGAGGTGCGGCAAGAGAAACACAAGACGGACGATCTCTGATATTCGGTATTCATGATATGTATATTTTATTTTATTTATAGGGTATAAGATGTGTTGTATGATGCCTTCATCATCAACCCCTCTCCCCTCTCGAAACTCTGCAGGGGGATTACTCAGGCTCGCCCGTACACGGTAAAACGTGACGCCCTTGGTAACCGTAACCAGCGCCCCACTGGCTGAAGCACGTTTTTGGGAGCGGAATGTGGGCACCCAAGGACCCTTGATTCGCCGGCCGACACCGGTGGATTCGCGCTGTTCCTGACCCCTGCGACGGCCCGGCACGGTTACGTCAAGCGCCGCCAGATCTTCGCTCGACATGGCCATCAACATTTTTCTCCACACCGGGGTGACGACGACGACGACACCGCCGACCACAGGGCACAGGGCTTGGCGGATACAAATCAGGATTGGATTGTGATATCGAGCCGGGGTCGCAAGGAGCACAAGGAGCAGCACTGCAGCGGAGTGAGGATCATAAGCAAGGCCGAATATCACCACCAAGCCGAGGAGACAACGAAGGGCCAAGACCACCATGCTACAACCACTCAGCAAAACCGCCGTGGCCACCACCCGAGCCGCAGCCAGGCGGGCTCCCACCGCCAAACCAGCAACATCAAGGCCATTCACGTCCTCGCCTTCATCACCATCCCGACGCCCACCCCCACCCGCCTCCTCCTCCACCTCATCATCATCATCAACAACAACTGCCGCCAAGACCAAAGATGAAGCCACCCAAAAGACCCGACGCATCATCCTGACCCTCGCCTTCGCCGCCGTCACCTTCACCGGCACCATCTACGGGGCCGGGCTCAAGACCCAGCAGGAGTGGAAGGCCGTAAGTAACTTTCCAACCCCCACTCCCCATCACCGCAACCCCATGACGTTTAGATTATATGGATGAGGAAAAGCTCACGGGGGTCTACTCACCGCCAGGAAAAGAAGAAGGTGCAGGAGGCCACCGTGGACGACAAGGTGGCCATGTTGGAGCGGCAGAAGCTGGATATGCTGCGGCAGAAGACGGAGATCGAGGGGAAGTTGGCGGAAATAAGGGCAAGGATGAGGGAGAGGGATGTTGAGGCTGGTGGAGGGGGAGGGGGAGGGGGAGGGGGAGGGCAGGTAGCAAGCCCTGGGAAGGGCGGTCAATGATGTTGGAAGCAGCATAGCATATCGTGCAAGAGATACCCCTCGTTTCGTGTGCAGCAGTAATCTCCCGTCAAATTGGTTCGTCTAGCGTAACTCGTGCGGTCTACCAAGGCCGAATTTCATAGCCTTCCATGTCTTCCCAGTTCCCAGTGTACCGTACGCCCGCCCGATCCCAGCTGTATGATTCAGCAACCCATGCCGCAATGCTGTTTGTAACATTTTGACCCGGAGCCTCATTCAACAAGACCCTCCGCCGTCGGCAACGGAATGGCCTTGTACAGGAGGATGAGCGCCGAATGAGACTCGCCACCGCCGGCCAGCGCGTCGATCTTGTCCGACGTCACCTCGGTGACCTTGTCGTCGTTGAACCACCACCAGTTGCCGTCTTCCTCGCCGATCTTTCCCGTCACCGGGTCCTTGGGGCCCGTCTTCTTCACGTAGGCTGTGTAATGCCCGCTGTCCGCACTGGCACCCTGGTGCGTGACTACGGCGCGGAGCTCATAGATACCCGACTGGTTGGCGCCGTCATCTTTCCGGAGCTCCGGGTCGATCAAGCCATTCAGCACCTTCTTCGACTCCAAGAGCGCCGCGTCCTTCTCCGCTTCCCACTCAGCGTCCGTCTTGAAGGTCTCGACCATCTCGACATCACCGTCGGCCGAGGTGGCTGGTTTCTTGCTGTCCTTCTTGCTCTTCTCCTTCTTCTCTTCGGGCAGCTCCTCCTCCTGGTTAGGGTTCTTCTTGCGGCGCTTCCGAGCCCGCTCAACGTCCTCCTCGTCCTTGCGCACCTCGCGCACCTTATCTCTGACCGGGACTAGAGCCTTTCTCAGCTCGTCCGTGCAAAACTCTACCGCGTCTAACTCGTGCGGGAACGTAACCTTGCGCATAATCTTGGCCTTCTTCTGAACATCGCGCTTCCAGAAGAAGCGCACGAAGTGGACTGTGAGGTACTTGGGCAACCGGGAGATCTTGGACGTCTTGGTGTACATCTCGTCTCGGCCCAGTACTTCAGACCTCTTCTCGATCTTCTCCGACAGGCCACTGACTAAGCCGTCCCTCAGGTGGGCTGTCTGACCGTCGATGTGGCAGTTGAGCTTGAGAAACGGCTCGCTGGCGGAGGTTGGTTGCTCGCCACCTTCGCGGGCAGCGGGGTCGTCGCATTCAAGCGTGCTGGAGAACGCACCAGACATGTATTTGTCGACAAAAGAACTGGCACCGGCGGTTTCGCCCTCGGTGGGCGTCTCCCATTTCAGCTTCTGTCTCAGCTGCGAAACAATCTGGGACCAGGCTTCCTCAGCATCCTGCTGCGCATAGCCCTCGCCTTTCTTTGACCTCTCGGCGAACTGAGGGAAGGCCATCCGGAGGGCGTTCAAGAAGGTGAATGGAGGCATGCCATTCTGTGTCTCCGACATTTCCTTGAAGAGGTCCTTAAGCTGGTTCGTGAGGTCGAGCTGGGGAATCTCCGTCATGGACGTATGCTTGTGCTTCCCAAGGGCATCCTGCAGTTCGGGAATCGAGCGTAGCGCCTGAAGTGTAGAGTTGAGATAGCAAGTGTTACCGAGGTTTACTAGACCGGCCGGGGTGGCGCCTAATTGCTGAGCGGCTTCGGCCTCGGTCATGTCTTCGAGAAACTTGACCTTCTCGGTCGGACGCACAATGGCGCCACCGCCATCTCCGGGGGTACCCATCATCATGATCACCTGTCCGCCCTTCAACCCCAACTTGCTCATGTCGGCATCGTCCTTGAGCTGGCCGCCCTTGACCAGGATCTTCTGTCGCTCGGGTTCGACGCCGGTAAGGCTGAACAGTTGGTATTTGAGGACTTCGCCGGTCGATGAAGTGTCGACCTCGACATCGTACTTCTTGCCCTGGTGCTTGATCACCACTACACGATTGGTGGTTAGTGCTGGTATCTGATGGTGGCGTTTCAAACCCGGATTCCTACCGTTGATGGTGGCCATCTTGAACTCGAGGACCGGGTACCAAGATGAGAAGGGGAAGAGAGGAAACGAAGTGAGAAAAGGGCTTGGGGATACCCAGAGGTCTTGTGTGTTCGATTCCGAGCACACCTTAAGTCGAGCTTCCGTTGTGTGGCTCCCCCAACTGAAGTGGCGGATGTTGGAAGAAGAAAGAAGGCGCGGGGCTGCAACGGGTAACAACAGGGCCATGCCAAGCAACCCTGGAGCTCCTGGCAGGGCCCCTTCAGGCTGCCAGGGATTACGTAACTTCCATGCCCCGCCTCCGCCCAGCGAGGTTCCCGCCAGGCTGACTGCCAAGGATACCGGGAGCTGCATTTAACGACGACGACAACCACGTCAACGGCCGAAATTGTTGCGCCTTTGCTGGATTCGAGGGCCATCCTCTGAGCACAGGCACGATGGTGAGATACATTATGAAATGGCCTCTTCATTCCCAAAGGAACAAGGCAACGAAAGAGACCAAGCTAACCTAAATACCCCCGCAGTCGCAATCACTCCGCCCCTACCTTCAAGCTGTCCGGAGCAGCTTGACAGCCGCCCTCTGTCTCTCCAACTTCGCATCGCAAACATCCGAACGACACAACGTCCCCGAGATCGAGGCCCAGACATCCCCCGAGGTGCTGCTGACGCCGCTGACGATTGCCCGCAACGAGAATGAGCGTGTCCTCATCGAGCCCAGCATCAACAGCATACGAATCAGCATCAAGATCAAGCAGGCCGATGAGATCGAGCATATCTTGGTCCACAAGTTCACTCGCTTCTTGACACAGCGCGCCGAGTCCTTCTTCATTCTCCGCCGAAAGCCCATCAAGGTTGGATCATCCACCGGCTCCCACCCGTCTTCGGAGACTGACAGACACCTACTAGGGATACGACATCTCGTTCCTGATTACGAACTTCCATACCGAAGAGATGCTAAAGCACAAGCTGGTTGACTTTATCATCCAGTTTATGGAGGAGGTGGACAAGGAGATTTCCGAGATGAAGCTCTTCGTATGCCCCCCGCCCGGTTCCCGCAGCATGACCACCACTAACATATCTCTAACAGCTGAATGCGCGGGCGCGTTTTGTGGCTGAATCTTTCCTGACACCGGTGAGACTTACTTTTTCAACCCTGGTCCAACCGTGGCTCCGAGACTAACCTTGTCCCAGTTCGATTAAGGGGATAGGCGTTTTAGAGCAACGAGAGCAACGAGGACACGACACATCCACTCAATTGCCGGAAAGGGGTGCTGAACGAAGCCCAGTGACCACCCCAGGCCTCAAGCACCCCGCCCGATGTTCCGGTGAAGTCATCCGAGGCTGGCCAAAAGGGCTCCAGGAAATTCGGATTTGACACTCATGGGCTAGAGTTGGAAAAGCATCGCCGTCATCTCGCACAGCCTCAATATCACGACCGACCGAAACAAAAAATGTTCAGAAATTCCATACCTGCGCATTGCTTGAACTAGTGACCTCATTTCCGGACGTTAATCCATGTGGTTACCTCTCTAAACCACCCAGTTTTTCTATACTGGGGTCTTCTAGCGCCGACTTGGCTCGCCAACCCCGGCCTTCGTCGAGCTGGCCCAGCGCCGAACAGAAGACCCGGTAACAAGACATTGCTTCATCACCAGTTCAGGCCACACACCACAGCTCCCGTTTGCCCCCCAGTTCCAGGCCGCGGCTGTCCGAAGCCCGCTCACCTATGGTGTTACTCACGCGCTCGGACATTACCCCAGATTCATCCCGTGGTTCCCAATGTCGGTTTGCTAACACCAGGGTGTTCCGCGCATACATACAAGCTTCTATCGCCCGAAAGGCGTCCTCAATTCAATAAACCTAGCAACGACCTCAACCCCTCTACTCTTTACCGATCTCTGCACTCTAGCACCACATAATTACAACGCCTTCGCCGGCGCTTCTGTTATTGATCTTCCTAATGGGATGCCGGGTTCATGCGGCTGACTTGATCTCTTCGAGAGTTACGATTCCCCGTCTTCTCGACGGCCAGTGATGTTGCGGAGATGTACTTTCAGGGGGTTGCCTCGCCCATCTCGCTCTCTGTTACCCCCGCCCGCGGCCCCATCCAAGCCTTCCCATCAGACTCAGATACGCTTCGGTACGCTCCCCTTGATTGCTACGTCGGTGAATATTTTCCTTTCCCAGCCAATACGAACTCCCCGTACAGCGAACCCCTTATTGCCGACTGCCATTGGTGCGTCTAACCACCTGGCTTGCTCCATGGGAAACCGCATGGCACCCGGTTTGGCCAGTCTAAGTCATATCTCATTCACTTCATGGCTTTCTTTGTAACGTTTCGGAAGTGGTAGCTCAGGAGGCAACGGCGGTTCGTGACAAGGAAATGTGGAATTGGAAACATCATCTTGAGATTCACCCCATCAGAAGCTTTGACTCTGATGCTCCCCATCAACCTATCTTGCCATAGTTAGGGTTTATTGTCTTCAATCCGTATCGAACACACCCTTCCCTTCATCTTATGTTGGCGCCCATTTTGGTGGAACTGTCTTGGTCTGCTCTCCCTCCACCTTTGAGCATTATTGTTGGATTTGTTGTTTTGTTCATATTCTCTCCATCCAAACAATCACAGTGTGTGTACCACCACAAATGTTTACTTTCTATTGCTCTAGTTACCCCATTCTTGACTTCTATTGTACATATCCCTTCCTATTGTGGTCACTCAAAACACCACATGAGCCACGATACCACTTGTTGGCTTTACTTCCTTTTAACTTGAACATACATTAACCTCTGCTGCAGTTCCATTTTGTGGATTCAAGGTCATCCTCAACTCACACCAAATCTTCATCTCGGTAACCTTCATAAACAGTCCTTTAAGGTACGCAGACGTTTAGGACCCGCTTGTTGCAGCCTTTTCTTCCACGCCCCTCCAGAAGTCTCACCATCGACCGAGAAGTTCTCTGACTTCCTGTCTTCTTCACTATAGCACACCATCCTGTTGGGTTCAGGCTTTTCTCTTTCTCTTTCTCTACGATAGCCATCATATCGGCTCTGCTGTCTCAGAAAACCCAAACCAGTAAGTACATTGACATTTCTTGTTATTCTTCGCCTATTTCGCCCTCGCCCTTCGGTCGCGGCCGCCGTTGTCAATACCCTCTTCTTTCCCCCCCATCCTCAGCCGCCACGATCATCAACAGTCGTTCGACCCGATGCGCCCTCTTCCACTCCATCTTCCACTTCCTTCCTTTCCCACACGCTCTCTCCCAACTTTTGCTACAGCCACTTCCCAACATTCTTTTCCCACCAGCTACAGGTGGCTTCTCAATCTTTTCCACAAACCACCCGCAGGTCCATCTTTCGACGCTTCAGAGCTACCTTCCCATCCATTATCAGGTCAGATATTTGCTGCAAGTTTCTATTTATTGTTGATTGCAGCTTTATCTACATCGCATCGCACGTGGATATATGATGCGAAGCAAGCGATTGATTGCTTCACGTCGAGCTTCCTTTCACGACTTTTGCCTTTTTGCGAACTCGTTTAGGTTCCCAGACTACACTCTACTAACATTTCAATTTACTCAGAAACGGGTGCCTACCCATACCAGCCAGTAGCTTCGACATACAAGATGGCGACCGCGGCTCCCAACGACAACAGGCCGGTCGCTGACACCACGCCGGCCAAGCGAAACGACCGAACCGCAAAAGGCTTAAAGAATCGCTTTGCGGCTTTTATTGAGGCCGACGACGACGACAACGACAACGGCGGTGGAGTCATGCTTCGCGACTTCGATGATGATAGCCACACTAGCAATGGCGGGGATGCTTCGACTCCTATCGGCAGCAACAGCAGCACCTCTTCTGGCAATGGGTGCGCTACCGTTCCGCGGAAGAATCCCTCGACGGCGTCCTTCAACAGGCCGTCCACCACAGGCCGTCGCAACACCATTGCGCCCATCGGTACCGGGCGTTACACCGAGTACACCGCAAACACCAACGGCGGTGCCGCACTGGATGCTCCCATGGATGCTTGGGTCCGTCTTCGGTTTGTTTCCTTTCTTTGGGCCATGACTAACCGAGAACCTTCATTTAGATGAACGCAAAGAATGTCGGCAATGAGGCCGATAGACAGGGCAACGGGGTCGGCCAGATCGGAAATGTCGGCGGAACACCCGCTAAGAACCAGGCAGGCATGACGGTAATTGTGTACCCGAATGGCGTTTCTGAAGTATTAAACTAACAAGGTATAGCAGAATACCTATCCGCAGATGACCCAGGCTCAAGCTATGCAGTTTGGCTACACGCAGGGCCTTAATGCCGCGGTGAGCAACATGACCCCGGCGAAAACCACACTCGATCAACGGTCGCCTGCCAATGCCATGGGATATTCTTGGGGCAGTACGCCTACCTACAACTCCGCTGGCAATGTATATACCCCGCAGACCACTGGGTATGGCACCACTCAGGGAACCGCGCTGAGCGCCAACTTCCCCTCCGCGAGCATGAATTCCACCCCTTCGCACATGTCAAAGACGGTTGGCAAGGACGCCATGGGTACTCCTCAGTCTGCGTCCATTTACAACCAGTATAACCAGACTGAGCCTCGCAACTTTGCGCCGCGCGCCGCTCCCATGTCTATGCCGCCGCCCCCTGCGTTCAATCTGGGGCTCCAGGGTGCCACTAGGAAGCACGAAGAGCACCAGTTCACTGCACCGGATTCCGACCCCTTCTTGTCACCTCGTTCTAAGGGTGCCAACGGACATGCTATCTCCCAGGCGCTTGTGCTCTCGTCAGTCCCCGAGGACAACCAGGTGGCCTTGGATCCCTACCAGGCCTACAACGGCCCGGTTCCCGCCGAGCTTCGTGCCGTGCGCTCGACACAGCTTAACCAGCTCACTGAGGGCCCCATGGGTATGCCGACCCAGGACATAGCTCTCTATCCCGAGAACTTCCCTTTCATGGAGACTACGACTCAAGCTGCACCTGTTGGTCATGGAGTTGTCAAGATCAGGAATGTATGTATATCCGTTTCCGAAGCTGCGTTGCCGTTCCGATAGAACGAGTTGAACTGATTGTTTCCAGATTCCCTTCGGTACCAAGCGCGCCGAGATCATCGCCTTCCTTGGCCGCAACTCCAAGATCCTGAACGATAATCAGGAGCCGGTGCACATCATCATGGAGCGCGTTTCATCCAAGACCCAGGACTGCTATGTCGAGTTCATGACGACTCAGGATGCCGTGAGGGCTGTTGATCGCCACCGCGACAATATTCAAAAGGGCCGCCCTTCCCGTCTCGGCGAGCGCCCCATTGAGTTGCTGCTGTCGAGCCAAGCTGCTCTCATGATGGACCTGTTCCCTCTTGCTGCTGGTGTCTGGTGGGACAATGCCAAGCCGGTCATCCAGGCGCCCATTGACGGCCAGCCGTGGAAGACCTTCAAGGGTTTTGTTACTGAGGAGGAGATGACCATGCTGGTCAAGCACGTTGAGATCCCGCAGCGGGTGAGTTCACACTGGATTGTCACCTTTCAAAACGAGAAAACTGGTAACAGTTACTGACCAAGCTGCGGCTCGCAGTCCCCCTACTCCAAGGAATGCCCCCAGCGCCCTTACGAGTGCATGATCTCTACTATTAAGAAGCTGCCCTGGTACATGGCAGACCGCATCACGCTCCGCCAGCGCCACGCCATCTACGAGGCTACGGTAAAGCTCATCACGCTTCTCCAGCAGGCCCTGCAGCGCGACCACCGCAACCACGAGACGGTGCTCAACAAGCAGCTCATGAAGCGCCTCGTCACCGCCGCCATGCTGTGCCCGGGCTTCTCGGTCGTGCAGAAGGACAACATCGCGGTGCTCGCCGACATGGAGCCGGACCGGGCGCGCATGTTCAACCAGCCGCGCTTCGCCGAGCAGTGGGTGCACCTGCACGGCGTCTGCCCCAAGCCGGGCACGCCGCTGGACGTGCTCGAGTGGTACGTGGCCGTCGTGCGCGAGGAGACGACGCGGTACGTCCACCGCAAGCACATTGTCGAGCGCAACGAGATCCAGCGCGCCAGCTGCTACACCTCGCTCTACTTCGGCTACATCTGGTACGAGATGGGCCTGCCCACCGGCAAGGAGCTCGACAACCTCAGCCTGCACGCGGTCGCCCGCTGCGAGCTGGCCGTCATTGAGCGTGCCATTCGCCGCGCCCTGCCGTCCGCTGCTCTCCAGGAGCAGTAGGGTGTGGGTGAGCGGATGGCGTGGATGGAGAAGAAGTATTTTCGGTATTTCTTCTTGGCCTTCTACGCTCGGAGCAGCCGCGATTTCATCTTTGTCGCCATCTCATCGTTCGTTACCGTTTGCGCGAGATATCACAGTCTGATTTCTGAATGCGACTCTCTTTCCCTTTTCTTTTCGTTTTGGCTGTTTGGAGCAGTTGCGGTCTGGTTCTGGCGATCTTTGGTTCCGTCACCCATCACGAGCATCACAATCCCATAGTCGATGGCTCCTGGGTGGTGGCGCCATTTCAACCAGAATCTATCCCGGCATCTTAACATGGCGCTCGAGAGTTCGGCTCATTTTGAGAGATCAACTAGCTCAACCACCGCCCACAAGCGTGGAGGGTGATCTCGTTCGTTTTTTTCTCCCACTACATCACGGTACGACTTTGGCACAGGATTGCTCTTTGTGTTGTCGTCCTTTCGACGTACCGCGACACATGAGGACCACGGTGCTGCGAATCACCAGATGGCTGTCTTCTCAGTTGTCTGGGAGGCCTGCCTGTCCTTGTGGTCTGCCCCGGCTCAGCAGTCGGTTGGCCACTACATATGCCGGAACCAACAAAAAGTATTCTTTCCAGATTGACGACATTTGCTACGCTGATAGGAGGGATTTGGGAGGGGATGGCTCACACTACCAGCATGGAATGGATTTGTCTGTCATAGATTTGGCGGGCTCCAGGCTGGGAATGGTAGTTGGGGGTCGGAATCTTTTTCTATCCTCTCGCTGGCAGCAGGTATCACAGCATACTTAATTGACACAACCCCCTAATCACCGGTACGGAACATGGTGACATGGAAGTTATCCATATTTTTGAAGTGCCATGATGGAAAGTATCATCAATTTTCCCCTGTACTGTTGCAATCTCCGCATTCCAAGTCCCTAGAAGGCTGGCATTTACGAACTAAGCCCTTTTATCCCTAACCTCTTGACCCCTTATTCTGTCATTTTGTCAACAAATCAACAAAACACCACACCATGTCCGCCTTCACATCACCGTGGGTACGGATGTATGTACATACGAGAGCTCCACAAGGTAAGACACGTTTGGCTATGATTAATGATATACCGTCTATACAAAATAACTAATAGCCGTGCATATCATTTAGTTCTCGGACCCTGGGTCACTGGGGATCTTCACATTACACATCTGTACAATACACCATACATAATACACAATACACAATACACCAGAGTCTGTGTGAAGCGTCTCGAGGTCCGTGCCCCAGGACAACCCCTCGGGCGCGACTTCTTCATATGACGTCTGCACAAACTTTCCGAAGAATAGCCGGCCCAAGCCAGTGAACGCGTCGCTCAATCACAGATGCCAAAAAAAAGTTTGAGGATGGAGAAGGCCTTATCGCGATACCGATCCTGGTCCCTGTTCTGGTTTTGCGATCGACTGCTCGCTCATCGCAAACCCGCACTTTCCAGCATCGGACAGCAATGCAGATTCTCTAATCTCGAGACTTGTACATACCAGAAAAGGGGTGTTCAGGCTGTTACCAGGATCGCCAAGTCCTGGATTCACAAACGGTCCCAAAATAAATATCAACACACCTCGAAGCGGCCATGGCTTCAGCCTCTGTCACCAGGTCGACGATGCCTGGTGGACCTGGGAAGAGCATATCACATACCGATGCACCCCTCACACAATCACGAGAAACGGGCGATGTAAATCCTGAGTCGCGGCAAGGAAGCCCGATAGTCAACCGGGACAGGTCCGCGCGCGCTGTTAAATCATGGGCGCATCTGGTGGCAGGAGGGTAAGCTTAACTCCCGAGACAAGACAAGTTCAGGTTGTAGTCATACTGACATCCTATTCCCTGCGCGTAGAATCGGCGGCATGACGGCTGCTACCCTGACTGCACCGCTTGATGTCCTCAAGACCAGGTTGCAGTCCGATTTCTACCAAGCCCAGATCCGCGCTTCCCGGGCCTCGATAGCCGCTCCGATGAATCCCCTCCGAACCGTCGCATTCCACTTCAACGAGACCATGTCCATCTTGGCCAGCGTCTACCGCCAGGAAGGGCCCCGGGCGCTTTTCAAGGGCCTCGGCCCTAACCTGGTCGGCGTGATTCCCGCCCGCTCAATCAACTTCTTCACCTACGGCAACGGTAAGCGCATCATCGGCGAGTACGTTGGTGACGAGGACTCCCCGTGGGTGCACCTTAGTGCGGGTACTCTGTCTGGTGTCGTCACTAGTACGGTGACAAACCCAATCTGGATGGTCAAGACTCGCCTGCAGCTCGATAAGAACATGGCGATAGAGAGTGGCGGCATCGCCAAGCGCCGGTACAAGAACAGCGTGGACTGCATCCGGCAAGTACTACGTGACGAAGGGATCCGAGGTCTCTACAAGGGCATGAGCGCGAGCTACCTAGGCGTGGCCGAGTCGACCATGCACTGGATGCTGTACGAGCAGATCAAGCGCTCGCTTGTGAGGAGGGAGGAACGCATTGCCCTCAGCGGCAGGCAGAAGGGCTGGTGGGACCACACGGTCGACTGGACGGGCAAGTTTGGCGCCGCGGGCTTTTCCAAGTTCATCGCAGCCGTAATAACTTATCCTCATGAGGTGCGTCTTGGCTGCTGACAACCGAACTCCCGCGGGAGATGCTGACTCCATGAATCAGGTCGCCCGCACTCGCCTACGCCAAGCGCCCATGGCCGACGGCCGGCCCAAGTACACCGGCCTCGTCCAGTGCTTCAAGCTGGTGTTTAAAGAGGAGGGTATGCTCGGCCTCTACGGCGGCATGACGCCCCATCTACTCCGGACAGTCCCGAGCGCAGCCATCATGTTCGGCATGTACGAGGGCATTCTCCGACTCCTCCACACTTCGGCGTAAAACCAACCTCCCTCCTCAACAATCTATTTCGGCACGACGACCGCAAGCCCGAAGCGACTGTACAACCACCGTGTAAAAACAACTACCTACCTACTAATCTACCTCGCATCTAGCCTCGGCAACCCAAATCTGTCTGCGAATATGGCGAGGTGCCTCCCCTTTAGTTCTTCTTGTATTGCAAAGGGCGAAGGAAACCACCGCCCACCTTTTACTCACGTCTTGTTGATTGTCGACAGATACCCTCCTGTCCTTCGCCATCTACGAGATCAGCTATAGAAAAGGGGGCCATCATAGAAGGGGTTCGGTTGGTTGGCGCGGAATCTAGCGTACTGCACTATTCTTTTGTCTTTTTTTCTTTTTCGCATTTGAATCGGCGTTTTTGGGGACGGGTTGTCCGGCAAAACAATGATGGGAACGAGGGGAATCCTACTCCTCACCTCTCATTGTACGAATTGGCGGTCCTGAAAGGGGGCTTGTCGTGTATCTGTGATGTTGACGGAAAAGTGACGCTGTACATGTAGACGAAAAAAGACGACGCGAGGCACATGATGATGGGCCCGCGGGAATGGGAATAAGGGGGGTTGCACCTTGGTGCATGAACTGTATGCATGCTTAATGGCTTGATGCATCTCCTCTCTAGCTAGAGCCAATCGATGAGTTCATCATGCCTCTATCAAGCACGCCGAGTCCGGGCCATGATCTATTTCCGGACGGAGTGGTTCTCGGCTGTAACACAAGTTGCATGACGTCCGACTCGATGTTCTTTAAGCAAACGTTAGGCATGAGAGAAACACCTACAAAGTAAAGTATTGGATATCTCGTGCTAAGCCGTAAAACATCGGGAATCAGCAGCAAAGCGCAAAGGAAACAACAGACTAGACTGATCAACCTTGCCTCATTCATTCCCCCACAACCCACCCCATCAAATGCGCTGAACAAATGCGCCGAACACAGAAAATATATACCACCCTTGCACGAACGCGCCGGTCAAGCTCCCAAGATATCACCTTCCTCTTCCCATAGGCCACCCTACCCGCCATGACGAAGACGTCAATCAACAATCCGAGCCGTCATTATCCCCCAACTTGTGCGCTTCAAGCCATCCTTTCGGCGGCCGTTTCCGCAATTTCCGCTGCGGCCGTGAATAACCCGTGCTATTTCCCCTATTTTCGGCATTCCTCTCGCCCAGAAAGAACCTCAGCCTCGACAGAGCCGGCCGAGGGGCGGTCAGTGGCGGCGGCGGCGGCGACGGTGGTGGAATCCAGCCCAATCCATCAGCGCAGTGTCACCAGGCGTTGCGGTCCCAGTTCGGGTCTAGAAAGTCCAGACTGTCAGCACCACCCCTCCAAAAGAAGACAAGCGAAAAACAAAAAGGACAAGCAAAAAAAAAAAGAAACGCACCCTGCACAAACGCCGCCAGCACCTTGCTCCCCGTCTGCAGCAGCGGATGCCCGACAACAATCTTGAGAAACTTCTCCAACCCGGCCCGCCGACCCTCGATCACATCATCACTAAACCGGTTGGTGAACACCTTGCCCGGCAGCGGCGGGATGGTGACGCGGGCGCTCTCGCGCTCGAGTATGTCGCGGAAGTACTCAAAGTCGGAGTAGCGCCGCCGCACCGTCGACTGCCGCAGCTTGAAGGCGGGTATGTTGGTCCGGCACACGATCTCGTAGTCGGTGTACATGTGCCGCCCGATGCCGTGCGTGCGCGGGTTGCGGACCTGTGAAGGGGGTAGGGTGAGCGCCGGGTGTTAGTTTTTTGGTGTTTTTGTTTTTGGGCCGGTCGACTTGGGGGTTGGGTTTTGAATTGCGGGATGGCAAGAGGGAGGGGGAGGGGCGGGGGTGTTGATAGGAGACGAACCTCGATCTCTAGGAAGTTCTCGGGTGGTCCGTAGATCTCGTCGAAGGACTGCTGTCTTGTGTCTGGCAGCGACTGCATCATGGGCCGGTGCAGGCGCGCAGCAGCCGCCTCGGCCGCGGATGTGGGGGATGTGGGTGAGGTAGTGGACGTAGGCGACGTGGGCGAAAGTGGTGGCTGTGGATCGGCACCGGTGTTGGCCGCGGGCGCCGGGTTCGTGTCATCAACTGGTGACGCCATGCCGTCGGTAATGGTAGTGTTGACGGTGTGGTTAAAGGTGGCCGCTTAGTCTGCTCGTAGTCTGCGATTTTTGGTGGTTCTCGATGCGCGGATGCGCCGCGCCTTGTGCGCTAATCGCCGAAGGGATGTCAACGGGGAAATGGTAGGGAATTGCTTCACTTGTCGAGTGCAGGCGAAGATGGCGCGTGATGTGACCTTGTGGTGGTTTGAGGGTGCGAAGCCAAGCCAAGCTCCCGCTCGGCTCCCTTGAGGTGCTTGGTGAGGTGGGGTAACTTCCCCAGAGAGCTGTGGATCGGCGGGAGGGGAGACAATGACCACATCGGCCTCGGGTCGCGCAACTTGCATCCCTGGAAATACGAGGTCACTCAGCAGCACCCGACACTTTTGAAGCACGCATCCATGGAATGGCCAGTACGAAGTACTCGTAGGTTCTGCGTACTGCAGTAACTACAACCAGATAAGTTGTCATTGCGACCATAACCCTTCGAGAACGCCCTTTGTGTGTGTGTGTGTGTACCCATGCCATTACCGTACATACCTATATACCAATCTTCGCCGTCTCGCCCTTGCGCGAGCTTTGTTTGCTCTCCTTAGGACTCGCTGTAAAGGCGGTTGGTATAAGCTTCGCAAAGACAAACCATCCTCATCGCAACAATCTCACCTGTGGCCCAAGACAATACCTTGTGTACTCCGCAGCATACACACAACGCCATCCCCGGTAGACCATCCTTGTATGTTTACTGCTGGTCTTCCGCGATACTTCGGGCCCAGCGCTAGGTTACTCCCCGCTTGTAGAAAACTGAAACCAAGACAGCCCGCTCCTCCAGCCGGCCTCTTACTTCTTCTCAGGAGCAAACTTCTGATGAATCGCCCGGATCTGCTCGTCGAGGTTGAAGGTCTGCAGCTGGTTGATATGGGCCTGGCTCTTGCCGTCCGGGTTACCATCAAACGCGTGCAGCGCAACCTTCTTCCTCCGGGCCAGCTCCTCTTCCGAGATGGGCTGACCCGTCGTAGTGTCAAACACGTCGCTCCGCTGGCTGGCGAGCCGCTTGAGGTTATTGGCTACGTCCACAGTAGACAGATTGGTCGTGGCAAATCTGGCGTCTGCCTTGGCCTTCTGTTCCTTCCACCGGGGGTCGAGAAGTTCGACTGCAACGTGTTAGCTCGGCGTCCTAGAATCGAAAGGGCGGGTAAACTCACTTCTCATATGCTCGTCCATCTCGTTGAGTGGTATTTGCTGTTTGCAATTTGGACACATCGCTGTCTGTGTGCCAAACTTGCTCGCTGCTCGCTGCGCAGCGCGTGGGACGTAGTTCTCCTTGATCTTCATCGGCGCCGCACCGCCCCGCGCCTCAGCCTGCGCCTGCTGCATTCGAAGCCTATCTTGTTCCCTCTCCTGTATCCTCTGCGCCTCAGTTTCCTCCTCGGCAGCTCTTGTGCGAGAGGCCAAAGGCATGGAAGCGCCGTATGCCTGGGGGGGCGGGGTATTGGTAGCTGGGTATGCGGGCGCTGCTGGGGCGGGTTGAGCGGCCGGGGCTTGCGCGCCGTATGTTTGGAGCGGGTAGGCGTTGTAGCTTGTGTCCTCGAAGGGGAAGGCCTCCTCGATGCGGAGGGTAGAGCTAACGGATACCTTGTTCCTCTCTTCCAATGAGGCATACTGGAGGTCGTTGAGCGTCGTCGGAGGTGGGAGGTTGGCCTGGTCATCGGCCTCGTTAAAGACGATCGTCTCGACGACAACGAAGTCGTTCCAATCGATCCGCGCAAACTCGACTTTCTTCTTCTCTTCCTCCTCCTCTTGCTTCGCCTTCTCCGCTTCCTGCCACTTGGCGTATGCCGCCCTTTGCTTCGCACGCGCCAGAACCTTGTATTTGTCCGCAACGTTTTGTCGCAGCTGGTCGACGCGCTCCTGCTGTGCTTTACTCCCTTCGCCATTGACTCCGCTCTCGCGCAAGAGAACGGAGTACTGGTCGACCATACTTTGGAAGAAGTTGTGGAACGTGTGGTTGGGCATCAGGAACTGGAACTGAGGGTTGCTCGCCTCACGCTGGGCAAGCTGAGTCAAGAAGGGGCGCCCATTCTTTGCGACGAACAAGGCAGTTAGTCGCACAATCTCCAAGTCTTTCTGGCTCATTCGAGGCATACGGGCTGAAAACTGGAAATCAGGCGGCTTCGGAGGCCCCGCGGGCTTCTCTTGTGCGGGAGCGGCAGCCGCCTCGCCGACGCGACCGGCTGCGAGCGCCGTGCCCCTCCCCGACTTGATTTCCTCCTTGCGCCATTCGTAGTACGCGTTGTATGGGTCGGAGCTTGACATTAAGAAGTTGAATTTCGGGTTCTTGCCGTGGTTGTCGCGAATCCGCTGCTCGAGGCCGGCGCCGCCGCGCATCACGTAACCGGCTGTCTTCTCGATCGCCTCGCGGATTTCGCCCGGCGGCGGGATGATGACGCCAGGCGGCGGCTTGAGGTTTTCAAGCGCCGCCGCGGCCTCTGCGGGCGCATCGCCGTTTGCGACAGCCATGATGAGCGTGTTTGTGTGGTGGTAGTTGTTGTAATTAATGGTAAGGTGGACTTTCGTACTGGAATTTTTGGGGTTGCCCGTTGGTTGTTGCTCCAGCGTCGCTTTCTCGAAGTCCTTGCCGATTGGGGATGGTCCGTTTCGGTCTGTGCAGCAAAAGACCCCTGCGAAAGCGTAATGTAACGTCAGCTATCCGTACCAGGTCGATCTTTTGAGTTTCATGGCTTCGCATTCAAAGAAGGTTTGGCAAAATACTGGACGCCTAGATAGATTTGAGATGGAAATATCGTTATTATCAACATTGGACTCTCTTTCTGTCTCCAACCTTTACAGTTTTCACATACTTTACCGCTATGCCCAGCGTTACAGCCCGCACGTGCCGCGAAATTCTTCGTATCTTCGTCGCGTCCCAGGTTACGGGTCGAGGCAGTGGCCCGTGCCATGCAAAAGTCGGCCAATGGACGCAGGCCCCAAGCCTCGACCCACCACCTACGGCCGTTTATAGACGGACAGGGGTTAAGGCCAGTTCAGCTCATTAATTTTATGGATGGAAAGGATGCATGCCTGTCAGCGCGCCGACACTCAAATGCCCCTTTCCGACGAGCCTGCCTCAGCTTTCCAGTTACCTATCCTTCGAGGTCGAAGCCAGACAACGACAACACTGGCGAGTCTTCTCGTCCTCTTCTTTTCAACGCCATCTGTTTCTTCTTCTGTGGCTGTGGATTCGACTTTCTCCCCTTTTTCTTTTTTGCGCACCAATGGTAACTTTGTAATTGAAGCTTGACAACTTCGCGACTCTCGTTAATCCACCCGTTTTATGATCGGCGTGTCTGTGGCTGCGACTGCCACACCGTTTCGACACACGCTTTGAACCCTGCCGGGCGACTCCAACACCGCAAGCAACACCGAGTGCATCGCGATTCCCATTGTCTCGATAATTCGCTCACGAAACGCCCTTTATGGCTCGATCGGCGAGCTCGAAGCCGCCGGCCGTGCGGGCGTCCTCCCCGCCGGTGGCATCGGATATCAGTCAAAAGCCCAAGACGAAGGCAACGAAGCGCAAGGATGACTACTCGTCCGAGGGCGTCGAGGATAACGATGTCTTCCTGCTCCCAGGCTCGGATTTCCAGCTCCTAGTTGCGATCACGGTGCTGGCTGCTGCCGTGCGCCTGTTCCGCATCTACCAGCCCACCAGTGTCGTCTTTGATGAGGTCCAGTATGTTTCCCCGGCAATCTCCCCTTGCACGCGAGACATGGTAGCTGACAATGCTTTCCCGCAGTTTCGGCGGCTTTGCCACGAAGTACATCAAGGGCAAGTTCTTTATGGATGTACACCCTCCGCTCGCGAAGTTGATGATCACGCTCTTCGGCTGGGCTGCTGGGTTCGACGGAAGCTTCGATTTCAAGGATATTGGCAAGGACTACCTCGAGCCCGGCGTCCCATACGTCGCCATGCGCATGTTCCCGGCCATCTGCGGTATTCTGCTCGCTCCGACTATGTTCCTGACCCTCAAGGCTTCCGGCTGCCGCACTTTCACGTCGGCTATGGGCGCTGGTCTCATCATCTTTGGTCAGTCGAGTTACCCCTAGATACCACTCCAGGACCCCAGCTAACCCTCCCGACAGAGAATGGCCTCCTCACGCAGGCGCGTTTGATCCTTCTCGACTCTCCCCTGATGATTGCCACCGCTTTCACCGCCTTTGCCTTCACGTCGTTCACAAACCAGCAGGAACTTGGTCCCTCCAGGGCTTTCGGGTTGAGCTGGTGGTTTTGGCTTGCCATGACTGGGCTTGGCCTGGGCATGACTGTCAGCATCAAGTGGGTTGGGCTGTTTACCATCGCTTGGGTTGGCCTCTTGACTCTAGTCCAACTTTGGGTTCTCCTGGGCGACTATAAGACTGTGACGACTGTAAGACTCCTGCCACCCCCCCTCTTCCCCCCCAACTACTAGTAGTGGCTTGCTAACGGCCGTGCAGCGTATTTTGACTAAACACTTCATGGCCCGGGTGTTCTGCCTGATCATCATTCCCGTCACCTTCTACATGGCCATGTTCGGAATCCACTTTCTCTGTCTCCAGAACCCGGGCGACGGCGACGGCTTCATGAGCTCCGAGTTCCAGTCCACTCTGAATTCCAAGGGCATGAAGAACGTTCCGGCCGACGTTTTGATGGGTAGCCGGGTCACCATCAAGCACGTGAATACGCAGGGCGGGTACCTCCACTCCCACCCCCTGATGTATCCGACGGGTTCCAAGCAACAGCAGATCACCCTCTATCCTCACAAGGACGACAACAACCTTTGGCTGCTCGAGAACCAGACCCAGCCGCTCGACATCAACGGCGAGCCGATCAACGGCACCAACGCCTGGTACAACATCCCCGACACGCCTTACGTCGAGAACGGTGCCGTGCTCCGCTTGTACCACCTCCCCACCCACCGCCGTCTCCACTCCCACGATGTCCGCGCGCCCGTCACCGAGGCCGACTGGCAGAACGAGGTCTCTGCGTATGGTTACGAGGGTTTTGATGGTGATGCCAACGACTTCTTCCGCGTTGAGATTGTCAAGCAAAAGTCCAAGTCTGGTGTCGCCCAACAGCGCGTCCGCACCATCGACACCAAGTTCAGGCTCGTGCATGTCATGACCGGTTGCGTGCTCTTCTCGCACAAAGTCAAGCTCCCGGAGTGGGCTTCGGAACAGCAAGAAGTTACCTGCGCCCGCGGCGGCACGCTTCCCAACAGCTTGTGGCACATTGAGTCCAACGACCACCCCAAGCTGGGCAAGGACGCTGAGACGGTCAACTATGCCAACCCTGGCTTCTTTGGCAAGTTCTGGGAGCTGCAGAAGGTCATGTGGAAGACGAATGCCGGCCTCGTCGAGTCCCACGCCTGGGATTCTCGTCCCCCTTCGTGGCCTATCCTCAACCGCGGCATCAACTTCTGGGGCAAGGACCACCGCCAGATCTATCTGATCGGCAACCCCGTCATCTGGTGGAGCGCCACCGCGGCCATTGTCATTTACGTCTTGTTCAAGGGCATTGCTGTTCTCCGGTGGCAGCGCAGCTGCAACGACTACTCGATTCCTGTCTTCAAGCGGTTCGATTACGAGATCGGTACCTCGGTCCTTGGCTGGGCTCTTCACTACTTCCCCTTCTTCCTCATGCAGCGCCAGCTCTTCCTCCACCACTACTTCCCCGCGCTCTACTTTGGCATCATCGCCTTCTGCCAGATCTACGACTTCACGACGACGCGTATCTCCGGCGTTGGCCTGAGGGAGAACCCCATCATCGGCAAGGCTGGCGCCATTGGTTTCCTTGTCCTGTCCATGGCCGCCTTCACTCTCCTCTCTCCTCTGGCCTACGGCAACCCCTGGACCAAGGCGGAGTGCAAGCGTGTCAAGCTTTTCACCACCTGGGACTGGGATTGCAACACCTTCCCGGACAGCGTAAGTGGAACTCCCCAGCCGCGTGGCCCTGGTGAGGAAATGATGACGATGTGATGACGGCCAGACCGTTGGCATGTCCTTTGTCTCCCGGTCTAGACCAAACAGCTTGGATAGTCCATGTGCTGTGAAGACGGCCACGGGGTTCATGCATGCACCTAAGGCATTTTTTAAACTACCGAACCTGTGCTAACATCTCCGTAGTACGACGCGTACCATTCCGTGCGTTCCACCCCCGCGGCCGCACAGACACCTCAGAAATCGGTCGAGGCCCAAAAGGCCCCTCCTGCGGAGCCCCCCGTGGCGGGTGATCAGCAGGACCAGGTCCCCATCGCCGATGCTCAACAGCAGAAGCCTCAGGATGGCAAGGCAGATGTTTCGGGCGCGCCCGTGGCCGACAAGCGGCTTCTCCACACCGAGGAGCGTGTCGAGTACCGCGACCAGGACGGCAACCTCCTGGACGAGGAGCAGGTCAAGGCTCTCGAGGGCAAGGTTGAGTTCAAGACGCGCTATGAAACCCGCACTCGGGTTGTGGACGCCCAGGGAAACGAGGTCCTGTTGCCGGCTGACGAGCAGCCGGCGGAGGCGCAGGAACAGGGAGAGCCTGTGGCCGCGGGCGTTGCCCCGCCCCACCCGGATGTTGAGGGTACGTTCTAAGCTGAGCAGTCTAGCTTCTAGGCTTTTATTCGAGAACTATTTGCTAACGGTGTCCCGTCTCAGGTGCCAACAGCGAGACGGCGAAGCGGGTCGTCCCCGATGAGCCGATTCCGGAGCCGAAGAAGAGCGTGGAGGGCGAAAAGGAGCGCGAGGAGAAGGCTGCCAAACCCGCCAGCGAGAAGAATGAGGCCAGCGCCAAGGTGGATGAGCTCTAAGCTCTCGGTCGGTGACCCGACGATCGGTGAGCAAGTGTAGGATTAATACCGGGTGAAGGCGTCATCACCCTACCCTATCCATCTGTTGTACCACTTCACTGGGCGTTTACCTGCCCCGTTGACCGGCATCTAATGAAAAGAAAGGGGGATAAGGAGTTTGTAAGGAGATTGTAGAAGGATTTGGTTAGCTCTATGTGACGAGAAAGGATGGTTTCTCAATCTCATTTGTTATCAATGCCTGAGCGAGAGAGGGATGGATGGTGCTTCTCGATGGCATGAAGGACGCACTTGACTCGGCATCATGACGAGGACGACTCACCAATCCTGGATTTTTCCCAAGTCATTTCACTCTAGATGAATAGAGCTCCATAACTCCGATCCTGTTTTTTGTTGCCATTTGCGTGGTCTAATTCGATTTTCTTCTTAGGACAAATAAAGTACACCTGCCAGAGGTAAATGGGTGTAGAGAAGCAGAAGTGAGCAGCGATAAGAATAACTATGGTCCCCAATGTCACCCCCAACCAACCCCTTTTTCTTTTCCTCTTGTTTTGGTTTTCCCTTTTCTTCTTTTTTCCCGCCGTTTCTTTCACATTCCCTCCCTCTTTCATACCGGCGGCATCTATGCGCCCATCCCCTTCCTCTCCCTGTGAATACACGTGCATTACAGACGAACTCCGACGGAAACGACAGCAACCAGCGAGTGTTGGATGAAGCAGGGGCAGAAACAAGCCACATATTGACCCCCCGAAGTTTCTTGTTTGAACTGATGCCCCTTTCCTCCTTCCAAGCACATTACAAATTAGCACCAACGACAGCGGTAACAGTACTGCAACATTATAAAATAGACAGACAACAAAAACGAGTGTATCCCCGGCAGAGATCCAAACCCAAACATACAGACTAACAGGTGTGTGCAATCCATGTATGTACACACATCCTACTTGGAAGCTCTGGCGCTGCCGAGCAGTTGAGTTGCGGAGGACGTCGACGCGAGGAGTGTTTACTCCTTAAAACTGAGCCAGCTCCTGGAGAAGCATCTCCCAGTCCCACTCCGAGGGGAAGAAGTTGGTCAGCTCCAGCTCGAAGTCGCGCTGCTCGGCCTCGCAGTCTGTGTGCGAGACCGAGTCCAAGTTTGAGTTTGACTCCGAGTCCGGGTCCGAGTCCGGGTCTGCCTCCGGGTAGCAGTCCTCGTGGTTGTTGTGCACGTGGTCGTCGTTGGGGTTGTGGTTGTGGTTGTGGTTGTGGTTGTGGTTGTTGCTGTGGTTGTTGTTGTTGTGGTGATGGTGGTGGTGGCAGTAGTGGTGGTGCTCGTCCTCCGAGTCAGGGTCGGAGTCAGAGTCAGAATCCGAGTCTGAGTCCGAGTCGGATTCAGAGGAATCAGAGTCTGAGTCGGAGAAGTCAAACACCGACATGGGAGCCAGCGACGGCGGCTGCGACGCGAAGTAGCCGGCGGCGGCGTGCTGGCCCGCGGCCAAGGATGCGGGCCACTCGTCGTCGCCGTGGTCCTCGTCGTCTGTGTCGTCGAAGAGAGACGATTGGGCCGAGGTGCCCGTGGTGGTGCCCTGGGGCGGTTGCGAGGAGGAAGGCGGCAGTGAATGCAGGGGAATCGTGGCCATAATGGGTATATCGCCTTCCTCTGCGTGGTGCGGTGGCAGGGGCGGGGTGGTTGCCAGGCTGGGTATGAGTTGGAAGTTGTCGTACTCGTCGTCTTCCTCAACCTCGTCCTCGTTCTCCGGCTCGAAGCTCGGGGTCGGAAAGCTAGGGTACAAAGCAGCGAGGGTCGCGGCTGCGGACCGGACGAGGAGTCGGCTAAGCCTGTCACGGACGTCGTCGTCGTCGTCGTCGTCGATGTCGCCCTCATCGCCGTAGTAAGTCTGGGGATAAGCCGGGGGACGGTCTGAGTTGGCGGTGGGGTACGTGGGAGGGACATCCGTGGTAGTGTTGGGATAGTTAAGGGGCGGAGCCGTGATGGTATTATTGGGGTAGGTGGGGATGGGGGAGATGATGCCGGTGGTGTTGGTGTTGCCGGCAGTGTTGACGTCGGTGTTGGTAGGGGAGGTCCTGCCCGAGTTGATGTTACCGTTGTTCATGCCCGCGCTCATGCCGGTGCTGGTGCAAGCGCGGGCGCGGGCGTTGGTGTTGCCGTTAGCTCGGGGGTCCAAGGGGCCAGGCCTTCCGGCGTCTGGGAGGGGAGTCGAAGCCCACGAGGGCTGGGAAGCATGATTGACAGGATAAACAGCCTCGGCCCTGTGGCAACGTTCACAGAGCCGCGGCTCGTTGGAGTAATAATACCTGACGGCGGGCGCCGACTCAAAGCCAGGAGGCGGCCGGATGTGGTAGTCCACGTCGCTACCTGCGTACCGCGCTCTGTTAAGGATCCCCTGGGCAGTATAAGCAGGAGCAATCCTAGGGTCTGTGGACGTGAAGGGTGAGGGTAACGGGGCGTCAGGCGGCGCCGAGCTAGAGAAGAATCTCTCCCTGTAGGAAGGACGCCGAGGTTGGCCAGGCACTGGGTGAAATCCGGGAGGGTTTCGTGGATAGGCCTCGAATAGTGGCTCCTCTCTGAACACGGCGCCTCTGGTCGACTCGGAAAGGTGAGGACCTTCGGCGTTGGCACCGGTGAAGAACGTGTCTTCCGTTGGAGATGGTGTCAACGAGTCAAGCATCGAAGGGGGGGAGAAGGGGTCGGGCTCATTGAGGGCCTCCCTTAGGTGGTCACGTTCGGGGTTGTGAAGTGACGGTGGGCGCTACGAAACGGGTGTTAGCTTTGTAGCTGACGATAAATAAGAAATCAGCGGTCATACAGGGCGGGGGTCACCATCGTGAGACGGAGCCATTGATCTTGAACCGTACGGCGTGGGTAGGTTAGTCTTGGTGGTGGGAGCGGCTGGACCGAAGGAATGCTGTGCCTGGGTGTGGGTAGCTGGCTGGTGCAGATGAAGCTTGTTCGGGGCAGAGGGAGAGATATAGCCCATAGTGGACGACGGGATGCTCCCTGTGGAATGTGTGTCTGTGTGTTGTTATAATTACGGGTATGAGTGAATGAATGAAGGGAACTTGTTAGGAGAAGCAAGACGGGTTGGCCGGGGATGGGCGAGCTCTACCGCCTTATATCCCCGACGGCTCTCTCCGTCATGGATTATAGAACTGGGCGGCCTAGCTCGGGCAGTTCCCCGAAGCCTCAGACCCCCCCTCTGACTAGTCGCCCCAGGCTGTCTCGACAGGTACCCCTTGTCTTTGCTCTCCGCGGAGACCACCTCTCCTACACCGACATGTGCAAGACGTTGAGACACAAGGGCGGGGCTTATTCCGCGCATGAGCTGACACAGCCCGGTACCCATCATAAGACATGGGCTGGACTTCGTGGCAAATGGTATGATCAAATACCTAGGTAAACGGTGATCGACTCCCGCCAGCCACGGTTAACGCACATGTACGAGTTCATCAAGAGAAGGAAAGCATGAGATACCACGCTTGCTTCATGGCTACAAGCCTCTATAGTGTAGGTGGCTTACTTGTTCTGGCCTCGGGGCGTCGGACTCGATAGAATGGGAGATGAGAGCCGTATCGGGGTGGCTCTGCCTCTTCTGACTCTGCCGCCCCCTCTGCTCCAACTCAACCATGAGGCCCGGAGATTGGCCGTCACCAAGGCGACTCGCTTACCGTAGTTGAGGTCGGAGTTGGTCCTGACAAGAGCGGTATTCGCCGCCAACTTACAACACCTAGCGCTAGCGTGGAAGTATCCTACATGTACCTCGACCGTAGGGATAGCAAAGGGCTCTCTTCCGGTCTAACCTCCTAGAGTCCGAGGACCGGAAGGATACAGAGTGGCGAAATGTCAGAGTGACGTTTATCCGCGTTATTGACGTTATCAATGGTCACTGAATCCGTTGTGGCCCTTCAGGATGATGCTCTCGAGTGTGTTGAAAAGCCACGGCCCCGTTTCCTAGAGACAAAGGACACCCTCCAGCGGTTTGTGTGAGAAAAAGAGACACGGTTGTTGGTCGCGGTGGTCTGGACTGGTACCTTCCCGGGGCTATCCTTACCTCCAAACCGTCGCAACCGACACACATCGAGCTTTCACAAGAGAGATCGTGGGCGAACCGTTGAACTGGACCTCGTATGGCAAAACCTGAAACACTGTTCTGTCAAATGAGATCCTTGTCTGCTACTCTAGACATTCTGGTCCCTGGACCTCGGAGATGCACCAACTGGAGGTGGCGAGCCCAAGGGATTCACCGGTTGTTTTCAGCCCCTGACCATGCCAACAGGATCAACGACTCAGACAGCTTTAAGCATGCTTTGTAATAGCAGATCACTGTCACATGCGGTTCACCGCGGTGGCAGCAAGTGAGCCTGACTCGGGAGAAATACGATTTCGAAGTCGAGCCCTGGCCCTTTATGAGCAGTGTACCAGTAGAGGAGGGGGGGTGAGTTTGATGGCGGAGAAATCCTACTCCCTGTTATGTACTGCAAACCGCACGCCTGTGTGGGTGCTTCATGGTCTAGGAACGAATCAACGGCAGGGTTGCGAGGGTGCGTGTTGGCTCGAGGACATCTACTGTGTACGTGGTAAGCTTTGAGACATGGGCTCAGATAGGTACAGCTCCGTGACCGTCCCTTCGGTGTATCTACCCGGATTTGGCGACTCCGCGTTTGTGGACCCGGGGCTTGAATCCGGCTTCCACTGGCGCAAGTCACTATGGCATAACATTTGGTCATTGGTGCTCTCGGGTCAATGTAATAGGTAGGGAGGCCAGCAAACGGGGGAGCATCCCTCTTGGGGGAGGCTGGACAGGCTACCTCGGTGATGACAGGCCCCAGGCCTTCAAGAACACAAAGTCGGATCAGCGGAATCCCTGGGTCCTTGCACAATTAGTACCGGTACGGCCCCCGGAGGTTGTTGTCCTAGAGGCTGAGGTGAAATTAGAGAAAGGTTCGTCGCGACGGGACCGAGGGCTGGCGAGTGAGTCTGTCTGCCGTCGGTCGATAGGGTGTGTGTTGTTGCTGTCGCCGGGCCGGCCCGCCTCAGATCACGGCCAAGACGGCTTGCGCGCAAGATACTCTAGATCGAGGACGTGCGGTGCTCGATCTTCCCCGCTTGGCCTGCCCACAACTGCCCACTTGATCCCCGGATCTGCGGGCTCCACGGAAACGAAACTCGGGTAGCTTCCGACTCCAGCGAGCAATCGCCTCTCCGCCTCCTGAGCCCCGCCTCCATTCTCCCCATACCGAAGTAGGGGCCTAGATCTCCGAGCACCCTACAACAAGTAGGTAGCCCCCTTGCCCCCCCGCATTCACGCCGTTCTGGCACCAGTCCTAAGTGCTGTCGAGCATCGGGCCGAGTTGCGGATTTCAGTGTGGGGAGGCACTAAGAGTAAGTGATCGGCCAACGCCGGAGGAAGTGATCCCACGAGTGGCAAAAGATAGTTAATCAATAGCAGGCGTCACTGTTATCGCGACGGAGTCGTTCCTTTTGATTTGGAAGCACCTAGGCTCGAGCTCGGCTATCGTGACTGCTTCAGTTGGCGGGGGAAATGTGAACTTGGGGCATTATTTCGGGAGTTCTGTTGGGAAGCAACCACCAACGGAGCGTTGATTGTGGAGCGAAAGCGATACCTGGGGTTGGTGGTCGATCGGGGTTCGGGAAAATAAGGAAACCCTGTTCGAGAGGATGGCGATGACGTTTGTTGGACTCATCGAGCCACGGCTGAAAACCCACAATGAGCTCGGACCACCGAGGCACCACCTCAGCTGCTCTGCCCACCTTTCTACCCGCCGTGCCGAGCCTGCCCGGTTTTCCTATCTGATTCCAGGTTTGAACCACTGAAAGACTGCCTCTGCAATTGGTACCTGACAGGAGTTGGCTCACTGATGGCCCGGACTTCTTGTCTGTGCCGCACCGCCGCAACGCCATGCAAGTTGGGTTAAAATAACTGGTATGGAGTACCCGCGACATCAATGGCAACTTTCAAGCCTCGAACACGTTGTTTGCCCTCCTGCACCAAAGAGCCTTTTAGCGCGCCGTGCTGCGTGGGGACCCAATGAATGCTGCATCTGACCCTGGTTCAGTAACAAGGTAGATCGGGGGGCGCTTTTCCTATCGCAGCGCCTGGCCCAGTCTGGATCCATCGCACTCAACACTTGCACGTCGCCAAACCCATCGTTTGTCCTCGTATCCTCTCATCGCTTGCGAGTTAGAGTTAGCCGCCGGTGCCTCTTCCTCCGATCCTGATCTTGCCATCCTCCAGGGTAGTATAGCTACTTACCTCCCGACCTAACTTTGCCAACGCGCATTCCACCTTGCGACCCTCGGCCTCGAGGCTTTTTCCCTTTCGTCTTTTGTTTCTTTTTAGGAGGAATCAATTAACGAGACGATCAACCACGGTGCCCCGTGCTTTCCGGTTTTTTTCGACAGCGCGCATCTCGATGAATTCCGGCGCTTTTCGCACCCTCACCTTTCGTCTGGTCTCGCTCTGCGCACCGCGACCTCGCTTCTCCTCTGTGAATCCTTCCTTCTAAGCAGCGCCAAAACCTCACGACGGCGTGACGACGTGTTTGTTTTCGAGGACCCGCCAGCCTCTGGTGTGGTCCGCCACCCGACCTTCAACCTGGATTACCCGTATGTGCGCCCGTTTTATTATCAATCATACAAGTTGCAGCTTCCCCATTCCCAGGCGTCGCCGCCGGATAACCCGGTTTGCAACCGGGCGGCTGGATGGGAGGAGGTCCCTGCAGGCCGTTCCAGGCAGTCACGGTTGGGCGCATTGATGCATTATGGCAATCGCTAACGACGAGGGGCGAAGATTCGTTGCCGTGACCGGTTGGTCACACCAGCCGCCGTCAAATGGCCGCTCCACCTTCGGCCACCACAGGTCACTGTCGAGCATCCTGAGGTCTGCCTCGCCACGGCCGTCGTCGACCCACACCAGATCGAACTCGACCATCGACCTGCCCATGAGCACCGACCTCGCTCGCTCCCTACCCTCCACCCCACAACCCAAGCGGCTCTTCGTTCCTACCTCTCACGATGATGATAATGATCTGAGCACAATACCCGACCCCAGGAGTAGGGCAATGAGCCCTGCCGACGGAGACTCCGTGGACATGCCTCACCACCCCGATCTCAACGACGAGGTCGCCACCCTCAGCACGAAGCTCATCAATGCCATCAACCACCAGACCACCCTGGACGATAACCTCTCGGCCACCAGAGCAGAGCTGGAGAGGTCTCGGGACAAGATACACCAGCTCGAAGCCCAGGTAGAAGAGCAGAGGGAACTCCTTGCGGGCGATGTGTGGGTACGACGGAAGACGGTTGAGGCAGAGAAGGCCAAGCTGGTGGCCCGCGCCGCCGAGGAGAAACGAGCGCGTCTCGACATGGAACAGCAGAAAAAGAAGATTGAGCAAGAGCTCGAGAACTTGACCACGGCGCTCTTTGAGGAAGCGAACAAGATGGTTATCTCGGCCAAGGAAGACGCGCGTGCCGAGCAGGAAGCTCTGCATCGCAAGAACGAACAACTCAGGGCACAGCTTGCCGACACAGAGGGTCTTCTCCGATCACAGCAAGAGCAGCTCGTCGAACTGAAGCACGTCATGGAGCAGATGACTGTAGAAAGGGAAGAGCCGTCCCCGCCGACTGTCCCCTCGTCGCCGGGCCGCGAGAGCTTTGATGTTCGAGACCCCGTGGGCTCGTTGAGGGGGGCCCGCCAGCAGAGTCTCTCGATGCCGTCGTTTCCGTCGTATCCGACTAGCTTCACCCACCTCTTGCACCCCGTCCTCCGTACCGACCTCGCGGCGTGCAACGATTTCAAGGACCTCCTGCGGACAACGAAACGGTTATCTGCACCCCGCTTGCCGTCTGGCTCGTCTGGTTCCGGGCTTGCATCCCTCGGCATCGGTTTAGGTTCAACCTCGTCGCATATCTCGGGGGGGAATGGGTCAACGACGTCTCTGACCATGACCGGGTCTCCGCCCGCGACGTCGCCGCGGACGCCCCACACGCCGGCGTCCTCCGTCGGTAGCAGCTCGTCTGCGGTTACTCCAATTGTTCTCCCCCACCTGAAGGAAACAAAGTTCTACAAGCGAGTGCTCACCGAGGACATCGAGCCTACCCTTCGTCTCGACATAGCACCGGGGCTATCCTGGCTTGCCCGTCGCAGTGTGCTGGCGTCCATGACGGACGGCTCGCTAGTTGTCGAGCCGACCCCCTCCACCGCGACGGGCCGGTTTGGCAAGGTGATCAAGCCCGAACTCTACCCATGCTCCCTCTGCGGCGAGTCCCGGAAAGACGAAGAGTTTCTCCGAACCCACCGTTTCCGCGTCAGCGAGTCGGACACTACCCAGGTTGGCTATCCGCTCTGCAAATACTGTCTCGGCCGTGTTCGGTCGACGTGCGAGTTCCTCGGCTTTCTGCGCATCGTCAAGGACGGCCATTGGCGGGCCGACGACGAGGATGCCGAGAAGGCCGCATGGGAAGAGAGCGTCCGCCTGCGGGAGCAAATGTTCTGGAGCCGCATCGGCGGCGGGGTTGTGCCTCTGGGCCACGCTCGCCACCTCTCGAGCTCCAGCGTGGCTCCCAGCCTTCGTGGTGAGAAGAGCCCGAGGCCGAGCCACGAGAGCACGCAGAGACCGGCAGAGCATGCCAAGCAGTTCCTGGAGCTGCCCAAGGCACCGGAACAAGACCATTCGAAGGACTCTACCGAGGCAACACCGCAAGTGACGGTGGCAGCAGTTACTGAACTAGTACCGCAGCCAACTTCGGAAGAAGCTGTGGAGCCGGCATCAGAACCCTCCGCAGAAGATGTTGCTGAGCCGGCACTGCCACCCACGACGGGGGAAGCTATCGAAGTGGCACAATCGCCGATTACAGAAACAATTACAGAGACAGCGCAACCATCAATTGCGGAAGATGCGGCCCAGGCAACCGAACAACCAACTGACAAAGAACCCGTTGCAACAACATCGCCGCCGAACGCTGACAGGGAGGAAGAAGTCCTCGCTGAAACCTCTACTTCAGAGCAACCCCCCACCGAGCAAATTGATGTCGAGGAACCAACCGCACTGCCCCTTGTTGACAACCCCGTTGGCCAGCAACCCGACACCAAACCCACCGTTGACGCGGACGAGCAAAAACAGGTGCCTCTCGCTGCACCTATTTCCATCACTTTCTAAGACTGATTTTGAATTCTCCACCACCACCCCTGTTTACAACATCAACGGGCGGCTTACGAAATATACACTGTATTAATAACATCACCTCACAACCCTCGCCTGCCTTCCTACCTATAATGGTAGTAGTGGTAAGGGAGAAGGGTCGTGGCACTTCATCAGCATGCATTTCGGGGCGTTAAAAGCCGGGCTGGGTTTGACATTCGGCAACTTTCTCGTTCGTTTTCCATCTCATATATCACAGCAGCGGTCGTCATTCATATGTCTGGCGTTTGGGAGGTCCAACGGTTAGGGTACTGGCTGGACTGGACTGGACCGGACCGGACTTGGTTGGGCTTGGAGCATTCTAAAGTTGTTGTCCTTTTTACGTTCTTGTCTTGGAAACGCATGCGGTATAACTATGGGGATAGGGGTTGGGGCTGGGGCCAAGGCTAAGGGGGGGAAGGAGTGTTTAAATTACTTGTATTAATGAGAACCATGGAACTGGAATGAAAGGTTGGATTAATTGACGTCGTTGCCCTTTACTTTCTCGTCTTGGAAACGCATGCGGTTTAACTATGGGGATGGGTAGTTGGGCTACGGGAGGGAAGGGGTTGTTCCAACTAGCCGTATCAATGATTGGATTGATCGATGTCTGCACACAAAGTTGCCTAGCCAAACTACACAGTACGTAGCATGGCGCTCTCGAGTAATCGGATGAAGAGCGGCGAGGCCGGTTTGCATACCGTGTAGGTACAAGATAGGTACCTACTTGCATTCTCCTGGCGTCCATGTGATTCTCTCTAGAGTTCAACTGATGATGATACGAAGGAAGGTCCTCGGTTCACATGCTTTGGTCCGGTTTGTACCGTTCCGTAGACCCGACGGCATGTATTAGATAGGATGAAACAACCGCCTAGGCCTCGTAAGATTCACGTGGGACGGGAGATTGTTGTGTCTACACCGTCATGATGAGCAGATACTCTGTCGGACAAGAGTCGGTGTTCGGGTCTTCAAGCGCATGACATTGGATATTTGGTCATCAATAGGTATTAGATGTTAGGAATTTCACTATCATCGGAGTGATCATGTGCTTTTGCCATGACACAATACAGCAGTAAATACACGAACGAAACCACCAACTTAGTCGCCTTTGGGTATGCGGTTACCAGTGCGCGACTGGATCGAGAATAGCAGCAGGAGAGACAAACGAGACGAGACAAACAACACAGAGAGAAAACATTCTGAATACTCGAGTCAAAAAGATAGATATAAGAAAGAGATGGACAGGAACGAAACAGAGCGGTACCCAACAAACGAAATAGAGAATAGCGATTAGCCAGGTGGTCAAAATCTTACAAAAAAGAGAAGTCGGTCGCGCGAGAGAATAGGTATTTAGGAAATAAACGAACACAAAATATGTGCGAGAAGGATAAACCGGAACAAAACGGAATCCAAGAAACCCAAACGGGTAACTCCACTTTCTCAACCCAAAGGGACAGAGGGAGTGACCCAGATCGTTATCCCCCCCGGTCAGAGAGAGGTAGAAAAGACGTCGACTCAGTCATCCCATCCCTCAAATCCCTCACCGTACGGATTCCACTCCTGGCCGGGATAGCTCGTGGCACTCATCTGTGGCCGGACCTCGGTCTCGTTGCCATTCCTGGCATTGGGATCGGTCTCCCCTTCCGAGAAGACGGGGATCTTCTCCTCCATCATCAGCCGCCTCTCGACCTCGCGCTGCTCCTCGGCCTTCTTCTTAGCCCGCTCGAAGATGGCAACGTTGTCCTTGGCCGCGGCTCCGCCGTTCTGGGCCGCTGCAGCAGCTGCAGCGGTCGCGGTGGGGCTTGTGTTCGGGCTGGCTTGCTGGTGGACCGTGGCGATGGACGCGTCAGCAATAATGGGAGATTCCATATCCGAGTCATCGAAGTCGTCTAGGTCGTCATCATCATTATCGGGGGCCGCGTCGAAGGTGATTGTGGGAGGTGGGGGTGACGGGGTGTCGGATGCCGACAGGGGGAGGCTGTTGGGTGGTCGGGCGACTTCGCGGGAGAGGCCGGCCGATTTCGGTTCGACCGGAGCTGTGATGACGATGGTGTTGCTAGGTGCATCGTTGCGCGGCTGCTGCTGCTGCTGCTGTGGTAGGGGTCGTTGTGGCAGAGGTGACTGCGGCGGCGGTGACTGTGGCGGCTCCTGCTGCCCGGCAGGGAACTGTGACTGGCGTGGTGTCGCGTCGTAGAGGTTGTCCTCCGCAACACGCTGGGTTGGGGTCGTCAACTGGTTTACCGGCGAAGAAGATCCCTGAGCCGATGGCTCGGGGCTGACGGTCCTTAGGTCCCGACCAGCGTCAGAGTTCGGTTGCGCTGAAGGCAGTGGGCTGACATTCCACCCCGGCGCGGGCTGCGCACTTGGCGACGTGTTTGCCGAACGGGGAGCAAGGCTGGTGCTTGCAGGGCTCGGAACTGTGTCTGGGCTCGGGGATTGGACGCGCCCCGGCCGCTGTGATGGAAGTGACGCGATGCCGTCCTCGCTCACATTTCTCGAATGCATCGCTCCTTGGGCAACGGGTAGATTCATCGGGCCGCGGGATTGCGAGGGCGCGGCAAACTGAAGTTGGGGTGGCGGCGAGATGCTATCTTTAGTCTGCGTACGGACTGGCGCAGGGCGAGGCTGCGGCTGCTCCTCAGGAGGCGAGACACTTGTTTCGGGGCCCTGCGGGACGGGAGTCGGAATTGGTGACTCGGACAGGTTTTCAGGTGCCCGAGTGTCCGTTGGAGCAGGAGCGTCTCGAGGTTGCTGGATCACCTGAACTTGTGTCGGAGGGGGGATCTCCCGATCAGCCGGTTGCTCGCGGGTAGCGTCCCCGGCGGGCTCTTGCGTGGTGGGAGCCGGACCGGGAGGGGTTCGGTCCTGTGTCTGAGTTGGCGTGGGAGTCTGGGAGTGGGGAGATGAAGTTGCTAGCGACGCCGAAGACGCTTGGATTCCATTCGCTTGCTGCGGGGCCGTCTGAGGAGAACCACCCGCGGGCGCGGCTTGGGTAGGCGCGCCACCGGGCTGGACCCATTGTCGCTGAGCAAAGCCAGGATGAGGACCTTGTCCAGGCGGGAGTCCAGGCCCAACATAAATATGTGCCGGCGCTGGCGCCACCCGTCCTTCGCCGTGGACGTACCCGTACCCAGCCGGGATTGGGACTTGAGCATATTGGGGCTCCGCTGCGAGCGGACGCGCTTGGTGAGGCGCCATTTGCGGGGGCAGCGCTTGTTGGCTGGCAGGAACACCGGGCCTGAGCTGTGGCTGAACCTGTAGAGAGCTTTGGGGGCCAAGAGGACCGCTCTGCTGAGGGTTTGGCGCCTGCGCGGGCATACCGGGACGCAACCCTGCCCCTTGCTGCAGTTGCGGTTGCGGCTGCGGCTGCGGTTGCTGAGGCATGTTTTGGGTCCTTGCGGGAAACGGCTGCATTCCTCCAGGAGGTTGGCCCGGACCCGGCCGGCCAGCGTTCACTTGCGCTGTTGGTTGAGTATTGGGCTGTCTGTATCCGCGCTTGAACGTGTTCATGAGCGACGGCTTGGAGCTCTTTTCTTTTTCGGGCTTCGGCCTAGTTGCTGCCGGAGCGGACGATTTGCCGCCAAACAACAACTTGGAGAATGTGCTCTGCTCTTTCTCTTTCTCTTTCTGCGGTTGGGCATTGATCGGGACGCCGTTCGGCCGGGCACTGCCAGGGCCGAACTGCTGGCGAAACTGAGCGGGCACACCGCCGGGTTGAGATGCCATCCATTGCGCTTGGCCCGTCGGATACCCCGGACCAGGAGCACCGGAAGGCACCTGCCCTCCTTGCTGGCCGGTGGGAGGCCGGAGGCCAGGTTGACCGAGCTGCTGCGTAGGGGGTTGCTGTGTGGGGCTGGCGCCTTGTGCTGATTCTCCGGATATCGAACCTGGGGCGTGAGATGACGGGGGAGCCTCCTGCCCTGGTGACGTTGCTGAGGGTGACTGCCTCGAGGGCAATCTGTTGTCCAGATTTTGGAACTGGCCGACCGGAGGCGGCTGCCTCGGTGCCGTGCGCTCCATCTCCTCGCCCGGGATACCCGAGACGGGAGCTTGCGATGAGGGGGACACAGGCCTCTGCGTATCATTCTCCTCTCCAGGCCCAGCACTTGGCGCTGCCGACTGAGCAGCGTTGGGGCTGGACGGCGGCTGGAACGGTCTAGCGCCAACGGGCTCCTCCTTCTGAGCAGTAGCGGCGCTTTGGGCGCCAGGGACATGGTACGATGGCTGGTTCCCACTGGTCTGGGGCGCGGCAAACATCTGTCTCATGCTACCTGGGGACTCGGTCTGGAACCGGGATTGCTCAATGACAAATTGAGATGCTGGCTGGGAATGCTGGGAGACTGGCGACTCGAGGATAGACGTGGCAGGCGTCGGCTCGACTTGGTTGGCCCGTTCTTGCTGAGCCGTGGCGAAAGCGCCTTGTTGCTGGTTCGGTCCTGGCCTGTGCTCAGTCTGGGCTTGAATCGAGGACTGACTTGGCTGTGTCATCATGGGGGGCCTTTGGCCGGCGCCTGGCGCACCGGATTGCTGGCCCTGGGGAGCCCCAAATTGTTGTGGCATCGCCATCGTCCGCTGGGACCCCGGGGGACCTTGTGACTGGAAAGAGCCGGCAGTGCCGGGGGGCCCAGCCTGCATAAACTGCGATTGAGGCGGGAACTGCCCGGGGTGGAATTGTTGGCCGGCCCCGGTGGCCGGGCGTCCGTCGGGGCCTATGGGCACCCGCATGCCATATTGCTGCCCCTGAAACTGACCCTGTCCCGGAGGAAAGGGCTGTCCCTGGCCGGGCGGATGGCCTTGTTGCGTTGGCTCCTGTGGTTTCGAGTCTGAACGTCCCCTCAAAAACCCAAAGATGCCCGTACTAGGTTTCCTCTCTTGTTGGTTCCGGTTGGGGATCGGCCCTTGCGGGGGTTGCATCTGTGGGGGCCCATATCCAGGTTGCCTAAGGCCAGCAGTAGGAGGGAAGCGCTCTTGCCCAGGTGTAACTTGCCCATTTACCGACCCTGGCTGAGTAGCAGGGACCGGCGAAGTTTTGCTTGAATCTGACTGAAGACTTGGGGCAGTTGGCTGAGCATTTGTGGGGCCAACCTGTGAACTAGGACTGGTCCGCAGTTGACCTTGAGACAAAACCTGTGGCTGTCCCTGTGTTTGTCCCTGAGGTTGTCCCTGAGGCTGCTCTTGAGGCTGCTCTTGGGGTTGTTCCTGGGGTTGTGCTTGAGGCTGTCCCTGAGGTTGTCCCTGAGGTTGCCCCTGAGGTGGTCCCTGAGGTTGTCCCTGAAGTTGGCCTTGAGATTGGCCCTGAAATTGACCCTGGGGTTGACCCTGGGGTTGCCCCTGAGGGTGTCCCTGGGGTTGCACTTGAGCCTGTCCCTGGCGCAGTCCCTGAGCTTGTCCTTGCGGTTGTCCTTGGGTTTGTGCCTGAGGTGGTGCCTGGAGTTGACCCTGGAAGTGGCTCTGAGGTTGACTCTGGGACATGCCCTGGTACTGGCCTTGAGGCGGTGGCGTCTGAGCCGTCGGCTGAGGTGAGTTCTGTGCGGGCATCCTGACCGTGAACGAAGAGCCCGGATTTTTCGAAGCGTCGCGAGGTGACGACCGGAACACATCCTTCAGAGCGGAGAAAACGCTTCTTCGGGGGACCACCAATGCTCCCCGCATACTTGTGGCCCGGGGTGTTGGTGGGTGCGGTGGTCCTTGACATGCCAGGCGGGAGATTCGTACCTGGCTGGACAGGCGTTGTGTGGGAGCCCACGTGAAAGAAACCAGTCGGCTTCCTGCCGGGGGGTGCAAACTGCGAGGGCGGTGGCTGCACCCGGTCCATCCGGTCACCTAGTGGTGTTCCGGGGCTGTGGGCGATGACGCTGTCTTTGCTTTGGCTGTAAGATAGGTTGTCCGGGGTGGGAGCGCCGCCTCGTGGCCCGAAGACTGGGTTCCGCCTGTGTTGCCCGGTTTCTTCGGACATGATGCTGGCCACTGAGGCGGCGTCGCCATTGACACCCTGGGGTTTGGGGCCGCTGTCGGTACTACGGGATTCCTCCGCGTGGCCTCCCCCAAACCGGTTTCGTATACTAGAGAAAACGCCCGAGTTACGCTTCATCTGTCCATCTTCGAGAGCCCCATGCTTTGCCATCTCGCTTTGGTGGGACTGGTGGGATTGCAACCTTGACAGGGCGCTGCCGTCGGGTTGCTGAGCCGACGGGCTCTGGTGATTCGCAGGCATTGCTTGGTTCGGTTGGGGTGTAGTCGGCTGCTGGGGTTGCTGAGTCTGTTGCTCCTGTGGGTTCTTCTGTTGCTGCATCGGTGAGGTCGTGGTGGGCGTGCCGGTCTCCTTGTCGAAGCCGTAGAAAGGCTGTTGCTGTTGCTGCTGTTGCTGCTGCGAGGACGCGTTGCTGGGGGAGTGGCGATGACGGCTCGAGGGTTGGAGAGGCTCGGCGAGATGAGACTCTTGAAGATTCCACCCTCCACCTTGCGGCTGGAACCTTTGCGACATGTTGCCCTGCAACATATGGGGCGGAACCATCATTGGCCGGCCCCCGCCCTGCCCGAATTGCTGGCCTTGGCCAGCTAGTGGCGACGAGCCGTTCATGTTGAGCTGAGCGTTTCCGGTCGCACCCGCGAAAGCCCTCGGCGATGTCTGAGATGGGCCCTGTCCTTGCATGACGGCATTCTGAAAAGCGGCGTTCTGAAAGGCCTGGTTCTGGCTAGGATTCTGGCCCTGCAACTGCCATGTCTGACCCTGGCGTGCCGGACCTTGGCCCCCTTGGGATCCCTGCGCGCCCGTGCTCTGAGTCGGTCGATAGACGTTTTGCACAAACTGGCCGGACGATTGGGAGGGAGGTAGGACCTGCCCCATCTGTTGCGCGGCGGCCATGCCGGGTTGAGCTTGGGTTCCTTGGGGGGAGGCTGCGGATTGGGGATGTAGCTGCTGACGGGAAGCACCTTCCGCGTTGTTGTTATTGTTGTTGTTATTGTTGTTGTTGGTCTTGTTGTCGGTGGACGAGAACTCTTCAGCAGTCAAGCCAAGGGAAGAGCCAAAGGTGGATGCGCGACGGATAGGAGGGAGTCCTACGAAGGAAGGGGGACGATGGATACCATCGGGGCTAAGTTGCTGCTGTTGGTGGTACTGTTGTTGTTGCTGAAGGTATTGTTGTTGTTGCTGCTGGTGCTGGAACTGGGCTTGGGGGTGATAACCCTGGGGGTAATTGCCAGGCGGCGGTAGCGGCTTGAAGTTTGGGTTCTGAGCGTATGCGGCCATGGGCACGGATGAACAAACTACTGCAGTCGTACAATCGCCGCCTTGTTAGATGTAAATGCCGTATATCAACCCGTCACGTCACGTTGGCGGTGGAGAAAGTCTCGTCGTATTGCCGATCGACGACGAGCGCGGGGTTCCAAAGGTTTGCGGCAGGTGCGGCGCTGTGCCGATATTTTTTTGCGCGATTAGCACTTTGGCCGGTCGAGGTCGGCGGCAGCACCGAACTTGGCTCCGCTTCGCACACGGAGGATGAGGGAATGTGCGAATAGGTGGCTCCTTCCCGAGGCCGTCCCCAATGCCTCAAATTGGTCGATTGGCTCGGATGCGACAATGCCCCGATCGAATCGAGCTCGCGCTTGCTTGACTGCCCGGAGAACCTCGCAGTTCAGCCACTGCCTGTCTGTCGGCGTGCGCAATTCGCTGAGCACTCACTATTACGAAAGCGAATGTATCGTCGTGTGTCTGCTGTGAGTTGCCAGCTTGTCTGTTGGGGGCGGGTAGGGGAGTGAATGCCCGCCGGAGGCATGCGAATTGGCGCGACAAACTCTCTCTCAAGAGGACAGAGAGGGAGACGCGACTTGAGGATTTCTGGCGACAGACAGCTCGACTTGGGGATGCGGAGAGGTGAAATGGGCTGGCTCGGCTGGGTGAGACACCCCAGCTCGCTCGCAACCCAGGCACAAGCCGGGGACGGTGTGATGGGGATGATTGGTCAGGTCAGGGTTCAGCTGCAGCCGCCATGAGCACTCGCTCCTTGGTTGCTGACGGGCGGGCACTGGGCTGAAGTGACTGCAGCCTGATGGAGAAAGACGAGCGAAGGGCCACGAGCTGGGGTTCAGGGACCAGAGCGTTGAGAGAAACACCAATCGAATGTTCGATTCGATCTCGGTCTCGGCGATATTTAGTGTACAACCCTCTCACGCACTCTCTTCATCACGCAATCCCCTTTGCGGAATTATTTAGACCTCATTGTCCTCAGTGCTTTCTCCTTCTTGCTCTGGCCACACCACGCTTCCTCGGCGCCGGACTGGGTGAAAGAAGGCCGAGAGCCCTGTTCGTCGTCTTGCGGCCTGTTGGTGCTGGAGTGGAGACGCGATCATCCTCAATTTAACCTCGCCCTTTAGCGTGCTGGGTGGAGAAATGAGGGGCCGCACACCCTGCTCTGACGGAACGGGTCCGGCGCCAAGAGGCACAACATGCTGCGGGAGCCCTGTCACCATGCCAGGGATTCATGAAAGGCAGGAGAGAAACGGTTTCGGCCCCGAGGGAAACACAACAGGCAAAACGGCCAAGGGGTGGCCGACTTCACGGAATCGCGCTGGCTACGGAATACAGATTACAGAGACACGAGCTGAGCTCCCCAGCAAGTACGAAAGAGGGGGGTTCAAGGGTGCAGAATGAGGGAGCAGCCAATGGCAACCCCCTTAAAGGTTCGCTGTGCTCGTCCAAGTAAGGTATGGATGGATGTACAGAGTTAGGTAGGTAACTAGGTGTGTATGCGTGGAGCCAACAAAATCCCCAACATTAATTAAACGCTGTCCTCCCGTCCGTAAATGCTGTCTGTCCGTTTATCAACCCGAAAACACCTTGTCGCCCGTCCCACGGAGCTTATTCCTACCCTTGCTGAACAATCCCTTGCCGGCCTTGCCCGCCGCCATGAAGAGCTCCTTGCCCTTCGTGCCCACCTGGTTACTCGAGTGCCCAAGTCCGCTCAAGCCTTGTTGAAGACTGGGCGGTATATGCAAGTGTGCTGGTACCCGTCCCCCCAGGCCTGCCCCTTGGCCCCCCTGTTGGGTTTGCGCCGCCATCCCGGGTTGGGAGAGCACATCGTTGGCATGCTCTGGGTGCTTGGACATCATCGCCTGCACCCACTCGTCCAGGCCAGTGTCGACCGCAGAAAACTGCCACCGCGTCTCTTTGTAGTGCTTGATACGGTCTGTCGGTAAGGGCAGCTCCATGATGTTCCGGAAACCTAGAATGCTCTTTGGCGAGGAAGGACCTTGGGGCTCGGCGCCGCGCGCCTGCTGGCTCCCCCCAAAGACCGGGTGCTGCTCCAGAGGCGGAGATTGGGGAATGGGGCGCGACTCCTGGAGGGCAATCTTCTCCTCTGCCAATGACAGTCGGTTGTCATCGCCCTGTCTGTCCGTTGAATCCGAGGATGACGAGCGTGATTGTACCCGACGGTCTAAACCCAGCGTCGAGCCAAGTGTAGCCGCAGGGTTGAATTCGGGAGCGGACTCGGCTCGGAGGTCCTCCGCTGACTTTTCTCCTTCCTGGACTAGAGACAACGCCCCCGGCTCCGGCTCTGGTGTACTGACTTCCGAGGCCAAACGGCTAACGTTATCGACACCGGAGCCGAGAACCTTCTGTTCCACCAAGAATTCTGTGTCTGGCGGCGAGACAGCTGCCGGGTCCGGGACGGTTCCTGGGGTCGCTCCATGCGGCGAAGCTTCCCAGGAGAATTGCTTCTTAAGCCCACCATTTCCGACTACACTCTTGAGCTCAATATTCGAGTCTTTGACCGGTGCGGCATGAGATGGGGAAGATGGGCCACTCCCAACCGTGTCCGCCGCCGGCTTTGCTGCATTTGCATCGGGTGGGCCGGCCGGAAGAGGTGGAAGATCCTGTGCGGTCTTTTCCGCGTCGATCGTCTTGCCGGCAATGAGCAAACCAGGTTCTGCCTTGTCCTCAGCCGTCGCCCAGTAATCCCCATACACATCTCCAAGATAACTACTCTCCCGCATAGGGTCTGCAGCGGCAGCCTGGTACGCGGCAGTAGAACTTTCAGCAGTATCTGTAAAACTGCCGGCTGCCTGGGGGGGACTGAGCGACTTGATTATCTCCTCACTCAGCACGTCGCTATCTTTGACCGGGGAGTGAGTTGACGGGTCCTGTACCGGTGCTGCTGGGAATGGCGGCGACAGAACCGGCTGTGAACTGCTGTGACTATCTGGCGTCCCCCGACGAGTATTTAGGGGAGCCGTGGGGGTAATCTCGGTGTGCCCGGTCGCAGCGCTCGCCGGGGTCGGACCACTAATCTTCGTAGCTAGGGCGCCGGGAGTTGGCGATACATTGCGATTCGCGGCCTCGGGCGTAGCCTGCCGAGCGCCCATATTTGATTTTGCGATACTCGGAGCCGGGCTCGATGATGAGAGCGGGGGAGAGTCACGCGGTAGGGCTGGATGAGGCGACCCAGAAGCGAAACGTTCCTTTACTGCCTCGGCTTCACTCGTTACACCCGGTTCGATGTCGGATTGTCGGTGGCTGGAAACATCAGAGGAAATAACCTTGGACTGGGGAATGGCAGTGATCCCGCCGCTGGATTCAGCCGCCTTGTCTAGCGTTTCTGTAGAGTCACCAGCGGGGGAGAATGTGGTCAGGTCGGAGGGCGTTGACGTGGTTTCGGTGACCCAGCCACCCGGCAGCTGCGGCCTGACCGCCAAGGGGGCTGGTTGTGTTTCGGTGGATGATGCCGGCTCCCGAGCTGCGTCTACGGCGGGTGGCTGCTGCTCGGAGGCGCCGAGAACAGGTTGTGCCGCACCTTGGTGCGACAACCCAACGGCCCGATCTTGGTCGGGCTCGTTGGGCGGCGACGGGCCTGCGTCAGCTCGTACGCCAGCGTCAGTTGTCGCTGTGGTCGAGGTCACACCCTGTGGAGTAGGAGCGGTGGCCAATTGGCCTGGGGCCTCTGCTGCAGCCGCGGCAGATTCATCGGCCTCAGGTATGGATTGGTCCGACGTCGGCAGTTGCATGCTGCCAGAAAGAGGTGAGCGTAGTCCTGAAGCAGGGAAGAGGCTCGATGAAAAGAAAAGATCATCGCCAAAACCCGACATGCGACTCAGATTCGGCAACTGGGGGCTTGTTGAATAACGCCGGATATCCTCATGAGAAACAGGCTGGACAGACTTTTGACCTTCGGCATGTTGCCCCTGCGCTGCGGGAGACTCTGCGCTGGCCTCAGCACCATAGCTAGCAAGAAACCCGTCAAACCCGTACTCGCTTTGCCTTTCCGCGATGGGGGTTAGGCCGGCGCCATAATTCAGCGTCCGCCCGGTCCCGTTGTCTTCAGCTCCTGGGAAATCCGCGGATTGAGTCACAATCCCCCCTCCGTGCGGTTGCGTTTCCACCTCGGACGGCCCCCCAGGTCGGACACCAGCCGCGCCTTCTGCTGGTCGGCCACCTGCTAGCGACTGCTGTTCCCTCTCCCGCTCCTCCGCCATTCGCTGATAGACGTCGGCTGGACGGATGAGCGGGAGCGGTTTGTTGCTTGGTTGCGGGCTCACCGTGCTGCTCTCCCGAGGCGGGAGCTGGGACGGGAGTTGGTGAGCACCCTGTGTTGCGGGGGAGCCGCGCCTTGCATCAGGGGGGAATGGCGAGTGAGTGTGTCCCGACACGTTATGTGGTGAGGATCTGACCGGCTCGGTTATCCTCCGCGGAGGCCCGCCGGGCGTCGGTGAGGGACCAGATGGCGGGGTTGGAAATTGTTGGGTATGTGCTCGCAAAGGCGGCGCTGCGCCCATAGGCTCGAATTGCCTCGAAGTCGGAGAGTTCCCCGCGGGAAGACGAGGCCCCATCGGTTTTGCCGGAAGCGGGGGCTCTGCTGGTTCGGGTGCTGGCTCGTCATCGTACTCGTCTCCCCAATCATCGCCGTCGTAGTTTTGGGGTTTGAAGTTGGCCCATTTCTTCGTCTTCTGGCGACTGACGTTTACTTTGTATTGGCCTCCGCTCGGTGTTGATGCGTTCGGGGACCTGTCCACAAACAAACGCTGTTAGTCCCTCGGGCCCCGGCGACGACCTGCGAGGGGAAACACTGACATAGCCCTACTAGTGGGGAAAACGTTCCCGTATGTACCATCCATGGCGGCGAGGTTTGTTCGGTGATCTCGAAGCTACATTCGCTGCGAATGCTCGTGGAAACCTTTCCTGCTCGATCTGGGACACTCTGTCGGGAAACAATGGAGAGGAGGCGTCGATGATGAACGACTGCAGCTTGGCTTGGCACGTGGCGGCAAAACACGCGGGTGGAAATTGTGGTGTGGCCGGTCGTTGTTAATTCCGGTTGATCAAGGAAGAAGACCGCGGCACAGGGCCCCCAATGGAGATCCCGAGTATACGAGTACTCTGTATACTATGTACAAGTCGGTGTCTGGAACTGAGGGCTCGTTGGAGAAATCTTGCGCCAGACCGCAGAAAGGGGCAAAGGAACGGGTTGTCGTCAATCCCGTCTCCACCGAAATGCCGAGTTGCAGCTGGGCTGGTCGTTCGTTCGGTGGCTCGTGGTTCGCTTGCTTGGCTTCTTTGGAGACAGAACAGCCCGGAAAAGCAGGGACCGGGGCTTCGAAGTCATGGCGCAATGCCAAGATGATCTGCAGCCAAAAAAAGATCATTTGGTCGCATCGGCACAGCGCGTTAAATTGGTTATTTTGTCTGGGGACGAGTCCACCAAGTTTGTTTCATCCTGCGACCACAATTTCAGCGCGGCCCAGTCACTTTTCGGAACCCAGCAACTGATGAGAAAACTCCTTGACTTGTCGAGCCTGTCCAGACGAGGACATATGCAGGCGGAAACGGCTTGTCGTGATCTTGAACCCGCAGCCAATACGAAGGAACAAACCTTGAAACGGAGCGCATCGGAAACATGGTTGAATGCGGCCCCGAGGGGTTCATGGCATGGGGCCCTCATGTACCTTGCCACGTTTGGTCCAGCGCAACAGCGGCGGGGGGGGGGGGGGGGGGGGGGGATGACGTTCCTGGCGACGCGAGAGCAAGCGCCAACGCGGAAAACTCAAAACGACTCCTTGACGATGGCCGATCTCTTCTGGCACAGCCCGGCGCAGCCTGTTGCCTGAGAGTTAACCCGGCTTGAACCGTCACCAACCTCGTGTTCTGCACTCGTAATCCGCTCCACGAATAGAAGCTGCACAGACGAACATCAATGCCGACTTCTCGTGAGCCAATGTCTTGTTTCGAGAGGGAGTTACCAAGACGATCCCCGGAAAGTTGAGTTCAACCCGAAATTTTTGAGCGCTTCTTTGGGCCTGAGCAGAAAGCTGGGCTGTTTCCGTCCCTGGGCCCCACAGTGACGACGCACAGTTCCCGTAAAGGATATACACTGTCTTTGCCCCTGTGCCATGGGCGAGACAGGTCCAAGCGCCCCTTGCGCGCCAAACACCACGTTTCCCTCGATCAAGATCAAACGGCCAAATCGTCAACTCTAATCCACCACCGCGCTCGACCTCAATCTTTTCTTCGACAAGGATTCATCACCTGCTGTGTCTCTGAATCATCTCATTCTTTCTTGCACGGCTCTTCATTCGCAATCGACCTTTCCGTCGCACATACGCTCGACCCCTGAATCGCACCGAGAACCGCCACCGATACCCCCCAACGACCACGCAGGAACACGCAAGCGTCGCGTCACAGGAATAGACAGATCCGCCGCAATGGCCGTTGCAATCAACGACCGTACGGTGGAGTTCCGCCATATCGTCACCGCCGCCCAGCGGAAACAGGCGGCGAAGCCGGGTTCGCAAAGACTCCTCAGCGATGCGCAAAAGAGCGCGGCGACCGGGGGTGCGCCACCGCGACGGTCCGAGTTTGCGCGACATGCGGCAGATATCGGCAGGGGAATTTCGGGGACGATGGGAAAACTCCAAAAGCTCGCGCAGCTGGCCAAAAAGAGATCGCTCTTTGACGATAACCCGGTCGAAGTCAACGAGTTGACCTTTATTATCAAGCAAGACCTATCCCGCCTAAACGAAGATATCCGGAACCTTCAGGGCTTATCCAAGCAGCTGCATCCGAAACCGGATCAGGAAGGGGAGAATAACAAGAACATTCTGTTGCTGCTGCAGGGCAAACTGGGGGATGTCAGCGCAAACTTCAAGGACGTCTTGGAAATCAGGACAAAGAATATCCAGGCTTCAAGATCGCGTACCGAGGCATTCGTATCGACCATGGGGCAGCACGCACAAGCATCCCTGCCGCCCTCGGCGTCTCCTCTCTACGGCACACCAAGTAGGGGGACGCCGTCGCCTGGCGCAGACCTCATCTCGCTCAACCCGATGGGGGGCGACCAACAGCTGCAGCTCCAGATGATGGAAGAAGGCCAAAATACGTACATCCAGCAACGAGGTCAAGCTATCGAAGCCATCGAATCTACCATCAACGAGCTCGGGTCGATGTAAGCTACCAGGAGGTCACAAGTTTTGATGTACAGGGCTAACGTGATATGCAGTTTTGGGCAGCTCGCGTCAATGGTTAGCGAACAGTCCGAGATGATCCAGCGCATCGACGCAAACACGTATGTTCCCCTGCCCGGTTTACCTCTCGGGGGAGATTACACTTGCTGACCCGCAACAGAGAAGATGTCGTAGACAACGTCGAGGGGGCGCAAAAAGAGTTGCTCAAGTACTGGTCTAGCGTGTCGGGCAACCGTTGGCTCATAGCCAAAATGTTTGGCGTTTTAGTACGTCTCTCTCACTGCATCATTGCATCTTTCCCACCGGGCTATGCTAACTCTGAGAACCAGATGGTATTCTTCCTGCTCTGGGTGTTGATCGCCGGGTAGATGGCCAACGCGGCCCTTTCTTTTCTTGTACAACACCTTTTCCCTTACTACTCACGGCTGCGTCAGCATAGACTATCGCATGGTAGACATTCGTAATAGGGATTTAGCGCATCGGTCGAGCCTTTTTTTTTTCATCTTTTTGGGTTGGAGGTATCGTGTCTCGTATCGGCTACCGTGTAGATGGCAGTGCAGAGGAATGCTGGGAATCGGAGGAACTGCCGTCATCATGTCTGATATGTGACATGGAAGGTTTGGTGAAGATGGATGGCATGGTTGTGGAACGGTCAAAGGGCGACTTGCTCCCTCGTGTGTATGGTAATTACGTGACGACAACAAAACATGACGAGCGATGACCGAGCAACATTTCAGCGTGTTTCCGAGCGGAACCAATTTTCCACCTATCACGGCATCCAAGTTGGCGCTTGCATGAGATCACCTGAAGGCACCCCACCATCCCCGCCTTCACCCCGCGGGAGACATTGAATGAGGGGCAATTCAGAGAAGACACGTTCTGAAAGCTTGACCACGCAGTTCTCAGAGGTCCAACTCTTCGACCCTGGGAATCAATTCCTTATCAAATGAATTTACGATGAATGTGAGCTGACAGGCGGGAGGAGGGAGGAATGAAATGCTTGTAATCTGCGATTGAAAGGCACTTTTTTATCACCTATCAAGAAGCATGGTTTGGTAGCGCCTGTTTACCTTCGTGTGTACACAATGTTGGCACTCAAAAGACACACTTCACCGCGGCATATGATGCACCGAACCTCGTCCCGCTCCGCCGCCCATAGCTACGATGGCTCGATGGCTCCCACATTTAGCCGGGCCCCAGGCAAAGATACCCACCCGAAACCGGGCCCGGCTCTCCCAGGCCTTTCCTCCAGAGCTTCCACCTATCTTCTCTCCCAGATTCAAGTCCTGGCCTGTTTCTCCGGCATCAAGAGATCTGTCGATTTGTAACCTGGTCTCCGCTCAAACCACACCGAGAACCCGCCATCGCCAAGCTGTCGCCTCTCCTCCGACTCCCACTTAAACGACGACTTACACGCTCCCTCCTGAGCAACAGACAGCTTGTGTTGCCCACCAGCACCATCAACAGATTCCCACCCATCACCGTCACAATGGCAAACAAGACCTTCAAGCTCAACACCGGCCAGGACATTCCCGCCCTGGGACTCGGTAAGAAACCCAACGCCTTCCCCTACCTACCCCCTACCCCCGCCAACACAACCTCTCTCCCCTCATACAGAAACCATAACTAACCACCCCCCCCCCCCCCCCTCTCCAGGCACATGGCAGTCCGGCGCGGGCGAAGTCCAGACAGCGGTGGCGCACGCGCTCAAGTCGGGGTACCGGCTGGTGGACGGGGCGTACTGCTACGGCAACGAGGAGGAGGTGGGCAAAGGGCTGGCGGACGCGTTCGCGTCGGGCGCCGTCAAGCGCGAGGACGTCTTCGTCGTCAGCAAGGTCTGGGCCACCTACACGACGCGCTGCGAGCTCGGCCTGCAGAAGAGCCTGGAGAAGCTGGGGCTGGATTATGTGGATTTGTTTTTGGTGGTGGGTGCTCCTCCTGGTCCTGGTGGTGGTGGTGGTGGTGGTGTGGTGGTGTGGTGTGTTTGGGGAATGGGGGTTGGCTGACGAGAGCGGTAGCATTGGCCTTTGTTGATGAACCCTGATGGTGAGTACTCATCTGCCCCCTTTTTTTCACACTTTGGGGTTGGGTCCCATTGGTGTGAGAGGGCGGTGACTGACCCGGGCTCTACAGGCAACGACGACCGCTTCCCGAAGCTCCCCAACGGCGAGCGAGACATCATCCACTCCCACAACCATGTCGACACATGGAAGCAGATGGAGAAGCTGGTCGCAACGGGCAAGACCAAGGCCATCGGCGTATCCAACGTTTGTCCCCCCACCCCCACCCCCCTTCCCAGCACATACCACAACTAAAGCTAACCCCCCCACCCCTTTCCCCCACTCCAGTACAGCAAACGCTACCTCGAAGAACTCCTCCCGCACGCCACCATCGTCCCCGCCGTCAACCAGATCGAGAACCACCCGGCGCTGCCGCAGCAGGAGATCGTGGACCTCTGCAACGAGAAGGGCATCCACATCATGGCGTACAGCCCGCTCGGCAGCACGGGCAGCCCGCTGTTCACGGCCGAGCCCGTGGTCGCCATCGCCGAGAAGCACGGCGTCAAGCCCGCGGCTGTCTTGCTGAGCTATCACCGTACGTTTTACCTTGCCTCTCTCTCTCTGTGTCCTCAAAGGAGTGGTGATGTGCTGACAAGGGCTGGTGTGCTTTTTGGTAGTCGCGCGCGGCAGCACCGTCCTGGCCAAGTCGGTCACGCCGGCGCGGATCGAGGAGAACAGGAAGCTGGTCGATCTGGATGCGGACGATGTCAAGTTGCTCAGGGCGTACTCGGACAAGCTGACCCAGGAGGGCAAGCTGCAGCGGTTTGTGTACCCGCCGTTTGGTGTGCAGTTTGGGTTCCCGGACAAGTTGTAGGTTGGTTGGGTTGGGGCTGTTATAAGGGAAGGGGATGGATAGACCTGGAAATAGAAACCTGCCGTGTTCCAACTGGTTTGGAACGGTCTTCTTTACTCGGTCTGATTTGTTTGTGTTTGATGACTGCTCGTGAAATCTCTATAACTCATTTATCGTTTACATGTCCACCATCACCTTCAACACCAAGTTTCCCTCGTCGTCCTTCACCCTCGCAGCCATGTCGAATGCCTTCGGGATGTTCTCCATTCCCGTAAACCGTTGCGTGATAAGCTTCGTAAAGTCCGGCAGCTTGGGGTTCTTGCTGGCCAGCAGTTCGATGACCCGCGGGTAGGTGTTGGCATACCGGAAAACACCCACGAGGTCGACTTCGCGGAGGGCGGCGGCCGAGATGGGCAGTGTTTGGATGGGATTGCCCATACCGATGAGCATGATGCGCCCGCCAGGAGCAGTAGCCTGCGATTGTTAGATCAGATCAGAATGGGGCACTTCTCGAGTCTCTGCCGTGACACTCACGTAAATGGAAGCCTGCAGGCATGCCTCCACGCCGGTACACTCGAACGTTGCCGACACCTCTCCAAAGAGCTGGCCGTGCTGATACGTTGTTGACTTGGCAATTTCGGCGACCTGCTTCGCAAACTCCAGCTTGGCCTCGATGGTGTCGGGCCGCTTCATGGGCACGACGACGGCGGCATCGGCAAACCCGTTGTCCACGGCGAACTTGACCCGGTCCTCCTGGATGTCGGCAATGACCACCTTGGCGCCACTGACTGCCTTGCTGAGAGCGGCACACAAAAGGCCGACGGTTCCGGCGCCAAACACGAGGACTGTCGAGCCGGGAGCGAGACGTGCCCTGTCGGAGGCATGCAGAGCTACAGCCAGGGGCTCCACGAGGGCGCCGAGCTCTAGGGAAACCTCTGATGGAAGTCTGTTGCACGTCAACACAGAAACAAAGAAATTTGGTTCGTCAGAGGTCAGGAGACATACTTGTGGCACCACTGCGCCGGGTGTGTGATTTGCTCCTGGAGTGTGCCCTGGGCATGGGGGTATGCCTTTGCCGAGCTCCTGAACTTCATCTCCCTGCAGATGTTATACCGACCCTCCTGGCATAATTGACAGCTACCACACGGTTGGCCGACCTCAAGAGCAACGTGGTCCCCGACCCGGAGCGAGTTGACACCCGAGCCAACGGCGGTGACGACGCCGGCGGACTCATGACCCAGCGTTAGGGGCTCCCGGACGAGGATGTCGCCGTTACGGAAGTGACCGAAGTAGTGCAGGTCCGACCCGCAGAGACCCGTTGCCTTGACAGCCACTTGAACGTCGTTGGTGCCTAGAGGAGGCAACTCCCGTCCTTCCTAGAAAGCATGTAATTATGAGCTTGAAGCCGGATATGGACTGTGTGACCCTGTGGCAACTTACGAGACGCAAGTCCCGAGCTCCGTGTAGGACCGAAGCGTTCACTCGAGAGGTAGCCATGAGAGCTTTAGATGTGCTCTAGAATCAGAAAATGTATTCGTCGAAAAAAAGGAGATAGAATGAACCTAGGTGTGAGTGCTTGAGGCGGTGACTGAACGAGTTCGGAGAGAGACCGGATGTATTGTATACGCAGTATCAAAGGGAGCTGCAAGACTCATGTGTTTCAACAAGCATGAGTCTTCATTACCACGCCAACCTCCCACTTCCCGCCCGATACCGATCCGGGAAATTACTCGTCCAAATCGACCAGAAATACAGAAAACTCCCCACTGGTCACAGGACCCGAGGGTAAACCGAAGGCGTGGAACCGGTTCATGTACTCGGGGCCTAGCTCTAAACACCGTGACACTGCGCCTGGATTCCTTGAACCGGGAATGCGCCAGATCCCCAAGCTTGAAAGTTTGGTGGGGTAAGCTCCAGTACCTAACGCCTACTGCACAGTATACAACTCGTTGTGGGAAGGAACCTGGAAGCTTTCGGGTGTGGGCTTGCCCCGTCGACATCCCCACCCCGACGCCGGCGTTGGTTCCGGCAGTGAGTGAAACGGGTAATTACGAGATATGTAACGAGAGTGTATCGGATTACGCGCCTGGTGAGCTCCTCTCTGGCCGGCAAATAGGGGTTCCTTACAATGCATCTGAACCCACTTACACCAACTTACAGACGGGACAAGGCGGGTTCCTGCATTCGGGGAGCTGAACACATTCTCACATCCTTCTGTGCCTTAATCTCTCATATTCCAGAAAGTACAAAGGTACTCACCCCTAGACCAACCAATTACCATGTTCTCCCTCGAAGGCCACACTGCACTCATCACGGGTGGTACCCGGGGCATTGGCAAGGCCGTTGCCATTGCTCTCGCCGAAGCCGGAGCCGACATCCTCCTCGTCCAGGTACGTGAATGAGGAATGAGAGGTCGACCAATGACCATACATACCACACCATATCCTAAACAGAGACTAACACACCAAGCCAGAGAGATGAATCCTCGACCGACACCCTCACCGCCGTCCAGGCACTCGGCCGCACCGCCCGCATCTACACAGCCGACCTGAGCTCGGCCGAGGACGTCTCCAAGCTAGTGCCACGGATCCTCGCCGACGGCCACCAGATTCGCATCCTCGTCAACTGCGCCGGCATCCAGCGGCGCCACCCCTGCGAGAAATTCCCCGACTCCGACTTCAACCAGGTTAGTCAGTCAGTCAGTCAGTCAGTCAGTCAGACAGACAGACCAACTCCGCCCCCCCTCCATATTAACTAACTACCTTACCTAACCAACTAACTAACCTAACCTACCCCCCCACACACAGGTCCTGCAAGTCAACCTCAACAGCGTCTTCACCCTCTGCCGCGACGTAGGCGCGCACATGCTAGAGCTGGAACCGTCCGGGGTGACGGGGCGGCGGGGGTCCATCATCAACTTCGCGTCGCTGCTGACCTTCCAGGGCGGCCTGACCGTGCCCGCCTACGCGGCGTCCAAGGGCGCCGTCGGGCAGCTCACCAAGAGCTTCGCCAACGAGTGGACCGCCCGCGGCATCACCGTCAACGCCATCGCCCCGGGCTACATCGAGACCGACATGAACACGGCGCTGCTGAACGACCCCGAGAGGTTGGCCAGTATTAGCGCGAGGATACCGGCCGGGAGGGTAAGATTACGGTTCTTCCCTAGACACCCCGGGTTGATGTGATGCTGACGAGGTTATTTAGTGGGGGAGCCCTGAGGACTTTAAGGGTACCGCAGTCTATCTCGCAAGCAAGGCCAGCGCATACGTGAGCGGTCACGTACTCGTGGTGGATGGTGGGTGGATGGGACGGTAAAACAAATAGCCTTGACGGCACCAAACTTCATTTGCCCATGTATAATAATGAAGAAAACAACAATCTACCGAGACATAATCGTCCAGGGCGAGTGATATCGATGGGCAGACCCCCTGCCAGTGAGTAAGATGAAGAAAGAAAACATCTACGGATACACAACGATCCACAGTTGGTAACATCAACGGATAGACTCATACCCCCCTTTTCAATCCTTCACTGACTGCATAACCTCATCCATCCAAGGGTACACAGCCCCGTTGGCCATCGGATACCCCATGTGCAGCGCGCCGGGAAAGAAGCGGGCCTCCTTGGGCGTGCCGTACTCAAACAGCATCATCGAATCCTCGATGGGCATGAGGCCGTCGAGAGTGCCCTGTGCAAGTCAGCCGGGGCGGCGTTTCCAGCAGAAGTGCAAACTCACATTGACCAGAAGCAGTCTGGTGGACGGCTTCTGGATGATGCCTGCCTCTAGCAGCGAGAACTTCTTCTGCGCGTTCGCCTTGTACTCATCGACAGATTGGAAGCCATGCTTCATGGCCATAGCAGGAGTCAACCTTTGATACGCCAGTCAGAACTTTGATGATTCGAACCCGAGAGAATACGGCAACTCACTCGAAAGGATACTCGTGCCCGTCCACCTTATCTAGCCACTTCTTGTCGTAGAAATAATGGCACCCGGCGCCCTGCGCAACACACCCGGCGAGCTGGTCCTTGTGGGTGTGTGCGATGCGGACGGCGTAGTACCCGCCGCTGCTGAGGCCCCAAACCATAACGCGATTCATGTCAAACCGCCCGTCCTTGCCCATCCACTCAAGCAGGCTCGTCCACAACCGGTCGGGCGACTTCGGGTCGGCGCTGTCAGCCGGGCAGTCGGCCGTACCGGGGATCTCGACAACCACCACGCCCCTGGGCAGCAGTCAGTCAATCAGTCAGTCAGTCAGTCAGTCAGTCAGTCAGTCAGTCAGTCAGTCAGTCAGCTAGTCAGCCCGCCACGAGATCCCCATCCCTCGCCCCCGCAAAAAGAAAGAAACATGGTACTCACCAGCATCTCCTCAAAAACTCGTCGCACCTGACCGTATTATCCGGCCGATACCCATCCAGCCCTGTCATCAACACCACCACGGGAAGCTTGGCGTCCCCTTCCCGTATATGCACCATCTTCGGAACTCTCACATAAACCGGAATCTCCTTCCGATCCTGGCCCTCCGCGTGCCGATGCTTCACCATTACCTCCTCCACGGGGCTCATCCACAACTCCCCGGCCTTCAGGTACGCCGACTTTTGCATCTCCCACATCTTCCTAGTCAACAGCAACACAGACGATGTTAGCAAGTCTCCTAGTTAAGCCTCTAACCCAAGAGGTAGTGGCGTGAGAGAGAGAGAGAGAAAGAGAGAGAGGAGACAAACCACTTGACAGCATCATTGACCTTTGGAAAGCCCGTGATGTAGGGGAAGCGTGCGATGCGGCAGATGGCGCATGCCCTCAGGTACAGGGCTGCCGCCTCGGTGGTCTTGCTCTCAATCGTCGCCGTGGCGGCGGCGGTGGCGATGAGGCGTTTGGCGGTGGCGAGGAAGGCGTTGGTGTATTCTTTGGAGCAGGCGTCGTTGATCTTGTTCTGGGGCGAGGTGAGATGGGTTAATTTGGTCTGGTGCGGATTTGGGGGGGGGGGGGGGGGGGGGGGGGGAGCGTAAATAAGGACGAGGGTTGATTTGAGCTACCTACTTTGATGAGTTCTTCGAAGATGGGCTCAAAGTCCTCGTAGGCGCCGTCGTGAAAGGGGTAGAGGGATTTGGAGCACTGGAAGAGTTCAGCGTAGTTAGTGTCTTGTTGAGGGCTCGCTGTTGGGCGTGAAAGCCCGGATGGGTGTAGCTTGAGAAACTGCTCGCCGGGCTTCCAAGTCGAAATCCTTACAGGTAGTTTCCATTTGGTTTCCCACAGCGCTTTGATGCCGTCATGGTGCTCCATGCGATGCTTAAACGCCTTGTTGCCCATGATCCAGTGGTGAGGTGTGTTGCCCTCCTCGCCACTTGCCGTGGTACCCGGAGTTGCGTGGGAAGACATAACGAAAGAGGGAACTGGAATAAGCTTCCGAGAAGAGAGAGTTGGGATCAAAGTAGAATCTGCGGTTGTAGAGACTTTTGCCTTGTGGGAATAGCAGTTCCGTTTTTGCGTCCGGGGCACACCGATACAGAGCTTCGTCTTCGTCGATGAGAAGATGGTGATGGCGGACGGACTCCAAGTTTCTCACAAGCCCTGGAAAAGTGTTAAATAGGCAGGTACCTACTTACGCTCTACGTGGAGGAAGGGGAAACGCACTCCAGCTGAAGGAGCGCTATGCGAATACGGGCCAGAGCGACATGGGAGTCTCGGTCCATGTTTGACAGGCGCCCTCGGGTTCCTGGGGATGATGAGATGAAGAAGCCGCGGACGTCGATTACCGATATTGGCCCGTATCTTGTGTTCCCAGGCGTCGGATTTCACGGGTTGGGGAGGTCCGTAGTCCGGATATCGTGGCCCAAGGCGGCCAAGGAGTCTCGGGCGCAGGGCTTGGCTACTGTGTAGTTCAGTGGGTATAATGCACGTGTTGGATCCAACAGAAGGCTAGACCTCAAGTATCATGTCATGAATCTGAACAAGTCATCTTGGTGGGTGTTGTTGTTTGGGGTTAGGATGGAAGCTCGTCGGTTGAGCTCCTCATTGCCGGCTATGTGTCAGTCTTAATATCAGACCTTAGTTTCGGGAACCCGCGAGGAATAAGCATCCTGCTAAGCTTCCCCGATGCATATATGGTTACCTCCTCGGCCTATCCTATCCTCGGCAGCAAGTGTAACATGAGGAGCTCCGATGGGGTGAGGGAGGGTTGCAGTACATTTCGATGCACCCGCTCGGGTTTGGAGGGAGTCGGTATGTCAGGATTCGCCCAGGATCACATGCCAGAGCGAAAGGGAGGGGCGGTAATATGTCGTCGTGTACTGTGTGCAACATACGCACAAAGGATGGCAACGTAGCCAAGGCTTGACCGGTCCGGGACAGCGGAGATTGAACGCGGGGCTGCTTGCCAACCAAGGCGGGCTGAGGCTGGTAGTTGAGTGAGGGCGTCGACACAGCGGGTTGACTTTGCGCTGCTGTGCTGTTTTGTCCATCGGGTCGGCGGTCAACTACCTCAGTCCGCAAAAGTCAAGGATGTGTGCTCAAAGAACCATTGAAAAGAAAAATACGCTGCTCTAGATCTACCTCTATCCCATACTTGTTGCTCAGATATCCCCATTCATGTTGCAACCACATCTCTCCGGACTAGCCAGCAATGGCCACAGAGGGTTGGCTCTCAGAGGTTGGACGTCTCGTTGCCTGTTGCGCTTACAAGCCGATGCAACTAAGTCAGTCACACTGCGCTACACGCCGGCACCCGCCGCACAAGCTATTGGGCGTTGTTACTCTTGGGGCCCTCGTGGTAGTGAGCCATCTCCAGACCGGCCCTCCTAAAGCCGCACTTGACGTAGAAACCCTCGTTGGCTTCGCTGCAATCGAGTATTGTCTTATAACATCCGACTTCCTTGGCAATGTAGTCGAGCGCCTGGATGAGGCGCAGACCCAACTTCTTGCCCTGCTGATCCTTGGCGACGGCGATGTCCTCGATATGGCCAACGGCGCCGAGGTTATGGATGCTGGCGCGCAGCAAGGCGGGTTAGTCGTGCCCCGGGAACCTAGGGAGGAGGGGGGTTGGCTTCTTACAACTTGCGCTCCGCCAACAAACCACCGGTGCCGACGATCCTTGGTGGACTGGCGGTGGTGTCCTCGATGACGAGGATGAAGTAGGTGCCGTCTTGCCTCGCGATCCAGTCGTAGCGCTCCTCCCACTTCTCCTTGGAGACCTCGCCGACTGTGGTTAGAACCCGCAGGCAGTCAAGGAAGCCGGCGTCGAAATCGTTCCGACGAAGAGCGCGCAGCTTGTAACCTTCGGGCAGCGCGGCCTGCACCTCGGGGGACAGGTATTGGGCAGAGAAGAGAGCCTGTTCAGCCATTGCGAGGGAGAGGAAGGGCGAGGGAGGGAGAGCGGTCAAGTTGGCGATTGTCGGTTAGAGGGTTTGATCTCGGTCGGGATGGCTTCGCTGCCGGTGATGAGGGTTTAGAGGGATTGTTGGATGCCCCGAACTTCGCGTGATGGATGGCACTGCCAGCTGAGCCTTTAAATCCAAGAGATTCGTCGCGGATGTCGATCGGAATTCAGCTTGTTCGATACGAGGGGCACTTGGTTGGCACCACCTATTCGACCCTCAGCCACGCAGGTTCCAGGCGGTGGGCCCTCGGGCGCTCAAATGGGCGGGGTCTAGTTGGTTAGGTATGGAAGCGCTCTTGCCGCACCCGACTCTCTCCCGTCTCTCGTGCTTCCGCAACCGGCGGAAATTTAACCCCTTCTTTTCTGCTGCTTTTTCGGACCTTGCGATAGTAAATGGCGATGCCTTCGTTCACTTCGAATTACCTTTAAGAAAGATGACAAGAAGCTCATGTTTTTTGCGGCTTTGGGAAAAGGATTCAAGGTTACCGTTATGCCCCGCGAGGCAACAGTGGGAAGGCAACCCCTCCCACCCAACGCCAGTGAGACTCGATAAAGGAACTCTGTCGTCTTGACGGATCACGTCCTCGAGCAGGTTACGACAATACAACAGAGGAAGCGGGCGAAGAACCACTTTATTTTGTTTTCAAACATATATACATTGCCTACTCGGGCTTCTCGGTGACAATCTTGCCGTCCTTGTCATAAAAGATCTCCTTGACTTTGATAGACCGCAAGTGGTTGACGCCCTTGCTGAGCTCGCAGTCGTGGTGGAACAGCCACCAGCGGCCCTTGAACTCGACGATGGAGTGGTGGGTGGTCCAGCCGAGCACCGGCTCGAGGATGCGCCCGCCGTAGGTGAAGGGCCCGTAGGGGCTGTCGCCGATGCCGTACGCCAGGTAGTGGGTGTCGCCGGTCGAGTAGCTGAAGTAGTACTTGCCGTTGTACTTGTGCATCCAGGCGGCCTCGAAGAAGCGCCGGTCGTGGTCGTCGGCGGCGATCGGCTTGCCCGTCTCGGGCGCCAGGATCTCGATCTCCTTCACCTCGGTCGCGAACTGGTGCATATCGTCCGTCATCTTGGCCACGCGGGGGCCCAGCGCGCGAGCGCCCTCGCCCGAGGGCTCCTTGGGGCCCTGCCACTCGGCCTCGAAGATGTCGTTGCCCTTCTGGTAGCACTGCAGCTGACCGCCCCAGAGACCGCCAAAGTACATGTAGGCCTGGCCGTCCTCGTCGACAAACGTCGCCGGGTCGATGCTGTAGCTCCCCTTGATGGGCTCCGGGTCCGCCTTGAAGGGGCCCTCGGGGCGGTCGCCGACGGCCACGCCGATGCGGAAGATGCCCTCCTTGTCACGGGCGGGGAAGTAGAGGTAGTATTTGCCGTCCTTGAAGGCGGCATCCGGGGCCCAGAGCTGCTTCGACACCCAGGGAACGTCCTCTGTCTTGAGCACGACGCCGTGGTCGGTCACGGGGGCGAGGGGGTCCAGCGAGTCGGTGCTGAAGACATGGTAGTCGGCCATGTCATATTGGTCGCCATTGTCGTTGAACTTGATATCGGTCTCGCGGTCGTGCGACGGGTAGATGTAGACCTTGCCCTCGAAGACGTGGGCCGAGGGATCGGCTGTGTAGAGGTGGGTGATGAGAGGCGCCATGGTGGTGATGGCCGTCTTGGGGGAAAGTTGGAGTAGCGGGGTATCAATGCGGGGTGCGGGGGAGGGGCAGGCTGTTCTTGGGAAGGGGAATGGGAGAATAATTCTGGTGATGCACGGGGCGTGGAGGAGAGGTTTACATAGGCTGAGGGACTCCCTCTGCTTTTATAGAGGATCTACACAGTATCAAATGACCTCAACCGCTTGGGGGAGCTCACAGACACCCTTAGATCGTCTCCAATGCCCCGTCGAGCTGGGTCGGGCGGGCGCGTGGATGTCGGAAGCACGAGGGTCTGGTCCCATATTCCTATTTATCCCCATTTAACCGTCCGGCCAGTATTCCGGGCAAGAGACTTGGCGGGTCGGCGGGACCTTTGCCGTGCCGTTGCCGTGACTTGCGGGATGGGTGTTTCTCTCGATCATGGCGAGGTTGGTTGGGGTTGAGAGATTTCGGTTTGTGCGCTGCTCCCACGCGCGCCACGACGGTGCCTTAGTTATGTATTGTAACGATGTACCTGCGTCATTAACGCGGATAATCAAAGCTGCAGGGGGCAGTGTGCATCGGAGCAAGCCGCAAACCCAATGGCCTGGGGTGTTGGGGAAGAGGTGGTTTCCCCACTGCGCTGTTGGTTCAGCGATGTTCGGCGACTCTCTCAGGTTGTGGGGGATGAATCGAGGACGGGGATGGTGGGATGGATGTTCCTCTGAAATGTGGGAGGAAACGGGGAATTTGCGGGCCGCCTCTCTCATGGCCGGCGCCCGAGGTCGAGTGTCGCCTTGGCAGTGGAGAGTTCCCATTCTCCCGTTCTTCCATCTCATCAGCCTGCATCCTCGGAAGGCATGCTCTGACTCGCTCGTGTTGGCGGCGACACGCGATCGCAGTGGTTCCAGATTGATGGGATGCACCCAGAGTTCTGGTGTGACCTTTTGAACCAAGCGGGCTGCTGTGAAACATTCTGGGGCTGATTGACTCGACGAAGCCGTTGCCAAGGTTCCAAGGTTGGAGAGATCAACCAAACCACCACAACCACCACATACGTGATGTAGATGGCATAGCACCCGTGGACATGCTCAGGTTTTCGTGCTCCAGCCCGGTCGTCTCGCCGACTATCATTTTTCGCAGTCCGTGATGGCGAATTCGGGACTTTTTAGAACGCCAAAGCCAGGCGCACCAACGCCATCAACACCACACACCATGGTCGGTCTCGAGGAGTCTGGTGGACTGCCAAGCTGAGGCTAGGAGTTCAGCCCCAGGACTGGTTGCGAACGCACACCTATCAGCTTCATGGGGCAACGCCACCACATGCGCCCTCGCTGACGATGCCTTCACATTGGACATCACGACCCCTGCCACAGCCAATATCGAAATGCCGTCGAGGGGGGCGCCAACGTCGTCCGTTTTGGGACTGGGTACCCAAGCGGCATGCCCATCGAAGCGCAAGGCTCGCTAACTCCTTCGTACCTGGGTGGTGTTGACAGAGGAACACCGCCGACTTGAAATCGTCGACGCGACTCTCGCGTCCCGTCCTGCATATCGTGTTCCCCCAAGCAGACATTGAACCAAGGACATAGAGACGCTACGATGCTGATCGCAACGGCGTCGCCAACGTCCACGCTTTCGCCGACTTTGGCCAGCGCGTACGGGCTTGTCCAACCTCGCCAGACCGACTACTTTGGCGGCAGCGACTCGGATTGTTACGTATGGACCTGTCTCGGCCCACCTGCTGGACCGTCATGCCGTGTATCTAACGTCGAATTCACTAGAACTTCGGCAATGGCCTCCAGTGTACAAGCATCCTCAGCGGCTGCTATGACGATATCCTCGCGGCTACCGACTACAGCTCGGCAGCGACAGCCTGTTTCTGCACCTATGGCATCTCCTATCTCGACTGTTTCTACTCGCAAATCGCCACGGGGACTTGCGCAAGCTACTATTTTGGATCCGCAGGCACGTTTCCATTCCGAGCAGGGCATGGAAGGGCCACGTCCCGCTGACTCCAAGGGTACACAGGCTACGGCGACTACCAGCGATCCTACTATTCCGAGTACTGTGGGAGCATCCCCCCCGATGTTATGGCGCAGATCGAAGCACCGTAAGTTCAGCCCGTTCCGTCTTGTATCGCTGAGGCTAACCGGTCCTTTAGAACTAGCGTGTCCCTAGATTTCGAGTACGTTGGATTACCTCACTTCCAATACTTGCGAGCGTGACTGATGAAGGGTCTAGAAAGGTAGATGTGGTCCGAGCCACAGGCGCTATTCGGCAACCCGACTATGACGAACCGCCCCAGTACCAAGGGGAGGGAGAACTTCTCAAAGGCGCGTGTAGCCAAACCGACTTTACGCTTGTTGATGGCGGTAACACCGTTTACTATGGCGGTTTCGTGGGCTGTGTCAATGACAGGCCCGAGTGTTGTCCTTGGGCCGTGGCGACTCCAGCCTCGGTTGTGTCAGGTAGCGCTGCTACCAACGGGCCTGCCGTCAATGCCCGGGACAACATCGACTTTCCGTCGCCAGTCAACAATGACTTAGCTGTGCTGGCGAGCTGTGCCGATGACTACTACTCCATCTCTGGCGGGTGTTGTCCCAAGTACGTGGCGCCCCTTCCCCCCTCCGCCATGCACTCGTCTCTCAGTCTTGCTAATTATAATCAGCGGCTTCTGGCCTTTCACGAGGGCTGTAGGTGGCATCACGCCTTGTTGGAGTTCCATTTCAACCGTTGAGCCTCCTACGCTCACCCTTGAAAAGGACGCAACAACAAAAGAGAAGCCGACGTCAGCCGTCGTCAACATCGTTTGGTCGATGCGCTTTGAGGTCGCAGATCCCGGGAGCGGCGGACTTTCGACCGCGGCTAAGGCAGGCATCGGTGCGGGAGCCGGCGTTGCAGCCATCCTCATCGCTGGCCTCGCCATCTGCCTGTGGAGATCTCGCCGCAAGAACAAGAAGCTCGCTGAAGCTCCGCAACCAGCGGCTCCAGCCCTGGCACAGATGCAGCAACAGCAGCAGCAGCCGCCCTTTAAACAACCCCAGATGATGCCACAAGCCAATGTGCCAAACGGCCAATACCCTCCGGGAGCTTTCCACCCCGGCATGGCAGCAATGGCAATTCCTCCCTCAGACCGCACTAGCACCGTGACAAGCGGGACTTCCGTATCTCCCGGTGTTCTCGTTCCCCAGCACACAGGCACTTCTGGCGGCGGCGTGAGCGAGCTAAGCTCCCAAGGTGGCCAGAACCTGCACAACGCCCAGCCGAGTTACTTTGCCGGCGGTGGCGGTAGCAGGACGGACAGCCCGGCGGTGGGTGTCAACAACGGACATGGCTATCCGGCGCCGATTGCGGAGGCGGATGAGGGCCAGCAGCAGCAGCATTATCCGCAGTATGGTTACCAGCTTCAACACCCACAGCAATACCCATTTCAACCACAACAGCAGCAGCAGCAGCCGCAATACCTCGCACAGCAGCAGCAGCAGTACTACGGTGCTTCCCCGGTGCAGCAGATGCCACCTCAGGGACAGGGACAGGGGCCGGGGCAGTACTACGCTCATCCGCAGGCCGGGTATGCGTACCCGCAGCAGCAGCAGCCAGTCTATTCGCAAAACGTGCCCGAGATGAGTGCCAACAGGGAGGCGGATCCGCCGCAAGAGGTCATGGGTAGCCGTGTGCAGCAGCAGCATCATGCGGGCTGAGGGACATGCCGGGTGGTTGTCTTTCTTTGTTTTCGTGTGGCTTTTGGTTTCTGTTCTTGTGTGGTCCTACCACGTAAGGGAATGCAAGGGATGTAACATCTAGACCATGCCCGGCGTCAGGGGTCGTGAGGTGGTGGTGATTCAGGGGTGACCAATAGCTAGGGGTAAGTCAGGGGCGACTTTTTTGCCTTCGCCCTTCACTCCTCTGTGCCGTCCTCGCCCCCATCGTGGCTTCGCTGGCGTCCCCGGGAGATGCCAACTGGTTCGCTGTAAGCCATCAGAAGACGCGTGCGTTGGCTTGAAATTTTTGGTATGGCTTGACCCCCAAGTCTAAAACTGAGGCGATATCCGCAAAATGGGAACCAATGGTTAAGTACCGGAAATGTCGGTCAGGATGTCGGTCAGGCTGCCGGCCTCCCGGGGTCTCACCTTCTTGGTACATGTACATTGTGGTAGGGAGTTGCAAGCGTTGTTCTGGAAGTCTACAATTGCCGGGACGGAGCCAAGGTATGACAAATAAGACATGCGGTTTCCGGCGTCCAAAGCCGTGCTCATCGATCGACAGACGGAGAAAGTGCTGTAGTATTTATTGGCCAACTTCATTCTCACTCTTGTGTAGGCCCTCCATTCGTTTCCCAAACGGGCATTTGGAATTCTGCCCGAGTTGAGATGGTGGGGGGGTGTCTGCCCCCCATTGGGCGGCGGCAGCCTGGTGGCGGTGGCTGGTTGGTCCGGTCAAGGCACCCGGGCTCGCGGGACCTCCTCGCCCCTCTCCGACGCAAGAATGCCGTGTATCACAAGAGTTATATAGGTATGTACTTCGTACGCCCCACGCGCTAAATGTGAGCAACAGGCTAGCTAGCCTTGCTCGCCGACATACCCGAATAGCCCCCCCCCCTTTAACAAGCTTGATCACGCAGAGTAGAAACACGCCTTGTATTTTATCCAGAGTAAACTTAGTTGTCTCGATTCCATTCCCGCGTTCGTTTAAGTTCCCAGTATGTCCGCCTTCTCATGACATCTTCGAACTCTCCATTCAAACTAACTGCCTTACCTACGTACCTAGGTAGGTAGCTATCGACCTTTCTCGGTAGCACCACTCCCAGCTCGACCGGAAAAGGCACAAGTTGCGTGTCCATGGTCCTTGTCTTTGTATATTGGCGGTCGTTGTGACCCAATCAGTGGCCCGCCATGCTTCACACAGACCGAGGCCCCTCGGAAGGGCGCGTCATGATGGATCAACCTGGGGTATGGCGGACGTTTTCATCGGCCATGCTAAATAATAGAGCGGAGTACAGAAGTATGGCCTTGCACCACCAATCCATCACTCAAACGGGAATAGACTAACGGAGAAACGTGTAGCTGAGACTACGCCCACGAGGTTCTCGAACTCTCTGGCGGAGGACAATACCGATGCCGCATCTCTGGATACTCATTCCAGCATTACTTCTAAGCCGCACCCCCAAGAGTTCCCCGAGCCGATCAAGGAGTATGGCGAGCGTCGGAGTTGGGAGTGGTCGTCGGAGGCTGGGGACTATGTTGTGATCGGGCAAGGCACGGAGATGATCTGGACTCTTCCACATGGCAATAAGAACTAACATTGGATAAGATGGCAAACAAGAGCGGTTCACAGAGCACCAGATGGCTGGAATCCCGCCCCCAGCAGCAGCCCCAGCAAGCTCAGATCCTGACCATAACATCCCACATCCCGACAGCGGAGGAGAAACACAAGCCCGCGGAAACTCACAGGTGTGTAGAGTCAACTCTATCCCAAGAGTGATACAGCCTCCTCAACCACAAAAGCCTCAGTATGGAGAACCACTGGGTCCTGGTATGTCCCATATACCCCAGGTTGCAACTCTTATATTGACCGTCCCAGAATTCAGTGTCATATCCAAGCCCAAGCGTTTCTTTTCCACTGGCCGCATCTTTGCCACGGTCTGGTTTGAGCCTAGCACCGAAGACATGACCCAGCAGCAAACCAAGGCCGGAGCGTGGTCGAACGACTGCCCGGCTTTTCACGGACAGAAACCCGTCGCCAGAATCCGGTGGTTCGTCGTTGTGAGAAGGCGGACTCACCATTCGCTATGCTTCACAGTCACGACGTACGCGGGGAAGGACGGCAACAGGACGAACCGCGGTCGGGCTGGGGATCATGCGGTGCTTTACAGGGCAAATCTCCAGCCCGAGCCTCCCTACGATGACGAGGACATCACTCGGGATGCCATCGCCGTCATTATTGAGGACGCCGAGTACTACATCTCGCCGCTTGCGAGACTTGACTGCGGAAGGACCTACACTGTCGAGGACAACCTGAAGGTTGCGAAAGTCGGGCGAGTACACCCGCGTGATTTGTCTTTGTTGGAGCAGTACTATAGGGATACCGTGTTGTAATAGTAACGGGCACAGAGGTGCAGAAAAAGGAGTCGGAGAGCATGGATAGGTCAAGGAGCATATTATGGTTCGGCGTCTGGTGCCTTCAACAGTCAGCATTAGCGTAGATGATACACAAGTAGCAGCAAGCAATACACTGCCATTTCCTTTGCGACCCCTGTCCAGAGTCAACACCAACCCCTAAACCCCTAAAAGTCCTGCACCCCCGTCTCCCCCACCAAAACCCTCTCCCTTCCCCTTTCCCTCCCTTCCCCCTTTTCCACCTCACCCCCCTCCGCCTCCACCAAACCCAAACCCTCCCCCAAACCCTCCCCACCACCCACAACCCACGCCGGATCCTCATCCTCAAACCAAGCCTCCTCTTCCGCCTCGCGCTCCAGCACGTCGTACTCGTCGTCGGCATCCACCACAGCGTAGTCGAAGTCGGCGTCCTCGCCGCGCACGAACCGGTCCCGCAAAAAGGCCTCCCACTGCGCGCGGCCCTCGGCGCGTGTCTTGGGCGGTGGCGTGAGGGACGCGGTGAGGGATGCGGTGAGGGCGCTGCTGAAGGGGGGCGGGGTGTTGTTGTTTATTGCGGTGGTGGTGGTGGTGGTGGTGGGGGTGGTAGGTTTGGCGGGTTCAGTGCCGTTTGGTGCGGTTTCTGTGGCGGTGATGGTGGTGATGGTGATGGTGTCGTCTTGGTTCCGTTCGACCGTCTGCTCTCGCAGCTTGGCTAGCCGCTCCTCGCCCCGGAGGAGGGAGCCTTCCAGCACGCGGGCGTAGCCCTTCTCGCGGCCTTCGGCTTCGCGCTCTGAGGGGGTTTGGAAGCGCCGGATGAGGGAGTCGTAGAGGAGGGGGTCTGGGGATGGGTTAGCCTTGGATTCCTTGAGTGGTGGAATAGTTTGGTGATGTATATGAGGAAACATGTGAAAAGGTCGGAAAATAGCGATAGGGTTTCTCTCACCTGCCAGTTCATGTTCGTTCGATTCAAAATAGTTGGTGTGTTTTTCTAGATATGCCCTTCTCCGATTCTGTGCTCTGATTTGAGCCAAGCGGCCTGGGGACTTCGGTGGCCGTGGTCGGGGTTGTGAGAATGAGACGGGCGTTGATGGCGTTGATGGGGGTGAGTCGAATCGTGGAGCCATGATGGGAAAAAGAAGGGGTGAAATGTGTTCCGCAAAGATTGCGTGTTGCTTGATTGATAGTAAGAAGTTGTGCGTTATAGCTTCATAGGGCGAATGTGTTCGATGATTCAAGTAGCTGAGGGGTGACTGAGATAACTCCTATGAGATGAAGTTGAGGGTGGCAACCTCGAAGTGCTCTGGTGCTCGATGATTTGTGCAGCTCCAGTGAGAGCTGACCCACTAGAGCCAAACACAAGAGCGCTGTGGACTGCGGGGCTTCAGGGGCCATTAACCACCAGCAATATTTTATGAATCGCCTGTCTTGCTGACCACGTTAGCAGACGGAGTGCTTTGGTACAGTATTAACACTCTATTGTCTTATCAGTTGGTCTATCAAGTTGTAATCCAACACGACTAATCCCACGCCTTGGTAAAATCCCGTGACAACTAGCACTCAGAGCCATGGTATGGCATCATGACAACCACCCAAGTAACCCTTGCCCCTCTTCCCAACGGGGGCCAGAACGCCATACATAAACAATCCAAACATTCCACGCCAAAGACTCGTCAAGCAGCCATGATACTCCTCCCGCCGTCGGCGGTCGTCCGGTTGCGGATGCGCACCTTCAGCACGCCATGAGCCAACCGTCTAATATCCGCCAGCCCGCTCGCCTCGCCCTCCTTCTCGCCCTCCTTCCTCTTGACCCCGATAATGGCGCTCGGCGCAAACACAAACGCCTCGCCGACCCTCAAGTCCACGATCCTCGAGAACAACTCCAGCGCCGGGTCCGCATCACCCAGAATCAGCGCCTTAAAACCATCGATCGCTTCTTCCCCATCCTCGTCGCCCAACTTCAGCTTCCTAGCCTTCTCGAGCAACTTACCGCCAGACGAGACCCCCGCCAGATGCTTTTTCAGTGCATTCAGCCAGTCCGGAGACGTGAATCTGTGAACAACCGTGACGCTGCACAGGTCCAGCAGCTTGGGGCTGATGGTGGGTTCCTGTGTGGAAATGATCACCCGTGCACCAAGATGCCGCTGCAGGCGGATGGTGGACAGGAGGGCTTCTGTGAGTGCGGCACATTCCTGTGAATCGGTCATGTACTTGTGGGCCTCATCGAGGGCGACGATGCGGCCGACGGTGGCCGAGTCCTGTTCTAGGAAGAGGGAGAGGCAGATGTTGAAGAGGGAGCACGCCATCTCTGGAGTGACGCAGGGGCAGGACAAGTCGACGATGGTGAGATGGCCGTTGCGAGGTTTCCAGGAGGTACCCTCTGCTACGATCGCTCGCCGCGATCGGGATGTTTGCGACCCGTGAAACATATCGTAGGCCTTTGCCTGCTTTTCGACCATGAAAGACTCGAGGGTTTCGAGGCGCTGCTTCAGCGGGGCCAGCTGCATATCCGTGAGGTTTTCTAGAGCAAGCTTTTGTTTGAACGCCGTGTAGTTGAACCCGGTATCGCTCTTTTGCTGGTCTACACGCAAGTCTCGAAGGATGCGCTGTGCGACATGGAGGTAGAGAGGGAGATTTCCGCCTGTGGTGACGGCCATCAAGTCCAGCATGCGCTTTGTGTTGAGGTCTGACTGGTTGAGGCGCAACTCCTCAACCTGGATGTTGGGGAACTTTTTGTAAAGACGCTGGGAATTTGGTCAACATCTGGGCTGGAAGTGATGAGAAAAGAGGAGACTCACCTGCAATGTACGGATGTTCGTCGGTGGACACAAGACCCGGACTTTGATGTCCTTGTTCGAGGACAGCCAGGCCACCTCACAAGGAGAGCCGCCAGAGTCAGAAATGAAGGTGTCGTAGTGAAAGACGATGCCTGTCAACGGCCGGGGGAGAACATTCGCCTCGCACGGCGCAAGAGCGTTCTCTAGCAGACAGGACAAGGTGTGACTCTTGCCAGATCCTTGGCTGCCGCAAATGAAGTAACTGGAGGGCGCAGCAATGTTCCAGAAGATCCGCGGGTCAGAGACGTCGCCATCGGCGCTGCCGGTCAAGTCGCCAGCTAATAGACCATACTGACTGAAAGGTGGGTCCGTTTTGGCACCGGCAAGCGAGAGCGCATACTTGCGAACGGCCTCGGTGAAGAGAGGCGTTGTTTTGATTTCGTTAAGCTCGTCTAGGCCGGGACGCCGCCGGAGCAGGGCAAGATGGGCGTTGAGGACGGTGTCTTCGCGGCTGTTGGCGTCGGACTCGGCACTTGACTCGTCCTCGCTTGCTTCCTCACTCGTTTCCTCGCTAGTGGCATCCTCACCTTCCGCACTCGGAGACCCAGGTTTGCTCTTCTCAGAGAGGGAGGCAGCGGACAGTGAGGCCGCCTTGTCGCTCGCCACACTCTCCAGCTTGACTTTCGGAACCATGAGGTCCGCCATACCGCCGGTGAGGCTGTCCATCGATTGAGACCGACTGCCTGAATCCGAGGACCCGCTTCCGCCGGTGTCGCTGGGATACTGGGGACTGGTGAAGTTGAAGGTTGGGATAGAGAGCGAGGGCGGTTTCGGCGCTGCCAATGGGCGTTTAATCGGTGTACCTTTTGGAGCCCCAGCCGTGAAGGTGAAGGAAGAAGAACTGCTGGTTCCGAAGATGGACCCGTTTGGGGAAGGAGACAAGTCTGAAGGTTTGGAGATGAAGGTTTGGTTGGTGTGGCTGAAGAGAGAAGCCCGCTTGCGCTCTCGCTTGGTTTCCTGCCCAGAGTTATGGCTGGAGGGAGAGGTTGCGAACCTGGCTTTGGGTCCCATACTGAGGAAATTGAAGCCGGGCACGGCACCTGTATAAGGGAATTCTTGGTTATCGCCGTTTGGCACAAAAAGTGGGCTCAAAAGCCACGGAACAAACGCAACAATTGGTGAGCAACGAAGAGAGAAGGAGCGAGGCGGCAACCTGCAGAACAGAAAGAGCGGAAGCGGAGCAAGGAAAAACGAAAGAGTCAATGAGAGGCAGTTAATGAGTGAGAGGTGCCAGCCAGGTAAGCGAGCTCCCGGAAAACGACGTGATGAGGCCCACGAAAGTAAAAGCTGGTTGTTGTTGTTGTTGATGTCGGTCGGTGGAGTTGAGTAAGAGCCACGGTAGTGAAGCAGGGGTTTGGTCTTGGTCGCTGCTTGGGAAATTTTCTAACTAGCTGGACTTTCCCGAATGGGAAAATAGAGAGCCGACTTACACAGTACATAATACGGTCCGGAGAACGGATTGAAATCCATAACTGCAGATACCCACTAGCATCGGGCCGTGAAGCTCAAACACGGGAATTTATTCCGGTATTCTGTCGTTGCCATGCATGCGGCCTTTACTGAGATTTTGGGACGAGCACAAACCCCGAATTTGGTCGGCTGGTTGTCCCATATGTTTTGGCAGCCATGAAAGCCATGGCAAGGAAAAGTACCGGGCGAGTATCGTAAATTGAAGTACGAAATACTAGTAGTATGGACATGTTCACTTCGACGGAAAGTCCTAGCCAAATGACTACTCTCATATCCGCTTTATATCTGGCTTTTCAAGTACTGGACTCAACTTGAAGCCAATGCGGTCCGGGTGCTTCGGTTAGAGAAGTGATATATACCTTATCTGAGAAGAAGTGCGGCCTGTTGGCCTTAGCCCTTTTAGGCGCGATTTAACTCGGGGGAGGTTGTATCGAAGAATGGGACGCTGTTTACAATTTTACTGCATTGACAACATGGAACCTTTGTACTGCGTAGATACCTTAGTGCTCTCCGCTCTTTAGGTACCGTAACCTGTACATACACATGCCTCTCGCCAGCAGAGAAGAGGTTGTTTCGAGCCCTTCCCGTCCTCAACCACGAACTGGTATTCATCGACGACCTGGCGTGCCTGGTGACATGTTTTGGCAAGAGGCTGGTCCAAAATGGATCTCCAAATTGTGTCAATTCTGCAACAGCACTGATTTGTTCACTCTGTCCACCACCATGCACAATTTCGAGCTTCCGATTGGCACGCGGAGCTTCTGCAACGGCTCGGGCGGGGGTCGTGTTCCGCCAAGACCCGCCATCCTTACTCTCGCCTATCGCTCAACCCAAAGCTCCTCGAAGACAAGAAGAGCTCTCTGAGCGGCAAGGTAAGGTTTCGTTTTCCCAAGAAGACACAAATCACAACACTACGACAGCTCGGAGACCATCGTCGTTGCCCCGAATTTCTTCCTTTTCCAGCGGAAATGCCGCGGTTCTCTTCCGGGCTCTGAACTTCAGAGACAACCACGGCCTGTGGCCGCACACTGGAACCGGCCTGAGCGCCGTGAGCCAGCATCCTGGGCTCATCCATCTTTGGATTCTCCGGGATGGGAGACTTCAGATCTAAGTTGCGGGCTAGAATTTCGCGACGGCATTCAGGCATCCCCCTGCTCCCGTCCAGCAGAAATGGAAACGCCAGCAGCAATAGCACCAAGAGCGTTGAGCCCAGCTCTCCAGCGAGCGCCCATCGCGTCGAGGATGCCGAGACAGCCCTGGCCGCAGTTCCCCAGAACCAGGATGGCAGCCACATCCGGCAAGCCACGGGATCATCACAGGCACAGGGGCAATTGAAACAAGGCTCAAAGCATCACCCAGCGAGAGTGCTTGTCGAAGCCAGCGATGCAAGCAGCGGAAAGGATGGCGATGATGCTGCGAGTTCTGGGAGCGCTGCGGTCAGCCAGAACCCAAACAGTGCTACAAGTCCCACTAACAACAGCCCGCTGTTGCCCGCCTCACCCGGCCCCGGTAAAAGGAATTGTCTCGGCAATGATCGCCGCATCCTGACAGATAGCGAACCCTTCAGTGGCAACAAAAGCACAACCGATACCGATACCATTCAGCAATCGTCGCCGTCGTCGCCGCCATCGCCAACTACCCGTTCCGCACCGGTCGACGAACCGAGACCTAGAGCCCCTAGAGTCTCCACCGATGTTGCCCGCCGAGCCCGAGTCAGCGACCCGCCCGTGAGCTTAGACCTGTCTAGCCCGGCCTCTCGACCCGCTGCCTCTGGCCGTCCTTCCTTCACCCCCCAAGACCCTGTCGACCCGGCGTTAAGCATTCAATCGCGCCCGTCGACCTCGACGAGCTTTCGTCCGTCCGCGCCGCCGAGACGGCAGAGTTTGCTGCCTAACCGACAGACGTCGCTGATCCGGACGCTGTTGAATGCTGGGCAGGTCGATGACCCCGACCAGAGCGCCTCGGAACAACTACCGCCCATTAGCCCAAACATGGCCACACGCAAGCTCTGGGTGAAGCGGCCGAGCGCGTCTGCGACTCTGGTCACCATTAATGAAGAGGACCTAGTTGACGACGTCCGCGAATTGATCCTCCGGAAGTATGGCAACACTCTCGGTCGCCAGTTCGACGCTCCCGACTTGACGTTGCGCATTGTGCCCCGCGAGAGCCAGAGACAAGAGCGCGTCTTAGGGCCCGAGGAGCCAATGGCTCGTACCTTGGACGCATACTTTCCCGGTGGGCAGTCGGTAGACGAGGCGCTGCTTATTGACATACCGCATCGCCGCACCCCACGAGCCTCCCCGAGGAATGGCCCTCCGCATGCCCAGCACCTCACCTCGGTTAGCTACGAAGACATGCGGCCCCTCGAGGGGAGCACTGACTACTTTGGGCCCGGTGCCGTCGCCCATATCCCCGTTACCATCGCCGGTGCCGCGAACGGCGCAGCGCATTCCATATCGGTTTTGAACACAGGACAAGTGCCGCAGATCCCCTCCCCAGGCGGGACTACACGAACGCGGCCCTATCGGGACCGGCCTGACAGGCCACGTCCTGGGAGGCAGCACACGTCATCCCCTACAATCCTCAACGTTGTCGGCGCCGGGGGACATACGGCCACCATCGCCGTTGCCACCAACCATGGTATGCAGCAAGCGTCTTCGATTACGCGTTCCAGGACTCATTCAAGTGCTTCTTCAGAACAGACGAACACCGGCCAGCCCGCCCAGCCCGCACCCCCTTTACCGACACCCCCGAGTCAGGAATCAGCGGCTGTACCTATTCCCCGAACTGCCACACCGCCACCGCCGAGAGCGGCCTCGCCCCGCCCTCCTCCCGCGGACCGACCGAGCCGACCGAAGAAGAAGAAGACGACCGAAGCTCCCGCATTACCGGCGGGCATGCTCAACGGCGGCGTGCCGCCCATCAACGTGCTGATCGTCGAAGACAACATCATCAACCTGCGCCTACTGGAAGCGTTCGTCAAGCGGCTGAAGGTGCGCTGGCAGACCGCTATGAACGGTCGCGAGGCTGTCACCAAGTGGCGCGCGGGCGGCTTCCATTTGGTCTTGATGGACATTCAGTTGCCCGTTATGAGTGGGCTTGAGGCCACACGCGAGATCCGCCGCCTTGAGCGCACAAACTCGATCGGCGCTTTCTCAACTACGAACAACAACACCAACAACACCACCACCAACGGGGGTGAGTCAGATGAGTCGAAAAATGAGATGCCAGAGGAAGATAAGCTCCAAAACAGGGAGATGTTTAAAAGTCCAGTCATCATTGTCGCCCTGACGGCGAGCTCCTTGCAAAGTGATCGCCATGAGGCGTTAGCTGCAGGTTGCAATGACTTTCTGACCAAGGTATGCCGGATTTCTGATTTTCCTATAAAATATTGGCTAACGATGTCCCCTAGCCGGTTACCTACGTTTGGCTCGAACGCAAAGTCATGGAATGGGGCTGCATGCAGGCATTGATTGACTATGACGGCTGGCGGAAGTGGAAGTCGTACACTTCAAACCCCGCCCCGAGGCAGCCAGAGAGATGAGCGCGCTCCTTCAGTAACCACCATTACCGGAACGAAAGCGAGACGTCCGATCGAGCAGTCCCGGGCAAGGCTTACTGTATTTCCCGGATAGGGAGGGAAATACACTTGTGTGTTTCAATGTGTTTGAAACACACACTGAGTGCGCCGATTTGCTCTCTCGCCAACCCCACCATCAGCCCAGCTTTCCTTGTGGCCACTGGCTCCGAGCGAACAGATACCCGTGGTTGCGGCGGTTCATCCATCTCGAAACCAAGAAATATTTCTCATTGCTCGAGATTCCTAAGGGGATTTGTTGAAAAGAGTACGCCGGAGACACGGCACAAATGGAATCCACAAGGATGGAGATTGTGGGAAGAAATGGTTACAATATGTGAATATTACCGGGCCGGCGACCGAGGACGTAATGAGTTGGTGAGGCTTTCGAGCATACGCAATCGAACTACACGACATCTAGAAGCAATCGAATATACCCTGGACTGTACCATAATCATAGTTTTCCGCTTCTTCGACCGCACCCCTAGTTCCTTATCAAGCTGCTCACTTGCGTGTCTCGGAGCGTGTCAATTCCTAGTGGACCCTAACCCTCTTACCCACCCGATCGTGGATCCCGAGATCTTGATCGATTGGCCAACTCAACGCAAGCGGAACTCACTCCCCTGTTTCCTCTCCAAGAAAATTCCGACGGCAAGCCGGAGCTCAACCTTAATAAAACCATCCTCCACGCCCCGACAACCACAACCACCACAACCATGCCCCCCCGGATACGCGGCAGCAGCTGCCAGCCGCAATTGCTCCTCAACTACCTCGAACCGGTACCATCCTCCTCCATATCACCGGCATCCGCCCTCACCCCACTACACAGGCCAACGGCATCGCCGTCACCAAAATGCAGTCGGGCCTTTTCCACAACGCCAGCGCCGCAGATCACCAAGCTGCGGCGGGCGTTCAAGGAATGGTGCGCCGATAAGGGGTTGATGTATCGCAACGCCCCGTACGACCAGACGAACTACATGGGCTTCTCGAGGACCCGGCCGTTCCCCGAGAACGAGCACTTCAAGAGCGAGCCCGTGCTGTCGGTCAGGGCGCGCAACATGATTTGGGAGGCCATCATGGTGAAGGGCATGCCGCTCAAGGCTGTGTCGGCCGAGTTCCATGTGGATATGCGCCGCGTCGCGGCGGTGGTGAGGATGATGGAGATTGAGAAGAAGTGGGAGCGTGAGGTGAGTTTGCCCCTCTATTTTTCGCTCTGGTTCCTGTCCTGAGGGCGTTGGTTGTGTTGGCTTCCGTGATGATATGCAACAAAAATTCGATTAGTCTTGAAGACCTAACCGTGGTTATAATGCTCAATTTCTGACGAAGCCATCACCTCGTTTTCTTTTTTCTTTTGAATTGCCTATTCCGTGTCCCTACTAGGTAACTGACACCCGTCGGCAGGACAAACCCCTCGCCCACGCCTACGCCCGCGCCATAACCGCCATGCTTCCGCGGGCAGACCTCCTCGAGGGCGAGAACAAATTCGAGCCCATCAACGACATCCACGTGCACAGCTACACGACGCAGCAGCTGTTCGTGCCGGCGTCGGAGTCGCGGCAGTTCACGCGCGCCGACGCGGCCAAGGCGTTCGGCGAGCACATCCTGCCGCCGGACGCCAAGATGCGCATCCCCGAGCTGGTGCAGATGGAACGGAACCTGGTCGAGGGGATGGAGCCGCGCGAGGCGCGCGGGCGCTTCATCAAGGAGGCGGCCGAGAGCGAGCAGGCGTTCGCGGAGAGGCAGCGCGAGCGCGCGCTGGCCGCCGAGGAGCGCAAGACGCGCGTCAACACGGGCAGGTTCGAGTTCCGGTTCGAGAAGATCAACGCCGAGAACGTGGGCCCCACGGGCCGCGCGCGGAAGGCCGCGGGCTGGCGGTACGGCGCGCCACATATGGACCGCAGGAGAGGCGAGGTCAAGATCCCAACGAGCGTCGGGTGAAGCCTTGGGCTGGTCACGAGGATTGGAATTGTTTTCAGGACGCCGGTGTACGTATGTATTCAGGGCAGCTCCACCAGCGGCGAGCCCTTGTATGAATTAGTAGTAGTTAGTCTGGGATGGTCTAGATGAAAGCCCGCAAAAAGCGGCCTTGCTACCTCTCTATCACAACCATATCTTGTAGTGTAGCCAACCAACCAATCTAAAGACGGGGTTGACCCTCCAGCCCGGCGGCGTGGCTGCTCCAGTCCAGTGCCTCCTCGCCCTCGGCCAGGTCGACGATCAGGTTCTGCCGGATCTGCTCGATGCTCGCGCGTGATACACCGAGGTGGTCGACGACGTAGCTCTCGACGGACCCATACTTCTCGCGGATCATGGCCAGGGTGCCGAGCATGTACTCTTTCCTATCATTGATCCCACCACCAGGTCAGCAAAACACGCACGGTGCCTCCAGCTCCAGATCCTAGCAGTCCGGCTTGTAACAGCGGCAGCGAGGAAGCGAAAGGAAGGCGGGCGGGTGTACGGTGGCAGCTAGAGAACGAGAAAGAGGAAGAGAAAGAAAGGAACCAAGATCAAGACCAAAATCAAAAACTCACTGCGCGGACACCATGCGCTCGGCGCGCTCGCGGTCCCCAAACAGCGCCTCGCCGCGGACCAGGTGCTGGACGATCTCCTCCTTGCGCGGCGCCAGCCCCAGGTCGGTCAGGCTGTACTCGTGCGCGACGACGGCGTCGTCGAGGCCGCAGAGCGAGAGGATGAGGGCGATGAGGACGCCCGTTCCTGTTGGTTTTTTTTTTTTTTTTTTAGTTTGGTTTTTTGTCAGAGGGGACTTGGTTAGAGAAGGGGTTGTGGTAAGGCGGGTTGGGGAGGAGGTGTGGATGGGAGGGGGGAGAACTGGTTCGCGGATGGTCAAGAGGCGTGGGAAGGGGGACTTGGGCGACAGGCAACCACCCGCCACCGGCGGTTGCTGGTTGAGGCAGGCTGTGGTGTTGTGATGTGATCCCTGAAGGGCTGAGGACGGTGCGGGGTTGGGGGAAGGGAGGGGGCAGGGGCTTTGACGACGGGCACATACTGTCCTTGCCGGCGGTACAGTGGACCAGCAGCGGTGAAGGCGTCGTCGACGAGGCGATGTGCTCGAGAACGGTACGGAAGGGCGAGTATGGGTGGTCCGGATCGGCGGCGGAGGCAAGGATGGTGGTGTAGGCGTTCACAAAGCCCTGTCTCGGATGTCAGTATCAGCTGGGTCGATGCAAGATGGGATCTGTGGGTGAAGGCGTGGGGGCGTGCCGATCCCAAGCCCCTCAGAGCCTCAAAAGCGGGCGCGGTGGTGTAGTGTATGTTTAATGGGCGCGGCCAACGGTGGGTTGTCACGGTCTGGACAACGCATTCCGTGCAGATTTGCCCCCCTTCCCGCACCCCATTACCGGCGTGGCGCCCCTCCACAGATTCGGCAAGCCGCCAGCCTTGTGGGCTCCGTGCGGGATCAACGGTCCGCGCCCGCAGCGCCCACCCGCCCCGTTGTCATCTGCGGCAAGAGCCCCGGGGGTGTGCACATCGACTGACCTTTGGGCCGTCGCTATAATCCCGGAAGCGCGACACCAGAGCCTCGGGGCTGTAATCCTCGTCCAAGAAGACGGGCACAAACACTCGGGTGGCTCCCTCCCAGGTCTTCGGCGGGTGGTTGCCGTCCTTTGCAAGCTCGATCACTGACCGCAGGTCAAATACGTGGGTGATTCCTAGTGGGCGAAGAACGGCGACGCCTTCATCCTCAAGTTTGGTCAGGTCGGCGGAGCGAAAGAGCACGCCGCGCCTGATTACCTTGCCCGGTTGACCTTCGATAGCGTACCCCCCGGCGTCCCGCAGGTTCGCGAGGCCCGGGACGTGGATGAAAGGAGGCGAGGGTAAGTTGATATGGGCCATGGCCTGATCTGCTTCCGGGCCTGTCATGTTGGCTCGGCCTGATGAAAGGTCTCTTTCGGCACTGAGAAGCTGGAACCAGAGATTCGGAGGCGGTGTGGTAAATCTCAGCCGAACGAAGACCCAGTATACTTATTGGGCAATTCCTGTTCTCAGCTTGCCAGCCTGATATCTCAGTGTCTATATTGAGTGGTGGGAGGTGAGAGAGCGGCGACCAATGGAGGAGTATGGGGGGTTGAGAGGGGAGGCTTGGGAAGAGCCAAGTGTGTGGGGGTAACCAATGGCCAACTGTTTGTTGGGGCGTGTTTCCAGCCTCCCTACCTTACCTATTTCGGCAATCGGGATCTCCCAGTTGTCCACCGTCGTCCTTTCACCTCAGCCCATCCAAACTCTGCAGTATGCGGGCCCGTTTGTGGTTGACTTAGTTGACCAGTCGGCAACAACCTGGAAGGTCACGGTAGCGAAACAACGACCGTTATGCCCACTCTGCCTCGTGAACACGGTAAAGTCCGGTGGCGATTTTCCAAACCCGCATTTCTGCCCAAACAGGCCGTCTTTCCGAATTGACCACTGAATCAACGGATCGTCCAATCGAGCTGGGCAGTTGGGTTGGGCGAGGGAAGGAAGGCATGGCTGGAGCATGGCATTCATGGAGGGGTAGTTACACAAATCGCTCGCAGGTCGCCCCGCATGAGCCACGAGGTCAGCACACCAATTCCCCAAACGGCTTTTGACTTCCCTCGGCGTTGGAAACCCACGAGAAACCCAAACATCCATGGATTCCCGCTCGAGGAATCGGTGAGGTTGTGGTCTGAAATCGCTTGTCTTCTGTCGCCTTGCCAGCTCACCTTTCCTTGCCTGCCTTCCGTTACCCAGCCTCTCAGCCCGGTGGGGGTTGCTGCCTGATCCAAGTTTGCGAAACCTTGCGTTGGGTTCCCCGAAAGAAGCAGAGTTCCGAGACAATCTTGCACCACCTCGCGCACGTTTTGAGGCTGAGAGTCTAGTCTGAGACATGCTGCTTCCCGGCTAGTTATCCTCCAACGTGGCCAAGCAGCCTGGCGCGGAGCCTCACGCGGGCGTCCCAAGAGGCAACCCGCAGCTTTTCCACGTGTAGCTCAGCACCCTGGGCACTTGGGCGCTTGGGCAGTTGAGTGACGTCGATTCCTCGTGCCCATCCCAAACCGACCAGCAGGAACATTTACGAGTCTCTCTGGGCGTGCGAAGCATCTCTGCGGCTGCACTGCCTCATCACCCCTTCTGATTGAGTGTGGAGAGAGAGAGCAAAGGTGAACGAATCGATCAGGGGTGGCTTGGCCACAGGCTCGATGTCGTTGCCTTCTCTTCGCCGTCATTATGAGTTGTCAGGTCTGAGACTTGTGTGCTGGTCGGACCTGCAGGAGCCTCGCCGCTGAGATGCAGGGACCCCTGAATGGACATAACAATGAAAAATAGTTATATGAGCAGTTCAAGTCTGAATTTGCGGACGGGTTTTTGAGAAGACATTTGTAACTATAAGAAATAACAAAAATATCTAGTTCCGCCTCCAATGCTGTTCCGCATCGCTGCAATGAGTCTTGATGAAATCTGGCCACCTATGTCTATCCGGAACGCCAGCGGACAGAAGCACGAAACCGCCAAAAAGCAAACAAGCTCCGCCTCCGCCCAGCGTCATGTTCAGGGGTCGATGCGAGCCAAAGGGCCGGGCAAGCACCATGTGACGCCGAAGCCTGCATAAACAGCAACGCAAGTACATAGGAAAATAAGGGAAAAGACCCAACTCTCAAACAACCGCCCCACCCGCAACCCGCCCAGCGGCGCCACCGGTGTAAGTAACCGAACCCAAACTACCACCCGCCCCGCTCGTAGCCAAACGCCCGGGAATGATGCAGCGGGGAGAGGAGAAAGAATCCCCTGCCATCCTTGTCGTCGTGATGCTAATAGCACTGCCGGGGCCAGGCGCCTTTCCCCGAGGAGGGAAGGGTTCCACGGCGTATAGTGCTGTCAAATCAATGGCAGAGGCGGCCCCTCCTCCTCTCCGCTCTTGCCGTGTGTCATATGTCGTCTGTTCCGGGACGGCATCACCAACGGCCACCGTGGTTGCCGTCCCAATCTGGTGCCGTGCCGTACGGCGCGGGCCTTTAATGGTCGGCGACGTCGTGCGTCTCCTTGCTGCAGTGGGCGCTCGAGAATCCATGCTGGCAGTTGATGCACTGCACCGCGGTCGATGCGTTGGCGGTCCAACCGCAGTTGCAGCAAACCCAGAGGGTTACGCGGACGGAAACGGGAGGCGGCGGCGGCGGCTGCATTGTGTGGGTAGTTAGCACGGGCTAGACCCTCTACAGGAAGGGGTGGGACGTGGGAGTACTGACCGGCATATTCGCTGGTGAACTTTTAAGCCGTGTGTCTAAAGGTGAACGGAGTTTGGCGAGATGATGTTGAAAGAGGCTTCTGGATGCTTATTGTTGCTGGAATTCCACGCTCCATATTGAGTTCGGGGGCGACCTTATTATAGAGCTGGTCTCCGCGGTGGGCGACACAATGTTCCAGCCTAGGTAGTTGTAACTCCTAGCTTGCGCAGTCGCAGCGACATTCCCACACCGACGAGAAGCCCATGTCCAATCGAGCCATGATGAGGCAATGCCGACCTAAGTTCAAAACGAATTCCCGAGAATTGGACGACTGAGAAGCGTTCGTAAAAGGGCGTTTCAAGTCGGAGAAGGTTAAAGGTCAGGAATAGTGGATCCGGAACAACGGTGACGGGGCACCTATGATTGCCCCATGAAGACTTTGGGAAGGCAACGTTCGGTGAGAGCAACCCCTTGTTTGTTGTTTGGATGAGGACCTTTCGCATGGTGGAGGTCGAGCACGAGCGTTGCCGCGGACCACGACCTCATCATCAGACCCATGATGAAAAACGGCATTTTTAAACTGGAGATCAATCCGGAAGATGGCTGTGTCGCCAATATGTCCAAAACATCCAGCCATGGCGGGCGGGGGCTGGGTGCCGCCCCGGCGGGACTCTCCCAATCCCCTAGTAAGGACTCGGGATCGAAGGCAACCCGTGTGGGGAACCAGTCATCACGCTTCTTCATCCGTGCTTCACTAGCAAAGATGAGAGTAGTCGTTCGACACGAAAGAGGCCAGTCATGGTGGAGAACATGTTTCCTAGGGCTCCTAGGGCTCAATGTTAGCACTCAGCTGTGACGACGGCGCCTCAGTACTTCTGCTTACTTCGCTCCCGTTGACGGCCTTTTCGAGCCCACTCAGAAAGCCAGCGACAAATCCGTCCGGAAAGCAATGGAACAGGCATGATGAGGTGGGTCTGGGGCTGGACAAGTCTGGTATCCCAGCTTTTGGTTGTTGTGTTGTGGACGTAGTTGTTGTTGTTGTTGTAAATCCCACCGAAGATGCTCATTTCCGGATTCCCATGCTCAACGGTCTGACGGCCAAAACCCCGATGAAAACGATTCGACAGCGCAAACAAGGTTGATTGGGCCAAACGCAACAGACAACCGTCATCTTTGGTAAGAGGACACACGAGTGGACCCGCCTCGCCGTTTTCCTGGTTGTACAAAAGTTTGCTGAGGCGGGAGACATGGAGTCCCGCTATATGAGGCCTCCGGGATATCCAAGGTGTCGTTCGGCGGGTCTCACAAAAACAAAAGCCCATGAACGAGAGAGAGGCGGACCATGAGGCTCTTTTATTCCAAACTCGGCGCTTAGTAAATCGGAGACCACCTAGTAAAGGGCTGAAAATAGAGCAGAGCCTCATCTCTTGCGGCTCAATGGCTTGACAATTAGCCTAGCTGAACTTGTTATATTTCTCACCACGCGGCTTCATGCCGGCCGAAAAAGAATTGTCGGCCACGATTAGAGCCCGAACGGGTTTGAAGGGCGGCATATCGCCGATGGTGCCTTCTCGTGTGGACCGTGGGGTGGGGGGACAGGTGCCATTCTCATTCAGCGTGAGTGCGGCACGCCCCCCGGTGAGGAAATGCGGGCAACATGGCGGGGTGCCCGGCAGAACAGAGGGGAGGGGGAAGACAAGGCTCTACACAGTAGGTCGTTGAACTTTCGGTGTGGCTCGGTGGGGTGAGCGGTAGGTCGATAGGTGCCTAGGTAGGTCGGTCGTAGGTCTCGAAACTGTTCTCCTCGGCATTCAGCTTTCTCGGGCTGAGCCGCAAGTGTCATCTGCACTGCAACCTTGCAAGTTTGCGGCTGCGTTGTTGAAAGAGAAGGCTGCAAAAAAAAAAAAAAAAACCCTGAAGCGTGGATTGTGTGCAGCCCGATTACCTAACCCCTGTTGTTGATGTTGAGCTGATTGCCGCATTGGCAAAGTGGGGGAGCTTGTCAAACCAATTGCGGCAGGTTGGAGGCACGTGTGTTTTCTGGCCGCTTGATGGGAAGCTTGGGCCACATCGGCCTTGCCAGCGACCGGCATTTCGTTCGTTCCCCTGTCTTCTAAGCAGTCGCAACCGACAGCGTCATTCGGCAAATGGCCTAAAGCCGCCGCCGCCGTCGCCGTCGTGGCCGGGCCTGTTTCAAAAAGGCGGTCCCAACAGCTCCCATGTTACCTTTAACAGCATGATTCTGTGTGTCATATTGCTGCTCGGTCGATTAACTAGCGCATCTTTCCCGCACTAGTTTAAACCCATCTGTTGGGTCGCTGCCGATCACCACCGCGTTGTTCCGCTCGGCAAGTGTACGCTAAACTCGACTAACTTTTCCCCCGATTCATTATCTCAGCGCCGCCGTCTCCAAGCTCCTGATCGCTTCCTCTCTCTTTTTCCCACTCGTCAACAACAGGCTCAAACTCTGCCCCAAGAGAGGACCAACGAACTTTCTCAGCTAGTGCGCAATCCACAACCGCCGAGATGGCCATTGGCGATGTATCGCTGAGCTACCTGCTCTTCTTGCTTCTGCACTTTTCTCAGTTCGTACTCGCAGTCACAGTCTGCGCTCTTTACGGTATCGACCTCGACCGCGCCCGGAAGGCCAACGTTGCCGCGGATGGGAAATGGATCTACGCCGAGGTCGTCGGCGGTCTCTCCGCCCTGACGGCCATCCTCTACTGCGTGCCTTTTATCCTCCGTTTTGCGGTGGTGTGGGTCTGGAACCTGATCCTCTTCATTCTTTGGATCGCGCTCTTTGGCATTGTCGGCAAGGTGGGTATTTCCCCACCCCCCCTGAGGATCTCCGAGGGTGTGAGGGTGTGTGAGTGTGCCGACCGCAGCTGACCCGGTTTAGATGTACATCCACGAAGACCCTGAAGGAAACGGTGACCTCCAGCGGATGAAAAATGCCGTCTGGGTGGTTCTGGCGAGTGCTATTCTGTGGCTCATTGGTGTCCTCGCGCACTTTATTTACTGGTGGGGTCACCGGGAGCGCAGGAGTCGCTTTACCAGCCGTGCAAAGGTGTAGGTGCGCCGGCAGGGAAATATACCACGGAGACAGCAGGTTGGACGAATACCCCGGCAAGCGCTCGTTATTTGGTAACAGAGGGAGGAGGCTTTTCAGGGGCGATGATATCATGACACTTGATGCGGTGCATTCTAATACCCCTATAATTATTGTAATACCCATGCGTTGTATGCAACTTAATATGGCTTGTCTTCATGGCCATCTATTGATTCCCAACATACTTTTACAGTATCGCAACGTCAAAACAGCTTCATAAACGCAAAGTGTCAGTGACAGTGGCGTGACGGCACACACTTGATATGAATCTAATCTGTGGAAAGGCACGCCGTGGGGGATTCTTCGCTCCTTCGTAGTGACGTCATGCCCGTTGCTGCGCAGGCTATCTCGAAACAAACACTCACCCAACGCAACTTGAACTGTGGGGTTAGCTTCAGCTCAGCAAAGATTGTCCTCTGCAACCCTGGGTTGATGAGGAGCGGGTTCAAGAAAGGAATTATTTTCTCGTCGGATGTGGACGTGTGGGTTGCCCAACGAGTCGAGCCAAAGCCCTGAAGGGGTCCGGTCGGGCGCTTTGAGTGCCAAGCCGACGATCACTCGAATTTGTTGGAGGCACCACCCTTTCAACCTCTCCGCACCCGAACCACACAAACGCGACAAACCCGGGATCAGCGGACGGCTCGCGACCCTTCAAGGAGCTGTTTTGGCGGCAGCAAGGCCCGAGGATGGACGAGATCAGCGACCACTGCCGGCCTCCTGTTTCGAGCAATCGGTACGCAATCGACACGCCCATCTGCGGACTGCTACGAAGTCTTCCGAGCTGAATCATCGTGGTGCCGTACATCATCTGTCGCTGTTGAGACAACGGACCCCGAGACATCGTGCGTGCCTATAAAACCATACCCAACTAACCATGCCGCTTTCGAAAAATGTTCGAGACCGTTAGGAAGCTGCTGGATGGTGCGTTAGCGACATCCATCTTCTCTGTGCAACCCTCCCCCGCAGGATGGCGATCGCGAGACGGAGGCCTGGTGTCGTCCACACAACCCCCCAAGTGCCCCCTTCTGCGGTATCATTCATGCCTGCATGATGCCGGGAAGCGGAAGGTGGGGTGCATCTGCTTTCTTGGAATTTCGTGGCATGTTGCAGCCAAAACTTTCCATCCCCCGTCGTGCTGTCTTACGAAAGTTGCCATGATCAGCGTTCAGGGTATCGATTTCCACCCAACCATGGGCCTGAGGGCCAGCGAGCAGCAACACAGAAACACAAGAAACTCGCATGTCACCACCCTCCTCGTTACCTTTGTTAAGGCGTCGACGCACTTTGGCGGGCCTGCCTCACGCAACACGGGTCTACCGCCAACACGCACCTCGTCTGTCCACGGTCGTGTGTTTGTTGTTGTGAGGTGGGCCCGTCTCGGGCTTTCGGCACACTATTATCAGCAACAACCCAGAAGATTTCATCATGTGGCTTCAATAGACTGTCGCTACCCGCAACTAGCTTGAGCTATCTGTGCATTCCCTTGTCAACCGTGTTTCGCACAACCAGGTCTACTCAAGCCGAAGAACACTGCCCCCGGTGAACCGCCCCTCTGTGCCCCTCGAACGCAACCTCCAGACCCTGGGTATGGGACAAACTGGGCTCGCAAGGTTGGTTTGGTGGTGTGGTGGGGCAGCAAGGCGATCCCAGTCACAGGAAGGGATCCCATCATCCACCCCCCCAGGCAACCGGGGTTGGGGTTCCTTGCCAGAGTGTGGAATATGAATGAGCGGACGCCCACCAAGAGGTTGCCGCTTTTTGAACTTTCTAATTCCAATGTTCGAACTTTTTACCATGCACTTTAGACCGACTCCCACAAGCCTAGCACGCGGCCCGTCAGCACCAGGCTGATCGTCTTCCGACACCCCGAGACCCCATGAGATTCCTTACGCCTCCCTCAAGTCCAGTGCTTCGGGCGGACTCGCCCTTTTGATGCGCCGAGTTTCACAGCAAACGTATTTATGCGAATAACTAGGACCCCCCTCCGGCACAAGGAAACACCAAGCGATCGGCCCTTCACGTCGCTGGTGTATCTTATGCTCGATCCGCCCCTCCGAAAGTCGATCGGACCCCGGTGCGAGTAGTACGGGCGAAACAAAGTACAGACGCGGATCCTTGAACGGAACAGTTGTCGATATCGTCCTTAGCTGGGCTTCCTATCAGCGAGCACAACGAGACGGAAGAGAGACGGAAGAGGGTTACAACCAAAGGGTATTTCTATTTCATGGTTACAGACGCCCTTATCCGTACGTATAAATGCCTGTTGCCGAAGTGCATCATTACGAGTGCTCTGGGTCCAAGCTCGGCGACCGACCTTTGTCAGAAGCGACGCTTTGCACCTCGCCTCCGTTCTATTCCAACATCGCCTTCTGTTTTGTATCCAAGACCGAGCTCTATCAAGACCTTTTCACTGATATCTTCTACCGTTCAGGGACAGTTACAAGCGCAGACACTTGCAAACGCTGACGACGCCGTGGCCCGCAACGAACATCACCGACATCATTGTCACGAAATGGAGGGCCATGCTCATTCTTTGAGACTACCGGTGCCAACTCCAAGGCGCCCCATGCACCAGAGGACAGCCTCAAGCTCGTCAGAAGCCTCGCAGGGGTCCCACACCTCACACCAGTCGCACGGTTCAGAGGACCAGTTCGTCCTGTCTCCAGCTCAGACACCTGCAAACGAGAACGCTCCGGCTCGGGTCATGATCCCGCGGTTTGCAACAGATCCCGCAGCAACGAGGAACGGCCTCCTTCTGGGTAAAGGTACGCCACTCTCAACATTTGTTTTGCCTTTCTTTTTTTTCGAGACCATCCATGTTCTCGATGGATGGTGAGGTGCCTTGGATGGGTGGTACCTACCTATTTTTGAAACCACGCTGCGGGGAATTTATAGGGATGCTGTGGGGCGTGGGACAGCCCGTCAGACCCTCCAGCGGGGAAGTGGCCGCTGTGGAGACCCCCACGTTGGCCAGGGTCCAGGTCTCAAACACCTGCGTCATCGGGCGGCCCGTCAGGCTTTTGATTTATCCCACCTCTATCCAGCTTTCTTGGCTTCGACTTTCAAGTACACACGACACAATTCATCTCGAGTTGACGCTGATCCATTCCCCCTAATAGTCGAAGTTAATTCCCGCGTTCAAGCCTCGGGGAATTACCCAACATCACCAACCCGTTTGAGAGTTGGTCCGAGCAAGAACATTAAACCGGTTGTCATTGAACTGCCTGAAGGGCCGAGGGCTGACGACGCTACCTCTCCTGCGTCCGCCGCATCTGTTCACATCCCTCCACCTCCCCTATCAGCGAGAGGCGATGTCCCTGGGTACGTCATGTTCCCCTCTGTTAATATCTATACTCGAGATGTGGTTGGGGTGTCTTAGGTGCTAACTTATGACCGTTATGCAGAGGGTACTTTCCGCTGCACGAAGACCCCGACTCCCGAGTCCATATCCCCCACCCATTCCATCTCGAAGCCGACATGGCTCACCGAAGCTCTGTGCGACGGACCGCCGAGTCTAGCAAGTCTGGCGCAGAGCCCCGCTCGTCCTCACCTCCGCGTGCTTCCCGCCCGGCGCGTGCTCCCCCGAGCAAGCAAACAAATGCAGCAGCATCCCTCGACGCCCGGATCTCTTCGTACATGCCCAGCGGCCTCTATGACGACGTCGCCCTGCCCATGGGGAAGTACTATCCTTCCAACTGGGAAACCCGGCATGGAAAGCCATCGCAGGCTCGGCCGTCGGCCATGGCGCAGCCCGCCCCGTCCAGCATGAGGTCCGAGCCGCAGGTCCCCAAGTTCCAGGGCGACCAATTGGGCCCCCAGCGGTCTGTGACCGACGTAAAGAGACGGCTGCTGCAGTACCAACGGGATATGGTAGCGCAGGCTGCCAACGCGCTCATCGCCAGCACCGGCTCCGCGGGTTCGTCGTACCCGAGCGGAGTGCCGCCGCCAAAGGGCCAGCTTGCCGCCATGTTCCTCAGAACACACAAACCGCCCTCGCCGCGGTTGGAGCCTGTTGGGAGCCCCGGGCCGGTCACGCCCATGTCCCTTGAGGCGGACTCTTACCTGAGTCTCGGCCCGTCGTCGATGGGCGGTGGCATGAATACCGGATTCCCGGGCTTGGAGATAAGGGACGGGAAAAGGGTGGGCCGCAAGGGGAAGCACCGCCGGAAGGACTCTCGGTCGTCGCCTCTTGAGCTGACCACCGCATCTATTTGAGCGTGGTCGAGGCGTGAATGACAAGGCCGGCCGGTTAGTTTATTTCCGTCCATTTGAATTATGATACCCACAAATAGACGGCGAGGGGATGATGTTATCACAGTACACATGGCTGGGGCGCGGGCGTTATCTAGTTGGTAGACACGGTTGCAGTTGTACAATATCTAAGTTGCCCCCTTCTCAGCTTATTCTAGGTTGCACCTCTCACAGTACACCAACGTTCTACTCGGCATAGCAACAGAAACCGCAATGAGTAAAATACACAAAACACACTGTCAAACATAAGATGCAGGGCCCCTGGTGAGTATTACCATGGATTGTAATACCCAACGGATGAAGAAACCGCCGCTGTCATTATTCATATCGCTTTCCCGCTGAAACTAAGTTTCTCTTTACATTACCCGTTTTGTAGAATTCCAATTCCATTACCTATTGTTTTCGATCCCCCTTTGTCCACAGACTTTGTTCCCGACCAAAACCTTGATTGTCCCTCTCCTTTCCAAGAAAAGAAAAACCCCTAAAACAATTGGAAAAGCAAAATGAAAAATGGGTTGGGGATGGGCTCATGACAACGACCAAAACCAACACCATGCCGACAAGATGGTAGGACGGTCCAAAGTTAGAGAGGCTGGCAGTAGTTGGCAGGGAAATTGCCTTGCATCCCGCCTAGCTCTCCCACCCACCTGTCACACGACGTTAGCCAAGTTCATAACATGCCCGAACTTTACAAGCAAGGGGGCAGGGAGAAACGCACCAGTCCTGATCCGTGCCCGTCCGCTTGACCACCCTGATGCGGTCGCCCTCCCGGAACGACAGGTCCCCTGCGCCCTGGCCCTGGAACGCGTACAGCGCGACGACCCACTCGTCCGGCTTCCGCTTGGGGGGCGGCGGCGGCGGCTTCTTCTTGCCGAGCGCCGCGAACCCCCCGCTCCTGACGCTGATGCTGCTGGCGCCGATGCTGCTGGCCTGGGACGCCGCGGGAGAGGGGCTGCGGAAGTAGTCGGGCCGCTGCTGCTGCTGCTGCTGCTGGCTCGGTGTCAGGTTGTTCGCGGACCGGGCCACGTCGGTTCCGCCCAGGATCGTGGCCGTCGTGAAGTCGGTTGCGTGGGAGAAGTCGGGCCGCTTGTGGGATGGGGACGGGGAGGGCGTGCGGCTGCGTTCGACCGGCATTGACGGGACCCGCAGGCTTCGCGCCTGAGGGGTAGAGATCAAGCCGGTTGCGGAGCGCCGAGGCCCGTTGATAATGGGGGACGGTCCTGGTTTCGGAGGGAGACCGTTGCGGCTGCCGGTCGGTTGTTGCGCCCCTTTGTGGGAGATGAAGCTGATGGTTTCGATCTGGCTGCGGGTGGGTCCAATTGCTCCGTTCCAGATAGCGACCACCTCTTCCATCGGAGGCGGTGGCGATGGGAAACCGAACTCCTCGCAGTAACCGTTCAGTGTGGTGTAGTACAGGCCCAGCAGCCTGTTCTGGATCATAACCAGGTTCGAGAGCAGCGGGGTGACTAGACTGAAGGTTGCGTGAATGATGGGTGGCAGGGTTTCTTTGAGATGTTCGTCTGCGATGCTAAATTCCTGTTTCTCATTGTCAGTCCTGGGCCTTCGAGACTACCTAAGTCGTGCGGTACTCGGGGCTACTTACGTCCGCAGCTCGTGCCATTTCGGCGTCGGCTTTAGCCAATGCGGCCTCCTCTTTAGGGTTCCGGCCAGGTTTTCGCTGGAGCTTCAATGCCTTGTCTTGTGCCTTTTCGTAATCCACCCTCTTGTTCTCCCGCTTCTTGATCGTCTTGCGGATCGGTGCAATGCAGCTGCGCGCATCCGTCGCGGGCTTTAGTATTTGCTCCTCGATCATGGCCATCTCCTCCACCAATTCCACTTTGAGTTCGGTGTACGCCTTCTTCAGCTGGAACGTGCGTTCTAGCTGGAGCTGTGGTGTCGGAACGGCGTGCCGCGATTGTCCGTCCGAAGCGCCGGCGATGGGGTCGTACAAACCTTCATACTCGGTCACAACCTGCAATTGGGTGTTGGTAAGGGCCGCCCACGAATCCCTCCACATCCTCGCATTGTCGATGATCTGGATTGACGATGTTAGCGGAACTGCGACCGGCGCGATCGCACCATGGATAAGTTACTAAATTACCTACTTGTGAGAGGACATGGTCAGCGTCTTCGTAGTCGTTGAGGAGAACAGCGACCTTGGCATTTTCTCCGGGTCCTTTGTTCAGAAGCTTGCCGAACTGCCTTTGCATTGACTGCATTGTAGAGAATGTGGAGGGTATCAATATTAAACGGAATCCAGGGAGGCCACTGCAGTGTTGCGACGGATGGTAGCAAAAACCAAGGTCCCCAAAAAGATCAGTCAAAACCCCAATGTATTGAAGCGAACTTGAAGGATGTTTGGGGCCAAGCGGAGAAAAGAAGGGAAAAGGAGCGGCCGGAAAAGAAATACGACCGACGGCACGCGCGAATGTATCACACGTTGGCCCTCGACGATGCTCGTCTGGAAATGTTCCTCCAAGCGGCACAGCCTCCGAAACACTCGGCCCGTGCATGAACCTTCAGGGCAATGGAACTGGGAGCTCTGCATTGGAAACCAAAGAGGGGCTTCTGGAGCCAAAGTGGACATGGAATTGACTCCTTCAGCGGCAGCCTTCCTCCTCCACCAACCATCCTTCTCGTGCCTCTCCATCTCTCAGCAAAGTGACGGAATAATAACCGGGAAACATCAGCAATCGGCCGTTGATCCATCATCAAGGGGGCCTGGGCCGCATCTTGGAGCGGGGCCACTGGGGGCCAAGCCATCTCGACTTCTGGGCCAACCATGACCCTTGTTGACTCACAAGTGGGAAGGTGGGGCTAAATAGTTGAAGGTGGTTCCTGGATCAGGTGAGAGCGCGTCGTCGACAAACGCGCTTTCCTGGGCCTTGGACCCCCACCGACAAATTCAACGCTGTGCACTGCGGCAGGCAACAACAAGCACTCGAACTAGCTGTCGCGCCTGAGACTACCCGTCGAAATTGATGCGATGACAGAAAACCTTTCGTTTGTCCAACAAGCCGCCCATGTTATCCTCCTCGAGGCCGACCCCCGCGGGGTCATTCAACCCGGGCAACAATGGACGCAGCGCGTACGTCCTCGATTTTATCTGCCTATTCACCCACGATCTCCGGAGGAAACAGAAAAGATGGGAAGATGGCCGACTCAAATACCACACCTTCAACAAGCGCGTAATGGTCTACGATGAGCGCGGCAACTTCGTGGGCGACCTCCATTGGCAGCGAGAAGAGGACTTCGATGAAGGCGAAGAAGTCCAGCTGGAGCGCGGCGGTGTCATTGTACAAGTAATGGAATGTGTTGGTCGCCAGGAGCAAGACTTGTCCGAGTTGCTGGACAAGAGGGCGAAAGAAAAGGAACAACGTCAAGCACGAGTAATCATGCGCCCATCCCCGGCCACAGCATCACCAAACACCCCCCTAGCTGCACCCCGTGCGCAAGACCACTTCCAGACCCGACACCGGCCTCTAAACCACCTCTTGGGGACTCCAACAGGCCACCACGGTCGCGCCTCTGTTCCGAACGAGTCTCCCTTCGAACTACGGCAGAAGGCCAACGACAATCCGAACGACCGCACCGAGTCACGTCCGTTGAAGAGGAGGAAACGAGACATCACGCCGCCGAGCAAGGTGGGCTACGCCCAAAGCTTGTTTGGTGCTACCCTGTCCTTGTCCGCTGTTCCCGTTAGCTCGGTCCCTCCACGACAACCAGCCAATTCTGCGCATCGCCCACAATCAGTCACCTCGTCCCAAGAAGAAGTCGGGCAGAATTCGCGGCATGTGCGAGACGACCGGGGACTCTCCCGTGGGACTGCCTCGCGTGCCAGTCCTTCCACGGCAAAAGAGGTGGTGCCTCTGTCCAGAACACTATTCGAAGCCAATCGGAGCACCGCAGACGAGGATAACGAGACGTTCAAGGCCACATCAAGGAATTCAAGCCGCTCTGGTCCCGTAGACGCGATTCAGAATTGTCGCCAGAGCACTCCCCTACAACCGACAAATACCAACAACCGACTCTTAACCTCCTCCAACGACGGCAAGCCTTTGGCGGTCTCGAACAGACAAAAAGTGGACTCTTCGGGATCTGGAAGAGCGGTAACCACACAAAATCCACGGCCGACAGTCGTGACAAACCGAACCGATACCGTGAGCAACGGCCACGCGGCAGTTGACCCAGAATCAGGGGATTCGCGCTCGCAAGCGATTGTCCTGAATGAGGACCCGGAGTCCGGGACGGTTACCGGAGCTCAGCCCTATCAACACCAGGAAGAGCGAAACAAGGCGACTAAAACGCGGCGTGGCGCTCCAAGCAATGCAACGAAGCCCTCAAAGCGTAACAAATCGTTACAGTCGACGACTCAACTCCAGGCCGAGGAATTGACGGCCGTGGTGGCGCAAGGTGCCGTAGATGAGCCGCAAGACGAAGAAAGAACAGAGCTGCGGCTCAAGCCCAGGCAGAAACGTGGCCTCCTGCTGCTTTCAGAAAAGAGGAACCGGCCGAAGCGAAACAAGCGACAGGATGCACTTGCCAGCGGACCAAGTTCTACCGGCAAATCTCTAGAGCCGCCCATCGTCTCAACCGCTACTAAGCCGAGCCTCGCAACCGGCCTTGAAACAATTGATGTTGTCTCAATGGCACAGCGGGACGAACTTTTTGGGCCATCGCCTGTTGCCCCTGAGATCTTCACACCGGAACCTCATCCACAACGAGCGCTCTCTCAAGGACCCCAAGATGTTCCAGTTGGAGATGACATTGGGTGTGAAATCACGTATCCGACACCATGTACCGCAGCTGCCAGCTCGATTGCGCCAGCCGCGAAATCGGTGGATCAACCGGAGTTGGATCAATTGGAGCCCTCAAAACCAGACCACAATAGCACAACCAGTATGCATGGCGAAACTACGAACCTGTCTCATTCCCCGCGAAGAAGGAGGGTAGCTTCAAGGGGCAAAGACGGTGCACATGCGTATAACGAATCAAACCGACCGTCAAGTTTGGATCCTGAAGAACCCCCAACGGATCTTGCTATCGAGCCCACAATCTCAAGACCCCGACGCCAGACGCGCAAGGCCAACCTGGATGAACAGGATTTGGGCCGCTCCAAAAAGAAAGCACGAAAAGAAGACCCAGCGGGCAGTGACGGGGAAGAGATGCCTCGGCCACGGGTCAAACCGCGCCTCGCCAAGCTGAGCAGGAAGAGTATCAGGAGCAGAGAGGTCTTCGGGTTTGTGCCCTCCAGCCCTCCCGTCTTCAACGTAGCGAATACAGGCCTTACAACCGTGAGTGTTGGGGGTTTCCATTCTACGGCAAATGGTTCAACAGGAGGCAACGGTCTTGTGGATCCCGCGAGGGAAGCGTTTCCAGTGCCGGACGGGGCGCCATCCTCCCTAGGAGAGGTCCCCGAGGCCCAAACGACTTTACCACAAAAGGTCATATCTAGAGTCCTTTCACCTCCTCTCCCTCGTCACGACACGATCCCTGGTACTGGGTCGCACGAGAGGGTCGTCGAGGTATCGAAAGAGGACCAAGCCGCAAACCCCAGGGCATTGCAATCTGTGCCTCCCACGCATCGCAGCCCCATTCGCCACATATCAAACCGTCCCTCTGGAGATGGTAAGAACAAAAACACAAATCTGGACGTCCGTGGCCTTGATTCCAGCAGCAGCACACCCGAAAAGGAAGTTGTTTTGTCCACGACAACGCTCCAGGAGGCCAACCAGGAGCAACAGCCTGTGCTGCCTGGTAGTATTGCCCTGCGGTCACAGTTACACGAAACCGTTCTCAGTCTTCCAGAACAGCCTGAACGGCCAATGGACGACATCTCTGATGTCGGAATTGGCCCCGGTGTAACCAGAGGCGCCACCGAGCAGCTTGTAGACGCGCCAGCAGTCGGGCCTACTCGACGCAGGATCACGAACCCCGCAACTCGGGGTCGTAAGGCTGCATTGAAGTCGGACGCTGCGGGCCAAGTTCCTCAGTCAATCGTGCCCGTGGAACCCATTCCTGCACGGCGGCCACCCGCGGCAGCGCAACCGGAAGCTGCCACGGGCGAGCGCCCAAAGAGAAAGATGAGGTTTCCCGGCTTCGCATCGGTAAAGGGTGGCGGCCCCTGGAGTAGGGAAGCACACGACCTGCTGGAGAATGGTCGCCCTGGCTGAAGTTGAGCTTCACTTCGATCCCACAATGATACCTGGTTCGGCTCGTCTCTGTGATGGGATGAGGTCCGGGGCGTCCAGCCTCATCTTCGGCGACATTTGAGGCGCCGCATTGCATGCTGTCTCGCTTTCGGTGGCTGGTGCATGCATTGTACGGGGCCTGTGGCATATCATCTCCAGAAGAGAGTGATGGAAGCGTGACCAGAACAAGTCTACCAAAAGACACGCTCAGTATCAGTGCTACTCATATTATGAGCTTCGTTCTTTAATCCCCTCTGAACCTCACAGCGACGACAAGATAACAGAGTCAGAATTGCGCGCCTCTGGTATTTCGTGGCCTTGGACCCAATTATTATCCAGTTGTGACGCCGCTCTGATGAGACCGGTGTGCGGTTTAGCCAAACCCGGGTTCAGCTCAACATGTTCGGCCCGTTTCTTGCATGACAGCAGATATCCAACACTTACAGGAGCCGCCTAATTTCCACGCACCCGGTGTCCTCCCTATCAATGGGGAAATTGTCGTGTGGCCGGGTTACGAATACTGCCATTGCACCCACCGTCTGCTAGGCGTAACGTCTCGATTATCTGAGGGGTAAAGAAGTCGGGGAGGCAAATACGGCGGCGGCGAAGGGACGCATGTAAGGTTCTCCCCAAAGGCATGCGAGGATCTCCAATCGGAAAGCGGCCCCATGAATATCACCACCCTGAACCCCCAACCGCAATATCTGTGTGTTACCGCTCCGAACCCTTTGGGGAACTCTCGCCCGCTGTCAGACACTCGTGGCGTGTCGTCTGAGACGTTGCGGAGGTGGCTTGACTCGATCGGGCACCAGCTTAATTCATCGTCGAAATCTGAGAGTCCCAGGGCGTTGCCCAACGCCAATAGGCACCCAGGAACCAGATTCCCGGGTTCCTGGTGCGGTGCTGTCAGTTTTCCTCAGCCCGACCTACGGTTGGACTTGGTAAGAAACCAACGCCATGCCACCGGTCCCACACCAGTCCCGCACTGGGTGACGTGATTGTAAGGGACCCAACGGTACCGAATGCTTTGGATCGCTGCTCCGTCGCTTCACAAGGAACACCCTGGTTGCCATGGAAGTCTTTCCCGGTGGCGCAACAAGATCGGGCCATAGGGCTGAATGTCTGAACACCCCCCCTGTATCAGACAGGGGTGTAATCGGTCCCCAGGGAGCACCCACGAGAAAGCGAGACCAATGGGCATAAAAACATGAGATAACAGAACCTGACGTGATGGGACCTATGAAGACGGGAACAGATCATCAAATCGGTCGATATCAAACACGAAAACGCCAATGCTCGATTAGGGGGTCCCCAGTATCATCGCCATCTCACCCCCAATGGAAAGGTCGCGGCGCTGAGATATTTCGCAGATAAGGTTCGAGCGGTGACGAGAGAAAATGGTGTAAACCTAGCGATGCCCGGGAATGTCATTGCATTGAAGCTTCGTCTTGGTTATTGCCAGAGCGAAAACACAAGATTCATCAGAACTTGAAGCCTACCTAGGTAAAGAGGAGAAAAGGTTTAGGTTCTGTTCCTCTGCACGCCGAAATTCCTGCTCTCTGCACCCCTCCGGGTGCATGCACCTTCCAACCTGGTCGACCAGCTACCGAGGTAGGTACCTAGGCGTGACGTTGGGCGCCGATTGGGGCCTCGGGCCCGAGGTTGTGTCACCTATTTGAGCCCCTCCCCCACGTCCAGGGTCGCTTCGATTTCAATGGGAGCCCGTCCATTCTCTTTTGACAGCCCTGTGCGGGGCGGTTCGCTCTCCAAACGCGATGCCCGAATGGAGGCGATGGTGCGCGAACTGCCCTCGCGCCTAGTTGCCACCGAGCTGTGAAAAAGGAAACTCGCTGTGCCTTTCGGGCGGTATCGAGTCCTATAGGGCGATGGTATTGATGTGTTGGCCTTCTAAATGCCCAACGCTCGCAAATTCCCGGTGAAACTATAGCTACTTTCCCTTCCCCCTTTACCTTTTCAGTTTTCAGCTTACCTGGCTCGGTACCTCAACACCCGACCTCCCATCACCGGGCTTGGGGGGAGGCGGCGCATTTTCAGAGCACTTAGCAGCTGTACCTAGGTAATCTTTTCTTTCTTTTTCCATTAATTTCCTCGCTACGCACGCATTCCCCTGGAGCTTCATTCTTTGCAGCCTTGATTTACACGTGCGCACCCGGACGGTAACGCGAGGCATGGCAGTGTCCGTTCACGCGCACATCACCCCCCGGCCTCGATCACGTTCTGCCTTGCAAGGTCCGTGGGCAGCTCGGAAATCATATATAAACCGGCCTTCCGCCCCGTCGACAGCTTCCCACCTTCTTTTTGGTCTGATCCCGTGTGTCCCGAACAAGCTTCCGACCTCATCTCCTCTCCTCCTGCCACAACAACACAACCTCGCTGAACCATCTTTCCACTGCTCTCGGAGCGTCACCATTTCAGATTACAAGCCTCGTGCACTTCGAAAACCGGAATGGCGGGGAATTCGAACCGCAGTTATACCACCCATGGCGGGTCATCTAACCCCATGGCGCCCGAGTCCGGGGCAGCCTCTCGACCTCCTGTCGTGCCCACTCCGGAAACTCAGGATCTATACAACAAGTGGCGGCAAGCTTATGAGGAAACGCTCAATGAAGAGTCCCTAAGAAATGTCCAAAATCTACACGGTGCTCATCTCCAACTCCCGTCGTCGTCTCAAACGACAACGTCGCGATCACCGTCCAACGCAAGCACCACGTATTCGGTCTCGCAGGCGATGGATGGGATGAATGTTGGAGATCTGCCGCAAAAGCAGAAACCCGGCCGCCGGGGCCCGTTGACGGGCGTGCAGCAGTTACGAGCAAACCTGATGCGCAAGCTAGGCGCTTGTGCCGACTGTCGGGCACGCAGAGTCCCCGTAAGAGAGCCGCAAAGCACTCCTCCCGTTTCTATCTTCGCCGTTGCTGACTGTCTGCCAGTGCAAGAACCATCATAACTTTGCCCTCTTTGAAGAGGGGTACCAAGCCGCCAAACAAGAGACCAGGTCACTCGTTGACACGGCCCAGCATGTCGAGACCACAACTCCGTACCAAGCACGTCTCGGTAACCCATCCGACCTTGCCGGCGTCGGGGGCGGGCAGAGTGCCCTTGCCCACGGCCCTCAAGGCGCCGTGGATGACGGCTATCCAACGGACTTCGACCCATTGCAAGACACCGAACCCGGTTCTCGACCGGATCTGGACCCAATTTTGGCTCTCCTTCAAGACGCACAGCTGCCCGTTTCGAACCCAGCCGATCAGTACCGCCCGATCCCACAAGTAACCCAGCAGCCCGAACTCGTGGCAATCGGAAAACAGGTCGCCCCGTATAGCAAAGAATGGACGTGCTTTGGGGGGATAACTTCATGGAATACTTCGCCGTCAAACGGCGCGCTCGAACCTTGCCGTGAGAAGCTCCCTGGCCTGCCAGCCCTGAACCTGCATTTCGCCACCAGCCATCAACCAGGGGTCTATGGGCAGAGCTATACATGGGCTTGCGTCACTTGCCAAGTTCAAGTGTTAGAGATTGGTGGTTTACGCTGGTGCGCTGCATGCCAACAAATCACAGATTGGGAGATGTGGTATTGGGGCCAGGTGCCCATGACAGAGCCTCCGTGAGGAGAAAGTAAAAAGAAAATGACAGAGGAAAAAGATACAATACGTAAAAGAGAATCGTAGAAGCAAAAATAATTGTAAAGCAGGTAATGTAATGTCTAGGTAGTCTTAGTAGCGAAGGAACAGCGGTTTTGTAAAAACAGAAAAGAAATAGAAACCCTTTTTAAAGTTTGCCACGAATGTTTCAATATTATTTCCCATTGAAAATGTATTTCAAACAGTTACAGGACAAACGGGTAGACTATAGCTGAATCATGCTCGAGAGGTACCCCGACCCAAAAGATAGGTGCCGTGTCAGGTTTTCTGATGAGAGCCACTTTAGCTGGGGCCCTCAGGGAAAGACCTGGGTTCTTCGAAGGCTTTGCGAGAGGTATTGCCCCGAATGTATGGTTGAGAAGGAAGCCCAGGTTGAAAAGGCTCTTCGGTTGAAGAGGATCTTCGAAGTGTTTATTATTGTTGGGGTGCTGTTGGCTACAATTTCAAGAGCGCCTTGGTTTGGCATGATATCCCGAGCAACAACAATGGGAAGTTGACCATAACAACCGACCGGGACTAGATTCTCGAGCCTGTTTTAGCCCTCTAGCTTTGCGCACCTAGGTAGGGGTATTCCTCTTTTTATTTTATTTTAGAAGAGGATAAGGACTCAAGCTATGGTGGGAAAAATGGCAATAATGTGGTCACTAAATGGAAGGAGGAGGATGACCTTGGGAGCTATTTGAACTACCCATTAAGCCCAGATTCCATACCCGTTGAACGCACTTAGCAGTTACTGACGCAGTACTTTCTAAAACGGCCTTGTTAAGAGGATGGGAGAGTTACCTCCCTGCATACCTACCTGGTAAGGAGGTTGCGGAGGAAGGTTGGACTGTAGACTGTAGTTTAACAAACCTCAATCAAACGTTTGGTTGATAAGGTCCCCCGGATTTTGAACGACTCTATTGAAATGAAGGGCAACATGACAGGCAATTACAATGTACTTGAAATCATCAAATTCGGCTACCTTTTGACTGAATTGCAATGCATTTGCTTGGGTTTGCGTGTGCCGATTTAGAGGGACCTCCATAGAATAGGGTTAGGGTTTAACTCAAAAGCTTTGAGAGGCGGCGGCTCGGTGGTATGCTAGGGATAGGGTTATGTATGGGGATCACGGGTCAGAGTCCCCATCCTAAGTCCATCGTCCCAAACAACGCTCTTCCTAAGGGTCAAATATCATTTTGAACGCGAAAATCATTTTTGGTAGACGCGTCCTCCTCGAGGATTTTCGCCGAAGCTGGTCCCTGCTGAAAAGCCATCCCAGAGACCATTTTCGCAGGCACCGGTGGCGCAATCTGGCATCCATCCAAAGATGCAATTATTAGCGAGAAGACGCGGCTTGTGGTCCGAGCTGCATGTCGACATCGGGCGGTCGGGACCTCTTGTCTAGAATGGCCTTGTCCCTCGTTCGGTACTCAGAGGTCCCTCGGTGATCCCGGCCCGAGCAAGGATGACAAGGAGGTCCGTCCCTGGATATTCATCGAGTGCGTTCTGCGTTCGCGGACGGACATTGACGTGCAAAAACACGGAATTGGCAGGTGCGAGACCCATCACATCAATAAACAAACTCGAGAAATCCGGGCCCTGCATGGTCGTTCAAAAGCGAGCAAGCAGTCAGCTTCACAATCCCGGAGTCGAGGAGTCATCCAAGTTTCATCGCCAATGAACGGCTAACCATTGTCGAATCCCACAGCGCCCGTGACGAGGCGGAGGATGGGATGGCAGACAGATTGACTCAATTGAATGTGGGGTTGCACAGACCAGGGCCGGGGGAATCTGACACTGTGCCAAGATGAATGTTGCAGCTCCACAAGCTGGCAAGGCAAACGGCCCCATCGGTCAACCTTGTGAAGAGCCCTCTGCTTGTCGCCCGGCGCATCGATTGACAAGAACAGGGGATACGAATAATTACATATAATCCCGAGGCCGCCCAGTTAGAAAGGAAACCCACGCAGGTCTCTGGATGCTGGCCCTGAGTTCTGGGCTTCCCTGGGATGGCAGCCAAAAGCTGTCCTCGACCGCAATTGCTGAACACTGTGCGGGACAGGAGCAACGCCAAAAGAGCACCCTTCCGCGATAGGCCGGCGGAATTGTCGATTGACTCATTCAATGCTGGCCAATTGGGTTCGTCGTCATCGCAATGCCGACGTCCCTGGGTCAGACTGAAGGTCCCTTGGAACAGTGGGGTGTGGAGCAACGGCCTGGGTGAGAATCGCTCGCCGTGTTCTGCAACCATGCAGGTCGCTTCTCCGCTGCGGCTGGGTGGTTACTGGTACGGAGGAATGAGAATATAATGTAGCACTTCCCGGTGCCGCGGTGACTCGGGAGCTTGAAGGTGGGTCTTTGATTGGCATGCAACTCGAGTAAAAGGTCTTTGCTGGTCGGGAGTTAATTACGAACTCTGTCTCGACTGAATTTCTTGCCCGACCCGAGCGATAGAGCGAGGTTGTTTCGAGTTGCCAAATGAGTTCATTTTGGTGGCTGCGCAGAAAAAGGTTAAGTTTCAGGTACCTGTCCCATCATCCAGCCGGAAGACGCTATTCCTGATTCGGCTCGCCGAAATGCTGGGGGAGACAACCTTCGCTGCGCCTTGGAGTCCTGGTTCCAGTGCAGCAGCTCTTGTTACGAAGAGGAAGTGAAATATCGGCCTGACTCCTCGGACGCGTTTCTGCCTTTTCTTCCTTTTCCTTTCCATCGAGCGATCGGAATTTGTCAGTGCAATTGCCCGACTGCTGTCAAGCTGTTTTTTCTGTGGCGCAGCCATCTTGCACATCTGCTCCCTCGAGAGAGATCTTCACTTCGAAGACCTCCTTTCTGCGTTTGCCTGTGCACCCGACCCAGCATTTCGTCTTCGACAAACTCGGCGAAATCCGAGCTGCTCGAATTGGCTATCGCTGCCACACAATCCCGCTTTGCAAGCAGAACCACCACCCACGTTGGATCCCCCAAGCAACACCATCGACACCATCTCGTTGCAGGCGCTTAAACCAAGCCTGACGGATCTTGGTAACATTTTCGGCAACCCTGACGCCGGTTTGTTTCTGACCACGTACGACCCTTCTGATACATCCGTACCGATGACCGGCATGGCCCGACACGGCTCCGTCGGTGCCTTCAGCGGGTTCTCCGTTTGCCAACCGGCACTCGGAGCTTCCCTGCAGTGGCTCCCCGCGATTGGCACCGCGGAACTCGACGACATGATCAACGCCTTTCTTCCTGGCCCCGCCTCCATCCAGGACAAGCGCGCCCACATCTCCATGGATTTCTTTGAGTTCTCCCGGCAGACCGGCGAGAACTTCAAGTTCTACCCCGCTCCTTCGGGGTCCTTCACTCCGGTGGCTGCATCGCCGGCCACCTCCGCCCTCTACGACTCGGGCTACGCATCGAGCTTCAACCACTCTCCCGTCCTCTCCGACCAGGGCTCCTGGACCCAATCTCCTGCGCCATTTGCTCCGGCGGCCTCGGCGCCCAAGCCGCGCTCTTCTGCATCCAAGAAGTCCAGCTCCTCCAGCTCGCGGCAGCAGGCAGTGGACTTTGCAAGCCACCCCGGCATGCGCATCCTCACCAAGGATGGCCGCGATGTCACTAACTCGGCTTCCCGGGGTTGCAAGACCAAGGAGCAGCGGGATCACGCACACCTGATGCGGATCATCAAGGCGTGCGACGCGTGCAAGAAGAAGAAGATCCGCTGCGACCCCAGCCACAGGAAGCGGAACGCCTCGCAGTCTTCCGCGTCGCAAGCCGAGCAGAAGCCTGCGAAGAGGGCGAAGAAGACAGAAGAGCCAACCCCCGTAGCGGCGGTTAATGCGGCAACCGATTTCACTGCGGCAGACTCGGCAACCGAGTCCCTCTCCTTCCCATCGTTGGACACCAGCTATCCTCAAGACGCCGAGGAATTCTGGAACGAATTCGTCGCCCTCGACCAGGAGCCAGTCGAGATGGCTCCCACGTCTGCGATTGACGACTTCCTTTTCGACTCATTCACCGACATTCACAGCTTCTTCTCCCCGAGCTCTGGCTCAACCGCGACTTCGCCATCCCAGATCCTCACGCCAGTTACCCCAGGTCGCTCGGAGGCGTCGCCGGCCACCGCATCCCAATATGCGGTTGGCGTTCCTGGCGAGTTCTCACTCGAGGACCCGGCTGTTCCCTATCTGAACCCGGGGGTCGCCCATGGCACCAACTACCTGGACTTCAACCTCTATTCGCCGGGTCCTGATGTCTTTGACGAAGACCCTCTTCTCCAGATGAGGGATCTCGGGAGCCAACAGCATTCCCCGCAATCGACCAGTTCCGTTGCCCAGCACTCACCTCAGATCTCTCCCACATCAACATCTGCGGCTGTCTCTCGGACAACACCAACCGGCGAGTCAGACGGGGGTGAGAATCACACAGCCACCACCGCGATCCACGATCTTGCCTGGTATTATGATCCTGGGGATACGCTCCATGACAAACCACAGCCCAGCGCCCATCGCTCACCCACCAACCCGCAGCTGAGCACCAATCACAACAGGGTAATAGAAGATGGGGATGGCGGCTATAGTAGCCACAGGCGCGTTGACGGCGGCAACACGGACGCATTTGCTACTTCGTCCGACCAGTCACTGGTTTCTCAGTCCTCGGCACCGACCGCCCTCTACAACGCCACCAGCACTGTGGTTGCCAACGCCCCCGAGTCGTCGGTTAGTCCGAACAGGGCACCTCGACCCAGGAGGGTAACATCAGCACCCCCTGGGGGCTCGCTGGCATCACCTGGGCGCTCGCACGTACCGACCAAGGCTACTCGATCTGGCAAGCTTGACGCGTATGTTTTGTCATCGCCGTCGACTGGCGTGCCTGGTCGCGGATCGTCAGCGCGTGCAACGGAGACAGCAACCTCAACGGTCCTCAGTCAATCACCCAAGGCCGTTGCTGGCGCCGTACGTGCTAGCCTGCCACGCTCTGGGCAGAGCTACACAATGTGCTCCAAGTCGAGGCAGCTTCTGGCTCACTGTGCATCCGGATCGCCCACCCCTGAAGAGGAACAACATGCCGCGCCGCAGGCCACTGCTGCAGGCAACGCCACTTTGGCGACCATGTTGTTCTCGACCCTGCCGACGCGGCGCAACGTCGCTGGGGAAGATGTGAAGCTCAACGCATTCTTCTTCCAGCTTGCCGTGTTCGGTCTTGTCTCTTTCATCTGTGCCTCTGCCCTGCAAGCACACCTGGCAAATCAAGTCAACCTCGTCAACATACTTGCCATCACAAGCATCTCACTGGCCCGGCTAGCACCTCGGTGCTCCGGGCCGTCGAGCGCGACATGCGTCGCCTCGAAAACCTTGCCACCGCCGACGCCGTCTGGCATCCTCAACACCGTCAAGTTGAAGATCCAATCGGTCGTCACGGGCCTCGGGGATCTCCGGTCCTCCGCGTCCCGGCGGGCGATAAGCTCCATGCCTCGCCCGCCAACGGTGCGACTGCTAAGGCTATAAAGCCCTGGTGGTCCGGCAAGTGTTCTGATATGTTTGTGATTGCTTCTGTTTGTTGCTAGCGAGTGCATTTTGACTATGATACCCCGGGTCGGATATGAGACATGTGGTCGTCCTCTTCTCTTCTTTTGGATATGCTATGTTCAGGGCTTGCTCCGTGCCCAGCGGAGAAGCTTGGTTTGTGGTATGAGTTTGAGGGGAGGACGACTGAGTGGGCTGTGAGGTCTGACTCGAGGGACGATGCTCTGTTTTCCTGCCCTTGTTTCCGCGCAGGTAGTGCTCGCTCTTCGGGCTTGACAATTGAAGGTCCTCGCAGACCATTGAAAACTTAACAATTGCTCCTTCGCTCGCCGTGAATGTGTTCTTCTCTCGCATCCTGTTAAGCCCCTTCATTTGCGCTCGCTGCAACAAAGCAAGTGATGATCGGATAGTTACCTACATATGCAACTCTCGAAGTTTCCACAGTTGCATATCGGACAATTTTTACCATGACCCACTTTCGATCGGAGAGCCACCGATTTCTGCACTCCCTCCGTCTTACAATAATAAATTCGTGTGTCATGTATCTGGACGACGTCGTTGAAAATTGCATGAAAGAGACATTGCAAACGCCCACTTAGAAGTGACCTCGCCTCCAAACCACGGGGCAAAGACCCGGAAACCTTTGGTTACCCTCTAATTAACACTGAGGTGCTGTAAAAGGTACATGAACAAACTACCTCGGCACCCTTTCCGCTCGGATACACCATCCCTCTTGTTTTCTCATTCACTATACATTCCGTACTCACCGGCAACATTCGTTGGCTGTTCACTATTTTTATCTCGAAAGTGACCCGGATGGGCTGTGAATGAGAGCAGTGGGGGCATAGAGTTATCTCATCCAGTGGTGAAAATGGCAGCTACGTTCTTCAGGGTGGTTTCGGCCATCGGCCTCAAAACCACGGCGTTTCTGCAGTCGCTCTTTCTGTTTCCTTACAACACTACCCTGCAAGTGGCTCACCTATTTTCCAATTTCCACCAACCAAACCAGCCAATCCTTCCTTGTTCGACCTCTACTTCTGCCTCGCCCTCTCAGGAATTCCGCAACACCAACGTTGGCGACAGCAGTCGCCACAGTGACGACGACATGGCGGGCAGCTCATCTTCGTCTGTGCCACGGGGTCAACATGCACAGGCTTCCAAAATTGCGCCGACTCTTCCACGCACTCCTCCTGTTACGAAGGAAAACTCTTTGCTGACGACGGCCTCGCCAGCCGAAGTTGACGGCCAGCTCAGTCGCAAACTCTCCCGTTTGGAGCTCAAAGAGACCGGTACAGCAGTCGAGACATCGACGGGTCCGCTTCAAGATGTGGTAAATGGCGCAGGTACCAACGAAGAAGATGGAATCGGCAAGCAAGTCGCCCGGAACGGCGCGCTGCCGCAGCAGTCCGGCCCGGACAACACTAGCGGCAATGCTGCCGGGGAGGTTACACGAACCCTTCCGGTCCCTCTCACGCACACAGTTTCTCAGACTAGTAAGCCGAAGGAGACTGCGACAACCATTCAGCTGGACGGCGTCACTGTGCAGATCCAGGACAAGGTCGAGACGCCTGAGCAGGCAGCCGAGAGGGCCATGCATAGCCGGTTTATGAGGGAGGCTCTGGATATGGTAAGTATCCGATCGTTGCCATCGAGTTCTAGTGGACAATTAACTGAGGCCAAACGTGATCGTAGGCCAGACTCGCTCTCAAAACCAACGAGACCCCTGTCGGATGTGTGCTCGTGTATAAGGGGCGGATCATCGCCAGAGGCATGAACGCAACCAACGTCACGCGTAATGGAACGAGGCATGCCGAACTCATGGCCATCTCTGCCTTGTTGTCTTACTCGCCCAAGTCCGATCTCGAACCTACGGCCAATGCATCCCGGGAGAAGGGAGACAGAGCCAGATTGCCCCTTGGTGACACGACCAATGAAGCACAACTCGCAGAGGAAACCAGCACCTGGGGTGACGTGGACCCCAAGGACGGCCACCTCTATCCGTACGGGCAAAAGCTTCACCCCTCCCCTCGCGTGAACCCATCCGTCATCACTGAATGCATTTTGTACGTCACGGTCGAGCCGTGCGTCATGTGTGCTTCGTTGCTCCGCCAGTTCGGGGTCAAGAAGGTTTATTTCGGCGCCGTCAACGACAAGTTCGGAGGCACCGGTGGCGTGTTTCGGATCCACAAGAACTCGCCGTACACGATGGCTTCCGCGCCTCCGTCACCCGTGCCCCAGAACGGCAAGGGTATCGCGAGGCCGGTTCTCGAGCGCCGCCCAGCTTCGACCGACGTCGCCCCCGAGGGGCATAATCCGATAGACGAGGCTAACAGCGGCGACAACCTTATTCCTTATTCAATTGAGACCTCTAAGCTCCCGGGCGACGGCGGTAATATTGAGAGAGGGTACGAGGCCGAGGGGGGATGGGGCCGTGATGAGGCCGTGACGCTTCTAAGGCAGTTTTACGTACAGGAGAACAACCGAGGTGAGTGGTTGCGCCCTTTTCGTATTTAACTCGGATGTTTATTAACATTACTGTAGCCCCCGTCCCGAGGAAGAAGGAAGGCCGAGCTGCCCGCCTGGCGGCGATGATGGAACGCGATGGCCGCGCCGGCAGCCCTGTAGACGCCAGCGACGCGGCGAACTCGCAGGATAACTCGGGGACGAACACTCCCGCCATTGGGGAGTCTCGCACCGAGAATGTAGTCGAGGCTATCTCCGCTTAGCTTTCCCGCCGTTTCAATGGCGACAATAAGCAGGAAATATGAGCACTAGCATTCGCGTGCTCACAGCCACGGCTTCCGCTAAGATCCTGTTTACCACCCAACGCACCAACCCATTTTCCGCCCAAATCTCAGCCTTTTACGAATACCCGAGGTGGTTTCGTCTCCGACGGGTAGCCCAAGTTGTCGCAATCACGGCCCAGAGAGAGGTATGCAGGCCCCTGTAACGCGTCGAGCGACGCTGGTATGTTAACGGCCGTGGTTCGAAAAGAAAGGGGACAGCATCGGCAGCCGCATAAGTTGGAGTTCTGGCACCATATCGAAATAGCATTTATTACGCTGTACGCCTGAATTGGGGTGCACACCTCCATGTTACCGGGTTGCTATATCTAGCGGCATTCGCGGGCGACTCGCATGATAGAGCATTTACCATCCATAGACGCCGCCACACCGCCGCAAAAGCATGCCACCGAATTCCCGCGAACCTCTCCGTTGATGACGCTCCCTAATCGTGATGATGATGCCGCCCCTTCAACCCCCCCTCCAAAGCCGCAATGACCCCCTCCCCCCACACCTTGGCGCCCCCCTCCCGCCCCTTCCCGGCCTCCTCCGAGAAACTGACCCGCTCCGTCCACCACTCCAACCACCGCTCCGCCCTCGCCCCCTCGTCGGCCCGGAACAGACCGGCGCTGACGTCGATGAGATCGGGCCGGAACGTGTCGTGCCAGAAGACGGTCGCGCCGCACACGCTGCAGAACTCGCGCGCCCGGCCGGGAGTGGACTCGTACTTCCTGAGCGGGACTCCCGCGGGTAGGTGGGAGAAGTCTAGTGGTTGGTACTGGGCGTGGGCGTGATCTGGGCTGGAGGAGGAGGGAGGCTTAGTTGTGGGGACGGTGCCGGTGCTGCCGATGACGGTGATGTTGGCGATGTTGATGGCGATGTTGATGTTGTGGCGAGGGATGAATGCCCAGGTCTGGATCTCGAAGCCCGAGGTTAGGCGGCATGGTTGGCACGCGCAGGTCCCTGCTAGGTAGCGGTAGGGGTCGCGGTAGGGGGTGGTGTGGTGGGTTTCCTTTGGGGAGGGGGAGGTTGAGGGGGGAGAGGGGTTGGGGTGGGTGGGTCGGAGATACCATTTCTCGTGGGAGGGGTTGAGGATGGTGGTGGGAGGGGTGGTGGTGTAGGGGAAGAGGAGGTCGGGGTAGGGGGAGTCGGGGTTGGGGGTTGGGGACGGGGAGGCGGAGGCCCGGGTGATGAGGAGGGTGATGGAGGTGCAGTGGCATGAGGCAAGGAGCGTGTCGTTGTTGTCGTTTGGGGGAGTAGGTTGAGTGGTGTGGTGCCAAGGTTGAGGGGTTTGGAGCCAGGGTGAGAGACCGCCGTCTTTGGTGGCGTTGGTGTGTTGGTGGTGAAGTTTCTCTGGGGTATGGCTTGGCTCCGGTGCGTCGATGATGGTGCCCGTGGCTACCTCCCACTCCCATTCATCGGAGGGCGCGGTGGGAGATGGGTGTCGGGCGCGGAAAACGTGGCATCCGCAGGTTGAGCAGAAGTATCTGGTTGATGCCGGCGAGACGTAGTAGCTCGTCAGCCCGGCGGTAGATGGAGGAGAGACGGGTGAGTAGGAGGTACACAGAAGGCCTGTCGAGTAGCGGCAGGTGTCACAATGGCAGAATGACAGGTTGGAGAAGACGTCTTGGGTGTCTCCTCGGGCGGCTGGTAGTGACTGCTTTGCGGCGCCGCAGTGGCAGGAGATGGTGATGAGTCGCTGTGCCGAGTCCATGACTTGGAGAGATTCGATGGTGACGGAACAGCTGAATGCCAGAGACGACGGAGGGAGCCCTGGGTGTAGAAAGAGGTATCCTGCAACGCCTTCTCTTTTGTTGTGCGAGTTTTCTTCCAAGGGTCCTTGAAGGGCGCCACGATCTTCCGTGGGATGGCGGAGGAATAGGTATGACTGTCGGTTGCTTACAGCAAAATGCACGGCCTAAATTTCAGCCGATGTACTGTAAGATTAGGTGCCCGATAGGTCCCTCCTTCGTGCCGATAGCACTTTTCGTAGTATTTCCGGCTGAGGCATCAGGCAATTTCACAACTTTTCTTAGGCCGGGCAAGTTGACCACCCCTCCAAAAATGAACACGAGAGCTAGAGGTCATCCATTACCCGCGATAGCTTCGAGTCGATGGGACAAATTTCTCACACAACATTACCGCGTAATTGTACATGTACAAACGTGATTCTTTTCGGGAAACGGGACCCGAGTTACCGTTGCAGCCTCCTCGTGGTATAATTGCTACCTAGGTACTTAGCCGGAACAGATCGTCCTCGACAAGGCCGGAACACAAAGGGCCAATAACCACCATCCGAACTCAATGAGCAGTGCACCGCAAGGCAGCTAGCTGCCAGGTCAACCAGGTTGGCCTGTCTCACCAGAAGCTGCTCAATCCGACGAGCAACATCAACCGAAGAAGCGGGCGCGGTTGACTCACTCAAAAGCCCGGCTGTATTCGACAAGATGACGAGGGAGAAGACGTCGGGCGGACCATTTGCTCGCTCTGATGGTATTGTGTTACGAGTTCACGAACAACGGAGGGAAGAGGATATCAACAACATGGTCTAGCGAGGTCTAAGCTATGAAGAACGGTATCCTGTTGAGTCGCAACTCTAAACCACAGGAAACGCCAAAGACCTCGTTGACTTTCTCGACTAAAATGGTGAGAGGGCGTGGCCCACAGAGTTGGTCTATGAAGACTGCATTGGCACCACCTCGGATGCGGCAAAGAACGCCACCGCGTCGTAGAAAGCCTCGAGACACCGCCATGGGCACCACGATCTGGTCTGGCACCAGTTGTGTGCCGCCTATCCGAACAACGTCGGTTTCACCACAACCCGGCTTCTTCCAAGGCTTCCGCCAGCAAGAGTTTGACGTTCCCGGTCGATGAGAAACTCGGTACCGCAGTCTTTCACGACCATGATCGAAATCACATCGCGTTGACTGGGCGATAGAGCGAAGCCCTCCGCGCCCGGTTGTCTCATCATCGAGACGCTACAGTCGAAAGCGTCATCGCCGTCGTCGACACAGCTACTGAGGGTCAGCAAGACGCCATGCTCTGTGGAACCGCTGTCCCACCGGCCTTCGGGCGTATACTTACTTGGGATCTCGTTTCTGTCGTTTCACGGCTAGGACTCCTCACGGCTCGCTTGTTCATCAGAGTTGCCCAGTCCCGGGGGCTATGGGACGGCGTGGAAAGGGAGTAATAACACCTGCGGCGCGACCCTTGGGTCGTGGACTTCGGAAAGTTGAGTCGGAATACATTGCAACCATCTCCTGTGGAGATGCGTGGCAGCTAATTCACTTCTGCTATGCCGTCTTCTGACCCCGGCCTGTCGTAACGGCTGTATCCTTATCCGAATCCACCGTTTTGCCGTCGATCTTCTCCGCTACACCCTCAGCATCAGACACCGATGGGTTCGGAGTATCACGCCAAAAGACCTTCTTTCCCTTTGCCAGCCGCCTCATCCACGGGGGCATGATTCCGCCCTCGGTCCGCCACGTCCATGGTTCCTTGAGCTCCTTGTTAGGGGGCACGATGCGGCCACCCGACGCCTTCTCGATGATCCAGACTAGCGTGTTGATCAAAATGTACAGGCAAATCCCGGCAATCAAGCCATCGGCGATGGAGTAGGTGAAGGGCATGATGGCGATGGTCACGAAGGCCGGGAGCGAGTCTCCGAGGTACCTCCAGTTGATGTCGGTCACGGCCTGGACCATCATGGAGCCGACTAGCACAAGCAAGCAGCCGGTCGCCCACGGAGGGATCGACGCGAAGATGGGCGCAAAGAAGATGGAGATGAAGAAGCAGAAGCCGGCTGACATGGCCGTCAAACCCGTCTTGCCGCCTTCACCGATTCCCGCGCCAGACTCCACAAAGGCAGTGACTGGTGGAGTGCCCAACACGGCGCCGATCGAAATGGTGAGCGAGTCGACCATGTACGCCCAGGTGGAGCCCTCAAAGTCCTGAGTGACGGGGTCGACAAGATCGGCATAGCGAGCCATGGAGTAGAGTGTGCCCGTGGTGTCCAGAATATCGACGTAAAGGAAGGTGACCAGCGCCAGGCCAAACTGCCCACCGTAGTCGCTGACGTCCCAGCGTTGGACGTTCAGGACTTTCTGAATCGGGTGGAAGTCGACCACCTTTCGGAAGAAGTCGAAGTTGGCGTCTCCGAGCTCGGTATAGGGGAAGTAAGTGACGGACGTGGTGCGGGGCCAGGAGATGACGGAAACGAGGATGATACCGGCGATGATGGCGCCCTTCACCCGGTACATCATCAGCATGACGGTGAAGACGCCACCGCAGAAGATGCCGATCCACATCATGGGGCTGCGCATCTTGACGCCGTCTGGGCACTGCCCATCGGCGTCTCTAAGCTCTGGAAGGCATCCCGCCAAGGCGATGGGGACTGATGTGCCGCCGACAATGAGGCCGATTCCCTCGGCATAGGTCAGACCGATGAGAGTGAGAAAGAGCCCGATACCGACACTCGTGGCGAGCTTGATGCAGCGGGGGATGGCACGAGCGAGCCATTGCCGCAAGCCGAGAATCGCAAGGCCGAAAAAGACGAAGCCCTCGATGAAGATGGCCGTCAGGGCGACCTCGAACGGGACCGGCCCAGTTCCATGTTTTCCAACAACCGTGTAAGCGAAATATGCGTTCAATCCCATGCCAGGGGCGATTCCGACCGGTCTACCAAACAAATTCGCGTTAACAGACGGCCCTCTAAGCTCGACATACAACGTCGAAGGGGGCCACAGGGGGCGTTCCACATACAGGTTGGCGAAAAGTCCCATACAGAAGGTTCCCATAGCGGCGACAGCAGCAGTGGCTGTGACAAGGTCTTTCTTGATGTCGGCTTTGCAGAGGAGGTACTGGGTGTCATTCTCACAGGGGATGACCGAGTTTGCGGTCGCCGATTCGTTGCACACACACGTGCCTCCGCTGTCGGAAACGATGCTAGCATTGACGGCGATAATGTACCTGGGAGCAGCATCAGTATCAGTCCCGGTAATTCACAGCGCCCCGGGGCGGGTCGACTCACGCCATGGCAAAGAAAGTCGCAAGACCGGCACGCAGCTCGGTAAAGAAATACGACCCCTTTCTCTCTTTTGGCTGTTGGGCAGCCTTTAGCAGTGTTCCCGGACATCAGACACGGCCTGAAATGCTCACATGTCCACATCCATCAAGCTTGAACCAGCGGCCGACCGGACCGGTGGCGATCCGCCGGTTGGTGTTCTCAATCCAACCCATGCTGATATCGAATTCTTTGAGCGACCACTCACGGTGTCGGTTGGGGTGTTGTGTGAGGACTGAGCGAAGGTAATTTGGGGGCGGCGGTGAAGCTTTCAGCAAGCCCAACCTGGGAGAGAGCGTTGCTGGGGAACTCGAGCTTTTGCGATGGTTGTGGGTGGCAACCCAACCTTTAATACCGGCGCGAACCGGGGCTCGGGACCCTTTGGCGCGACCCCGGGTTTAAGTGGGATGGAGGGATGGATGGGAAAAAATTCGCGAAAATCTCTTATCTGTTCGACCACCACAGGGACCAGCTTCTGAACAAGTATGGAGCAGCATGTTCAGACTTGGCAGAGTGGGCATGGTGACAAGGCAGACCTTTGAAGAACAGCTGAAAAAGAGCTGAAGAGGATGTATCGAAACCCCCACACACGCCAGTATGTGAGTATCTGCTCAGACGACTGTTCCCTGGCGCGTGCCTGACGAGCTTGACGCACATCCAGCGGCCGACTTCATGTTACCAGGGACGACTTTGCGGGGAACTATCGCCGCTAGTGCTCGATGAGATCACCCTCTTGCTAACGTCACATCCAGGGCACTCCTGTTTTCCACTGTTTTGGATCAACATCGTGCATTCAATGTCATCCGGCCTTGTTTTGTCTCGAAGAAGCCCTTCCTTATGATGAAGGCCGAGGAGTGATACGATGAATAGCCCCATTGTCGGACGCAGCTCTGATGAATATCTCTGAGGACGAAGACTGGGGCAGTCTTGATTGCCTCGGCTGGCCATCCTGGTAATCCCCATTGCTCGCATGCGGTGCTAACCCGAAGGGGGTTCCTTCATGCACAACCACCACCATCCCACTGATAAGCCGTTACCACCACGCGAGAGCCTGCCTTATCAGTTGGGACGAGGCTTCGGACGCCAGACGGCGCTCCCCGGACAGCTAAACGTGCGGGCCCGTCCGATCTCCGCCCCTGGCGCACCAGGGCGGCGCCGATACTCGACTGTGTTCAGCTTTCCGTTTCTGGCATTTATTCTGAACTGCAATTGGCGGACTGGTTGGGAGGAGGTTGTTGGAGATGCCGTGAGTGGTTCGCTGTGGCCATGCTGAACACAACCTGAATGTGGGGTCTTGACTATGGGGTCAGGGCAGGGTCGGCTCGCGCTGGGATGCTGTCCGCTGTTATCGGGGCGCGTATTTGTCTCATCTTACACTGTCGGGCCGGGACCTCCTCCTGGATGACAACTCCGCTTCCCACAACGACCTTGTCAGTGGAGTGCCAGATTGACCACAATGGTGTTTAAAACGCGCAAAGAGCAACTCGGGTAGCTTTCCGGGGAGCCGTGTTGATAATGGCTCAACTGCTTCAAAATGTGAATTGGTCATTGGTGTCGTTACCGGGGCGGATACGAGCGACTGATGACGGATTCGGAATCATTTGAACTTAATACGATTATAAAAGCTTGCTAAGATGTAATCAATTTGGTATCATTGCGAATAATAAGTCTTGCCGGGTTGCCATCGCTTTTGCCTCTCTAGATGCTGCCCCCAGATACCCATTGCCAACAGTCTTGAATGGTCATACATCACGCACCCGAATACCATGCTGTTTTCTACCTTGGCCGCCCACCCCTAGAAGCCAACTCTGCGGGCCCTCCCCTCTTCATGATGTGATAATCTCAAACAACTGCAACACCCCAGCGTGGTCCCCAATCGCCAGACGTGTCCCATCACTGTTGAACGCTGCCACTGTGATGGTCTCTCCCGGCCACGCAAACTCGCCCCTGAACTTCCCCGTCTGGGCGTCCATGACATCAAACCCTTCCTCATTCCGGCAGGCCAGATACCTACAATCCGGCGAAACTGCCAGCGGCCATCCCTCGTTCACGCGTATCGCGTTCAGGTTGTAGTTGTGCACCCTCCCCGTCTCGAGAAACCACAGGACCACGTCCCTCCCCCACACCGTCACCACCAGCTTGCCGTCCTTGGACACCTGCATCATGGTCGCCGGCGCCCTGGCCCCGATCTCCACCTTCTGCAGCGTCCTCTTGGTGACCACGTTGGTCACCCTCAAGAACCCGTCCTTGCCCGCGCTCACCAGCGCGCGGCCGCCGCTCTCCCACAGCGGCAGGAACGCCATCTGGGTCACGTCGTCCGAGTGGCACATGAGCGTGGCCACCGTCCGCACGTAGCCGTCCTTGTTCTTGGGCAGCTGCACCACCACCATGCGGCTCGCGTCCTGCGGCGACGCCCCCACCAGCGTCTCCCCGTCGGGGCTCCACGCCACGGGCGCGCGGATGGCCAGGTCCTGCTTCAGCAGCCGCTCCCTGCGGCCGAGGTCGTAGACCTCGAGGCGCGGCATCAGGGCGCCGTACGACTCGCTGTAGGAGGAGCTGGCGGCGGGGATCAGGAAGGGGCAGGCGACGATGAGGTCGGCGACGCCCGGCTTGAGGGCGAAGCCGCCGTTGAGGCGGAGGCCGTGGCTGGCGAGCGGGGAGGTGGCGCTGGTCAGGCGCTGGCCCGTGGCGGCGTGCCAGGTGTTGAGGCTGAAGGGCCCCTCGGGCGTGACGCAGCGCGCGTTGGTCGACTTGGGCACCATGGCCGCCAGGTGCGAGTCCGACGGCGTGAAGGTCAGCTGCATGAAGTCCACGTGCGCCCGCACCGTGACCGACTTGACGAACACCATGGTCGTCGTGTTCTCCGGCGGGCCCAGCGGCTCGTCCTCGGGCGGGTCGTCCCATCGCCTCGACCGGCTGCTCGTGCTCTGCTGGTCTGACGAGGGGGCGAGGGACGCCGGGACGTCGAGGCTGGACTCGAGGTCGGCTGTGAACCGGGGTGGTAGGTCGGCCATGATTGTAGGTAGGTACTCTTACGAAGTTTGGTTTGGGGGGTTGATGGGATGGAGGCCAGCTGTCCCCGGGGGAGTGGGGGTAAGGGGGAGGTTGAAAGAGTGGACGTTGTTCACGCGGCTTAGTCGTGTACAAGCCCGGGCGGGAGGTGGCAGGTGACGTGACGGGTGACGAGAGTTGCAACTCGCGTTACTTGTACACTTGGCCTTGGGTTGCACCGCGGAGACCACTCATGTCAAATGCGGTCATGAGATGTTGTGGGATGCAGGTACATTGGCTCGGCTGGGGCTGGGTTCGCAGTTCACCCAACGAGAGCCGCACCTACAGGGGTTGATCGTTGCCGTTGTTTGCTTGGTTCGTCCGGGGCAGATCCCGGGGCAGAATTGGGAATCGAGAATTGGGGGCAGGGTTCAGCTGTCGTCAGAAATTGTTTTAGTGGCTTGTCACTCGTCCGTCAGTTACACAAGGCCCGATCCATCGAGCACTGCCGCGCGGCGCGCAGTTGGCGCCTCGTTATTTGTTCTTTTTTAATTCCTTCGTGGGTCCGAATTATTGGGGGAACACGCCTAGAAGATCTGCAATTGCTCGCCAAGATGCGCCCGTTACAGTGCCCCTTAGGTGTATGCACAAAGTGTAGTAACCACGTTGCCGAGTAACCGAACATAGTCGGGCCAACTGAACCCGGAAACGTACAAATGGAATTGGTCTGCAAAGACGGGAAAGGTAGAAGAACATGAACAAAGTGAACTCTGGTGTAATGTGTTGCTTCAGGAAGCAAAGGTCCAGGGAAGGGTAGCAGCAAGCATCCTGTATCCTGCCATCTCAAGCCCCTGGCGCGGGCCTGCTAGAACTGACCGACTACCTGTTGTTGATATGTTGAATAGCAGCAAGCCACTTTTGTTCATCCGACCTGGAACAATGTTGTTAGAATCTAAGAATGAAGGGTGAATAGGACGGGTCACTCACTTGTCGAACTTGAGCAGCTTCCCCAGCACCGGTACCAGCTGCGCCCTCAACCTGTTGTCTTTCTGCTCCAGGAACTGCAGCAGAATCGTCTTCAGGTACATGGCGTCCTGGCTACCGCCGCCTTGCTGCGAGCCCGACCCGTTGAAGCTGCTAGACCGGGTCGAATCTATGGAACTCCGTACCGAGGTGGCAACAACCGGCGATGACAGCTTCGCCTGCAGCGTCTTGGACTCCTTGGAGAGCTTGTCGTAGCGCAGCCGGTAATCATCCAGCGCCCGCCGCAGCTCCCCATTTTTCTTCTCCGTATCCCGGACCTGCTGCTCGGACCCGTCCAGTGTCGACCTCAGGTTCGACACGGTAGTCCGCATCTCGGTGACCTCGGCCCCGGCCCGCTCCTCGTACGCCTCCAACTCCTCCCTCCTCCGCCGCCACTCCCGCTCCTTCTGCTCCAGATCGTCCTTCTCGCTCGCGAGCGCCTTGACCTCGCGCTCGAGATCCCGGACCTTCTGCCTCAGCTCCTCCGTCTCCCTGGTCTTGCGCCGGGCGAGGGCGCTGGACTCGTCCTCGAGCCTGTCGCGTTCCTCGACGGCGGCGTCCATCTTGGCCCGCATGTCGCGCACCTTGCCGTCGGCGCGCTCGTCCACGTCGGCGAGCAGGCGGCGCATCGTCTCGGCCTCGCGAGTCCGCTCGCCGAGCATCTTGCGAGCCTCGGCCAGCTCCTCGTCCAGGCTCTCGCACTGCGACTGGCTCTCCTTGAGTTGGATGCTCAGCTCCGCCGTCTGGTCGCGCATGCTACCCAGGAGGTTCTGCGCGCTGCTGTACTGGTTGGTCTTGAGCCCCACTTCTTCCCGGAGGACCTCCTGTTCCTTCTTGAGCCGGGAGGCTTCGTCTTCGAGTTCGCGGATGCGTGGCCGGAGTTTGGCGGCTTCGTCTTGGATGCGCTGGAGTTCGCGCGAGGCTTTCTCTTCCCTGGCTGAGATTTCGATCTTCTCGGCTTCTGAGCGGCGGAGATCACGCCCGGCCACGCGCTTCTCGTCCTCTAGGCGCAGGCGTGCATTTGTTTCTTGCGAGACTTTTTCGTGCAGTGTCTTGATCTCGCCCTCGTGATCGGTAGTGAGGCGTTGCGCCCTCGCGAGCTCCGTCTTGAGCTCCTTCTCGCGCTTCTCGAGATTGCGCAACTCGGTGTTCTTCGCGTTTAGTTCTTCCCGTGTGGTCTTGAGTGTGGCCGAATCTTGCCGCAGGCTCTTCAGCTCCGGCTGGGCTTTTTGGAGGACTTCTCTGAGCGCTGTGAGGTCCTTGTACCGAGTCTGAGCTAGCTGCTGCGCGGCAGCTAGGTCGGACTGTAGCGTGGATGACTTCATGTTCAGGTTCTCGAACTCTTCCTTCAGGGACTCGTGTTCGCTCTGGAGTTCACTGCTACCCTTGGCCGCTGCTGCTGAGGATTCGGCCTCCTTCTCGAGTTCCGAGATACGCTCCTGCAATGCCTTCTTCTCGGCCTCGAGCTCCTTGATCCTCTCCTTTGCCTCGACGTGATCTTGGCCAATCACCATCAGATTCTCTTGGAGGTTCTCAATCTCCTCGCGCAGGTCTTCTTCCGTCTTGCGTTGTTTCGATAGCCTCTCAATCCGTTGGTCCTTCTCTACCAACTCTTCCTGTAGGCGACTCAACTCGGCCTGAAGCTCCCCACTTGTCGAGCCTTCCGGCGATGCGGGCCGTTGATCGGTTGTCGACGCCTCGCTCGGGGTGGGCTCTACTGCGGCAGCGGCGTTCGATGCGCCGCCCTTCTTCTTTTTCTTATTCCTCCTCTTGCCACCACCGGCTGGCGGAGGTGCAAGCGCACTATTCTGAGCTGGCGTCGGGGTCGCAGACGGAGCGGCTGGGGCCTGTGCGGATCGGATTTGTTTGTTGAGCTCATTAATTTTGGATTCATCTTCGGCCCTGGTCTTCTTCAGTGTCTCGATTTCGGAAGTGAGGGTCTTGATCTTCCGGTCAAGGGAAGACTTGGCCTCCCCGGCCTTCTTCAGCTCAGTTTCCAGTTCCTTGTTTCGAGAAGTGGAGGTAGTGAGCTGGGTACTCTTCTCCTTGACCGTTGCGGCTGCCTCGTTCTTGGCCTTTTCGGCTTGTGCCTCGAGATCCTTCAGCTTAGTCTGTGCCTTATCGAGACGTTCGGTGAGTGTCGAGATCTCCATGTTCCTGGCCTCTAGCTGTGTTTCAACAGAGGCCTTGACGGCCACGGCATCTTTCGCTTCGCTGAGTTCCCTAGCTGTATTCTCAAGGCTCTCGACAAGACCGGCGCTGTGCTCCTTCGCGAGAGATAGTTCATCCGTCAAGTTCTTGACTTCGGCCTGGAGCTGCTCAACCTCTTCCGACTTTTTCTGGATCTCGACCTGGAGTTGAGGAATCTCGTCATCATACGAAAAGAAGTCCTCGCGGTCTCCGGCTTCCGCCCGCGTTTCCTTTGGCGATTTATCCTCTCTCTCGGTCGATCCTGTCTCAGTCGGATGTGTTGTATCTTTCGACCCTGACACGGGCGCCTTCGACTGGGCGGCCTTCAAAGTGGCAAGTTCCTCCTTCACGGTCGCCAGCGCTGCATTTGACTCGTCCGTCTTCTTCTTGTAATCATCCTTCTCAGCTGTAACACGCTTGAGCTCCCCCATCACCATGTCCCCTTTCAGGTTGATCTGATTCAAGTACTCGACTAGGGCTTCCGGGTCCTTAATGGACGTGAGCGGGGTGTTCTCCTTGAGGGCCTTCTCGAACGGTTCTATGGATGTCGCTCGACTGTGTGCAATACGGTAGGATCGAAGGAGTTCTGAAGAGTATCAGCATTGAAGAAGATGCGCCACGCGGTCGACGGCATGCAAACCTGGGTACGTCTTCTCTAGCTTTTCCAGCTTCCGCAACCGAGCTCGCACTTCTGGCGGCAACTCGGATGGTGCATGGGTACCGGCTGGCCCAACCCCAACTGCGGGCTCCGCGCCGGGCTTGTTGGCTTCTCCATTATCGGCGGTTGTCAAGGGGTCAACTGCCCCGTTGAGAGGGGCGCCAGCACCGGGTTGTGGTGTAGCTCTCCTAGAAATCCCAGCTCCCGTGTCGTGGTCGGCCGAGGACGGCGTCGCTACTCTAGAGGGAACGGCCGAGTCGTCCATATCGTCAATAACAAATGCAGCTTCGAATACAGCGGGATCTGGATTGGCCCCTTCGCCGTTCGCATCTCTGGACGTGATGTCCTGACTCGCTTTCTTTGTCGGCCGAGGGCGCCGGGCGGGGGATTGAGTCCCCGCGGTGCTCGACGATCGTGACCGGCGTGGGGCGCTTCCTGGTGTTGGCGCAGGCCCAAGAGCCTCGAGGCCTGCCCTCTGCCTTGCTTGCTCCTCGGCGATGGTGCGATCGATTGCGCCCTTGAGTCGCTGCCACGGTTTTGGTCAGTTTCCGTAACGCGCATTCAAACCCACGGGAATTGTAAGTCTGCACGCACCTGGAACATATTTGTAAGCTATACTACCCGCAACACCCAGCGACAACTCGGGATCGTCAGCGTCCTCTTCGAATGGGCGCGGTTCGGTTGCTGCGGCGAGGAGTGGACACCAAGCAACAACACCAATGCCTCTCCCTCTCCCTCTCCAATGTGTACAGCAAAAAGAGGGAATCACCACTATCCCCAGCAGCGAAATAAGGGACTTGAAAATTAAAAGGCTTTAAGCGGCACACAAAGGTTCAAGTTCCACTCCCTTTTCGGATCAGCATCGCCATCCTTCCCAGGTTTGCTTAATCTCGAGTGGATAGTTGTCGTTTCGGCTTTCCGCGCCGCAGTTCGCCTGTGCGACAACAGCCTTGCACGACCCCCCCGAGAGGAGGGACCCCTGGGCCTGCGCGTGCTGGGACACTGCCGCCGGCAACAGCCATGTGGGGACAGGGGTAGATGGGAGGAAACCCCGATAACGGGAGGCGTAATTTACCCGTTACATACATACGTCGCGCTGCGACTTGAATTTGTGTGGTCGGTTTTGTGAATGCAGAACAGAGAATACAATGGTTTGGTGGTGAGAACACTGGCTATCCTCTTGCGTTTATCTAGCACAGATCACCGTGATGTTCAGCTGAGCCGAGTGGCCGAGACAACCGCCCTCGTTCCCGTTGAATTGGACGAAAACGATAACTCCCTAACTAACGGTAAATATCGCTCTAAGCAATCATGAGGTCACTGTGCACAAGCTTCTGGGCTTCCCTGTCCTGAACCACTTCCTGCTGTTCACCTCTTGTGGCTGGGGAAGGCCGGAGGCAAGCTGCAACACAGGCTCTCACCGCAAAACAATTAGAACCTCTGCCGGTCAGTCGTTTCTGGCAAGGCAACATTACTCCTTTTCTTTTCTCACGTTCATTGCCTATCGGGCCCGATAACCTTTTTCGCTTCTTTGACAATGGTTTCCTTTTGGCCGTGGGGGGTGAGTACCTGAGAGAAACCAAGATGCAACGTTCGGTCGCTCGTCTAACCATATTCTTTTCTTCCTACAGAAGGAAGACGACTCCCCGGCATTGTTTGAAAAGGTGCTTTCCGCCCTCTCCGCCAAAATCACAACTACCCAAACGCGGCTCGAACAGAACCGGGCCCAATCAAGACGAATCAAACTCCTCTGCTCTCTCTACCTCGGCTTCGCATACTTGGTCTATGGCATCGTCCTGGTGTTGGTCGTGGGATGGAGAAACATGGGAGCTTGGGAATGGACCGGCATCGCGGGCGGTCCGATTGTGATCACTCTTGTTCGCGCTGCCGTCACGGCCTTGTTCGACTACCGCATTCAGAGGCTTAGTGCACGGCTCAAGGAGTACCAGACAGAGCGCACCAAGACCATTCAGAAATTGAAAGACGCAACAAAGTACGATTCGACTCTGGAGTTGCTGCAGAAATACGGCGAGGCCGAAAACAAGCAAAAGAAGGGGAAGAAGACAGCTGAGGGAGGTGACGCCGGGGATCAGGAGGACGAAGGACGGTCGAAGGCGAAGCACTCGGGGATGCCTCAACGCACGAACATGCTACCTCCGCCCACGGCTAACATTCAACGACCTCCCGCACCCCGTCCCGGCACTCCCCAATCTCGGCCACACAGCAGGCTCGGTACCCCGTCTCAACAACAGACCGCGCAACCCGATACGGATGCCTCGGCTGAGTTTGCGCCCAATGCGTTTGACGGAAGACCGGCCCCTGCATTCATGCAATACCCGCCCGCAGCAATGGCACCCGCTGCCGAATCGCACTGGTACGACCGCATCTTGGATACTCTCCTGGGCGAGGACGAGACGGCAGCCAAAAACAGGATTGTCCTGATGTGCTCTAGCTGCCGGTTGGTCAACGGGCAGGCACCGCCTGGAACAAAGTCATTATCCGAGCTAGGCATGTGGAAGTGCATGGCCTGCGGGGCTTCTAATGGGGAACTGGATGAGGGCAAGCGGCTTGTACAGGAGGTTCTGGGAGGGCGGAGCACCCCCAGCGTCAAAGTTGAGGCTGCCGACGACAACGCGAGTAGAAGCTCGAGCGACCTCGTCGAAGTGGAGAAGGATATTTCCGAAACCGAGCCCGAGGGGAAGAGCGCGGTCACTGATGGGCCACGGAAACGGAGGGGGAAGGGGACTCGTTAACTGGGGTCGGACATTCACTCTTTTTTTTTTTGATCTCTCCTTTTTGTTTGGGTCTGTAGAATACAACGGTCACTTTTTTTTTTCTTTGTCCCAAGTTATTGGCCTTATACCCACTGAACAGTTCTGCTCGAGGACATCAAAATCCCATTGTCCCCCTGTTACCCGTGTGTGGCCATTGTGAGGGCTTAAAGCGATCTTGGGCGCCATTACTTCTCATACTTAAACCCGCTCTCCGTGTTCACCCTGAGTTTATAGGATTATGGAAAGTCATCCGCTTTAAGATACCCCAACACAATGGCATACTACTCTTACGTACAATTTCCGCCTGACGCCCAATACGGTGACCCGTATTGGGCCCGGGATCAGGACTGTTGTCGGGATCAAGACAGACCTCGTCGCCGACGCCGCCGGTCTTCGCGCCCTCGTGAAGAGGATCCCAAATCCCGTCGAGATATCCACCGCGACGACCGTTTCACGGACGCTGGCCGTGCCAGGTCGAGCCCGAGTACGAGCCCCATTGACGACGATTTCTACCGACGGGCCCGCAGCCGCACGGAAACAAGGCGGGATGACATTGGTAGGGGTAGAAATTTGAAAGACCACCCTGACGCTCATTTTAATGCACGTTTTAATACTCATTTTAATGCTCATTCTGGTGCCCATTTCGACGATGGAATCGAATATGCCTGGGTCCATGCGGATCGCGTAAGGACAACCATGGGTATCAACGACGAGTATTTTCCCTGGCCCATGCCGCCTCATGAAACAAGAGGGTTTAGCGGTTACGCGACTGGCTACAGCTACTATTCACCAGACTCTCACACAGGGCCACACCGGCGTGATCCGCCCCCTACTCGACCGTTTCCGCATCCCCCGCGGGCTCAGACCCGGCCGGCCGACCCAAGTTACGATGGCTGGGCACGGCAAGCCAGACCGAAACCCAGGGAGCCCTTCCATTACGTGTATGTAGGCACGACGGGCCCGGACGGCGAGGTCATCGACGGCTACAAGGGTTATCGGACCGGGCCACCGCATCGGTAGGCCTAGGCAATACACGGTAGGGCACGATATGCTTCAAACAAAGGTATATTCCTTTTTGTACTTCCCAATATATAGTGTGAGCTGGGGTGCTTCAAGTTAAGGGGGGACCCGTTCATGGAACGTCGAAAGGGTGCATGGTTTGGGCCGCAACCCCCGTTGGGCCGCAGGTGAGCAAGGTAAATTGAGAAATTTCTTTTTTTTTCCCCAAATATAAACTTGATGTATTATTCGCCGATTCGTTCTTCTCACGTCATTTGTTGTGTGAACCGCGGAGGCACGGAAGCGCGGGAGTGTTAGGGTGAAGTCTGCATCAGGCTGGTCCACGTCGAGATGCAGTGTCTGAAGTTCAAGTTGTCCAAGTCACTTCTCCCGAGCTTGCCGCCATCTGGCATCACTCGGGTCCAGACCCGACTTCGGGCTCAGCGATGGCAAGCTGACAGCGAATCGTTCCTACCTGACCGGCCTGGCCTATGGGAACCTGGAAAGCGCTTTCCTGCCCGAGGTGCCTGTTTTGGCTCACCACGTGGTTGCCCGAGAAAACGAGGCAAGCACACCTTCCAAACAGAACCCGCAAATCGGGTCACTTCAGACTCACTCTCCTGCCTGACAACAGCCCTGAATGTTGCTTGCCCTGCGGCCCAAACTGAACCGAAGCCACGAAATGGCTTTTTTTTGCATCTGCCACGCAGGCCGGATTGATTAAGCCGTCTTAGCCAAACTGATGCAGCCCATACGCACAAAGCCACAAATGCTCTTGTCTCTTATTTGGCAAGTTCCCACCCAATTCCCGACTGTTGTTTGTGTACCTATCTTTGCCACTTGGGTTCTTCTAGATGTTCCAAAACAAGAAAATGTCTTTCCCAGCGTATTTTACCTGTCTCCTCTCCTCGTGGGGGTTTTACTTTCTTTCCCTCCTCGCAGACGAACTGCCCTCCATGACCGTCTTCACCATTCTTCTCACCATCACTTCCTTTCCGATGTTTGAAAGTCTCTTCCTCATCCCCCAAGGTGTAGCAGCTGCGCTGCAAGAGAAGATCAGGCAACATGGACATCCACGACGATCCGAGTGCTACCACAACTACCACGGACTACGATTCAGGTGATAGTGTCCGCATCGACTATGTCTACGAAGGACGGAAGGGCACCGAGAGAAAGAGCACAAAAGGGAGGAGCCCTAGGAGAAAGAGGTCACCCAAGCCCAAGGCACGCGGACTCGCCAAGTGCACGTGTGGAGCAGGCCGAGCGGAGGACGACGATGAGATTACCGCTTTCGAAGAGGACACAGACACCGAAGAGGAACGAGATCGGCGAAGACGCTCGACAAAACCCCGACCGTCCGGGGCCGGGGGCACCCCAGGATGCGATGCCAAAGACCACAAGGTTGACAAGAAAAAGGCCACCGAAAGCAAAACCCGGCGTGTGCAGACCCCCTACATTGAAGACTACCCGGACGATGCTCCAAAGCCAACAATCATCCTGAAGGAACACACGATTCTACGCAGGTCATCGACATCTGACACGAAGCGCGTGCGTGACTCAGAGGACTGTTCATCGTCGGGCTCCCGGGATAGGTCTTTGTTAGGGAAACGACAACCGCCGCGACCGCCTCGTCGTTCTTCCAAAGAGTCACCCAAACATTCTAGACCTCACAGGCGCCACCACATCACACACGAAACACGTGAGAGTAAGCAGATCCCCCCGAGCGAGATCATGACTTGTCATGAGTGAGAGACTAACATCAACCGGTAGACAAGTCTTCGGGCTCCGAGCTCAGGGATTTCCAATCCGACTCCGGGGAGTCAGCCTTGAACGTGCGCCGTCCACGTTATGAACCTAGTCCGGAGCCGGCTTCAACGGTTGCTCGCAGTTCGGCATGGACCGATAACTCCCAGCTGAACTACTCTTCCTCGTGGCCGCTGCAGGACGGATCACACCTTCTCCAGCGACAAATCGAAAACGGTGAACGTGATTACGACAGCGAAGAGGGAAGGGATGAGCACCCCTTGAACAATGATGACAACTACAATGAACACCATCGTTTTAGCCAAACGAGGACTCCGTCGTTCCGAGAACGAGGCCCGGCGAGGGAACTGGAACGGCATCGGGAGCTACTGCAGCAGGCGACCCCGCCACCGGAACACGAGCGCAGAAACGAGTGCGAGAGGCCAGCTCCTCCCCCGCGCCGCCCAAGGACCGTCATCAGCCATGCTAGCATGGCAACCATGGAACAGGGCTACCGCTCCGTCGCCACGTCCGTGTGTGAGGTGTGGCGTGGCAAGGCTGAGGACTGGGAATCTCCGTACGTCTCGGCCAGCGACGGGGATTACGAGTCGGACGCCGAGGAGCCCATTCAGCTTCTACGGACGGAGGATCTGCCTCCGCGCAGGTACTCCCCTCGCCTTCTCCCGCCCCGAGGGGAGAGAGGAGACTTTGGGTTTCGACCAACGCCCCCTCCTCCCCCTCCGTACCCGCACCATCCCCGAACGTACATGGGAGAGCACTCGTCCGGTCCTGCCCCTAGCCTCCACCAAGGCCAGTCTTGGCCCGCATCCGACCGAGGTGGGCTTCTTCTCTTGGAGGGACCGCTCGCCTTGACCATGGAGCCAGATGCGATGACGGATGACGAAGATGACGTGCACGGCATGCAGCTTCAGCCCCGAGCATCTCACTGGCCGAGGCCCAGCCCTCTCGGAGGATGGACACACCCCCTCCCGCCGCGGTCCCGCGCCGTCTCACCCGTCTTCTCGGCAAGGAGAACGCGAGAGTTCCTTTCGCCCAAACCGACGAGGGCGGCGCGGTTTGATTTCGATGCGTGGGGGTGCGACCGTGCCTCAAGGAGTTCCCTGGCGATTGGATTTCGGTAGAGCCAGGGCAGTTATCCTCCCAAGGGGGATTGGATTGCTTGGTCCGGCCTCCGGGTCTCACGGATGGGTGTTGGGTAGAACAAAGGGTGACGGTTCGGGGCGCCTGGTGAGGTATTCCGGAGTTGGGGGCGCTTCAAGATCGGACTTGGCTTCGATTTCCCACGCATCAGGCCGGAGTTAGGGGTTTGAGAAGGACACCGGCGCCGATGGGCCTGCTCACGTTTGGGGGTGGCTACTCGACACATGCATTGAAGGGATATTTTCGGGGTTTTTTTTTTTTTTTTTTTTGGATATGATTCTAATGAATGGGAAGACGGGATTGATTTCGTCATGGCATTGTTTGGTTAGACAAAAAAGGGGTTGCATGGGGAGGCGTTTGGTTAAATAATTAGATTGGCATCCTATTAATCTCTTGGAAAGGTCGGGCTTTAGGTAATATGGATGGTTCCTGGAAACTGAAGTGGTGGTAGACCATCCCCACCTTCATTACCAGCTTTTTCCTTGCGTATTCTTGGATTTACTTCTTTGCAAAGCTGTCATCACATAGGTGTAGTTAGATCCGACAAAGTATTCTTAATTTAGGCTTGTGCTTTCAAGCAACACATGGTTTCGTGATCGGTATAGTTGTGATTCCATAGAAGTAAGCATGGTTAGATGTTCAACCGCACTCACACAATGGTCAGTACTTCAGCTTCATCAATAGACTTTTGCCATGACGTGGTAGGTGAGAGGTTGATGGTGTAATTGTGAGTCCTGATCACCTGGCCGGTTTGCTGCGCTACCTTTGTTGAGATGTGAATACATTCATTCGTAGCCTATCCACTGACCTTGTTTGGAAACTCAACAAAAGGCTTGAGAAAGAGTCGGCAATCCTGTATTAATCCATGGTTCGATTTACTGTATCACACGCCGCCACATGGGAATTGTATTGTCTTGGAGCTTCAGCCATTGAATAGATCTACTTTCACGAGCACCAGTCTCAGATAGTCTTTTTCAGAACACAAACTGTAGTGAAGTTCTCACCAATATGTTCAAAGGAACGTCTCCAATACCAAGGGATAGCGCTACCCGCTCCATAAATCGTCAACCTGACAACTATTGGTGTGGAGGACAGTGTACGAACAACAGTGTGTATAAACTATAAAGTATCCTCCGTAGCGCGACTAGTACTTTTTACCATGTTAGAAATTTCGCATCAAGTCGAACCCAGTCGTCAAGCACTTTGCTCCCCAGCAAGTCACAAAACTTGCACGTTCACCACACAACAATGGTCGATCCCCTTCGACCCTGGGAGCGCCGCAATGGCGCTCGGGTTAGCCTCGCAAGCGATGCGCTCCAACGCGCAGTTGGCACAAGCTTGACGGCGCCGACCTCTGCCTCGACTGCGGGGCCCTCCCACAACACCACCTCCGCAGTGCGCGGGCACACTTCGACCCCCTCCTCCGCCCTCGGCTCCCCGTTCGCCTACACAAACGCAAACGGCAACACCACCCACTTCGGCGCGCTCCCGCGGTACGAGCACCGCACCACCACCACCTCCCACTCGTCAACACTAGACGACTCCTCCGCCACCAACCCCACCCTCCAGAGCCACCCAACCCGCCGCCCGTCCCCAAGCGGCTGGCACCCATCGACAACGCCGGGCCACGACCCGCTCACCCCCACGACCTCAGCCCACCACGCCCGCACCCCACCCGCGCGCCGCCGCCGCAGCCCGTCTCCCTTCCGCCTGCGTCCCTCCCCTTCCCCCCGACGCCGCACCCCGACCCCATCCTCCTCCTTCCGCCTACGCCCATCCCCAACCCGCCCGCGGGCTTTCATTTTCACCACCGCCGACACGGCCGCGGCCGCCTACCAGTCGGACACGGATCACATCCGCTCGCCGTGTCGTGGTCGTGGTTGCTCGCCGGCTCGCCTGTCCCCCCCGCCGTGCACGCCGCCGCACCAGATTAGGGGTGCCCCGGGTGGTGGTGGGTGGTCGGGGTATAGTGCGTATGGGTATGATGGGGGATCGGCTTATGGAGATGATGGATATGCGACTTGTGAGAGTGGTGATGGTGTGCAATAATGCACCTTACTTGCTTTCGGTTGTTGAAGCACGGATTCGGCACTGCTGCCTGCCTTCACAAATACCAACCCCCAAATGATACCCCGCTTCCATAATATTGCATTGTCAGCTTTACCTACCCACCTCCCTTATGTACTTTATCCAGTCGCTGGAAAGCTTGGAGAGATATGGCATCCTCATCTAACCAAGCATCACCTCGGCTTTGGCCTGACTTTGCCCTCAGTTGGCTCAACAACCAAATCAGACCCAGGAAGTCGGAAATTCGTCGTTTCACCGAGTATCTCGCTGGCGTCGGGATGGTACGGGTGAACGAGCAAAGGAGGAAGCGAGAGTTGCCTGTTTTTGAGTTTACAACTATCTTGTAGGCACCGCTGTTACACAACTGGGAGCTTGGTAGAGGAGTTGGGAAGATAAAGAGTGCATTGCTTCCTGAACTAATGATAGAAAAGAACGTAGGTTTATATATACAAAAGAGATCTCCCGGGCTTACGTAAGCCCACAAACTGCCTATCTAGGCGCTAAGAGCACGCCAAGCACACCCCGGATTGTAATATACCCCTTAGTTGAATAATTCGTAATCTGTTTAACTGCTTACCTCTGGAGGTTGGTTGGCGATGGTATTTTATAGTATTATAGGTTTGAGTACGTTTTCTAAATACGTTTTTCGAATATATTATAGTCTTTCCCTATATATAGGGGTTCCTTTCCCTGGATTACAGGGGTAGGTCTAGCAGTTAAGTAGCCTATACGTAAACCCCTATGTGACGAACCTGTCTCTGGACCCGTCCTGTTAGGGTTCAGTATCGGTCGAAGGTATTCTCTCAAGGGTGCTTAGGTTCGGTGCAGCCAAAGGGTGCACAACAAAGACTTGTCTCAACAGTAGGCTCTCGAGCTTGTAGCGAACTGTAGTTGTGATTGCTAACTGGAGAACTCCCAGAGCTCTCCAGAACGAGTGACTATATACTATCTAATCCTGTTGCTCATTATGCTCACGAGTCTTGGCTCTGAGCACATTGAGCACCTGGTGCTCATGGTGCTCACGAGTCTTGGCTCTGAGCACATTGAGCACCATGGCTCTCGCTTCTTACTGGCTGAGTGCCTCGTCGGGTGATTGGTCCGGGGTTACTGCCATCATACCCCGCCGGCCGGCTGCATGCGGCCATATCCGTGACACGATGCCCCTCCCCTGAGGTCGACGCCCCGACGACTTGTTCCCTTTGCCAACTTCCTTGAAGTAGAGCCAACAGCCCTAAAATTTCTTGGTAAGTGCATCGCTTCTTCCTTCCGTCATCGACAATCATGCCCCCTAACCGTGTGCGCAAGAATCGTTTTCAGAAGTCCAGCACCGATCGCCGTCGTACTCGGGCCGACATTCTCAGTGCTGTGGCCCTTAAGATGGTGCGCTGCACCCGTTGCAAAGAAAAGCAAATTCCTGATTGTCGTGTCCCTCCCGGGGACGATACCTGCGTCTCTTGTTCTCGTGTTGGGAATGCGTCGTGCGATTCCTTTGGTTACGACGATTCTGCGGTCCGTATTTTGGTTGAGCGGAAACGCCGTCTGGACGCCGAAGAGGCGGAGGCCAACGAAGCGATTCGTTCTGCGAATCAGGCGCTCGTGGCTGCCTTAGCGACGGCGGAGCGCCTCCGCGCCCAGCGCCTTGCCCTGGACAAAAAGGCCCTGGCGATGTTTGAGCAGGAGGGGGAAGTTCTGGCAGAGCAGGAACGTCAAGAGGCCGCTGTCGCGCAACCGACCTCGTCGGGTTCTGCTGGTGCCTTTCCTTTCGATCCCTCCTGGGCCCAGGGGTGCGTCCCTGTCCCGCCTCCCCTTATTCCTGGGTCCCTGCTGATCGTGCTAGTTTTTCTTCGGACGACCCCTTCCTCGCCGGGGTCGATCTGTCCGTGGGGTTTCCTTTGGTCGGTCCGGGTTCCTCTGGTGGAACTCCTGAAGTTTCTCGGGGCAGTTGAGATTCGTAGCTGGTTGCCATGAATTGTCTTCTGGGCCAAAGTCTAGCCATTTGACCAAGTATTCCAACTGTCCTTTCGTGATGCGTGAGTCTAGGACTTCCTCAACGTCCCATTCCTCCTCTTCATCTTCTGCCTCGACGTCCCTGCCGAGTCGTACGTTCTTGGGCGCTGGTTCCAGAAGTGAGATGTGGAAAACGTTGGTCCGTAGTCGCATTGTCGAGGGTAACGCGAGTGCGTAATTGTTCTCCGAAATCTTTTTGTCGATCTTGAACGGTCCGATCTTGCGGAAGTCGAGCTTCCTGCTTGGTCGTTTTGTGCGAAGGTTTCGAGAGACGAGGTAAACTTTATCCCCCTCCTCCAGGCGAGGTCCCTCGAGCCTGGTTCTGTCGTAGAACTTCTTCATCCTTGTTCGTACGAATTCGAGTTCTTCCTTGAGCATCGCGTGCAGCGAGCTCATTTTGTCGGCTTTGACTGCTGCTCTGGGCACCAAGACTTCGGGCCCTTGTCGCAAATCTGCTTCGTAGCCGTAATTCGCGAAGAATGGCGTAACCTTTGTGGTTTCCGTGACGGTGGTGTTGTAGGCGAGTTGTGCCGTTGGCAGCAGCTCGACCCAATCGTCCTGCTGGAAGTTGACATACAACCGTAGGTATTGTTCGACAACCTGGTTGAGTCGTTCCGTCTGTCCGTCCGTTTGTGGGTGGTAAGCGGTCGAAAGCTTACTCTTCGTACCCAGCTTCGTCATCAAAGCTTGCCAAAACTTTGATGCGAACTTTGTGTCTCTGTCCGTGATCCATTCCTCCGGCCATCCGTGGACTGAGGTGATGTTGCGGTAGATCACATCTGCGAGTTGTTCTGCTGACCATGTCTCCTTGTAAGGGAGGAAGTAACTCCACTTGGTGAGTCTGTCCACCATCGTGAGGATGCTGTCGTATTCTACTCCCGTTACTGAGTCCTTGGAGGCTGGTAGTTTGGTGATGAAGTCCATCGTCACCGAACTCCATGGTCGTTCTGCAACTGGCAATGGCTGTAGTAGCCCGTACGGCTTGTGTCGTCCTGGCTTGCTCCGCTTGCAGAGGTCGCATTCCGCCCGGACCTCTTCTGCCGTCTGCTTGATTCCTGGGAAGTCGTAGTTCTGCTTGACTTTCGCAATTGTCTTGCTGATTCCCATGTGTCCTCCGAGTCTCGACTCGTGGATCTTTCGAATGAGCTCCTTTTGGTCACCCAGCCTGACATAGGCCTTGTCGTGGTACCAGAGTCTCGTTCCTTCAAGTCGCAATCCCGCGATCTTGGATTCTGGCTCTTCTTGCCATGCATCGCGTTCGTCGTCCGCGATGATTCCTTGGAAGTCTTGTTCCAATCTTTGTTCTCTGAAGGTCGCACAACATTCTACAAACGGCTGCAGAGGCCTGGCTTCGGGATCTTCCGACTGCTGCTGAAGTGCTGCGATCTCGTAGTCTTCAGTCGGTTGGGAAGCGTGCCGTAGCGATCCGTCTGTCTGTTGATGTAGCAATGGTGGTGAGGCTTCAGACGTGTTGTCGTGGTGATCCGCTCTCCTACTCAAGGCATCCGCTCGTGCGTTTTCTGAGCCTTTCTTGTAGTGGATCGTGAAGTTGAATTCGGACAGAAATTCTGCCCACCGAGTTTGTCGTCCGTTCAGCACCTTGGTGGTGGTGAAGTACCGTAAGTTCTTGTGGTCCGTGTACACCTGGACTTCGTGTGTCGTGCCGCTGAGGTATGGTCTCCATTCCTGGAATGCTTCAATGATTGCGAGAAGCTCCTTGTCGTGGATCGGGTAGTTAAGCCTTGGCCCTTCGAGTTTCTTGGAGAAGAACGCAACTGGATGAAGCTTGCCGTCCTTGTCCCTCTGACCAAGTTGTCCTCCGATCGCGAAGTCCGAAGCATCAGCCTCGACTTCGAAAGGTGTGCTTGGATCAGGCAGCATGAGCACCGGGTCGGCGATGATCGCATCGCGGATCCGCTGGAAAGCCTGCTCGTGCTCCCGCTTCCACTGGAATGTGGCATCCTTTTTGGTAAGTTCGTGCAGAGGTCTCGCGAAGTCGCCGAAATTCTTGATGAACATTCTGACGAAGTTGGCGAATCCGATAAATCCTCTGACCTCCGTGGCGTTCGTCGGTGTCGGCCACGTCTTAACAGCTTCCAGTTTCTCGGGTTCGATCTTGACCCATCCCGGGGAGATTTCGTAACCCAGAAACACTGTTTTCTTGACATGAAACTCGCTCTTGTCCTTGTTGACTGACAATTTGTGCTCGTGCAGTGCGTCCAGCACCTGCCGCACGTGTCTCTTGTGTTCTTCGAGTGTTTTGGAGTAGATGAGAATGTCATCCAAGTAACAGACTGCAAATTTATCGAGGCAATGTCGAATTGCGTGGTCGATAGCGGCTTGAAATGTCGCTGGTGCGTTGGTCAACCCGAACGGCATGACGCGGTACTCGTAGTGCCCGTAGGGTGTCCGAAAAGCCGTCTTCCATTCGTCTCCTTCCTTGATGCGGATGTGGGCGTACGCTGTCGGAAGGTCGAGACGCGTGAAGTATTGTGCCCCTGACAGCTGGTCTCGAAGCCTTGAGATCAGTGGCAGTGGGTAGCGGTTCTTCACCGTTTCGCCGTTCAACTGTCGGTAGTCCACACACATCCTGAGTTTCCCATCCTTCTTTGGAACGAAGAGGACTGGGTAGCCCGCTGGAGATGTCGATGGTCTGATGTGTCCTATCTCGAGGTTCTTTTCGAGATAGCTCCTCAACTCTGCATCTTGCTTCTCGTTGGTGTGGTACACCTTGAAAAACTTCAACTGGGCTCCTTCCTTGAGTTTGATCTCGTGATCCCAAGGTCCGTGGTCTGGTAGCCCTGCAAGATGTTTTGCCGTGAACGCCGGGTGCCCCTTGTAGTCGTCTGGGATCTGCCCCGTCTTTGCGTTCTTCGCTGTACCCTCGTAGTACGCGAACTTGTTGTTCCCAGGCTCGATGCTTGCTGCTTCGAGTTCCCTGACTTCCTCTGCTGCCAGCTCGATGCTTGCCGCTTCGAGCTGATTGACCCATTGTTCGTGTTTGAGCATTCCGTGCTCGTCGACTGAGACGACGGCGATGGTTCGTTCCTCCCGTGTCTGCTTCTTTCGTCGTGTGCCGCTTCTTCCGGACTCCAGAGTGCGTGGTTCTGCACTGGCTGCTTCCTGCGGTGGGCCCGTAGAGGGGGTTCGTTCTGACCCGCTGCTCTCCCGTGGCTCCTGTTCTGCGCGTTCTCCCATCGAGTTGGTCGGATGCTCCCGCTGTTCCCGCGGTCGCAGATGGCCATCTCCCTTCCAACTGATGTCTGGGTCGTAATCCTCATGCCATGGGCGTCCGAGAATCATGTCTTTCTCTGGTCCCATGTTCACGATGTCAAATACCACTTGGGTGGTTTTTCCCTCCACCTCGATGTCGAGTGGTTCTGTTTCTCGTCGTAC